CCCAGGGCAAGTTACAACAAAATTAAAACCAGTCAAAACAGATTACAATCACTGGAATAGGGTGGGCCCTGGAAACACACATCTCAGAGATCAAAGGCCTAGGTAAAGGAGTGTGTCTTTAGCATTTGCTAAAAGCTGTACAGTGAAGAAGCTAAATGCACTTCTGTGTGTATTCCACAACTTAAGGGCAGCTAAAGAGAATGTTATCTCATGCACCCCACCCTCAAGTCTGACAGAGGTGGACCTACCAAGAGAGCCCCATCTGCTGATCTTAACATGCAGGAAGGTCTGTAAGAAAGGACTTGGTCTTTCAGCTGTTAGGGCCAAAGTGTCAGGCTGCTGCCAGCGACTCCCGGCCGGTTGTCCAGGAGTAGACAAAGACAAGGAAATGTTTCTTACTGTCTGCTTTTTATTCAGTATTTACAGAGAGAGGCAGAGAGGCTATAGAACCTAGCCTCTTGGATAATGGCGTTGTCCCAAGTGAATGTCCACCTCCGTCTCCCCCACTCCCTCATCCATCAATCTCATTGTCTCTCCTACAGATGCTGCCTAAGTGCCCTCTGTCTTTGAGCGCTTTGCTCTTCTACTTTCAAGGCTTGCCGGGTTCTGGGAGATGGAAGGTCTGGAATGCTTTCTAAAGACACTGTGTCCATCAGCTGTAGCCCCCCTGGGGCTTCCTCCTCCTCCTCCTCCTCCTCCTCTCCCATTATTTTCCCTCATCTGCCTCTGAGCTGTGACCTCCCTCAAACCCCTGTTGTAAATCAAAACCGTCTTCCTTTTCCTCCTCACTGGAAGGGTCACGCTCGGGAGGCGGTCTACACCATTTCTCCTCTGCCCAGTCCCTGACACTTAAGTCATTAGGACGAAAGTGAGTTCCTTGAACTGAACACAGAAACAAATGAGCAGCCAAATTAATGGGTCCACTCTCAGCAGAATCAACATTGGATCCAACCTGTTGTGAAGGCCAGCAGAAGGGAGTAAGCAGGGGAAGGTTAAAAGCAGTGTAGGTCAGAGGATAGTGGAGGCTGTATCTGGGTGGCACCACAGAGCACTTTGGGACTCCCTTCTTTGACTTATGCAGCCCTATACAGATCCTGTTTCACCTCTGTCGATCCAAAAATTCCTCCAAGGCTCAAGATTCAGGTTTTATCCAATTCTCACAAAAATGGTGCCCCAACACCTCTGGAATCTGCTGAGAAGGCCATCCCACCTCGGGATCTGGATGCATACAAATGAAGGTGTATAACGCCGGAGCTAGCAAGTCGTAAGCTTTACAAACTGTTTACTCATTCATTTTCTTGCAACTGCCGTTGCCAGATACACCAGCATCTGGGAACCGCTATAAAGCTTGTCTTAAAACTCAACGATCAACAGGACAACAGAGAGTCCTAAACAGACGGTCGTAGCAAGCTTTCTTTTCTGCAAAAAAGAAAAAGAAAAAATTGCTTGACATACTGCCTCAAGATATTGTTTATGAGCGAGTTCTTTATTTATGCTTGCTGGCAAACATCCATGTTGTAATGCAGTCTGAAGTTAGTGCCTCTTGACAATATAAAGTCTTGACTTTAGCTTATGCCGGCGCCATGATGTGACACAGCAGGAATGTTTTTAATATCTAAAGACTGGTGCTTGTTTTGACTGACTTCGTATTGTATTGCAGAGACATCGCTGTTCTCTGTTGCTGCCCTACTCTGTGTGTAGCGCACTGCGCGCGCGTGCCTGAGTGCGAGCGTGAAAAAGAGAAGCTGATTCAGAGAAAGAATTTAGGTAGGGATCAAGTTCAACATTCAATTCACCCCACTGTATTCGATAGGAAATAACTACCCTACACCTTATCAGAGTAGGGAGCATTACACTCATAGTCTGTCTCCCAGCCCCCATTCAAACAAGGATATATCAATGCAGTGTTGCTTTGCCAGAAAGACTCTTCTCCCAAAACCAAGAAAACTGATAAACCCATTGGAGGTTATTATAATAATTCAGAGTTTCCTTTTTTACTAATTAGCTTTCACCCCATTGAAATTATAGTTAAACCTAAACAATGCCCAGTTGTTTGCCCAGTAAGCAAGCTAAGCAGGCAAAGGTGGGGCACACACTGAAAAATGAGAAAGATATTTTTGAAAGAATTTTGTAATCCAAAAATTTAGAAAGCTGCTATTTTAATTTCAGCATATGTGTAAAAAAAAACTTATTTTACTGTTTTGTTTTGTTTTGTTTTTAATTATATATGCGGGGGGGGCACCATAACCTTTTTTCAGAGTTTATGGCCTCTAAAGGTCTTAATGCAGCCCTGAACCCGAGGCATCATTGACTTTAAAGAGGGTTTAGAACAGCACAAAAGGCAGGCATGAGTTACAGATATTTGGTAGTGATGTGTTTGAAGAGTAAGATCTGGGAAGTTGAAATAACATAAAGGTAGTAACTGCATATCACTTCCATTTTTTAAGCACCAAATACTTGCCTGGGGCAGACTTTTTAATTTCTGGATGCATCATTATTACCCCAAAAGATTGTTACTGATGATTTCTCAGCCTGTTGTAACAAGTAATAAAAAAAGTGGCTGTTTTTGTTTTTAAACTGTTCATTTTTGCCCCATTAAAAAACAACTGTTATTACTGATAGTAAACATACTTAATGAACTAGGTGTATTATTAACAGGCATCGAGACTGGAACTGGACATCATTCCTTAACCTTCTGGAAGCTCTGTTTATTCCATTAACATCAGCCTGAAACCAGCTAAACTCGTATTTCAATGCAAACATTAAGAAATTTCAGTGCCATCAGATAATTGTTTCCCAAGCTGTTGTGTAAAGCCTGCCAGGTGGGTGGGAGTCATTAATATTCAATAAACCTCCTTTCCACTTCAGATCCATGGGTCCTATCGGGACCTGCCCTGAACTCCTATTAAAGGACATTATTTTTTCAGGAAGTTGGTATCACATATGGAGCTTGCCTACGAAGTCTTCTTCAGGAACAGAAATAACTGCACTTTTGAAATTGTTTTTGGTTAGCCAGTATGTTATACTTGGTTCCTACGGTTGAATAAATGGCTGCAACGCTCCAGCAAAGGGCTTAGAGAAAATATAGTGGGGTCAAATAAGTACTTTAGTTGCAAGAACAGGCAGGTATACACATGAGGAGAGAATCAGTCATTATATAGGTCATGAATGGGAAACCAATGGCTCTCCATAATGTTTTAGACTACAACTCCCATCAACCGTTGCCAGCATGGCCAGGGGTCAGGGATCTTGAGAAATGGAAACCCAACAACTTTAAATAATAATTTTATTATTTAGATAATAAAATTGACTGGGTTGCCCCAGCCACTCTGGGCGGCTTCCAGCAAAATATAAAAACACAATAAAACATCAAACTTTTTTAAAAAAAACTTCCCTATATATAGCTGCCTTCAGATATCTTCTAAAATAATAATATTTTTTATTGTTGATATTTATATTATCCAGAGGGCCACAGGTGCTCCATTCCTCATACAAGTAAACCTGTGGGATCAGGTCCTGCAATAGGCTGCACAACCGATATGGCATGCCACCACCAATTCCCCGGGTCACTATAGAATCATAGAATTGTAGAGTTGGAAGGGACCACAAGGGTAATCTAATCCAACCCCCCTGCAATGCAGGAATCCTTTGCCCAGTCCTCAAGCAGTCATCACCTCAGCAAGGTCTACCCGATTCAGATCAATTGAGGTAGAAGTTCTCTCTGTGTGTACTCATCTACATATGCAGATTTGCTCTCTCCATTGAAAGAGCCATGCCTTGATAGTTGTTTGGATGCTGTGGATGTTAAACAAATCTTCCCAAATGAGAAAATCTGCAAGGTACAAGCCGTGCACTGATAGGCCAGAGTGACTCAAGTAACACTCCCTGACTTCTGTAAGAGGTTTCGGTTCCGGCTGCTCATTTTTCTGAAGAATAGAGATCAGGCACTGCGGCCCAAGATCTGGATATGAAGGCAGGGGGCTAGGCAGGAAGTATTTAAGCCCAAGCTGGGTGTGCTGGTCCTGTGGGTTACCCGAGAGGCAAGGTCCAAGTCCAGTCCGTGATCAAAGGTGCAACATGGAGGCAGTCCGTAGTAGCTGAAGCTGGGTGCAGGGCAGGGAGTTGGGTGAAGTCAGGAACAGGCTTGCAAGCAGGGAGCCAGGGCAGGTCAGGAGCTCAGGCAGGAAAGCAGGACAGGGTTCAGGCAGGAACTAGCAACCAACAATGTTGCTCCCGCAACTTGGGACTGGGGCTGGCCGGCTTTTATCTGCCCCGAGGCATAGGGCGGCCCCGATCCTCTGGTGACTTGCCTCTCCTGGCCTGGAGGCGAGCACTCCTCTTGCAGGAACTTAGTTCCCTCCACCTCTCTGCCCTGAGCCTCTGCAGCTCAGGAGAGGCTGGAGGGTTACTGGACCCAGAGGCAACCTCAGCTTCCTCTGACTGGGCTGAGAATGGAGCACCTGCAGGCAATGGGTCCTCCATCACCTCAGGAGCCAGAGCAGACTCAGCTGGTGCTTGCACAGCACAGGTGAGGACCCTTCAGGCTCATGCCCCAGCCCCGGTTCAGCTGGTTCTGGAGGCAGGGAATCCTGTGCAGGCTGGGATCCCTCAGGTTCAGCACCCGAGTGCGAATCCCAGGCCATCACACTGGGTAGCTTTCTATCTCCAAGGGATACTATAGGTGTAACTGCATCAGGGCCACTGACAGAGGGGGGTACAAGGAATTCAAAAGTACCAGGTCCAATGCTAGCAGGGGCTCCAGGGGCTTAACATTCATTTTTTTAAAAAGGAAGTGAATCAGAGACATCTAATGAAAGTTATAAAACAATATGTGAGCTACCACTAAGGCTTTGGCACTCCGTGGGCAGCACCGCTGTTAATCAGGGACATACCTAGGAGTTGGTTGAGTCTGCCCAACCACCTCTCGACCCTGGTTTGGGGTGTCTAGGAGCTCACCCACCCATCCACACACTCTCCTTGCCAAGGGCTCAAGGGACAAAGGGACACCAATACCAAGGGTGCAAGGGAGCCTAGGTAGGCCTCTGTTGCTAAGGTCGCTTAATCACTGTTGCTAAGCAATCAGAGGAAGGAATGTTGACCACCCCACCTGGAACTCAGGAGAGGCCCTTCACAAAGCAGCAGGAGAAGCTGAATGGAGGAGAGCATGGCGGTAAGTTTGCTTGTGTCCTCATTATTTAATTTACACAATGTGCTGCCTTTAAAGATTAAAACAAAACTGGCTGGGTTTGGTAGGTTTTACTGAAAAGTAACTCACTTTGAAAATAAATGAGGGTTTTCCTCAGAAAGAAATGGAATATTACAGTCCCCCACCTACTGAGCTTCCATGTTCCCCACACAGCCACTACTGGTCTGTTTGTCTTAACTGGGATGCTATTTGTTAATATGCAGTAACCATAAAGCAAAAATATAAAATACAAAATACAAAATGTCTCCACAAATGCAGCCACAAAATATCTGGACATCGCAAAGCTGCCACAAGTTAAAATGACTGTATTTGAACACAATAATTTATCTTTGTTTATCAAGGTTGACAAAGTGTTTCCAATATATATTTCTAAGAGTTGTGAAACCGCACATAGGTAAAGGGGACCCCTGACCATTAGGTCCAGTCGCAGACGACTCTGGGGTTGTGGCGCTCATCTCGCTTTACTAGCCGAGGGAGCACAGCTTCCGTGTCATGTGGCCAGCATGACTAAGCCGCTTCTGGCGAACCAGAGCAGCGCACGGAAACACCGTTTACCTTCCCGCAGGAGCGGTAACTATTTATCTACTTGCACTTTGACGTGCTTTCGAACTGCTAGGTTGGCAGGAGCAGGACCGAACAACAGGAGCTCACCCCGTCGCGGGGATTCGAACCGCCAACCTTCTGATCGGCAAGCCCTAGGCTCTGTGGTTTAACCCACAGCGCCACCCGCGTCCCCGTTGCTTATTGTATATTCGTTGCTTATTGTATATTTGTATCTTGATTTTCCTCCCAGACCTCAAGGTTGTGTATATTGTTATCTCCACTCCCCCATTTTGTCTTCACAACTGTGGGTTAGTAGTTCAGACACCAAAGCTGTGAAACTGAACATACTTTTTTGCTTGTTGTTATTTATCAGCATTGGAAAACTTTTTGTTTCTTTCTTTGGGTATTTTGCTGTAAATATCAGGACTAAGAAACGTTGCAGGTAAAGCAAGGAGGCTGCTCTTCTGGCTTACCTTACATGATCTGTGAATGACATTACATAAGAATATAAGAAAACTCTGGTGGACCAGGCCAATGGCCCATTTAGTCAAGCTTCCTGTTCTCACATTGGCCAACCAAATGCCTGAGAAGCCTGTAAGCTGGACCTGAAAGCAGTAACACCCTCCCCTCCTGTAGTTTCTAGCAACTGGTTTTCAGAAGTATACCTCCTCTGATGGTGGGAGCAGAGTACAGCCTTCATGGCTCGTAGCCTCTGATAGGCTTTTCCTCCACAAATTTGTCTAATCCTCCTTTAAAGACATCTAAGTTGGACTGAAACAGACCCCTGTTTGAAACACTGGAAAGCTGCTGCCTGCCAGGCATTGAGTTAGATGAACCAATGGTCTGGGTCAGTACTAGGCAGCAGCTTATGTTCCGGTATTTGTTCAAAAGGAGCTCCCAAATAATTGTTTTAAGAACACAAGAAGAGCCTGCTGGATCAGGCCAACGGCTCATTTAGTCCAGCATCCTTGTTCTCATAGAGGCCAGCCAAATGTCTGTGGGAAGCACAAGATTTAGTACAATGCTGCTAAAAGGCCACTCAGTTCCATAACACATGGTAGCAGCCTGTTGATGGGCACTTCCCCCTAACACATACACACCTGAACCAAAAGAGATCATAAACGAACCCAAGTTGGAAAAAGTTAGATGCTTCCATACAAAATAACACAGTTCCCATCTTAAGATAAGAATGTAAGTGCATGGAAGCCTCTGAACCCACAAGAACTCTCTACATAAGAGTGATGTTCTTGATAGATGGCTACTTCCTTCCCATCAGTGGAAACTGACAGCTGCAGCTATAACCTTTTCAGCACTCTTCTTTCAGTGGGAAACGGGGGACCTTCTCTCTCTCTCTCTCTCTCTCTCTCTCTCTCTCTCTCTCTCTCTGAATTAAGGAGCTATTCAAGATTAGGAGGCTTTGTGGGCAAAATGGGGCAGTGGCTTGGGGAGCATTCTTTTGGGGGGATCACACATGGGGAGAAAAGGGGGGAACCATCTAATTCTCTACTCTGACGTTGATCGGCACCTGCCAAACCTTTTTCCATGCTTTTATTATTTTTAAGGAGAATGATCTTGTAATAAGGGGGTGGGGGGCTGGAGGGTTACATCTGGAGAGAGTTAAATGCTGTGGCTTTGAGACAGCTGGAATGCCGGCAACACGGAAGCTCCTTGTATACAGCGATGTTGTTTTCTTCGGGGAGATTGCAGAAAGGAGCTGCTTCATTTCAGTGAAGCCAGATCTCGTGGAAATTCCATTGGCGAGTATGTGAGAGCGTGGCAGAATACAAATCTGCTTTCTTTGGTCCCCTGGTGCATCTTCTTTGAGTTCCAGTTCTGCCACGTGCCACTGCTATGTTGCCCATGAAGAACAGATGCAAGGGTGGGGGTGGGGATATGGCATTAAACAATCCAACTGATTTTAATTAGGCTGAAATAATAAACTATCATCCTCCGAATCAAGAATGATGGATACACTCAAGCTGCGTGGAGAAAGTTGTCTTCAGCCTGCTTGAAAGAGCCATGTTAGAATGGTCTCCTTACCCTCCCCCAAAACAATCACCTTTCCTACATACCTAAGGGATCCCAATAAGTGTGTGTGTGTGTGTGTGTGTGTGTGTGTGTGTGATCATTTTCCTCCAAGGAGCTCAAGGGTATACAGGGTTCTCCTCTCTGCATTTTATCCTCACAACAACCCTGTGAAGTAGATTAGGTTTTTGAAATACAGTGACTGGCCCAAAGTCACCTCATGTGGGGCTTTGAACTCTGGTCTCTCAGCTCCTAGTCCAAAACTCTAACCATTACACTGAACTGTGTAGGAACAGCAGCAGTGCATGCATGTGGCGGTGTCTTGCCAGTGGTGGTGCTGTGCTCATTGGGAAGGAAATGAAGCAGCAGCATGGTGTGAGGGACTGTGGGGTGTTTGCAGCCCAATAAGTGCAAATGCCTGTGGGCTGCTACCCTGAAGCTCCCCCAACTTCACTGTTGCTGCATCCCCATATCCCAGCCCCATTCTGATTAGCACAGCACCACCGTCAGAGGTGTGGCACTGTCTCCTCCTCTCCCTCCACACAAAAAAGCCTAAGAGAAAAAATCTTAACTGGGCAGGGGGAAATCCCAAAATGTCCCAGTGAGGACTGAGCATGCAAAGTGAGCAATGACTGCTGAGCATCTGTTCCAGAGGAACAAAAACTTAGAGATAGGGCAAACTGAATGGAGTATCCTAGTGTTATGTACTGAGCTGAATAGGATCCAAAATGCAGCAGTCTGATTGGTCCTAGAATAACAGGATTCAGAATGTAGCAGTCTGATTGGTCCTAGAACAATAGGATTCAGAATGCATCAGTCTGATTGGTCCACAGGAGCCACTCAATCCAGCTCCAGGTGGAAGTGAATCCGCAACCTGATTGGCCTACAGGAGAATCCTGGAATTAGCCAATCACGTGGGGCCCATTATGTAAATAATGTATATAAAGCAGACATTCTGGGGGAACTTCCATTCCTCCTCACCACTATGAGGTGCCTGGCAAGAACCTTGAATGGGAATAGTCCACACTGTAATGTTTTGTTCCCTGCGTGTGGGCCTTTACGTGGCTCAAATGGCAAAAACATCCTGTCCAAAAAAGGACTTCCATGTTTATCTCTGAGTATAAGATACTGAAAATATGTGACGGGAGACGGGGATTGCTTTGATTAGGAATGAGAGAGAAAGTTCACATTTAAAGGCATACATAGCTAATTCACACTATACAAAGCAGTAGACAAAGTGAAATACAGTACAAATACACACTTCTCAGCATTCTTCAAATGCACTTCTCCTGCAATGTAGTGTGTAAGTACAGAAATGCACATACTAGTGCCAGGTTTGTGTACATACGCATATATTAGTGAAAATGGCTAACTAAAGTGCCTTAGGGTAGGGCAAGCTGCATACCAAAATGTGTGTATCAGGATAAATTTGCACTAAAATGCTAGTAGATTTTCATGAAACAGTTGTAGAAATGTAGAAAACTGGGAAAAAAAGACTAGGCAAATGAGAAACTGAGAGAACTGAAACTGAGAAAAACTGAGAGAACTGGGAGCAGAGCACAGCCTTTGTGGCTCGTAGCCTCTGTGATGCCCTGCTTATATGCACCCTTAGACATCTGGATGGCTGGTGTTGGAAACAGGACAATTTGCTAGATAAACCCTTGATCTGTTTCAGCAAGGAGCATCTCGATTAGGCTCCATCCTCTCTCCACCACTCAGAAATCTGGAAACATCAATAACTAGCAAAACCAAAGGAGAAAAGCAACCCCAAAAGTGACCTAAATTGAAAATCACATTTTGGAGACGGAGTGGACGCACAGAGACCGCCTGCGTGATAACCATCGTCTCAGGAACACACAAACTCGCAAAACATTAAAGCCCTGGCAAGTGTTTTAAGTGGTCTGCTCAATAAATGTGAACATCCTGGCCCACAATTATTTCCATAGGAAAATATTATTTGGCCAGAGGGAGGCGGTGGGGGAAACAGCCCTCAGGGATAAATATTGTTGCTTTGGAACAGGCCAGAAGGTAATCAGATATTTTATCAGGAGACAAGAAGATGGCAAAAGTTCACCCTCCCAGATGCTTGTAGGAAAGGGATTGTGCTTGCTAAATAATCCCAAATGGCTCCAGCAAGACACATTCCATAGGGTGGGAGTGGGGAACCCCAGGCCTGGGGAGCAAATGCTGCCCCCCAGGCCTCTCTGTCTGGACTTCAGGACTCCCCTGGGCCATACCGCTCACCAGCTCTGCTCAGTCTCCTCTCCCGGGTCTTTGGCTGGCTGAGGTGTGTCCCTGAATTCTAATAAAGCCTCTTGCTTGCGTGGATGGGAGACAGATCTACAAGTATAAACAATTTTACGAAGCTAGGCTTCCATTCCCCATCCACTGCTGGAATGCAGCCCCCAGAAGGTTGCTCATTAGGGAATGTGGCTATTGGGCTGTAGAAAAAGCTCTCCATCCCTGCCCTATAGAAATATGGAAATCATTGAACCTCACATTTATTTATTTATTTAAGCTTTTCGAAATAGAAGCATACAGGTTCCATGTGGAATTCTTTGCATGCAGGTCAACAGAGAGGCCTCATCCTCAATGCAGGGCGCAGCTGAGTTTATCTGAGCTAAACGAAGCTTCCCACGGAGGCCGCATCATCCAGGAGCAAAAGATAGCCTGAAATGCATTTTCCTGCTGCTCTGCTGGCATTATCCCTGATGGTGCAGATAGGAAAATTGGAAACCCTTGTGCGTTGTTTTTTTCCGGAGGCAGTGTTAGTAAATTTCAAAAATCCCACTTGTGGAGAGATCCGTGACTTGGAGCATGGGAGGCAGATTGAGAGTATATGGGTGAAAATTGTAGGAGGGGGAAACAACGGTAACCTTACTGTGGGTGTCTGCTATAGACCCCCAAGCCAGACTGAAGACTTGGATGGTGCCTTCCTAGAGCAGATTACCAAACAATTAAAAAGGAGGGATTTAATAGTCATGAGAGACTTCAGGTACCCTGATATCTGTTGCAACTCTGCCAAGAATGTAAGGTCCAACAAATTCCTCAGTTGCCTCACTGACTATTTCATTTCCCAGAATTTGGAAGAAGCAACAAGGGGGTCATCTCTCTGGGACATGGTCCTCACTAATGAGAGGAACTGATTGACAAAGTGAAAGTACTGGGAACCTTGGGACGAAGCAATTTTGCTCTCTTGGATTTTGTTATACAGAGGCAAGGGGAAGCTGAGTGTAGTCAGACATGCACACTGGACTTTAAGAAATTATTTCAAAAAAAGTTTAAGGAACTACTGGATGAGATCCCATGGTCAGAAATACTCAAAGAGAAGGGATGGAGTCTTCTTAAAGGTGAAATATTGAAGGCACAAAGGCAGGCAATCCCAAGAAGAAAGAAAAGTGGGAAGCGCCTAAAGAAACTGGTGTGGCTACATAAGGAGCTTACAGACGAGCTGAGATGTAAAAATGTCATGTATAAGAAACGGAAGTATATACACAAGCAGCCAACACTTGCAAGAAGAAGGGTTCCCTTGCAGCTCTGCAATTCTATGATTCTTTGTTAGTCTGCTATATATCTCTCTGAACACAGCTGTACCCAGGAAGAAGGCTCTACTCAGGAGGAGGGGAAAGACCCACCTTCAACCAATTACCCATCAGAAGACCAGGTAGAGGAGGAGCTGCTTTAGCCTTACAGTCTCATGTAGACCTTTTATTGGGGCTGGATCTATACAGGATTAAAAAAAAAAACACTACAGAAAAAAAACACTATAAAAGCTCTTAATGGAAAATCCCATTGGCTCTACAGTGCCATCTGGCGTCGCATGATTATAACGCAGTTATAATGATATAATTGAGGAGTGTGGATGAGTCTCGGGTTAACAGCTCTCCTCCAACAGCCATTAAAAGTTGGGGTATGTATGTATGTATGTATGAGTAAATAAATAAAGAACATTGTTATTTTAAAAAACAATACTTTGAGTTCCAGACCAGGGTGGCACAGACGTGCCTTTCCAGGTTCAGCCTGAAGGCATGCATGCTGATATACATTTCCAAAGTCCTCATCCACCTGTGTCAACGTACTGGACTTCAACCATTGCCTGTTGAAGTCTGGCTATTGTCCTTCCCCAAATCTGCAAAGCCTGGCTCCATCATCTGTTCATCAAAATCCATCTTTTCCAGAGTTGGGCAGAATCCCTTTTCCGTAACTGAACCATCCATAGATCCTGGCTGATGTCCTGAAGTAGCTGGAAAGCTGCATTAGGATATCCAAAGATTCATCCTGGCCTGGAAAGACAGGAAGCAGTCTGGAAAGGAGAACTTGTACGGGGTTTGGCTTTATCTTTGCATGGTGTTCCAGGTAATTAAACTCTCCTGCCTCTTCAGTGTTTCCGAGTTCAGCAGGACACAGCGCAGCAGGAGAAATGGATGGTTTTAAGACAGTATGATAGATAGCTGCTTTTTCTAACCATTTTATTAATATCGTAGTAATAATAAAAATAATAATAATAATAATAATAATAATAAAATTTTATTTACACCCTGCCCTTCCCAGTTCAGGGCGGCTAACAACAAATTTAAAACACTTAATTATAAAAGCAGCATAAAATACAGTATAAAAACATGAATAACAATAAAAATCAAAATTCAAAAATCAATTTAGGGGAAATAAGCATTAGATAATCCCCAGGGCTAGCTGGCTGAATTGGTCCTACTTGGGCCAGTGAGGAGGCCAGGGGAGAATTAGCTGTGGGGTCTCAGAGCGGGTGATCTTCATAAATGGGGAGGGGGAGGGAAGAGAAGGGAAATAAAAGATCAGGCTGAATTCAAATTAAAGGCCAGGCGGAATAGCTCTGTCTTACAGGCCCGACAGAAGGAGGTTAAATCCTGAAGGGCCCTAGTCTCATGGGACAGAGCATTCCACCAGGTCGGCGCCATCACTGAAAAGGTCGGAGCCATCACTGGTGGAGGATAGTCTGACTTCCTTAGGGCCCGGGACCTCTAAACTATGGTTATTCATGGACCTTAAGGTCCTCTGCGGGACATACCAGGAGAGGCGGTCCCATAGATACGAGGGCCCTAAGCCACAAAGGGCTTTAAAGGTCAAGACCAGCGCCTTGATCCTGACCCTATACTCCACTGTGAGCCAGTGCAACTGGTAAAGCACTGGGTGAATATGCTCCCATGGCAGGGACCCCATGAGGAGCCTCTCTGCAGCATTCTGCACCCGCTAGAGTTTGTGGGACAGTTTCAAGGGCAGCCCTGCGTAGAGCAAATTACAGTAGTCAAGCCTGGAGGTGACCCGTTGCATGGATTACTGTGACCAGTTCGGGGCGGGAAAGGTAAGGGACCAACTGCTTAATGCTGCAAAGATGGAAAAATGTCGCCTTAGCTGTTCTGTAACCTGCTGTAACCATTATATCATCTATGATGACAACATAGTAGTAGACCCTGATGGAATTCATACATAATCATCTTTGATTATGTAAAAAGAGAATATCTACAGAGAATATATTGTTGCATTGTGTGTGTGTGTGTGTGTGTGTGTGTGCGCGTGTGCGCGCACACACGCGCACGCACGCACACGTGCAGATATTTATTTTTCTTACCACCTGTGATTCCTACTACTAGTATGATGGTAACAAGATGCGGTATGAGTTAGGGATAGGGAGAAATTTGATCCCGTTCACATTTAAAGGAGAACGTAACCTATCTCACACTTTCTGAAAAAAATGCACACTGAGGGCTGTCCTTCAAAACTCACTCATCTGAATTTTGCAATGCGATTCTCCAGCCAATATGTGCAAAACTGGGGTAAAGTATGCATATAAGTGCATATGTTAGTGAAAATAAGATGCAAAATGCATTATACTGATGAAAATTTATTTGCAAAAAAGTGTATACAGTGGTACCTCGGGTTACATACGCTTCAGGTTACAGACGCTTCAGGTTACAGACTCCGCTAACCCAGAAATAGTGCTTCAGGTTAAGAACTTTGCTTCAGGATGAGAACAGAAATCGTGCTCTGGTGGCGCAGTGGCAGCAGGAGGCCCCATTAGCTAAAGTGGTGCTTCAGGTTAAGAAAAGTTTCAGGTTAAGAACGGACCTCCGGAACGAATTAAGTACTTAACCCAAGGTACCACTGTATTAGGGAAGCAGTGCACTAAAATGCTTATGATTTTTCAGGAGGTTTTTTTAAATAAAAAAAATCATGATATGATATGCAAATGGCTTTGGGGGTATTGGTTTGTTTTTTTTCTTTTTTATTATGTATTTTGTGTGCTCATTTTGCATTTTTATGTTGTGAACCACCCTATGATCTTCAGGTGAAGGGCAGTGTACAAATTAAATAAATAATAATAATAAATGCATTACATTAAGCAAAAGTGCTTTCAACATGCATATATTAAAGCAAAAAATGTGTATGAAAGTGGCATATATTAGGATAAATGTGCTTGAAAATGCATATTAATATTTGACACTGGTGCTTTTTAAAAAAAAAATCAAACTAATTCAGAAATGGAGTGATCTGAAGAAAAAGTTGGAAAAATGAGAAGACACGAAAGCATTAATTGATTGATTTGACCATCCTTGTTTTGTACCTAGTCATTTCCTGTGAGGCCAGCAAATCTCTAGAAGGAGCACAGTAAACATCCAATACAGATTAGTATCCTCAGCAATGCACAAGGGAAGACCCCGACTCCCCCAGGGAGGAATCTATTTTCACAGCAGAATGGAGTGACTTTGTAGGATGGTTTCCTGTTGAGTTCATAGTCTGTGCAGGGTGTTGGGGCACTGAACGTGCCTGCAAGGAAGTTAGCTCTGCAGCTTTGCTTTTAGTTTTGACCATAAATGTCTCTCCAAACCTGGACAAAAGTAAAAGAAAAAAATGTGTCATGAAAAATGAGGGAAGATAAGGTTTTTTTAAAAAAATTATTTATTTCCAAAAGATGGGAGAAATACTCCCTCCTGCAAAGTGTCAGCAGCGGGACATCTGCATTATGTTGGTTTCTTACAACAATCTATTCTAACATCCATGTGAGACAATTAAAGGTAATAAATCATAAAGCCTTTCTTGGTTTTAAAGATCCCAGATGCTCTGAAAGACATAAAAATCTAGATGTCTCATCCCACCTTAGATTTTGTGTCAGCACTTGGCAGATTTAAGTTTGAAAAGATAGCAGAGGTCCTTCAAATGCCAACAGAGCAGGTTTTCTCAGATTAGTCATAATACCAGTGGAAATGTGTTTTTTTTGGGGGGGGCAGTTGAAGGATAGGCATGTATATAACATTTACGGTATTCTTGACTGATGAACTCTTTTATGCATACATTTGCCTAATAAAGAAATCCTCTTTTTTCAAAAATCAAATCGTAAATTGCAAGATAGCTGTATAGAAAAGGCGTAAGGAAAGTCAGAATTGCTGGTTAATGTTTATTCATTCCTTCTCTAGGACATGTTTCATAAAAGACTGCATCTGTACTGGAAGCAGCTTACAGTAAAATATCACACACAATCTCACATACCCAAATAAAGTGCATTTTAAAATTATGAAAGGCAAATGAACGATTAAATGTTTCTGCACTTCCTGTATGCATTCTATAAATACCCTCGTAGAATTGCAGAGTTGGAAGGGACCCTGAGGGTCATTTAATCCAATCCTCGGCAATGCAGGGATCTCAAAGCATTCGTAACAAATGGCCATCCAACCTCTACTTAAAAGCCTCCAAGTTAGGAAAGTCCACCACCTCTCGTGGGTCTCTGTTGTGGTCAAACAGTTCTTACTGTCAAAAAGTTGTTCCTGATGTTTACACAGAAATAGTACCTCGGGTTAAGAACTTTGCTTCAGGATGAGAACAGAAATCGCGCGGCAGTGGCACAGTGGCAGCGGGAGGCCCCATTAGCTAAAGTGGTGCTTCAGGTTAAGAACAGTTTCAGGTTAAGAACAGACCTCCAGAACGAATTAAGTTCTTAACCAGAGGTACAACTGTAGTTGGAATTTCTTTTATTGTAACTTGAATCCATTGGTTTGGGTTCTAGCCTCTGGAGCAGGAGAAAACAAGCTTGCTCCATCCTCCGTGTGACAGCCCTTTAGATATTAGAAGATGGCTATCATATCTCCTCTCAGTCTCCTCCTTTCCAGGCTAAATATACCCAGCTCCTTCAACTGTTCCTCATAAGGTTTGGTTTCCACACCCTTGATTATTTTGGTCGCCCTCCACTGCACACATTCCAGCTGGCCAATATCCTTCTTAAATTGGGCGCAGCTCATCAGGCCTAGAGATTTGAATTCATTTCAAGTAGTTTAGTGTTCCAGGAATGGATTCCAGTGCTTCCAGACCCCAATTCCACTGAGGGAAATGGATTTCAGTGGGGAAGGCCACTTGCTTAATGTTGGCTATTGTCTAATTGAATTTACAGTGGTACCTCGGGTTAAGAACTTAATTCATTCCTGAGGTCTGTTCTTAACCTGAAACTGTTCTTAGCCTGAGGTACCACTTTAGCTAATGGGGCTCCCACTGCCGCCGCACCGCATCCTGTTCTCATCCTGAAGCAAAGTTCTTAACCCGAGGTACTATTTCTGGGTTAGCGGAGTCTGTAACCTGAAGCGTCTGTAACCTAAAGCATATGTAACCTGAGGTACTACTGTACTTAGCTTATACATAGGATTGTGTTGTAATTTATTGTATTTTTAAAATGTAGATTTGTGGAACTCGCCAGTAGTGGCTAGAATAGTGGACTAGGACCTGGGAGACCAGGGTTCAAATCTCCACTCCACCTTGGGCCAGCCACTCAACCTCACAGGGTTGTTGGGGGAAGGCTGCACTAGGCTGCATCCTTGGCGAGTTGGCAACTACTTTATCACTGTGGCCCTACTTAAACTTGCAGATGCAGTCGCAGAGATGGTCGCCTGCATTTACAGCTGAGTTCCCACAAGCTTTCCTCCATACCTCTGTCCACCTATGTGCATGAGAGTGCACTGAGGAATTTGGCTGTGCAAAACAGCTCCTTTTGCCTCACAGGGCAGAGGGGCCCCCAAAGCCCTCCAGGAAGCATATCTTAGATGCATGTTTGAGAACATCAAGCGGGAACTGATTGTAAGCCCTGGAGCACAAAACCTATTGATTTAGCCACATGGGGTTTCTGAACCAAATTGTTCCCAAATGCTGATCTTTCTTCCACCCACTCATAAAGAGTTAAAGACATTTCCCACATGTTAGAGGGAACTCAAGGACAGAGAGAGAGAGAGAGAGAGAGAGAGAGAGAGAGACCCTCTCAGAGCTCTTCAGAAATGTTTTCTCCCTTGGAAAATTCTAGTAAACAAAATAATTGCAATAATAAAAGAAATATTCTCTTCATTCTCCTTTTGATGGGAGATGGAGCTTCGTGATATAAATGTGAGTTGCATATAATATGCCATTAAAACTGTTTTACATTCTCTTGCAAGTTCCAGCAAATATGTCCACTTTACACACAAAGAGAGGAATTTCTGAGGCTTGCATTGTTGACTCTTTCCATATGGAATATGTATAAATGTGTAAAGAAACCCATATATGCTTCATTTTGACTTGGGACACAAGAAACAACTCACTATTGAGCTTACAGGAGATGGATGTTGATGTGTTCCGTGCAGATTATTAGTGGTCTTTGGCTCTGAAACAACCTCAGCTTAGGTCATAGCCAAGGACAAAAATAGCTCATAAAATATGGCATGCCCTCACCAGGTCCATTTATCTTCTGAGCATCAGGTTGCTGCATTTACTGTAGCATAAATGCCTGGTTTCAAAGATGAGTGAGGAAGAAATGCTCATAGTGAAATCAATACGTATTTGCAAATAAAAAGAGAAAAGGTCTTGATAAATTTGCCAGTGTGAACTAGAAACTCAATTTGCAGTGGATGTAAGCCTCTTTTTTCCTCCCACTGTTGGATGAATTTGTGGGGGAAGGAATCAGGGTAGTTGCTGCTGCTGCTCCCACTCCTGGCCTCCATGAGCTCAGCTGATGTTTTACAGTGCTTGCACATGTACAACAGCATGCAAATGGAGAGCGCTGTAGGGACAAGTGAAGAGAGAAAACCTGTTTCCAGTTTTAGGAGAGCCAGTGTGGTGTAGTGGTTAAGAGCAGTAGATTAGTAATCTGGGGAACCGGGTTCGCGTCTCTGCTCCTCCACATGCAGCTGCTGGGTGACCTTGGGCCAGTCACACTTCTCTGGAGTCTCTCAGCCCCACTCACCTCCCAGAGTGTTTGTTGTGGGGAAGGAAGGGAAAGGAGAATGTTAGCCGCTTTGAGACACCTTCGGGTAGTGATAAAGCGGGATATCAAATCCAAACTCTTCTCTTCTTCTTCTTCTTCTTCTTCTTCTTCTTCTGGGCAACTTGTACTCATGCATACAACTCATTCAAACCTTCAAGTGACTTCATGGAAACCAGGAGCCAGTGGCCCATCTAGGCCAGCATCCTGTTCTGACAGTGACTGTGGGAAACCTGCAACAGGACCCAAGTACAAGAGCATACCCCGCACATGTCCCGGGGGGGGGATGGGACATCCTGTTTTCTCATGCGAGGGCACAGTGGCCATTTTGTAGGCCGCCACTGCTTCCTACAGGAGTGAGTTCCACAGCTGAACTATGTGCTGAGTGAATGTCCACAAGATCCAGTTTCATGAGGGAAGGAGAAAAACTTTTCTCTGGACACTTTCTCTGTGCCATGCATAATTTTTACAAACTTCTATTTTGCCCCCAATCAGTCCTGACTGCAGCAATTCACCCAAAGTGAAGCTTTCATCTCCAACTGATTTAAACAGGAGAGACTGGTGGGAATTTGGCTGGATTGTGCCCTATCTCATCAGGTGCCCGGGCTGCACCTCTTGAAGCATAAACTCTTGTGATTCACCGCAGGACAAACAATGTGAGAGCCATGTGTATGCTGCTACCTGGTGGCCCGGCAAAAGCAGCTCAAATGTTGCTTTCTAGGTTGCCTTTTGTCCCTGTTCTCCCGCCTGATTATCTTCAGCACTATTCCCTTTGAGACAAAGATCACAGCTTCTTATGTTTCTGCGTGGTTCTTAGTACAATGGGACTTGGTCTTGATTACAGTCTGCAGCAGGGTCAAGAATATAAAGGCACAATGCAAAACAGGCACAATAGCTGGAGTCTAGGGCCCACTGAGAAGATGGCTTGTAAAGTCTAAGATCTGAGCCTCTGAGAATGATTTTTATGTCCTCAATTACAAGAAGAGAAGAGTTGTTATTCAAAGCTGTTGCCCCGGAGGACAGGAAAACAAAGAGGAAGGTATGTGTGGGACCTGCTGACCTCAATCAATTGCCTGCTTTCTGGGATAGCAGCAGCATCCCTGAAATCGAAACCCACCCTCCAAAATCCAACTGACTTCCTGTCACCAGAACCTGGGGCAGAAGGTCAAGATGAGAGGTGCGGAGTCATGAGAATGTTACCCAAAGACACCTCCTTAAATTAAAATAAGAAAAAAGAAATCCACAGGATGTGTTTTCTTTGCTAGGTTATTTACAGAGCAAAAAGATAACATGGCGGCGAATGGGTTTCGAGCTTTTCCAAAGCGTTTTTAATCTATTAAAGGAGCTGAAATACTCTTATCCGAAAGCAATCTGAGCAGCCTCTACTTTCTGTGTTTTGTACTGTAGCATAGCGAAGAGGGAACAGCAGGGAGCTCAGCTCCAGGGCTGTCTCTAGAACAGAGAAATGGTGATGTCATCTGCCAGAGCACCACGGCAATTGATAGAACCTCCTTGCTCTGCTGGAGATAACGAGGCTTTCAAGTTTGTGGCAGATGAGCATTGGGTGAATGTGGAGAGTACGGAAATTAAACAAGAAGACACTGGATAGCTCTTTCTGTTTCTTAGATGGGGTTCCTGCTTCACTGTTTCGCTCTTCACTGTTAGAAATGCTAACAATCTTGCATAGAAAGACCAACTGAAAGACTAAAGATTGCATTTCAGCTGGCTTGAGATCTTTTGTTAAATCTCTTTTACATGGTGAATTTATTCTATGAACATCTATTCAGTGAAAGTCTTTGATCCTAATAAATTTGAAATTGTGTCCTGCACTGGGGCAGGGGCAGGATGTATGTGACTATAGATTAACACAGCCACTTGCATTTTTTTTACTCTGAGAGGGGCTTGTCAGGATGAATTCCTGCACTTCAAAATTTACCACTACACTACTCATTCTGTAATATCCGTACATAAGCTTGACGTTACGGGAAGTAATTGTTTATTCTAATTCAGATCCCCAAACACCCTGTTGAACATTGTAGCTGCCATGCTAGGCACACTTAGCTGGTAACAAGTTCATTCTGAGTAGACATCTGAGTAGCTTTTGAGTAGCCATGCATAGGGATACACTGTAAATTAACATGCCTTGAATTAGCTAGAGGAAGCTACATTTTCACCTCACCCATTCATAAGCTAAACCAGGCTGAAAGCCCATTTATACACTTTTTTTACTAGATAGGTGCTTAAAATAAATAAAATTCTAGATGTTTGGCACAAGCTTTTGCCTGATGAGGTGCCTGATATAGCTCAATACCTTTTGAACTGAAACAAGAGTTGGTGCTATCAAAACAATCTCTGCCTGCTACCCGTTTTTCTCCAGAATAAGAATATGCATTCTCCTTCACAAGGAAAAGGGACGCGGGTGGCGCTGTGGTTTAAACCACAGAGCCTAGGACTTGCCAATCAAAAGGTCGGCGGTTCGAATCCCCGTGACGGGGTGAGCTCCCGTTGCTCGGTCCCAGCTCCTGCCCACCTAGCAGTTTGAAAGCACATCAAAATGCAAGTAGATAAATAGGTACCGCTCCGGTGGGAGGGTAAACGGCATTTCCGTGTGCTGCTCTGGTTCACCAGAAGCGGCTTAGTCATGCTGGCCACATGACCTGGAAGCTGTACGCCGGCTCCCTTGGCCAATAAAGCGAGATGAACGCCGCAACCCCAGAGTTGGTCATGACTGGACCTAATAGTCAGGGGTCCCTTTACCTTTACCTTCACAAGGAAAAGGTCTTTTGCTTAATTCAAATACACTTAATTTGTATGACAAAATCAGCATGCATTACCAATCTCTGAGGTAAGGACAAATCCCAAATGTTTTTCCTGGGCTGTGAAGAGTGGGAGATGTTATCCTACCCATTAAAGATTCGGATATTAACCTGAAAACTGCAATCTTGGTCGTAGTCTACCAGGTTCAAATCTGCCTCATACTAAAGATCTGCCTCATGCTAAGACAGACCATTGGTCAACCTAGTTTAAAGGTAAAAGGTAATGGTACCCCTGCCCGTACAGGCCAGTCGTGTCTGACTCTAGGGTTGTGCGCCCATCTCACTTAAGAGGCCGGGGGCCAGCGCTATCCGGAGACACTTCCGGGTCACGTGGCCAGCGTGACGAAGCTGCTCTGGCAAGCCAGCACCAGCGCAGCACACTGAAACGCCATTTACCTTCCCGCTATAAAGCGGTACCTATTTATCTACTTGCACTTAGGGGTGCTTTCGAACTGCTAGGTGGGCAGGAGCTGGGACCGAAAGACGGGAGCTCACCCCGCCGTGGGGATTCGAACCGCCGACCATACGATCGGCAAGTCCTAGGCACTGAGGTTTTACCCACAGCGCCACCCGCGTCCCTAACCTAGTTTAGATTGGGGCATTTCCCAAACCTACTTGGAGTCGCCAGGGATTGAACCCAAGACCTTCTATTTTCAAAAACATGTTCACCTGAGCATCTGAGATCAATGTGACAGGCAATGCAGAGGTGGCATTCCTTTCATTCTGTTTATTTTAATTTTTGGTAAATAGATGGAGCACTTTTTCATATTCCAGTTATTTGACACAAAGCTAAAAGACTGCACCAGTATATAAAATTAAATATATCCATGACCACTAGTTACTCTGTCATCTTATTGACTGGCACAAAGTAAAGAGAGAATGGAAAAGCCATTAACTTAATATATTAAGCAGTTTAGCAACCATTTTATCTGTGGAAAGTTTCGTTGCCTGTAAAGGAACCTGAAATGATTGTGAAACTAGACAATTCTTAGTAGTCCTCCAAGGATCAAGCTGCCAGAAATTCCTATCTTTTGCTAAACTCTCTTAACTTCATTATTTGTGATGAGCTGGAAAGAAATATGACCAGTCGTTTTCAGATATTGGGTGTGTGTGTGTAGTTTTATAGGTATAAAAATTTAATACATCAAGATAGGATGGTGACGTATTCTGAGATTTAGAAAGAATTAAATGAAATTTACTTGGTTTTAGTAGTTTAGGTACCATTAAGCAGATACTTAAACATTAAGTGCTGATTAAGTGAGCTGACAGGTTAATAACAAAGACTAAGGACTGTCTATTATCAAATATTTGTAAACCGCTTTTACAATATGATTCAGGACTGAAACAGATAAAGGACAACTATGCACAAGATATAGGCAGAATTATCCCTGTTAAGTTGTGGGTGAACATATCAGACGACACAGCGATTCTTCAAACAGCTCTTGTTTATTCACAGGCCAGAACAGAACAGAACTGAACTGAAGGGTTCAGCCAGCCTGCTTATATAGAGCTCCACTAGAATGCAACAGTAACAATTTTCTGTAACTAGCCAATCACTGAACGTCACTTTCAATTCCTTATTTGCATATGTGGACCTGAGTGAAAACTATCTACAGTATCCCCCTGCTGGCCCAGGGTGAGAACTTCAGTACATAACAATCCCAATGGATATCTAGGAGACTATATGGGACATGATGCGTAGATTTTCTTTAAATTTCATGTTAAGAGGAGATTGCTACACAGTAGTGTTGAAATAGTAACTCTCACTCGTAATAATAAAGTAAATATTTTATTTCCATATGTTGGAAAGAAATGGACATGCAAGATTATCACATTACTACTTACTCTCACATTACTAATTACTCTCAGCACCCTTAACAATCTACAGTTCCCATAATTCTTTGGAGCAGCATGGAGATGGGACCAGCAGGGGCTACAATGGCAGGGGTGGGGCCAGAGTACATGACCCTACTCTCTCTTCTCAAAAAGAAACACCCAAGTAGGTCTTAATTTAGGCTGCAATCTGTGAACACAGACCTGGGGAGTAAGTCCCATTGTACACAGTGGAAATTGCTTCTGGCAAACATGCCGAGGATTGTACTGTTGTTATGGATCCAACCCACTGTGTTAACCCTGAGATCTTCAGTGGAAATGATCAGGATTTCCTCTACATATAGTCTTCTACACACACACCAAACTTGAGTATGGATCCTGTTTTCATATTGGATACCTGTAAGTCAACAGAGAATGCATGCCCTTAAGGCTATGGGTTGCATCCCATTCTGGTCCTACTCAGAGAAGACCTGTTGAAATTATAGATATAGCTAATTTAGGTTCATTAATTTCAGTGGATCTCCCTCAAGTGGGACTAGCTTTGGATACAATCCAAAGTGCTCCTGGAGCTTCCAAAGGTTAGAATTTGTCATTCTGCTTGGACTTGACCCTGAAGGTCCTCTCTCTGGGACCATGACAATGTCAAGTTCCCATGCTTGGTACCACAGAACACAAAACAGACACTTAATATAATATGACACCTATGTTCCTACTTTAGCAGCTGAGATACAATTCCAAATGAATGGAGTGCAGCTGCTGATAAACACACAGTCTGCACACTGCAGACACCTCATCTTGAGAACCTCTGGAAATAATCAAGAAACCTGAAGTACTCCATGCCTTTATATCAAAACGGCAAAGGCTTAGCGTTACTGACAGCCATCTACTAAAGGTGCCTACATAATTTCTGTGGCTCAAATAGCTGAGACAGGTCTGTCTGAGCAGATTTGGCTGAGGGTTACGACTGCGACTCGGAACTAATGTGTATGGATGAGGGAAGAGTCAAACATGAAATCATTCTGATCAAAGGGAGATTTCTTCAAGGGAAGGTCAGTCTGCCCCCCCCCAAAAAAAAGAACAAAAAAAACCACCAAAATGAGGATTGAAAACAGGCTCCTTTGCAGACATGGATTCTTTCGTGCACCACATTTCTCAGGAACATCTAATCTACATAAAACCATAAAAAGAAACTCACTGGTTCAGTTTCATATCTCGTATTGTATTCTGTATGTATACTGGTAGCCAATCAGATGCTTCTGGGATGCTGACAAGCAGAGTGTCAAGAAAACAGCCCTCCTGGTGTTTCTCCCATCATCTGGTACTCACAGCTGTGCTGCTTTTGGACAGGGACATTGGTGGCTTTGGTACACACTGGGGGGAAGCCATAGCTCAGTAGGAGAGCATATGCTTTGCATTCAGAAGGTCCCAGGTTTAATCCCCAGCAGCTCCTGGGAGGGCTGGGAAAGGCTCTGGTCTGAAACTCCAGGGAACTGCCTCTGGTCTGCGTAGACCAGGTTTCCCTAACCAAGCGCTCTCCATATGTTATTGGACTACAACTCCCACCATCCCTGACCACTGCCCAGGCTGACTGGGGCTGCTGGGAACTGGAGGCCATTAAGTGAGGGCAGCCTACTGTAAACACAACTGAGATAGATAGAGTAATGGCCGGGCTTGATATAAGGCGAGTTCTGATGGGCTGTATCAAACACTACAGATTCAGAAGCTGAGCTTGTACAATGCGTTTTCCCCTCTCTTGAAGTCTCCCCACGTCACAGCTCTCTCTAGGGATTTGGGAGGCCTATTCAATATTGGTGCAAATTTCCTGCACTAAATTTTGGGTGTTCCCCACTTCACCCATTGCAGCTCTGGGTGGCACAGCCCAGAGTGCCTCTAACCCTATGAAGAGCCTTTTTAGGGGCTGCAAGGGGGAAGGGGGAAGGGGAAGATCTGTTGGGCTATTTGCCTTCTACTCATGCAATGTTTTTCTTGGGAGAAAAGCAATGACAAACCTAGACAGCATCTTAAAAAGCAGAGACATCACCTTGTCAACAAAGGTCCGTGTAGTTAAAGTTATGGTTTTCCCAGTAGTGATGTATGGAAGTGAGAACTGGACCATAAAGAAGGCTGATTGCCGAAGAATTGATGCTTTTGAATTATGGTGCTGGAGGACACTCCTGAGAGTCCCGTGGACTGCAAGAAGATCAAACCTATCCATTCTTAAGGAAATCAGCCCTGAGTGCTCACTGGAAGGACAGACCTGAAGCTGAGGCTCCAGTACTTTGGCCACCTCATGAGAAGAGAAGACTCCCTGGAAAATACCCTGATGTTGGGAAAGATGGAGGGCACAAGGAGAAGGGGACGACAGAGGATGAGATGGTTGGACAGTGTTCTTGAAGCTACCAGCATGAGTTTGACCAAACTGCGGGAGGCGGTGGAGGACAGGAGTGCCTGGCATGCTCTGGTCCATGGGGTCACGAAGAGTCGGACATGACTAAATGACTAAACAACAACAACATGCAATGTTGGATGCCACTGAACATTGCACTTCACAGAAACACAAAAGCACTTCTCTGAATTCTGCAGTGCACTTCTCCAGCCAAGTAATCTGTACAAAAGTGCATATGCTAGTGTGCATTAAAGTGTGCATTAAAAGGCACATTTTGTTGGAAATATATTATATTGAGAGAAATTGCTTTGCAATAATGTGCACATTGGGAGAAAATTGCACAAAAATGATGATGAATTCTCATGTGGACTTAAAAATAAATAAAATCACAATCTGATATAGAAACCTGGAGAATGGAATTTAAGACCAGAAAAGTGAGAAGTGGAAAGAAACTGAAATGGATATACGCATCCATGCCAAAAAACTTTGCTCCACCCAAGGGAGTAGCAAGGGGGTGCAGTAGGTGCAGTTCGCCCTGGGTGTCCCCACTGAGGGGGGTGACAAAATGGTGGGTGGCACTCATTGCGGGGCCTGCAGCGTGCCCAAGCCACACATCTCTCCTGGGAGTGACACAGTGACTTGAGCAACTGCAGGCTCCTCGCTTGCCCCAAACAGTCTGCCTACTGCCTCCCCCTCAGCTGTAGGGCAGCTGAGTGGGAGGGGGGAGGCAGACTCCTCGGAGGCCCCACGGTGCCCCCATGGGTGGCTGCCCCAGGTGCCCAATCGGCTTGCTCTGACTCTGGTTCCACCCACTTTTGCCTCTGGCCCTGCACACCACTGAAATGTGGCCCCTGGGAGTGTTGGTTGCCCATGATGGAATGCAGCCCTTGGTCTGCAAAAAGGTTCCCCATCACCACCATAGAGGAAAATTGATCATGAGGCTGCAGCCAGTGTAAAACTGGGCTGGTATCAAAGTCCAGCAGCCCAATGGATCTGCTTGGATTACAGGTGAAACTGTTTTAACCCTAAAGCACCGTTCCTTCTGCCTCGAGAGATAAATGGTGTTGTTCATGCTTAATGGAGAGCACGGCGAGTTTCCTAGGGCATTGCGAGCGCTGCGTGATTAGTATAACAAATGTTGCATTTCAGACATATACACAATGGGCAAAGGATAATCTTTGGGTGCACTGCAGGAAGATAGCAACGAGCGGATATAGCATGATAGGAAACGGCATGTCTGTGAAACAGTTCATTTGTCTCCGTCCATACAAAGGACTAGGGATATGTGGCCTGCGTACGTCAGGGATCACTCGCCCACAGATGACAACCCAGATAAGAACTGCAGTGGCGATAAAAACATAAAATGAGTTTATGTAGACAAAGCCCGAGGCCCAGATAATGTGCATCCACGGAGCTGTGACGGCTTAGACAGTGAGGAACCTTTTAATGGCATTTTTAAAAGTGCACTAGATTTGAGGGAAGAGGTCCCAAAGATTACAGAGCAGCAAGATTGATTCGAATACATGTTAACGGGCCTCGAGGCAGGAAACTATAAACTAGCAAATGTAACATTGTTTGCAAAGAAACCTGGAAACTATTTAAAGTGGTTTGTCCGAAGGAAGAACACCTGGAGAGTAAGCAGTTTAATATATATAACTTGTGGGTTTTTCTTTTTAAAAATAAAAAAGTTGCTCCTCTTGTGGGCAAATTCTTGTCTTGGACATTTAAAGCTTAACAGTATACCGATATGCTACAGTTAATTGTGGAAAACAGAGGCTTTGCCCAATGCAAATTTGTGCACTTTGCTGAACTGTTCAAAATGTGTTTTCATCGCCATGGTGACAGGGGAAGTGTTTATTTGTGAATGCACTTCCCATCTGTACACACAAGGGACTGCAGATCCAGTATGAAAAAATGAGGCCTAAAGGTACTCTGTAGCTCACATGAATCCTGGGACACTCACTCACTGGTCAGTGAACAGAGCACTGAAGGAGCATGTATTCATTATGAATTCCTTCTTCTGGAACAGATTTTGCATCAATACATCCTGCACAAATACATATCCCAATGGATTTAATACGGTTTGCCTATGCACACATGCAGACACACAAGTATTCATGTGTGGCGAAAGGTGACTGTTGAGATTGGATTGAGAAATCCTTGGGCTATGGGATTATGAAATGGCAAATAAAATTAGCAAGGGCAGACGCAATGATACAAATTCCTCAGTCGTATTTGGGCCTTCTGAATGGGACTCAAGAAAACATGCAAACAGGGCAGAGTGTACCTAGCCTCACTGCCTCCACCTCATTATCAGCAGTGTGGGTTCAAGGGTGATGTTAGCAGCAGGGAAGCCTCTTCCCTTCTGCTGTGTTTGTTTAAACTTGATTCAGACCACCAGAGAAAGGCACATTAGAGAGAGAGAGAGAGAGAGAATCATTGAGGAAGGACAGAGCAAGGACTTCTATCCACCCCCAGGGGTGCCAACTCCAGGGGACCCTGTCTCCTGTAAGGCTTTCCAACAGAGGATTGCTCTATGGCACAAAGTACCTTGCTTTTATTTATGTGAATTCCATCTAACACCATTTGCCAGTGTGGTGTAGTGGTTAAGATTAGTAATCTGGTGAACTGGGTTCGCGTCTCCGCTCCTCCACATGCAGCTGCTGGGTGACCTTGGGCCAGTCACACTTCTTGAAGTCTCTCAGCCCCACTCACCTCACAGAGTGTTTGTTGTGGCGGAGGAAGGGAAAGGAGAAGGTTAGCCGCTTTGAAACTCCTTCGGGTAGTGATAAAGCGGGATATCAAATACAAACTCTTCTTCTCTTCTTCTGCTCCACATTTCCTGCCTGTCTAAGTAGAGGTCCTGTTTCACTCAGATTTTCCCCTAAGTCTTGCAGGGCTTTCCTCTCCCTTGATCCTCGCAGGCTCCCTCCCCAGCCTGCTCAGATCCTTATTAAGGCTCCTCAGCTCTCCTGACGCTGTTCGCTCCATCTTCTTTGCCAACACAGCCCAGGGCTGGCTGCCCTGTGGCTTCAGCATCAGCAGGTGGTGGCTGGATGCCATAGGGCAAGGGAGCAAGATCAAAGGGAGGTCAATCCCTGACCGTACATTGCAGATAACATCTGAAGTCAGCAGCTCCCTCTCTGAAGGATGTCATGTTGGAAGAGCAAAGAGCGCTATATGAGTTCTGGATCCTTCTCGCCTTTCACCAGTCTGGATGCCAGAGGCTGGACGCCAACAAAGAAAGAAAGAAACACACCGTTTTCTTATGGAAATATATTACCCAGGAGGACTGAAACCAAACTGGTAAAACACTTACAGTAGTATTACTAAAACATCGCTGCATTGTCATTAGCTCAGCAATGCATTTCCAGAAGGACTCTTTTAATGGAGTAAAAGGAATTGTCCAAATATTTAGGGGCAGCTATAGACTTGCAGGGGGAGGGCCTTTTTCAGCATGAAAGCTGCATTTCCTTCTGGATTACATTCTTGGGGGGGCACATGCAAATCCTGGGGAGTGTGAGAGGCAAGCATAGACACAGCAGCAAATGAGATTTTTCCCTTTTTACAGTAGGATAGTTTCTTCTCTCTCCCCCCCCCCCACCCCACCCACCCAGGCCTCATTTGATCTCCAAGATTCCCCATACCTGTTATAGACAGCCACATATGATGCAGAACATTCACAGCTTTCAGGGTATTTTCACATACCCCACAAGTGTCCTGGAAAAACCAGGGTATCCCATTCCACCTGCCCCGCCCCCCACCAAGAACGCGGCAGCCCTTTTGCCCGATTTTGTGCTGAAATCTCTCCCCCTCCCCCAAGTGCTTTTTTCTGGGCTTGTGATCTTACGTGGCTCCCCAAAACACACATTTTTAGATGACATGAGATCATGCCCCCCCCCCAATTCATCTTTTGGGCTCTGTGGTCTCACACAGGTCACATGACTTGTGCAGGAGCACAGACAGGAAAACGCATGTCCCAGTTTTGGGACTCAACATGTTGGAGGGTTTGTTTCCATAGCATTTATTTCTAAATTGATTTTGCAAATAGCTGCACTAATTCTTCCAAGTGTCTTTCTGGCATCAGTTCCAGGCCTTAACCTTTGAAGGCCTCAACAGCTTGGAACTGGGGGTGGAATTCAGCATCATACGATTACAGTTGGTCCATCAGTGCAAGCATTTCTGCCTTCCCCCCCTCTTCCCCCCCCCTCAGTGCATTGTTCTGGGGGTTCTCCTCTCCAGATCTGGGTGAGGCATGCAGGGGGAGAAGAGTGGGGAAAGCCCTGTTGCGTTAGTGGGAGTCTTTGTGATGGCTTCCATTAGCACACTGGGATAGATGCATCGGGTCCCTGGACACATGAAAGAACCACGTTCCCCAGCATGAATGTCTCCAAAGCCCTATCAGGATTCTCCCAGCAAATGAAATCAGGTGATTGGCAGCCATCTCAGGAACTGAACCTCCATTTAAGGAATGCACTTTCCTGACAATTAATCAGGAGGCAAATTTAAGTGATTTTGTTCACTGAGGCTTTTACCAGTTCTTAGAATTTGTAATGGTACACTTTTACTGCTGCCACTATTTTGAATGTTGATGGCATTGTTTAAAATTATCCTATGCTTTTAAGGTTTGTTTGGGTTTCTTTAGATCATCTTACTTATGGACTTGTACCCCTGCTGCCATTTGCTTCTGTACTTTTATTGGCTTTTTTATTGACGTTTAATGTTTGATGTCAGCCACTCAGAAAACTCTGGTTTTTATGGGGCAGCACAGAAATGATGCAGTTGGGTTTGGTTTTTTTTGGGGGGGGGTGTTAAGTGCTGCTATTTTTCTTCTTCTTGCTGGTCTCGGCTTTTGTACATTAATTTGTGCAACTGTCTATTTTTATAGACAATCAATATTTTAAATTAAAAAATACTAACCAAATTCTCTACTACAATTTCCCATCCCCACATAATGGATAATATGACCAGCCTTGCTGTGGGAATACTGCCCTTGTGGCCACTTACGACTGTACTTAAACATTTGTACACATCAGAGCTGGCAGATAGAACACACAACAACCAGGTGATCACATCTCCTCTTACTAAGCCAAGATATGCACAAAACCATTACTCACATGCACAACCTCTTTGCTTCTCCCTTCACTGCAACCTGCGATTAAATCAGGAAGTCTCTAATGTACTATAGCTTCCTGTTGCAGCTTAACTAAGAAACTATGGCTATCATCATTGGATATTAAACCAACTTCAAGCAATTTGTAATAACCTGACTTGTTCTAAAACTGGCAACCATAGTTTCTTGCTTCGAATGAAACAGGAAACTATGGTTAATAAAAAGGCTTCCTGGTTTAGTTGTGCTCTCCAGCAAATGGGGGAGCAAAGGGGTTCTGTGTTTGAACAAAGGGCTACATCATAGCCTGATATGTTGATCTAAGTCCAAATGTAACCAGTCAGTCTGGAACTTCGAAATCCCTCAAATGGTGGAACAATGCATGGCAAGGGCACAGCTTTGTGGCTTTAGTGTGGGATAAGTGTTCCAGTGCTGTGATAGGATATTAGGCAAGAGCTAGCTATTAAAGGTACTCCCCCCCCCACACACAAAGAAATTAAACCTGCATCTATGGATTCCTTGAACGCAATGGCTGGTTCACACGTGTATTTGCATTGCTTCTTCCTCAGCATTCGATGACAGTCAGCTGAAAGTGGCAGTGAGGTCGTAGCCTTGCATTAATGAAGGACACATTATGAAGTCTTTGTTGCCTGCGGATATTAGACTCGCCAAATCTCCCTTGGAGGTTCTTTGTTCTTAATGAAAGAAATCACACACAACTAAGTTCACTGATATGAATCTCTACCTTTCCCTATTATTTCCTTTGTCTCTGTTCCCAAAGACTGTAAAATTAATCTCTCTGGGAAGCTGAGAAAGAAAAGGAACACAGAATTTGAAAGATAGCTTTCAAGTAGAGTAGCCGATTCTTAACTCCATGCCTGAACTTTATAGAGAACATTGTGTTGTTCTTCCATCCACAATAGCCATGTGCAACATTAGATGGGGAAATATCTTTCTTGCGGAATAAGCAGGTAAAGACTCTCCATCTCTACATAGCTATTTTCCCCTCTTCCGCTGGACTTCAATTTCGTTACATATTCAAACTCCACATAGGAGCCACAACTGAAAGTACTTGAGAACTGCAAGCTATAACATTTAACATTTTAGTGCCATCTATAGGAAAAGGAAGGAACGACTGCAAGGACCATGATATCTTGTTGCCTACAACTGCTATGAAATGTTGGTGGTGGTGGTCCTGTTTTTAAGCAAGTTGTATCTGTGTGATATTACCCATCTTTTGATATGCATGTATTTATGAGAGTTTCCCTGGTGATTATGAGCCAGATGATCCCAGAAATAAAATTAAAAAATAGATCCAAATACTCAGAATGGCGGCCAGTGTTCAAAAATTGAATAGCCCCTTTGGGAAGGAAAAAAAAAGAAATATGTTATTTGGAGCATCTGGATGTGCTTGGCACATGGCAGTCTCATTTCATGCAGTCTCTGTGCAGCAACCAGTGTCACTCGTGGCTCCTCCAGACAACCAGTTTATTGAGAATCCATCATGATTTGTTTGCAAACTCAGAATTTAGACCATGTCCAGTGTTCAGCAAGCATTCATTCTGAATTGTTTGTGGGGAGGTTATGCCACAATGAACATTCATCCTGATGTACTTGTGTGGTTTTTATACATTTTCCCACTAAACATTCATTCAGCCACACTTTTTCTATGCATTTCTCCATCACTATCACTTTCCCAACTTCAATTGTACAAACTTTACTTTCTGGTGTAGGTTTGAATCCCTCCCATAAAATATTGACAGTGTGGTGGTGACCTCATTTAAGAGTTCTTAGGCATACAGCAGATATGAGAATCTTGCTCTCAAAGATTACTTCAGTGCTCTATTGACACAGTGTCTGCTGTGTTTGTATCTACCAGATTTCACATAATCTTAATTTGTGCCCGGGTGGGCTGCTGTTAAAGACCTCAGCACAGGTCCACCATTCTATCGATGCAGTATCTAAAAATGGCCTTCCTCCTCAGTTACAGTTCAGCAGCAGGCATAAGGTGCAGTGCAAAGAACTTGGCATGTATATATGTGTAACTTCATGCTTCTGGCTGCTAAAGTTAAATAGCACAAGTAGATGCCTATTGTCATCAAAAGCACTTGCATTTCTCATTGCTTTGGAGCTCACCCTGGAAATTATTTCTGGAGGAAGGCCACCTTAAAGACTTAACATATTTATAATGGCATAAACTATAAGGCCCTTGGTTTTTCTTGAAATTTTTGCTAACCATTTCCCCATCCTGGACACAAATCCTGCACTACTTAAGGCTCCAAATACCTTTATCTTTTCTTCATCTTTGGCGATCACTTGTAGCTGAGTAAGATGTCTTCCATAAACATGGTTATTAACAATGAGTCCGTAAGTGACTGTGGAGGCCAATTCTGGAGACCACATGTCCTTCCACAGTGGGGGCATTGGTTTCCGGGTGGGAGTTGATCATGGTGTAGTTTTGCCGAGCGTGCCTTCCTCTTAGCATGTTTCTCTCTTGCATCCTGAGTTCGAGTGTCTTCAAAGTCCATGACACCTTTGGTAAAGGCTGTTCTCCAATTGGAGTGCTCGCAGGCAAGTGTTTCCCAATTGTTGGTGTTTATGCTGCATTTTTTTAAGATTTGCCTTGAGATAGTCTTTAAACCTCTTTTGTTGACCACCAGCATTATGCTTTCCACCTTTATCTAGGAACAATGGGAACATGGGAAGCTGCCTTATATAAGGTTCCACCTCCAGCTAAGGCTGTGAGAGACCCTTGCCTGAAACCCTGGGGAGCTACTGCAAGTCAGTGTAAGCAGTATTGAGTTAAATGGACTCACTATACGGCAGACTCCTATGCTCCCAACCTCCATACAGGACTCCAACATTTTAATATATGAATTGGTGGGCTAGAAATTCAAAGAAATAAAGAAATGTATTGGAACTGACTGGTCTGGATATTCCAAAGCCAGATATCTATAAAATTAACATTTCATTTTACAGCACACCTCTGACCTCTGAAGTGGAGACTGAGTGAGGCATGACATATTTTCAAAGCCTAGCAGTGAAGAAAAGAGGAGCCTCAGCCATAAACCAGACTTTATTATGGTGCATGAAGTCTTTTAAAAAGAATCTTGGGATCTTAAAACTAAGGCTTTGACACATATGCGAGTCCAAAAGCATTTCACGATGATGGCCTCATTCTATTACTTTCCCTTTAAAATGATGGTGGGATTTATGGTTTTCAAAAATGATGGTGGGCTGGGCTGCTCTTGTTTTTGGAAGGCAAACAGGAACTGCTTGAGATCTTACTCCAGACCCATCATCCCTGACCACTGGTCCTGTTAGCTAGGGATCATGGGAGTTGTAGTCCAAAAACATCTGGAGGGCCGAGTTTGCCTATGCCAGATCTAAATATTTCTCATGGAAGGAGGCCTTCAAAGAGAACACTTAGCCCTCCTAGGTCAAGGGTTCAAGATTAACTGAGAGAAGACAACTTTGGAGAGTGATTGTAAGAACATAAGAATAGCCTTGTTGGATCAACCCAGAAGCCCAGCTAGCCTGGCCTCCTGTTTTCATGGTGGCTAACCAGATCCCTATGGGAAGCCTGCAAGCAGCACTTGAACACAACAACACTCTCCCGACTTGCAATTCCCAGCACCTGATATCCAGGGAGATACTGCCTCTGACCATGGAGGTAGAACAGAGGCGGATTTAGTGCAGCATTACTGGTTCCCCCACACAGGGCCCCGAGCCAAAGGGCCACCACCCCACCTCCTTCTCAAAGCCTAATAAGTGCTTGCCCAGCTTTGGGAATGAGATGAGGGTGCTCTAGGGCCGTGCCAGAGCCCTTGCACCTCCTTCCCGAAGTCTGGCCTCTTCCTCGGCTTTGGGAAGGCAGCGTGAGGTCAGGGGGAGGCATCAAATTCTGCTCTCGCACAGAGTGCCATATTACCAAGGTCCACCCTTGGGTAGAACGTAGCCATTGTGGCTGGTAGCCCTAGCATCCATGAATTTGTCTAATGTGCTTTTAAAGCCATCATTACCTCTTGTGGGAGTTTACAGTGGAACTATGCTCTGTGTGAAGAAGCACTTTATTTTGTCTGTTCTGACAAAACACTCAGCACCATTCCCTCCCCCCCCCCATATTCAGCTTCATTGGGTGACCCTAAGTTCCTAGACAGCATCTTAAAAAGCAGAGACATCACCTTGCCAACAAAGGTCCGTATAATTAAAGCTATGGTTTTCCCAGTAGTGATGTACGGAAGTGAGAGCTGGACCATAAAGAAGGCTGATCGCCAAAGAATTGATGCTTTTGAATTATGGTGCTGGAGGACACTCTTGAGTCCCATGGACTGCAAGAAGATCAAACCTATCAATTCTTAAGGAAATCAGCCCTGAGTGCTCACTGGAAGGACACATCCTGAAGATGAGGCTCCAATACTTTGGCCACCTCATGAGAAGAGAAAACTCCCTGGAAAAGACCCTGATGTTGGGAAAGACTGAGGGCACAAGGAAAAGGGAACGACAGAGGACGAGATGGTTGGACAGTGTTCTCAAAGCTACTAGCATGAGTTTGACCAAACTGTGTGAGGCAGTGGAAGACAGGAGTGCCTGGCATGCTCTGGTCCATGGGGTCACGAAGAGTCAGACACGACTAAACGACTAAACAACAACAACAAGTTCAAGTATTATCAGGCAAGGAGAAAAGGTCTCCCTATTCACTTTCTCTAGACCCATCCATGATTATGATTATTTTACACCTCTGTTGCTGCTCAGTGGTAGAGCATATGCATTGCATATCTGACACCAGCTGACTTTTGGAGGAAAGAAAAAGAAAACATAAAACCAGGGGAGGAGAGGTGCCATGGAAAGGAGTGTCCTGGAACTGGCCAGAGTTCCAGCCAGCTAGCCATTAACAGGAGTTCTCCATCCTGCAGCATTTTTGCTACAGGCGCCACTTGTTCCCTCTGCATCCAGTTCGAGTCTTCACCTGTGAAATCAGATGTAGTCAAACCTGCATCCTTCCACCACGCTCAAGAAGGTATCTGGATAACCCAGAGGTTTGCAGACATGCAGGAAGTCTTCAGAGAAAAACCCCGAGATGTGGGAAAGGAGTTTAAAACCCACAGAAAAGGCTGCTGTGTAGGTGAGATGGGGAAAATGAAAACTGGAGTGAGCAGAGGGTTCTAACTGAGTGATCTGTACATATTGTAGAGAACCATCTCATTGTCCGGCTGGTTAATGTCTTGATTCACATTACGAAGCCATTTTTAAAAGTCCCCAGAGATGGAAGTGAGTTCTGCCAATGGAGAAAACCAAAGATTTTGAATGTTGCTGAGAATGGGCACCACTTGAAACAGCTCAGTGAGGACTGAGCATGTTCAGTGGGTATGGAATGCTGGCTCACGATTGGTGCGAAATGGAAAATTTGGAGGGAGGGGGAATGGAGTGGAGTGGGTAGAATTCAGGACAGCCTCAGCCCACATTTCCCTATTTGATTACAGGGGGTGGCTGTAGAGACATGAGTATTTGTGTGCATGAGAATTGGATCTTTCTATTGAAATGACCAAGGGACCAACACTGGCACAGGAGCTCTGTATGTATATCGGGGGTGGGGGTGTAATTCTGCACAACGAGGAATATAGTCACATACTCGTGTGTCAAATTTGAGAATGTCACCCAGTTAAACTTAATTTGTCTCAACGTCCCTTAAAATAGTTCTCAGTTTGCTCTTTTGAAGATTTCTGCTGCGCATATACAAAACCCTTATTCTTTGCATCATGTGGTTTATTGCATTCTTTATATTAGTTACACCTAGTTTATTGGAGCATAAAGATCTCAGAAAAGGACTCTGGCTCCCAAAATAAACATGAAAACTTTAAATGCTTGGAGGACTAACCTAAAAGAGCATTTCCTTCTTTGCATTCTCAAATGCAACCTATGGATGAAAGCTAAATCAGAGTTGTGATTATATTTTTGCATGTTTTTTCCCCTATCCGGGTTCCTGAGATTTAAACCTCTTTACAATAGCCTCTGGCCAAAGCTGGCATGATTGTGTATTCATGAGGCCCTGGAATCCACAAAGAAAGCCAGGATTTATTCCATTCTGTATTAGATTTCAATCTCAAAACCATTATTTCCTTTTCTGGTGTCTTGTTTTCTACTTAGTTTTACTGCACGGTTTTTTGTTAACTCTGACTTTTCATAAAAGATTGGCTTTGAAATGTGTAGATCTCTCCCCCCCCCCCCCCTTTCCAGCACAGCACAAGATCACACAAAGAGGTATGTGTGCTGGTACTACCGAGAAGTAGCTACATTCCATTTCTTTTACAGTGGTACCTCGGGTTACAGACACTTCAGGTTATAGACGCTTCAGGTTACAGACTCCACTAACCCAGAAATAGTACCTCGGGTTAAGAACTTTGCTTCAGGATGAGAACAGCAATGGTGTGGTGGCAATGCGGCAGCAGTGGGAGGCCCTATTAGCTAAAGTGGTACCTCAGGTTAGGAACAGTTTCAGGTTAAGAACAGACCTCCAGAATGAATTAAGTTCTTAACCCGAGGTGCTACTGTACTAATAAAGGCTGTAAGAAATGGTCTTTGAGTAGAGAGAGCTTAGTTTGGACACAAACCACTGGGAAGTTCTCCCGTGCAAACTCCATAGAAATGGAAGCTTGTGAACAGGCTTAAATTCAGAAAAGTGGAGAGAGAGAAACCACAACCCCACCACGAATTTATCTTACGTTTTGCAAGATACATCTGAAGGCCAGTTGCTGGGAATCACAGGTGAGGAGAGTGTTGGTCCTGCTTTCAGGCTTCCCATTGGTCCCTAGTTGGCCGCTATGACAACAGGATGCTGGACTAGATGAGCCTTTGGCCAGATCCAGCAGGACTCTTCTTGCGGTTTTAAAGGCACACACAAGGAAGAGTCCTGTCCTCCTTGAGTTCTGCTCAGGTGTTCTTCCAATAGGTTATGGGACAAAAAACCTTGACCCTGCACTTGACTTGTTTTCTTTAACAGTGGTGATGAAGGCCGTTTTTACCAGGGATTTATAGAGCAATTCTAACAAGATTTTGCCCTAAGGGCCCACAATTTTCTTCATGGCCAGATGAATGAACCCTTCTCAGTGACCTGGTCAAGGAGCCATGATTTTCATAACATGCCACACAGGAGGGCTGTAGCTCAGTGGTAGAACATAGGCTTGGCATGTAGAAGGTCCCAAGTTCAATCCTTGGCATTGCAAGGTAGGGCCTGAAACCATGGAGAGCTGCTGCAAATCAGTGTAGATAGTACTGAGCTAGATGGACCGTTGGTCTGTCGCTGTATAAAGCAGCCTCCATGTCTTTAGTTAGATGATGATGCCAGCTCTGAAGGCCCCACACCTTTTTTCAAGTGATCTCCTGGAAATGGAAGGGCAGTTTGAGAACCATTGTCTTAACTGTTCTCTCCGAGGTATTTCGTCTTGATCTTCTTGAGCCATTTATTTCCATCTTGAGTTATCTGTGATCTTTATTAGAATTAAAGTGTTTTCTCTGTGGATAAATAGCATCACAATGTAAATGATGGAACCCAACTGGCTTGATAATGGAGGTTCCTCTCAAATACATAATATTTTGTTGCTGACAAGTGCCTCAATAGAAATAATATCTCCTCCCCAGCATGCATGTTGTTGTTTAGTCGTTTAGTCGTGTCCGACTCTTTGTGACCCCATGGACCAGAGCACGCCAGGCACTCCTGTCTTCCACTGCCTCCCACAGTTTGGTCAAACTCATGCTGGTAGCTTCGAGAACACTGTCCAACCATCTCGTCCTCTGTCGTCCCCTTCTCCTTGTGTCCTCCATCTTTCCCAACATCAGGGTCTTTTCCAGGGAGCCTTCTCTTCTCATGAGGTGACCAAAGTATTGGAGCCTCAGCTTCACGATCTGTCCTTCCAGTGAGCACTCAGGGCTGATTTCCTTAAGAATGCATGTATCCTTCTCCCCAAACATCTGTGTGTTTAAAGGAAGGCCCATAGCTTAGTGGTAGAGCATCTATTTTGCCTGCAAAAAGTCCCAGGTTAAACCCTGAGAGCCACTGCCAGATGGACCATACATCTGGACAACACTAAGCTACATGGACCAAGAGATAAGGCAAATTTCTGTGTTCCTATGTATCCTTCTGGCTTTTCTAGGCCATATGCTCATAGGATTCTCTTCCACTCTCTTCCTTCAGTTGTCTGCCAGCGGCTTAGGTTCATTCAATTTATACATTGCTTCTCACAGTAAAAAGTTCTGAAGTGATTTACAACCAAAGCAAAGTATTCCCCTTTTCTGCATGGATGGCAGGTTGAAAGCTGAAACTGTGCAGAACTCAGCATAAAACCAACCATTTTATACAAGTCTAGCATGTAGAACTCTTTAGTTTAGAGAAAAAGTGTGTAAGAAGTTTATATAAAATTGTGTATGGCATGGAGAAAGTAGACAGAGAGTAATTTCTCTCCCTCCCTTATGACATTTTACCTGTAAGCTGCCTTGAGTCTCTGTCAGGGAAAAAGACAGAGTATAAATATAATAATGGTGGTGGTGGTGGTGATGGTGATGGCATCCATCAGTCTCAAGAGACAATGGGGTGCACCTCCAGGGTGAAGTCAAATGTCTGCATTAACAGCACCAAAGTGACCTCCCTGGGGTGCAAGCCTGAGCAGTATGTATAGAGGTCTTAGGCTGCCTGGACAACAAGACAGCCTTCTCGGACTCACTAATGTGATCCAAAGGAAAGGAAAGCAATATGTTTGGCAACAGCTTGGCTGCAGGAGTTGCCGGAAGGAAGCATACAAAGCACCATCCAACCAGAGACTCTGCTCCAGATTTGAGTAGGGTTTGCACTGTAGCCTTTTCTTCTCCTGAAGATATCCCACAAGGCAGTGGAGGTTTAGAATCTGTGGATATAGGGTGGTATACTAATAATAATAATAATAATAATAATAATAAATAGGAGCAGAGTTTTCCTTCTCTTAGATGGGCTACCTTCCAATGTTGACAAACCCCATCTGCCCCTCACTTCACTCTACAGCATGTGCAGAAACTGCCTTCTTGACTGTTGGACCCACTATTGGTCTCATCCGCTCAATCTGCCAGATCCTGTCTTTGCATGTGGGGGAAGTCCCTAACTCACCGAGGATTTGAGATCCATCGGCTACCCTCACCTGGTTTAGCTGGCCAGTCGAAGCCACATCCCAGGAACAGGAATAACAGCAACAACACTAGCACTCATAGATACCCAATGCAGCTGAATGTTGGAAAGATTCAGGGCAGATGAAAGAAAGGACTTCTTCACACAGCTCCCAAAACTTACTCATGCAGGAGACAGTGATGGCCACCAACTTGGGTAGCTTTGAAATAGGATTAGACAAATTCATGGAGGTAAAGGCTATCCATGGCTTCTAATCATGATGGCTACTCTCTGCCTCCTTGGTTGGAGGCAGTATCCTTCTTAATACAAGAACAAGGGGCTGGACTTGATGGGCCATGGGCCTGATCCAGCCGGACCTTGGGCCAGTCAGCCCATTTCTCAGCCCAATCTATCCCAGCAGTTTGTTGAAAGTATAAAAATAGGGGAATACTATGAATTTTGTTTGAGGAAAGGCAGGCTGGAAAAGCAATTAAATAAGCAACTGGATAAAATGTATGCCTAAAACTTTCATATGGATTCCTAAACCCAGTTCATCAAGCATGGTTCACAGGTGGATGAAGGCTTCCAGATGCAAATTGCCTTGCTAGTTGCACACCCTGGTGTTCTGGAGTAAGGTTACCAGACGTCCCCATTTCCCGGGGACAGTCCCCGGATTTACAAATCAGTCCCCTGGCAAAATCCATCTATTTAATAGGAAGTTGAAAAGTGTCCCCAGATTCATTGAAAAAAAAATTGGTAACCTTATTCTGGAGGGGAAAATGTTTTCTGCATTTGGGACCTTGTTAAGCCTATAAATACACATCGTAAGCTTGTTGGTGGTAATGCAAAGTAGTTGAAGTAATAACTTTCACGTATTGAGGAAGGTGTGGCAACTGAACAGAAAACATTTTTGCAAATCCGTGCATGAAGTTCCTCACAGACTCTGTGTGAAGCTCATCAATATACAAAACTATGTATGGATAGTTCGAAAAGTTAATTCTGACTCTTATTTCAAAAGCATTGTTGGTTTTTAAGGCTGGTTAGATACTTCTTTGGGTCAGTATAGCCAAAAAAAGGCAAAACATCCTAGTTCTGTGAAGCACATTATTCCTCATCCCTAAAGGAGGACCACAGATCTGTTCCAATATGGAAGTGTTTGAGCCAACTAAGGCTTAAGTGGAGCAAGCCGAATGCCCTTCTGGAAACAACAATTTAGGGTTGCTCATGATGGTAGGATTGGGAGATATAAAAAGCAGAACAATTGAGCAATATCCTGTTCTGTAAATAAAATACTGATGTTCACTCCAAAAGCACAAGCTTAAGCGGTTGAAATAAATGTCAAATCTCCCAATGCAGAATAGTGTTTTGTTTTGTGCATAAGATGAGCCAATAACCTAGGGTGCACAAGGCATCTCATTCCCTCTTAAGTGTTTTTGACACACACACCTGTCTCTTTCCTCACTTTGTTGAAAAATTCTTTGATTAACCAAGAAATCGAGCCACTATCCCAGTAGTAGCCAGTGTGATGTCCTCTAGATGTTTTGGACTACAATTCCCATCAGCCACAGCCACCATGGGCAAAGGTTACAGATGATGGGAGTTTGAGTTGACAGCATTGGCTAACCCTGTACTACCTGGTAAACCCTAGGCTAAGATTTTGAAGTTTAATAGTAAGTCAAATGGTAGCACTCATAATCTCTCTTAATACCAGGAGCCATTAAGACAGGTCTTTACTTAAAGATTATTCAGTACAACAGAAGGTCTATTCTCCCCCCCCCCCCCGGAGGGAAAAGCAGCTGGGAACACTTTTGAGAGGGAAAATGGACGGTAGGGAAAGGGTTGTGCACTCTGTCCCAAACATACTCCTCATAACAGCCACAAGCAGCTGCTTTTTGTTTGGGAGGGATGGATAGACAGATAGTGAGATAGACAATGTTTGGCCCTGTAATCCCAGTGATCCACCATAGCTGTAAACTTTTATCATTCTTAATATGTAATTAGTGGATTTATTCCAATTTCAGCATGTATTTTTCAGCATGTGAAGTCCCATCTCTCAGATGCTCAGATGCTTTTGTGTTCCTTCTTACCTTGTCCAGGCTCACTGTTTTCCTACTGTCTCCACTCCTCCAAACAAGACAGCATCCCAAGACACGAAGGCGAACTGTATTCTATTCAGTAAATGTGGACTGCTCTGCAGCTCTGGTTCTGGGCTCAAGGAGACCCTTGGCATGTCTTGCTCTGGCAAGTGAATGAGGTGATAACAAGGTTTTCAACTTTGTGGCAAGTAAGCATTGAGGAAGTCAGAAAATGAGCAAAGTAATTGAGCAGAGGCTAGATACTTCCCCCCCTTTCTTTGATGGGGTTCCTACTTCTTTGCAATGCTGTCTGCTTTCCAAATCGCAGTTGCACTTCAGCTGCCTGGAGATCACTTGTTGAAGCTCAGTATGTTTGGCAAGTTGACCCTGTGCAGTAAAAAGTAAGCCCAACTGAGTTGCATGGCGTTTACTCCTGGGGAACTATGCACAGGACGGTAAGTCATGTAAAACCTAATCAACTGGTTCTTCTGCTATGTGCTGCTGCTGTTCGGCGTGACTAGGTGTGTCACCACAGCCACCTGCATTTTTGGACTGTTCTTGGGGATGTGGCTATGGGGCTGTCATGTTGAACTTCTGCACTCCCAGAATCACAACTGTGCCCCCAGTAGGGGCTTTGAGAGCAGCTTTTCCTTACTACAGACCCATAACTGGATGCAGCTGCATACGCAAAAACAGGGGAACTAATGCAAAGAGATTAGGAGCTGGATGCTGTCAGCCACAAATTATCATTTAACTTTGGATCTGATGCAAAAACATATCCCACTTACATCATACCATTGTAGTTGTCCATTGGTCACAGTCTCTGGAATGAATACTTTATGTACTAGCCATTATGATGGTACCTCAGATTGGCTCAGCTGTTGTTGCCATGCCCTGTTATGGTGTGCTGAGGGGTGTGTGTGAATGTGTGTGTGTGTTTACAATTCACTGGAGAAATCTTTCATGGATTATCACTAATGCCTTTCCTCGATACAAAACAAACACACATACACACCAGATGAACTAAAAGCCTGCTGGAAAGGTCACATGAAAGGAAGTCTAGTAAAAAATTCTAAACTTAATTAAGGGTCTTTTTTTTTTAATTACAGAGACTTTTCACCTTGAATTTAGAACTCTTTGTAAGCTGAGGTTTGCTGGCTTTGAATGGAGGAGGACACACAAACACAAGATTTTCCATTCATCTAAGTATTTCAGCAGATGAGATAGTTTACATGAGAAAAAACTTGCCGTTGAGATCATAAATCTTTATGAAGGCTCAGATCCTAAGGTAAGTTAATTCAAAGAAGTTCTTGGGGGGGGAATTCCCCCCTTCCCTCTCCCCTGCAGCTATCCATGCCCCCCCCCAAAAGCATCTATGCAGTGTCATGTCGCCCTCCTGAACAATATGTGTTGGGGCACAGGGGACTCTGAAATCCCTCAGAGTTGGACTTGGATTGTAAGATATGTAAAGGGGGGGGGGGTCAGAAGCAGAAACTGCCCCATCATACATTGTTTTGGAGAGCCAGTGTGGTGTAGTGGTTAAGAGCAGTAGTCTCGTAATCTGGGGAACCGGGTCCGCGTCTCCACTCCTCCACATGCAGCTGCTGGGTGACCTTGGGCCAGTCACACTTCTTTGAAGTCTCTCAGCCCCACTCACCTCCCAGAGTGTTTGTTGTGGGGGAGGAAGTGAAAGGAGAATGTTAGCCGCTTTGAGACTCCTGAAGGGGAGTGAAAGGCGGGATATCAAATCCAAACTCTTCTTCTTCCTCTTCTTCTTCTTCTTCTTCTTCTTCTTCTTCTTCTTCTGGAGGGGCCCTTAATCTTCCAGGCAAGTTTTTTTGGGGGGCGGGGGGTCAGAAGCAGAAACTTTTTAAATTCTGCACATTAGTTTACAGTGTCTGAGTGCTTTAGCACTATTTCAGAGGAAATCCATTCAAGAAAATCCCCCACTCTGTTATTGATGCTATGGGTAGAAATGTCTACGCTGTCCTTCAGTCGAAAGACTTCATAGGCTAGCTAGACATCTACCGTGTCTTCTCAACACAAAATGGCAGCCGTCTTGGATTTGACAGAGTCCTTCTTAGTCATGATGCTTATATCTAGGATAGCCAATATGGTACCCTCCAGACAGTGTTGTACTATGACTTCCATCAGTCTAAACCAGCATGGACAAACAGTCAGGGATGACAGGAGTTGTTGTCCACATAAGCTAACCCTGGCTTTTGTGCTTCTGCCAGTGGTGGAACACTCCCTCTTGTTGAGAGCATTCTTCCAGGGGGCAGGACATTGTAATTTCCCCTCAGGTGGCAAAATGGGATGGGCCACCCTTGGTCAGTGCCTGTGGCTTTTGGAAATCAGGGTGAGGAAGGCACGCAGGAGTTGCCTTTTTAAAAAAAAACAACAACACTGATGCCATTCCTCACCAGATCCTCTGTTATGGGAGGAAAAGTTGCTGGGTTTCATTTCCAGAACAAGTGGACTGATTTCGTTCACTCATCTGGGGTTTCTCAGGCTCCCCTCACGCTGTTTAAACTTGGCTGTACATATTCACTGGGTCGCCAGCATGACGACAGGCAAGTACAAATATAGTATAGTAATATAAGATAATCCTTCAAACACCCCTCATTAGGAAGGGGTTAGCTCAGTAGTAGAACATCTGCTTTGCATACAGGAGATTTCTTGTTCAGTCCCTGGCATCTCCTCAGAAAGAAATCAGTATAGGTATCACTGAACTAGATGGGTCAATGGGCTGACTCAGTGTAAGAGCTTCTTATGTTCCTAACCTTACCACAGCCTTGCAGCACTGACCTTAATGAAAGGATTGCCTGTTAATTTAAGAGAAAACCACATTGCGGTGGCTGTATTACCCTGACGACGCACCGAACCCAACTACATTGTTTCATAGGAACTCTCTACCTAGAGTCTTAAACTCCCACCTTTAGGACTTGAATTTTATTCAGCCATGAAAATGCTTCCTTATTCATGACTTAATAGGACAAAATTGATTCCTTATGCCGACCCAGAGATAAAACGTTCTGTTCTCTTGTTTCTGCTGAGTCTCTTTGTTAGTGCATGCGCTATCCGGACAAAAGAAAGAAAAGTTTGCTGGACATTTTGCATTTGTTAATCTCAGGAAATGCTTCTGAGATATGACACAGGACTCTGTACAGTAACAGATTGTTACAAATGGCTCTGATTCTCAAATACATCTGCCGGAGAAGTAGTATCCTTACAGCAGCATTTTGTGACATTTTATTTACTCACTCACTCACTTACGTGGAAGGGGCTGTGGAAGTCTGCACTGACACAAATAACACCATGCTAAATATTCCTCCAAAAAAAAACTCTTTTGAGGTAGGGGAGAGATAAAAAAAATGTGTCATGAGAATTCTTCCTCAAAAGACAGACTCTTCTAAGATTTAAATTCAGAATCATTTCAGATTAAATCAAAGTGGCTTCCTATATAATCCTCTTCACATCTGCTCAGAAGTGAATCCTATTGAGCTTGATGAGACTTACTCCCAAGTCATTGAATAAAGGATTGCAGCCATACTGTGTTTAAAATAAAATGCTTAGTTTGAAAAGGAAAGATAAAGCCCTCAAGTAATAATTAATAAAAAACACACGTGAAACATAATCTTGCTTGCCTGTTTTACACCTAAGTATGGGTACATAGGATTGTATGCAGTCTTAACTAGGATTAAACCCCACTGAGCACAGTGGGGTTTACTTCGGAGTAATCATGAATATGTTCTGCCAAAAAGAGCAGTGCAAAAAGACTGAGGGCAGCCAATGAAATGCTCAATGTGATGCTTTGAAAGTTTTTGCTTCTTAAAAAATAAATAGTTGTGGATTAATATGGAAACAGGACAAAACCAACTTATGAATGAACACATGTGAATTGAAATGAACTGGCGACAGGCTGATCCATCCTTTTCTATACATCTGTAATCCATTGGTTTCAAAGGCTACATTTACTTTTGGAAGAACTTAAATTTCCTGATCATTCAAAAAAAAAGCATTTACAGGGGAAGCAGAAAACAAATGTTTCCAAGGCAGCCAACGCAAATACATTTCTGATTTCTCCTGCTGTAATAAGTACCTACAGTATAATGCCAGATATTTCCCAACAATTATTGCTTCTCATGATAATAATGTCATACGCATTGACCGATAGTAGTCACATTTGAAAGAGTGGTATCATTACCATTGCTTCATTTAAAATCTGTTGAAAGTACACTATCACCATCTACTGCTCACTTGGCTGAACTACTGGTAGGGTCTAAATAGCCAATTTAGGTTGGGTTGGAGTTCAGCTGATGTACGCAACCTTTTAACTACCTAAATATCACAATAAGTTTTTTCAGGGAAGGAACTTCTCGATGTTGTGTTCTTGCCATTCATCATATCTGTGCACTGAAGAGAAAGTGCCTTGTGTCAATTCATAGCAGTTACAGGTGTCACAGAATCCAGCAAACCTGAATAAGGACTGGCAAGAGAAGATAACGATAAGCAATAAATGGGAAGACCAACACAGAGTATCACGACTGAATCAAAATTATCCTAGAGCAAGTCCCTATGTAGTCTGGTTTCAGGAGACTCCATAAAAATTTGAAACGAGGAGTGAATGAAGTTTTGCAGAGTCCTCAAGCCATGGGGGTCATCTACAACCAATATCAAATAACCATATTATTTAAACCCATTAATTAAAAAATAGGATGCGGCCTGAGTTGGGTAATTAAGGTTCTTAATAACAATAAATAATATTGCATAGGTAGAAGTAAGGAGTGTGGAAATCAACAGTACAGGAAGCTACCTTGTGCCAAGTTGGACTAAGACTTTGCTCATCATCACATCAGAGAATTGACTATATGTATTTAAGGGTTAAGTAAATTAAGAGTATGCCAATTGAAACTAATGGGAGAGTGTCAGGGAACTGACATCAGAGCTAGAGGCGGAGGGAATGATGCTGGAGAAGGGCCCAGCAGGGAGAGAGGCAGCTCAGCAGATGGGGAAGCAAATCAGCGCAACACCAGGAATAAAGGGGGGCAGATGGGGGAATCGGCGAGAGGGCTCCCAGACTCTTCACTGGACACCAGCGGGGAGAGCACGGGTCCTCCGCTACCCACCCACGCCCTCCCTGCGCAGAAGACTTCCGCGCAGAGAGAGTAGGAGGAGACTGGGTGTCAAACAACTTTTATGTTGGAAAAGGTTTAAGAAACGCCCACTGACGGATTCTGCTAGTGACTGAGGCAGCCACGAAGTGAAGGGCTGTCCAGACTGAAAGGTTTAACAAGGCAACAAAGCCAGGAGAGGCGGCAACTTACGCACGAGCAACCCATACTCATTACAGAGAGTAACTTATGCTTAAAGTATATGTATGTATGTATGTATGTATGTATCCAACTTTTTGCATATAAAAGGGTTATCTTCAACCAACTTTTACTAAAATCAGACCCACTTAAATTAATGGACCCAAGTTAGTCATGGCCATTCATTTCAAGGGGTGTACTCTGAGTTAAAGTTAGTTGAATACAGCCCAAAGTCTCTTTACGCAAGAGAAGAAACCCACCCCCCAAGTATTTCCTTTGGCTCACAATATAGACAACAAGGTTATTTAAGGAGATTAAATCCACAATATAAACAATGGGGGAAAGAACACTTTACAATATCCAAAAAAGCAGCAGCATATTTAGTGGGTGGTTGCATGCCCTTAAAACCCTTTTTTGTACCACTTCACATAAAAGTGTTCAGAATTTGGATAAACGTATTTGAAATGTGACATTCTCTATTGTGACTTTGTTCTAAAATACAGGTGGGAAGTCTGTGGCTTTCCAGATATTATCGTGCTGCAGCTGACATCATTCCTGGTGACTGTACATACTGACTGGGGCTGATGGAAGATGGAGTCGAACAATATGGAGTCCAGGGGTTCTCCATCACTAGTGAAAGCCAGCAGGTGTCAAGGTAAGCAGTGGTAATAGTTAGTGAAATCCGTTTTCCATTCCCTAATCCATACTGTGGACTACTTTTCAGGTAAAATTTCCTTCCACTTGTCCTTCAGTATTTCCAGCCCATGATTTTAATTAATACATTTAATATAGAAAAAGCAAAAACCTTGTGAACTATGCAGATGGAAACTAATTATTCAGAATCAGTGAGTGCATAATATTCTGAAGACTATGTCTCGGGATTAGTGCTAATATGTCACACTTGATGTGTCTGAAATCATCAAAGACAAGTATTGCACAAGACAGTGTCAACAGCTGTTCAGAAAAGGGATGGTTATGAAGAAACACATTGTTGAGTCTATATAATCTCTTGCTCGTCCAAGCCACCAGCTGCTTGCACTGATTTCAGTCCTTAGAAAAAGGGGTTTAGAATGGGAATTAAAGAAGAGAGAGCAAGGGCTCATTTATTGGCCCACGTTCTTGATATTTTCAAAGTTGCTCTTTTGAAAAGATTAGGAATTACGGCTGCATACACTCTACATTTAAAACACATTCAAAGCATGTCTTTCCCAAGAGTCCTGGGAGCTGTCGTTTGTTAAGGCTGCTGGGAATTGCAGCTCACTGAAAAGTAAAAGCCGTGTTCAGGATTCATTTGCGGGGGCTGCTTTAAATGTATGGTGTATATGCTTTGAAGAACGGTAACAAAACAGCTTCCAAGGCCTGGAGCTGAGTTCCACAGTCTTGCATCGGTACCCAACCCTATATGAGACTAAGTGATTGCCTGAGTTGGTAGGCTTCGTAGTAGGTTTGAAAGTCAAGAATTCAAAAGTCTCCATGTAAATTGTGGGCTGAGATAGTTGACCAGAAGTGGGGTCTAGAGGCAGAGGCTGGGGAATGAGACCCAGGACAGGGGGAAATGGATTGGATGGTGGACAAGGCCAACAGGTAATTGAACTGAAGCCAGATGGACGAGTCAGTGGATATAGCAGGGAAAGAGAGAAACAGAGATCACATCCACACCATACATTCAAAGCAGGTAGCTTCCCCTCAAAGAATCCAGGGAACTGTAGTTTGTTAAGGGTGCTAGGAATTATATCTCTGTGAGGATTAAGCTACAGCGCTCAGGACTCTTTGAGGGAGGGTGTCATGTGATTTAAATGTATGTTGTAGATAGGACCAGAGATGTGGGAACTAAAGAGTGTTTGGAAAGAGAAAAGGCTGGGCTGGGGGAGAAGCTGGGCCTTGTGCCAGGGTGTGGCAGGACTGGCACTGAAGTCAAGGCCAGACAGTGACATTTTGCTGCCTGAAGTGAAGGACAAGATGGTGCCCCCTGCATTCCATGTGAGCAGGGCCAGCCCAAAACATTTTGGCAGAAAATGGCACCCACACCCAACCAGAAAAGAAGGGGTGACTGAAGAAGAGAAGAAGAAGAGTTTGGATTTGATATCCCGCTTTATCACTACCCGAAGGAGTCTCAAAGCGGCTAACATTCTTCTTTCCATTCCTCCCCCACAACAAACACTCTGTGGGGTGAGTGGGGCTGAGAGACTTCAAAGAAGTGTGACTGGACCAAGGTCACACAGCAGCTGCATGTGGAGGAGCGGAGACACGAACCTGGTTCACCAGATTACGAGACTGCCGCTCTTAACCACTACACCACACTGGTTCTCTATGAAGACGGACATCAGGAAGAAGGGTGGAGTGAAGATCTACATCTGGGTGGGTGGGAATGAAATCAACCTTACCAGATGGTTGAAGTGGGAATCAAAGGCTGTTATGGGGGGAAACAGGCCTACTCTGAATCATGTTGGCCAGGAAACCCCAGAGGGCAGCCCCCACCATTTCCTCCCTAGGGGGTGGGAGACCAGCAATGTCTCCTACTTGCCAAGCAGCTACCAAGAGGCATTGGTGGGGGTGCTGCTGAGGAACTGGCAATTGTGGCCTCCAAGGAGTGCGCCGCAGCTATCACTGCTACCATGAAAGCAGCAGCAGCGTGGGCCAACCTTGCATATGAAGCTCCCACTTTTGTTTTGGCTTCATGGTCATTTGCTGTGATGCTTTACCATGATAACAATGTCACAGTTGGAAGCACCCAAAGCAGACGTTTGCACAAAGGTCCAAGTAACTTTACACAAAAATGACACAGGTGTGTGACCTAGTGTCATCCATCTTAATCCATCATGGATGCTCTGCTGTGTGCATTAAACTTACTGTAACTGCTGAGTATGCAGGCCTAGCAGGGCCCAGATTAATGGGAGAAATCAGATTATAAGTGGAAATGGCAGAAATCACTGTTATCGCTCAGTGCATGTCTACTCATAAACAAGCCGTGTTGAGTTCAATGGAACACACTCCCAGTATGTCTAGCATAGGACTGCAGCCTTGGAAATTAAGTGAGATCAAAGACATCATGTTTGCAGTGAGATGCAGGATGTCCCTCAATGTTCTATTTACAAAACTCAGTCGATTGCTCAACTTTATAAATAAGAAGTTGAAATAAACAATGATGGCGGTCCTCCGCAACACATGTGCCATAAATACAATGTCTTTGATCATACAGGATGTTTCTGTAATGACCATCCAAAACAGCTGAGGGGATTTGCTGGCACATCAAATAAGAAAAAGGCCATCCTTACTGAGAACGTGCAAAGGTCAGGCTAGTAGCTTATAATTACGTTAAAATTTAATCATGCTATACCAAGGTGGATATTTTCTGTTTGCCAGCAGTGATAGATCTTGCCGGATGACAGCATCCCACATTCTTTCTTTAAGTTTAGTTGAGCAGATCCATCTATTCCCTGTTTATATCACTTCTGTGTGTGTTCATTTCATACGTCCATTCTTCCTTACTTCTACACTAATCTGTGGCTTTTTAAAATAAGCACAAAAAAGACGTAGCAGGAAACTATGGTTAATCACCATGGCATCTGTTGACTCATGATGCACCAAGAACGGAAGAGGGAATGTCGTGAAGATGGAGTCTGTTAATAATGGGGCTAGTCCAAGACATTTTGCTGCCTAGGGCTGAACAGCGGAATATGCCCCCTTTTTAAAAAGTCAAGATGTGTAGTACCCCAGGCTAGCCGATTATTTTGGCTCCTGAGGCAAGAAAATCCCACAAGGGCTTGTTCCCATCCCTAACAGTAAAAATGTAATAATGCTAAATATCACTCTGCTGCCTTTTCATGACACCCAAAATCAGTTGTCTCACTTTGCCTAATGATAGGGTTTGTCCTGCTTCGTAAGCTGTGATATGGACACGAGAACCAGGCTATAGACTTTTCTCATGTACCATATTTTTCACTCCATAAGACGCACTTTTTTCCTCCTAAAAAGTAAGGGGAAATGTGAGTGTGTCTTATGGAGTGAATGGCGCTGCACAGAGAGGTAGAGCTGCGCAGCACCCCTTCAGCGAAGCAGGAGGAGGAACGGAGCCCCTTCTGTTCCTCTTCCCGCTTCGCTGAAGGGGCGCTGCGCAGCTCCCCCTCTCTGCGCAGCGCCTGTCCTGCGAAGCTGGAGGAGGAACACAAGGGACTCCTACTGTTCCTCCTCCCGCTTCGCAGCGACACGCCTGTCCTGGCTTCTGCATTAGCCGTGCGCAGCCTCTTCGGGCAGGGGGAGCCTTCATCCTGCTGCCCTGAAGAGGCTTGGCGCGGTTATCCCAGAAGCCAGATCCCTCTTGCTTGTTCTGGCTTCTGGGATTCAGAATAATTTTTTCTTGTTTTCCTCCTCCCAAAACTAGGTGCGCCTTATGGTCTAGTGCGTCTTATGGAGCGAAAAATACGATAAGTGTCTTTAGGTTTTATATATAAGATTTCTATGCCTTGCTCACAGAATCATGGAGCAAGCCTACTCTGGTTGGTTGTCTGTGCTCTTGATGAAAAAGTATGACTCTCCTGAACAGAATGCCCTTTCTTTATGATACATCCTCCCTTAGGAGTCCCTTTACCTCATTGTAACTGAAGGAACCTGAGCATCAGAGATAACCAACATAGTGCCCTCCAATATATTCTTAGACTACAACTCCCATCAGCACTGGCCAGCAGGGCCAATGATAACAGATGCTGCCATATGTAATCTAACAACATCTGGAGGGCAACACATTGGATACTCCTGCTCTAGGTGCTAGAGATCTAGGTGGGATCTTTTGATAAAGGGCAGTATAAAATAATGATGATGATGATGATGATGATGGCCATCTCACTGCAATTCAAATATTGGGCAGTCTTCCCAGAGAGGCACCTGCTTTTCCACAAACATTTGCCAAAGAGAGAGAAGGTTTCACTGCAATTAGCGCTGAGCTTGTTTATGTGACCCAGGGCACAATAACAGTAGTTTTAAAGTAGGCTTTGAAAGAAGATATTTCACCCTGCCCTTCAACCATCCGATACGTTTTTGGTACACCGAGGACATTCTGCACCAATTCGACAAAAACAACCAGACACATTTACAGTCAGATAATGTATTAATGGTGGCTGTTGTTTGTGTGTGTTTTTTAAAAATGTGTTAACAAGGGTCAGGAGCTTGAGCTGGCACACACATTTGTAATTTCGATTTCATGAGCACATTGAACAGCTTTGTTTTCTGTGATGCAACACTGTTGGCATTTGCTCTTAGGTCATCCATTTTTCTCTTTGCGCAGACACAGAACTTTTCCTGTTCCTTACAGTTCTGTTCCTGCAAAGAGGAAGAAGAAAGCAAATACCCAAATGGATCTTTAGATGGTGAAGAAGGCTCCACGGGAGGAGAGGTTTGTTTAATGGTGCTTCTGCTGCATGGTAACAACATGCAGTGTTAATTTATTGTAATTATTCAGTTGCTTTTTTCACGAAAGTGACTGAAAATTACTTACAAAATACAAATATTAAAAACAAGAATAAAAACGAGAGTAAAAACAACCTAAACTGCTCAACCATCATATGTATAAAAGGGCAGATCCAACTCAACCCACTAAAAAGGTGACTCAAATAAGAGCCCCAAAGCCTGCTTGTCTTCTTTGCCCAGGGAAAATGAACGGGAAACAATTATGCCATGGCAACCCAGTCAGATGGGTGGGGTACAGGTAATAACATTGCTATTATTAATGGAAGGACCAGCAGGGCTGCATTGGGCTCTTGAGCTTTTCCACCTCTGATTTTATTTATTTTTTACAAGAGGGAGGTTTTCGGATGGCATTCCCCCATCAAAAGTTGACTGTAGCATAAACTCTGGCTTGTGATAGCTACTGCGAAAAGAGAACTTTCCTGCAAGATCTTCAAAATGTAAATGCAAATAAATGAACCTAACATGATTGATAATGTTGGTCCCTTGATCAATAATGCCGTTTCTGTAACCTGGGGGGGGGTCAAAATCCCCCCTCCCTCACCTGTTAAAGGTGTTGGGGTGAGGTGGGGGGTTCATTCAGAGTAGGACTCCATTGAACGATCTTTATTCACGCGCAGGTTCAAGCGGGACTCATCTTTAAGACGTGCCGAGGGTCAGGGAGGCCGGCGGGGGCTGGCGCCCACCTGCCTGCCTCCCCGGGGCAACAACGGCAAACCCTTTCCCCATCCGAGGCGGGCTTTTGTGCGGGCGGAAGCAAAGCCCCTCGCCAGCCGGCAGGTGGAGCTCCGACCCCCGGACTCCGCTCTTGGAAACCGGGGAGAGAGCCTGGGGAGGGGAAGGGAGAGAGGAAGGGGTTAAGGAGCTGATGGTGGCGGCGGAGGAGCCTCGACGCCTCTGGAGGGAGACCCACCCGCCGCGCGCTCCCCCTCGCAGCCCACCCAGCCGCAGTGGTGGGAGCGAGGCGCGCGGGATGCTGCCGGGGCGCAGCGCAGGGGCAACGATGCAGCAGCAACCGGAGAGGGCAAGCGGGGCAGCGGAGGGAGGCGCGGAGCGGGCCAGCCCCTGATGCGGCTCTTTCTCCTCCTCCTCCCCCTTCTGCTGGGCAGCGGCTCCGGCAATTCCCTCCCTCCCACCTCCTCCTCCTTCTCCACCTCCTCCTTTCCCGGTGGCGGCGGCGGCCGCTGTTGCCACGGCGGGGGAAAATGAGCAAGGCGGCGGCGGCGCTGCTGCTGTGCCTGCTGGGCTGCAACGTGTGGAAGGCGGTGACCAAAACCTTAGGAGCGCCCGGCGCCGCTCAAGGTCGGTGCGAGGGGGGCCCGCTTTTGTGCCGCGGCGACGGCGAACCGCAGCGCCCAGCGCGCACCCGGGGAGGGTCTCGGGATGGCGGGGTGCGTTAATGCTGGGGGCGGGGAGAGACGGACGGCGGAGGGGGGGTGCGCCTGGAGGGATCCGGGGGTTGCTGCATAGAGAGAAGGAGCGCCGGAGGTAGCTGCTTCTCTCGGCGCGAGGGGGCGGCGCCCGCCGTGACGCCCATCGCCGCCGAAGTGAGCTGCGGGGCGCTCGGTGGTGGTGGCGGCGGCGGCGGGGCGCCTGACCCGGAATCCGCCGCCCCGGAGGCTATTGTTACCGCAGCCTCCGTTTCGGCTTTGTGCTTCCCGCACGCTTCGCTTTGCTTTTCCGCCTTCTCTCCCGCCCCCCCGAATCCTCCTTGCCTTTCCTTCGCAGGCTTTTTCTGCGCAAGTCTTGAGTCCCCTCCTCCCCCTTGACTCTTGTCGCGATGCTGCCACGGTGATGGGCGCTTCTCTCTCTCTCCCCCAGTTGCTTCCTCTTTGAGGATTCGGATTGGTGTTAGGGCGGCTGGCCTCTGCGTGCATGTTTCTGCTGGAGGCTGCTTCGATTTGGGGGTTACTGGGTTGAATCGAAATGAGGGCGAATGGGAGCCTTTCTGTTCAACTGCAGGTCTCACAAGGTCCTGAAATAAAATTATCTACTGTATTATGGAAGAAGGGGTGCCTGACCCCCCAAAAAACGTGGGGGAGAAGGGCCATCTGGCAAACCTTTGATTCCCGCCCCCCGCCCCGAAAAAAGACCCCTTGACAAACTGTTCTGCACTGCTGGTTCCACAGGGCTTCGCTTCTTGCTAAAACCTCTTCTTGCTGCCGCTTTGCTCCACCAGGTGTTTGTTGTATTGTGGCTGGTTTTGCTCCTGTGGCCTTTCAGGTTGTGTGACACACACACACACTTTCTTTTGGTGGCATTGGCTGGGTCTTTTATGCACCCAGCTTGGCAGCGACAACCCCTACCCCCCGAAGGTTTAGATTCTCTTCTCTCCCGCCTGGCTCTGTTAAGATTCTTACTCTGGGGAAAGCAGCTTTCAGAGAGCTGCCCATCCTGTAGTCTTTGCACAGGGCCCTTTTGCAGGCTTTGCAAATACAAAAGCAGCGTGTGTGTCGCTTGCTAGTCACGCTTTGGGCTCATCTGTTCAGAGGTGACCATATGCGATTCTCATTTCTTGCTATGCTGATTTTATCCATCCCCACCCCCTTCCCCAGCACAAATAATCCTATATGGCAAAAGCCTTAAGATTAGAGGGAGCATAGATGATGCTGAAGCCAAATCTGTAAAATTAGCACTTATTAGGCCTTATTGTTATTGGAACCAATTTTTGCCCATTAAGCTCCAACCTATTTGCTGCATATCCTTCCATCCACAAAATGCACCTGTGTGCTGTAAACCTGCCACGTCCACCACACTGCTGGAGGTGGGAGAGCTGCTCAATCACCATTTAGTCAAGGTCCCATGTGCATTTCTATCCTTCATTGTTGCCGGAATGTTTTCCCTTTTCCCCAGGCATCTCTATGCATCTTTTAGAAAAAGACCCTCTCAAAAGCCACTGATCTGCTGTGGCTTATATTTATGTTAACTTGCAGCAAACTAGGGTTTTTTGGGGGGGAGGTTTGTGTTTTGGTTTAATTACCTGCTGCAGGATTGACTGCAAAGTAGCTGGTAATGAAAGCATCAAGGGCATTTGCAAGAGTGTGTGCTTATTCTTGTAAAAAGCTTCATCAAGGCAGGCTAATAACATCCCACCAGTAATAAGGATGAGAAAGCAAGTGGCACCATGGTAACAGTCCCTGCCTCCACTTTTGGTGGGTATGCATGTAAAGGCCAGTGACCTTTAAGTGACGCTGTTCTATACCCAATAAAAGATAGATTACAATTGTGCCTTTTACTACTGTTGTGTCATTGTTTCTGAATAAATCATCCCCTCCCTTCTGCACTATGCACTCTTAACCTCCTCCCCCCCCCAAAAAACCCCGTAAGCTCTAGCCCTGTGGTCTGATTCTTATTTTGACAAGATCAGTTTTGCTTTGACTTCTTGAACTTTTGACTGCTGCTTTTGTTGTTTTGCTTTCTTGGGGACTCCACAAAGTGGTCTGTCCATATGTGTGTGTGAAGAATTCCTATTATGATTGAAAAACTGATCAATGAGTTGAAACAAATTGCTAATCTACCAGATTTTGTTTTTAAATGATGCTCATTTGGACCTGCCCTGTGCAAGTAGGTATTAATATTCTCATTTCACACACACAATAATGTAACAATCCAGAATGGGGAGAGAGGTAAACTTAAGTCCTGTTGATTTTAGTGGGACTGAAGTTTGCATAGCTGCCCTGTGTTGTGGCAGTTGGGTTTTTAGCTTGTTTTCAAAACATTAATCAATGCCCGTTGTTTTGGTGAACATAAAATTCGTATTGCCATTAGGTTCCCATAAAACTTGACTTGGGATACTGTGGTACAGTGGTGAAGAAGTTGTGTTCTTGCAGATGCTATAGGACTCCAGCTCCCATCAGCCTCAGCCAGCGTGGCCAGTGGTGAGGGATGATGGGAGCTGTGGTCCAACACTGTAAGGAGGGGATTTCCCATCTCAGCTGCGGCATTTGTATGGATAAAGTTGAGGAGCTGATTAACTTGTTGAAGGGCCGTGAAGTAAGGCTAAGAGGCCTCAGTGATGCTATGTTCATGATTTTGCAATTGAAATTTATACCATAATGTGGAATGAAAGTACAGCTGTGATCCTGTCATTTTTGAGTGGGAGTAAGTCCCATTGACATACTTGTTTCCTAAAGCATTCTCTCACAGGATTGTGTTGTTGGTTATCAAATGAATGATAACATGGAAAATATGTGCGCCACAGAATTCTTTTATGTAGTAGCTAAATTCCTATAGAATTCTTGATACATTTGCCAGATCATTCCTTTTTAAAATTTTACAGTGTCTTGTGTCTCCTCAGGCTTCTCTTTTATTGCTAAGATGACTTAAAGATTGGCCTAACGCAATATCTAGATGAAGGAACTATAAAATGCAGCAGCTACAGAATAGCATGATTTGTAAATCAAGGGAAAGGTTTAAAGATGGAGAGTCAGCTGTTATTATCTAGCTGCTATAGTGAGGACTTGCTCTCTCTCTTCCTCTTTGAAAAGTTGACCTCTTTTCTGCTTTGAGCTATGTCACCCTTGAGTGAGCAGAGAACATTGATTTATGGTGAATAGAGTGGTCAAGTTCTGTCATCAGTAGTTGAAAATCCAGGGCTTACTGCTGTATGGTTTGTCAAGATACCAAACCCCATGGATTATTTTCTTGGTTTTCCTTCCTAATATAGATGGATTTATACACTGAGCAAGCTCTATAGAGTGATTTAGTATCAGGTGGCGGTAGATAAAGTGTTGGCAATACAAGCAGTAGCCTTGTTTTGATGTGCCATCTATATTATAATCCATTTCTTACTTACTCTTGTCTATATTAGAGAACCCATGTTTATCTGTTATACATGTTGGTAGTCCTGTTTAGTCCAGCTTCATTAGGTAAGGTAAGGTCAACACAACAGTTTGGAGGACTGGGGCTCCCTTCTAGAAGTGTTATACACTCAATAGTAGAGCCCATGCAGGAGAGTTTGGGTTCAAACCCCAGGAACAGTGAACAGCATCAGGTGGGTTGGGGAAAGACCCTAATCCAAAACCACTGCTGCCAGCCAGAGTAAACATTGCTGCGCTTGATGGACCAGTGGGGAAGGGCCTTGCATAGCTCAGTGGTAAAACACCTGCCATGCATGCAGAAGGCCCTGGGTTCAATCCCCGGCATCTCCAGTTAAGGCTGGGAATGTCCTCTGCCTGGAAAGCTGGAGAGCTGATGACCGTCAGTGTAGACAGTGCTAAGTTGGATGGGCCATAATACAAGGCAGCTTTCTGTGTTATGTATGGGTTTGTTAAGGGCAGAGGTTTTTGTTATTTTCTGTTTATTTGATTAGCTGACTCTTTGGACCTATAAAAACAACTTCTCAGACAAGCTGAGGAGCTTGCAGATTTCTGGCTACCTGTATAATGAAATCTAATGCCAATTTATTAGCGTCCACCACTCCGAAAAAAACAGTCTAGATGGGGTAGTGGTACCCTAGCTATGGAAGTGTCTTACCAGAAAGTTGCACCTGGTGCCTTCTCCATGATATTTGCTAGGAAGCTTTTAGCTATCTGCTGCTTATGGTTGATCTTCATTATTATTTATTGTGTTTGTAATGTGAACATAAACATGGAAAGGAAAACTGAAACCTAGTAAATGTTGTGATAAGAGCTGCTTTAAAGTGTTTGTCGGTTTTTCAGAGGACTTGGTTTGTACAGCTTTACTTAACAGGGCTAATGCAAGCTTTGACAGAATTTGCTTAATTTGTATGGTGATTATCTACCCCCACCCCCTGCACACATGCAGTCTAACTGAATGTCAGTTCTTATAGGATCATTCTGAAATTAGAGTTGATCTAAACTGAAATGCCTTGAACTCGCTTGATGATTACCCCAGAAAATTTCACATTGCTGTGATAAAGCCCAGCATGCTTCTTTGAGCAGACACAGTTATTCTATTTTTAGGACAATGTGTCTCTGTTTATTCAGATCGAGATATTTGGTGATTTGACTTCTGGGCGTCATGCGGCATCCTCATTGCCAATGGGGTTTGGGTCACTGAGGTCCCTTAAAGCAATATTAGCTATAGTGTTTTGCGCAGAGTTCAGTGGTGCCAGGAGAAAGAGAGAGCACGCCCTGTATGGCTTTGGCCCAGCATAACTCAGAAAACTCTTCCTCTGTGCTCTGTCATGATTTCTCAGATCAGTAGCGTAGTACCTGGAGTGGCAAATTAGAGCAAACAACATGCAGAAAACTGTTTGCTGGCTGTTCCCTTTCTGTAGATGTTTGCCAGAGCCTGAGCATCTTCCAGAAGCAGACTGCAAACTTTGCTGCTTGGGGTAATGCACAGCAGCTGGTGACAACCAATGATTTTTCCTTTTCCTCCCCTTGGTATAGTTTTTAAAAAGAGTGTGTTTACCTTTGCGGAAGCCGTGCTGCTTCAGCATGATTTGTTCTTCTATGTGCTTGATAATTTCATCCTTAACTATGTTTTCCACCCATTTTCCAGCAACAGACACTAAGCTAAACAGCCTGTAATTTCCTGGATCCTTCCTGCATACCTTAAAAAAAAAATTACATTCCAGTCCTTGGATATGGAAGCTGATCACAGGGACATTAATATTTTTATTTAAAAGGTAAACGGTTTTGCATTTGAGTTCTTTCAGGACTTTTGGGTGGATGCCAGTCTGGACATGGAGATTGTTTTTAATTTCTGAATAAGTCCTGGAATTTTGTCTCTTGTCACCACCATTTGCCTCAGTTCCTGAGACTCCCTTCCTGAAAATTTCAGCACAGGTGCAGGGACGTGCCCTGTATCTACCACTGCGAAGACAGATGCATGGGGTGGGGGTGGGAAAATCATTTGGCTGCTTTGCAATCTCCTTTTCCTCCTTTAGCACACCTTTTACTCCCTTGATGCGTCTGCTGAACAAATGACAGCTGAGAGTATTTACAGACATTCTCCTGCAGTTGCTTAGGCATGGGTGCCACAGATGTGATGCCAATGGGATTTATCTCTGCATTTCTAGAAGCTGAATGCATTCTGCCTGCTCCGAACATGCTGAAATAATAATTTTTTTTAGGCCCATTAATTCTTACCTAGGTGGCAGAAAATGTCAAAGCTCAGAGATTTCAGAAGTGCCCTTTAATGCTTCTGAAAATCCTCTTTCCCCTCTCAGCAGCTACGGCTTTTTTATGTTTTCTAATAGCTTAATATTCTGAAGTCTGTTCCAATTAGCGCTTAACGAATGGCTTGTAGCTGTAAACTGGCTTGGAATTCAGTCTCCGAGAAACTCCTACATAAAGTCACACTCAGTCTGTTGTAAGGGTCTTTCAAGTTGCCTTTTTGTGCCTGAGCCCTAATAATAGTCTTAATAGACACAGTGCCAAGTCAACTGTAGTGTGGCCAGTGAGAGATGGGAGAGTCCACTCCAGCTTAGAGGAGGAGGCCTGGGAGAGAGAGAGAGGGAATGTTGTGCTTTGGCCATACGTCTTCTCTCATACCACCTCATTGTCCCACCTCTAAAGCCTCTTCAGAAGTTTTGCCTGATGGGAAGGTGTCCTTAAACTGCTGCCATAATCCCTCTTGCTTGTCTGGAGGGAAGACAGAGAGGTGTGCTTGCGTGTCTTGAAACCTCTGTGTGACTCAAATGTAGTCTTTGGACAAAGAGTAACGTCCATTGATTTTACCGTTTTGCTACTGACATGTGGCCCCTGGAATTGTGGCCCTTGGGTTGAAGCACGTTTCCTACCTCGTGGCTTAGACTGACAGTCTGGACTGAGGAAGACCTGCACATCTCTTGGAACTCTCTGTTACCACTCTAAGCCAAGTCTGCATATCTCCTATGCCAGGGTATAATGAAGAAACTGATGATTATCTAGCGTATATGCATGTATCAAACAGTCTTGTCACTCCAGAGGCTTGCCCCCTTCTTGAAAATCTAGAATTATATCTGTGAAGAAGAAGAAAATGTTACTTTGAAGGGTCAAAAAATATCCCAGCGGTCTTGAGGACCTGGCATATGATGCGGTTACATGAAATATTTTCTTTTCATCCCAGTAAAAAGGCTTTTGTCTGACCTTTTGGTTGTGGTTGCTAAAATTTCAGGCTGGTGCAAGGAATTCTGAAATATTTTTTTCCGCCACTTTCGGGCAACGCTATTAAACCAAAGGGTGGGATCCTTAAGCAACAACAGTACGGACTATAAATGATGCAATTATCTCTGTGACTTGAAACAGCCTGACTCCCTCCAAGTCAGTGAAAAGAAGTGAAATGGAAACAGCAGCCAACCAAGTTCACAACTGTTTCATCAACAATGGCACAAGATTTTAAAAAGACCAAGACAGGCTTCTGGCCAGGTCAGCATGCCACCTGCTTTAAGCATTTCACAAAGCAGAAACAACAGCTGTCAAGCAAGTCCCGGGTCTTTGCCAGCCCATTCCCACGTGTAAAGTGTGTAAAAGAATAAGTGTAGGTGTTCTTAATGCTCAGCTGCAACTTTATCCTTCATAATCTGCAGCAGCTCACAGTGAACGGCCGTGTGACCATCTAAATCAGTGCCTTAAAAGAAGCTCACATGCGTTTTTCTCATGTGGTTGTATATGAATGAGGTGGCTGCTTGTAGGTCCAACCATGCAATTCTCTAAGCATGGCTTCACATAAGCATGGCTTCACATAAGCAATCTCTAGGGAAACTTGGATAGCTCTCCATGGCATTCGCCTAGTGACCCACAGTGACTTAAGACATAGCTGTCATCAATGTGGTTTCCAAATAGAGGCTTGTACCTTGTGCAAGTTACCTGAAATTCCGTCAAATAAAAAAGTGGTTTGAAGAGAGGAGATTGTGCATACAGAATGCACACTGTAAATGGAAATAATCTCATTCCACCCTGTAAAATTATAGCAATGCACTTATTTATGTGCGTATCAAGAAAATTAAAAGTGAAGAAATCCAGCATGTCAAAATCAGTGTTACAATGAAATAATATAACTGTGTAATTAATACATATCAACTACAAATACAAGAACCAAAACTTGACAAGATTAAAGCCTGCTGTTCTTTAGCAGTGCCTCCAATCTGTTGCCTGAGGCAGGATTGCTTCTCTCTGCCTAATGGTAGGGCCAGCTGTGCCCTAATCCACGATGTTGTGTTCCAAAGGTTATCCAGACTTCTTATCAGCATGGATTGGCAGGATGTTATCTCTTGCAGCCTTTCCTAAATCCTAACACAACCATGTTAGCTGCTTTCAGTCTCTCCTGGAGACATGTGAGGCATGAAGTCTGACCTTCAGTTTCCCAGTGGTGACCTCCTCTGTTGCTGGTCTTCTGCAGTCATTGTGCCTTGCTTGCAATTCTATCAATCATTTTGCTGTATGAGCACCTCAAGGGTTTAGCTGGTGTCTCTACCACATCAGCCTACTTCATCCAGCTTTCCCTTAATTTTTCTAATCGGTGCTCTGAGTGTATTTATTATCTCCATCCATTGCCTTCAGGCCCTGTCCTTGGCTTTCCTCACTGCATATTTTCTCCCTCTGGGAAATGTAATTGCTGTGTTCAGGCTTATGCCTCATTTCCTGAAGGTTTTTGGCTGACTTTACATATTCTTCTAAGTTCAGGTTCTCTGCATTTTCCAGTTTGGTGCCTGTCTGGTCCATAGTTTTTTATTCCTCTTGCTTAAAAATAAAATAAAAAATAGATTGGCTTTTATCCTCTTCTTCTGCCGCCTCTTCTCATGGAGAGTGTTCATATGATGAGACCCTCTTCTTTGAACGTGTCTTATAAAGTGTGGGGGACAATGCAGAAGAGAACAAATTTGGGAAAGAACGAAAGAAAAAGCTGGACCTGTGAGTTCTGTATTTGCCCTGGTAAGCCTTTTCTGTAGTGTCCTTGTCAACTTTATGACGGGATCCTATGCGTGTTTACTAGGGTGTATAGTAACTCAGCCATATCAATATACCCATATATATCCTCTGTAAATCAGTATATCAACACACCGCTTTCTAGTCCCTCTCGTGTGTGTACAGTAATTGAGGGGAGGGGAATAGAGAACACTGGTACATGAATTTGAATACACATCCATCTGTGAGTACAGACAACCAGAGGTGTACCTGGGCTCCCTTTGCAAGGTGCTAATAGTGCCACCAGTTGACTGGGGAGCAGGCTCCATAGGGCTTCTGCGATGGCCCCCACTCCGAGTCATGGAGACATGCAATTCTTGCAGCCCCTGGACCTGCGCCTTTGGTTGGGGTCAACCTGGTCAACCCCTAGGTACGCCCCTCAGAGCAACACGAATAGTAGCTGCTGCTTTAAAGGACGTCATTGGTGAAGTTGTATACAATGGCAAACCCTAAAGGCACAGTGTGAAAAAACAATTCCTGTATGATTCAAAGGCTTTGTGTTGACACAGCCCCTTGGTGCCTCAGATTCTAGCCTCAGTCTCTTAGTCACACACAGGCTGAGGTCTCTACATTGTTTATTGCATTTCTTGCCCATCCTTCATCACAGGATGTCAGAATGGCGCACTTGGTTGTATTCTACCCTCGCCTTATTTTATCTCAGCAACAGGTCTGTTGGGTAAGGTGGACCAGAAGAGAGCAGCTGGCCCTATGTCACAGGGCAGTTTCATGACTGTGTAGGGATTTGCATGGGGTTCCCCCCCCCCATCCATGTCTGACACTCTTAGGATAGGGGACCTTTTCCAGCCTTGAGGCACTATTATCTTCTGGGCAAACCTCTGAGGACCACGTTCCAGTGATAGTTCAGGGACAGAGGCAATAGCAGGTGGAGCGAATGATATAAATTTCACATTGTACACCCTTGTGCAAATTAATTGAAACAAAGCATGTTTTCTATGCCACTTCGATCAGTCTGTCAAGCACCCACAAACAATATGCAAACAATGAATTTAGTACAGTCATTTATTGTACAAAATTCACATATACGTACATTAGTAATGGAAATGACCTCTGCTATTTTTAAGCAGCATTTGAACACCGTTTGGCATGGAGTCTACTAGTTTTGAACACTCACTGTTGATTTTTGGATCCCTGTACCACACTTGAATCAGCGCCTGAATGAGCTTCTCCATAGTCATACAGTCTACAGCACAGAGGCGACTTCTGCATATAGCCCACAAATTCTCAATGGGATTTATGTCTGGGGGATTCCCTGGCCAATCAAGTACCTGTATTTGCTGCTCTGTCATGAATTTCTTCACCACTTTCGATGTGTGACAGGGGAGTAGGTCCAGCTGCAATATCCCAGTACCGTCAGGATACTTCTTTTCCAACTCTGGAATAGCGCTCTTTCGTAGAACCTCAATATATTGTGGTGAGCGCATCCTTCCTTCTATTGGCTGCAGGCTTCCAACACCATAATAACTGACGCATCCCCAAAACATCTTCTTTTGTGGGTGCTTGACAGACTGATCAATGTCACATAGAAAACATGCTTTGTTTCAGTTAATTTGCACAAGGGTGTACAGTCAGGCTAGTTTCCATACACACCTTCCTTGTCTTCTATCCAGACAAGGCATTATCAGAGTTCAAGGACACAGGCAAGCCAGGCAAAAACACGCACGGTACAAAGCAGAGTCAGTGAGGGGTATGGCCTGGGAAGAGCTCCAGACCAAGAGGCTTGAAGGGCCACATTTGACCCCCACCCCCAGGTCTGAGGCTCCCTCCCCTTGCTCTGGTCACTGCCCCATGCTCTCTGGTGCCAGCCATTGTGAGCCTGGAGAAGGACTAGACAGCTCTGCAACACACATTGTGTTTGTTAGGGCTTTGCAGAACAGGAAGCTCTTTCTTTCTCTGAAGGCGAGAAATCCTTAAGGGTTTTGGTAGGGGATGGGAATGTGGGGACCTTTATGCGGAATATTATGAACTGTCCCGAAGTAGTCGCAGGAGAAGGCAGCCAGAACAAAGGATAGGAAATAAGTCAGCAAATTTTCTCAATAAGGGAGTTAAAATAGCAAGCGGCTCCTCATATTCACACACAGATGCATTCTGTTTAATGTTCATTTAAGATGCCTGCATAGGAAGTGGGCATCGCAAAAAATATTCAGTTATTCAGATAGACCCAAAGCAGAATACTGCTTGTTTGCTTATTTGTGGATATGTGTATCTTGTCTATGATAACATTCAAACTCCAAGCTGCTTACGATAATGATACAAATCATAAGAAAACTGAAAAGCAACTAAACAGTACAACAGGCAGCAGTAAAACATTCTTGTGAGCCAACCTTAGGGGTGTCCACATTCAACGCAACATGCTTCATGGGTGAACATGTCCCAAATGTGACTCTCCATTGCCAACACAATAGACAAGAGTCCAGTAACTCCAGCTTTCTGGGGGCTTTGGCCCTTCACACAGGTTCCTGCTCTCTTCCTCAGTTTATAATTTAAGGGTGCTGGGAATTGTAGCTCTGTCAGGGGTAAACTATAGTTCCCAGTATTCTTTTGGGGAAGCCATGTGCTTTAAATATACGTTGTGTATGTAACTTGGAGTTGCAGCCCTGTAGAGGCGGATTGGGGCCTTCTTAAAGTCATTCTGCCCAAGGCAATCCCCTGTAGATCTTTACCATCATTAAACAAGCTAAATCTACACCAGCAAACTTGCAATTTATTCTTACTGTTTCGTCATGCTTTTAATCTTCTTGCTCTTAAAATCACTGGCGCCTTATCTTTAAAACGACAGCACATAAGCTCACACTTGTATTAATTTTGCTGCAAAACTTCCAGCTGAGCAGGAGAAACTCAAATGGCCAACCCAAGTTCATTATCAAAGTTGCACATCTCTTCAGGCGGCATCTTCTCAGGTGACAGGTATAAAAATTAATTTGGTGACAGTCTGTTGATCACTGTGACGCATGTAGTCATACCTGCCTGATCCATTTAATGTTTAACCCCATGGGTCTTAGATGCAACTGAGCATCACTATGATGGCCAGAAATGCCGAATGGGCTGTTGTTTAATTTGAAGTAGATCAAATTAAAATGTTGATTTTATGTTAAAAAATAAAAAAAATAAAAATTGGGCTAATCTTTATCAAAAGTATTCTGTGGTTGCTGATTCAATAATAGAGGAAGAGGAATTTTACCCTTTCCTAGCAATGACATGAGAAAAATGCAAGCGATGGGTGTCAAGGTAGCAATATTCCCCTCCCACATTTGTCAGGTGTTGACAAAACGGGGGATCTGGGTCTACTGTAGGCAGACAAGGGGTCCAAGAACTAGAGCAGGGATAGGGAACCTGTGGCCCTCCGATTGTTTGTCTCCCATCATCCCTGATCACCGGCCATGCTAGCTGACTTGATGGGAGTTGGAATCCAGCAACTCCTGGTGGGCTTCAGGATCTCCATTTTTGGACTAGAGGTGGAGGACGTGGTCTAAGACATGCTGGAGGTCCAGGTCAAGCCAGCAAAGGTGACCTGTGTGCTACTTGGGGGGAACAAATGGCTTAGACCAGCCTGTGCTGGCTAGAGTTGCTGAGAGTCGTAGTCTCAAACAGCTGGAGATCACCAGATTGGTGAAGCCCAGCTTAGACTGATTAGCTGGGCCCCATAGTGTTGCATATATGTCACAACAGTCTTGGAATGACTTTGAACTTGACATTTTAGACGCCCGAGTATAGCTGATTTACTGCTTGGCTCTGGACATTTTTCATACATTCACATAGCATTTTAGACAGCTGAAATTGGTGTGTTGCACAGGCTTGCTCATGGTCCCATTTTTGTGTGTGCATGGAGAAATCACACATTTATTTTTGTATATGGTTTTTTTTTTGTCTCTGAGAAGCTGGCAAATAGGCATGTCCCAGTTGGCCCCAGGGGAGGTTGTGGCTCTCCAAATCTTGCTGTCCTCCCAGTTCCCATTGGCTCTAGCCAGCAAGGTCAACAGCCAGGAATGAATGGAGTTTTAGGGCAACAGTGTCTGGAAGACCACAAGTTTCCCCCTCCTGCTCTAGAGCAACTGCTTCTTTCAGCAATTTTAACCTTCAAAACTGTTTCCAATGAAACAAGTTGTAGTATTTATTTATTTTTAGCTGTTAAATAAAAAATGGTTAATGTTGGGTACTTTTCCTCATGGTTTGTTGATAGTTTCTGCTGTACTTAAGTCATGCTTTTTAAAACAAAAAAAAGACTAAACAACAAACCAGATGTTAGAAATAGTAATGTGCAGGCTTTCACTTTGTCAGGCTTATAATGTCATGCAAGTTGACTCGGTGTGCTTATACTAGCAGTTTCACAATTACAATTCCATATGGATTTTGCTCTATATTTGGAAGCACAATCAAATTCTTCCATGAGACAAGCCAGCCAGTTAGCCCATGGATGGAAACTCACAATACCAATGGGGTCCTGATTTTTGAATGGGTTTGAAAGCTAAAAAAAATAGCAAGCTAAAACAAAAAACAAGAAACCCTGCCCTTGCATAGAAAGAATTAAACTAAGTTATTATAACACACTCATTATGTGGCTTGTGGGGTGAATTTCAGTGGAGTCGTTATATATAGAAGCAGTGGTATGTTTTGTCTTACAGACACTAGAGATATAAATGTTAAGGATTTGGTTTGGACAAGTTGAGGTGTTGTATTGAATTTTGCTACTTATGCTAGTCATCTTTGGCTAAGCAAGGCCTTTTTTGTAGTGGTCCCAGTACCATGGAATGAGATGCTTCAGGAGGTGCAATTATGTACCTTACTCCCTGTAAATAGGAAGCTAGTATGTCAAGAAAGAGACTGGACCTGAACCCTTCTGCCTGATACACTAATGTTCCATGTGCGGGGGATCAGACTATACAGTTGTACCTTGGGTTACAGACACTTCAGATTACAGATGCTTCAGGTTATAGACAGCGCTAACCCAGAAATAGTACCTTGGGTTAAGAACTTTGCTTCAGGATAAGAACAGAAATCGTGCGGCGGTGGCGGGAGGCCCCATTAGCTAAAGTGGTACCTCAAGTTAAGAACAGTTTCAGGTTAAGAACAGATCTGCGGAACAATTTAAGTTCTTAACCTGAGGTACCACTGTATTTGGAGAAGGTCTGTAGCATATATTGTTTTTGCGTGTTTGGCTCCTAAGAGTATAACTAATCTGGCAACTTATGCTTCAGGTTTGTCATTTTGTGTTGCTCAATAGAACAGAAATGCAAATAGAAGTCATAAGTGCAACCATGCTGCCCACAAATATTAAGATGGCAAGGGTGAGGCCACCCTGTTCTCATTCAGTGGCCAAAGAAGGATCAGCTGAGATGAACTTGCTCCCCACTCCAACCTGTCGAGGGGAGAACCTCTCTGCCCCACTGCTAGTTAGCATACTCTGGACTCAACCATTGGCTAGGACTGAGGTTGACAACACGAGTCCCTCCAGATGTTGCTGCCCAATGGCCATGCTGGCTGGGGCTAGTGGGCATTGGAGTTCAACAACATCTGGAGTGGAGCACATTGGGAACCTCTGGACTGGGGGACTAAAGCCTGCTAGGTTGTGTGACTCTGGTGTTAATGTGTCCCTATTATTCTATTATATTTTGTTTAAAATATAGCCCATTGTTTGTCTGCTGATCCCAGGGTGGGTTACGAATCACACAAAAATTAAAACAGTGCAGAGAAGATAAATAAATTGCTATATTTAACATGGTATCATAAACAACCCTAAAGCTACAGAGAATCTTTCTTCTATAGGCTGGAAAAACGGAACAGGGCGGCATAAATTTCTGGGCAAATAAATGTGTTTCCATCTATCGTAAGTCGCCTTGAGGATCAATTGAATGGTGTCGAGAGATAAATCTTGTAAATAAATGTGTACAGTTCCACCAATAAAGCAAATGCATTTTTAAACTAGTGTATGATAATGCCAATTTGCACAATACATGATCAGTTAATCATGTAAAGAATCCTAATGTTCTAATGTTTTTAAGTAGGAATATACTAGAGAACTGTTGTGTGGGAAGTTGTTTGATTATAGTAATGCAACAAATGGACTAAACCTGAATTGAACTTGAACTATAAAATGGTGAATATTGGGCCCTTTTCCTAGTGGTTTCTTGACACGCTCTGCTCTTCAAAAACTGTACTAAAATGTTTTAAAAGCAAACAAAGCAGATGTTAGATATAATAACATGCGGACTTTCACATCAGTGTGCTTATTGTGCTATACCAGTTGATGTAGTGTGCTCATATTAGCTGCGGGGAGAGTGCTAGATGCCATATTTGAATGGATCTGCATCACGTCCTTACAGCAATTTCCTTCTTGGGTTATTGCCAGTCAAGACACTGACTGAATTCTGTTACACCAGATGTCAAGTGGACTCCACCAAACCTCTGGCTCCCTCCGAGCCTAAACTTGTGTGATTAAAACCCGTATCTAACACAAGCAGAAATCAATAAATGAATCAGTTCTGTGCTACATCTGCAGCTTGCTAAGTGCAATATATTGTGCCATGTAGAAATCCTTTTTACATAAACTTTCTATGGGGGGGGAGAGAGATTCACTCTGATGAATTTGATTTCATCTTACTATTTATTGTTCTTACCTAAAGAACAGAAAACAGCCCCCTGGCTTTATCTCAATTTAGAGTTAGACTTCCAAGTTGGAATTAAAATGTAAACTGGAAAATGTGTATAATGCAATTTAGTATCCCTAGACACAGATCAAATGTTGCACCTTATTATAGAATACTTAAGTACTTTTTAATTGCAATGTAAGGTAACGATAACATTCTTGATTAGCATTCCAAAGCAGATGTGGAGAATCTTTGGCCCTCCAGATGTTACTAGACTACAACTCCTATCAGCCCCAGTCAGCTTGGCCAGTCGTCAGGGCTGATGGGATTTGTAGTCCCATCTGTAGGGCCACAGGTCCCCCATCCCTGAATTACATCTACCATCTCTATGCTACCTAATTGTAGTATATGGCAGAGATATTCTCTTCAGTGAAAGACTCTTGTTTTGTGTTGCGTTCATTTGACTTGACAACTTATTACTAGTTTTTCATCTAATACTAATGTATTCTTGCTTGATATCATGGAATATGGACGTTCAAGTATGTAATCTATGTGTGTGTTGTTTCTGGATCTTAAGACATGCAGTCATCCATTTAGGCTATAAATGACAGGTATTCCTTGAGTCGTTTTATTAGTCAGCAGCGGAAAAATATGGGGACCACATTTTGCTAAGCTTTTTAAATAATAATAATAATAATAATAATAATAATAATAATAATGCCAGCTTCTTGTACCATGTTTAGGAAATGTTAAGTTTCTTTCCCTTAATACATATTTGGGAAGGTGATGCTGGAGAATTCAAATCTGTCAACAACGACAAAAACCCACAGCACTATAAACAAATAGTAGCTGTAGCTGTGAAATATGCTCCAAGATCTTCAATATAATATGTGAGAATAAGTATGGTTCCAAATATGCTGTATAGTTATGGCTGCCAAGTGGTATGAGTTGAATGGTTGAATAATGAAGTTTTGTGATACTTCTGTATTATGCTTTGTGCTGATTGGGGTTTTCTTATTCTCTGTGCATGAGCAAACTGCCTGAAATTGACGTTGGACTTGATAATCTCGGATCTCTTCTGTTCATTGTGTAGGCACCACCACAGTCTGCCAAGACATTTGGGTCCTTGTTAAAGATGACTAATGCTGGCTTTTCTTTTTTAACAAAAATGTGTTTTAATCATGTTATTCTTGTAAGGCCACATTGCAAAGAGATTAGATATTTCCCCCTAGAATTTGTAATTCTTAAGAATTAAAGTCTAGGTCTTTCATGTTGAGAAGCAGCACTATTTTGACAAGAGTATAAAGACCTCTTCAGTTCTATAAAGTATTTATCGTTTATGCATTTATATAAGAGCTAGCCTATTTTTTAATAATTGCTCGGTCAATTGGATGGTATATTGCTCTTTATTAAATTTATATCCCACCTTCCCTCCCAAAGGAACCCAGGGTGGCAAACAACAAGCAATAAAGCATCTTAAAAGCATCTTTGAAACAATTCCAGTACAGATGCAGACTGGGAACGTGCACAGGCTACATATTGCTATGGCTCCTGTAAGAGCGTATTTCCTAAATACATTTGTCAATCAATGGCTCCTATACTGCCTTTCTTCCTGGTGGTGCACCTTACGAATCTTCTTACAGCAGTAAACTTGGATGCAAAACTCAGGTAGTACAGAAGTGGCTAAACTTTTCCAGTCAGAGGGCTGTGTTCCCTTCTGGCGGCTCTATCCCAGTGGGGGGTCCCAGCCTGATGCAATGGTGGGCAGGGGAAGAGGAAGGGGGGTGCAGTGGGGGCGGTCCGCCCCGAGTGTCACCACTGAGGGGGGGTGACAAAATGCCAGACGGCACTCACTGCCGGGGCCTGCAGCACGCCTGAGCCACGTATCCTGGGAGAGACATGGTGGCTTGGGCACGCGCAGGCTCCCCGTTGCCCAAACGGTCCGTCGGCTGCCCCCACCCAGCTGTAGGGCAGCTGAGTGGGAGGAGGGAGGTAGACTCCTCGGAAGTCCCATGGCGCATCCTGCCCCGCCCCGCGGGCGGCTGGCCCTGCCTTTGGCCGCAGGGCACACGTGCCACCCCAGGCACCCGATCGGCTTGCTCCATCACTGATGGTGGGTGGAACAATGGATGTGAATCTTGGTACATAGGCTACATTTCAGCCTTCAAAAGTCAGAGGGTCCTGACTTTCCATGCAGGCATGCAAGAGGTGTTGCCACAGTTCTAGGACTTCTTCCGGCCAGGCAAAAATACTGGAGAAGCAGGCAGAGCAGAGCCAGGGAAATACGTTCTGGCTATGGAGAGTCCTGAAAGCCAAATAGAGAATCCTGGAGGGCCTCATTCAGCCATCGGGCCTGAGATTCCTCTCTTCTGTGCTAGTAGAAAGCCACTTCCACTTTTGGAAGGCCTGTTTGTAGCTTAACAGATGAGTGTGGGTGAGGAAAGTCACATCTAATCCAGAAAAGTAGGTCTTTTCAAGACTTTTTTTTTTTTGAGGGGGCGGGTAGGCCTCAAGAACAACCTTCCTCCAAAGTGGTTCCCCAGATATTGTTGGATTATATTACCTTTGGCCACTGGGCATGCTGGCTAGGGATGATGAGCTTTGTGGTTTGTCAACATCTGGTTGGGCAAGGATGGCGAAGACAGCACTGGATCATATTTATTATCTGCCTGCGTCATCTTTATTCACTCCTGCTGTCATGCAAACTCTAGAAACACTGGTACATTGCACTCTGGCCAAGTCTTCTGCTTTGGCCTGCACAAGAGTTCACAGAACAGCATGGATATATTTTTATCTTTCTGCTCGTGGTTCTTTGGATCCAAGACAGTGGCTGCTAGCTTGTCCACCTGCAAGTTCCTTCCTCTCTGACAGTTGGCCTGAGTTGCTATGATGGAAACCTGGCGAAGAGGTGGGAAAGCATAAAGATGAATGTTGGGTAGAAAAAGTAGTTCTGAATGTGAAGACAATTTGGGGCCAGGGGAAAAAAGGGAGCAGGAGGAAAGAACGGAGCCTTTCAACAAAAGGTGGAGGAGTTAGGGTGCAAGGGAAATGGAGAAAATAAATTGGAGGTGCCAAAATTGTTTGAGATATTGTGTAGTCACCAAATGCTGCGGTTGTAAAATTAGGGATTTGGGTGGGATTTTGGTGAGAGGAGGTACAGAAGGATAAGGAGGGCTCAATTTAGAGTAAAGCTATTAGAATAAACCTTGGTTCTTATCTGTAAACTGATAGGAACCCCCCATGCATACTATGCGTGCTCTAAGCCCATTGTTGTGGCAATGTTGAGTTCATTTGACAGCTGTTAACAAAAGCTTTGCAGGGGGGAGAAAATCCCTTTAAGGTCGTGGTGCCTGTCACAGTGTAATAAAAAAAAGGCACACGTTATTTTTTTAAAAAAATGTAATCTCAAGGACTGGTAACACGCACACGTACAGCTGTCAAACTGTCAAAATCCTCTCTTTGAACTCTGAAGAGACTAGGAAGGCAAGGGCAGATTTAAGGTCTATCTATGTGTAACACGCAAATATCACTTCAAACATATGTTTAGAAACCCTCCAATAGGAGAGGGAGCAGGGACAATTTGAAGTGGAGAAGTGGGCATATATGCATTTTAATAATAAGGTTGTATATATATATAAATGTAACATGCAAGATGCTGTACTCTAAATCTCCATGGCAAAGCTCCTTTTCTTTTGTTGCATGCATGTACACTGAGCATGTGGCTCTGCCCTTACTTGTCCTACGTGAGCCTTAGGCCCTTAAACAGCCTTCTGTGTCTTCCTTTCAGTGTCCTTTCATCAGCAGACCATCCCCCGAATACCCCAGGGTTGTGGTCATTTTTGTAGGGTTGTGATTCCGCTTCTAAAATACTCACATTCAAAGCTCCACAAAGTTTGGCTGGCCTTTGTGGCACACCCAACATCAGGACCATGACTTCTAAAATATGTGCTTCTAAAATATAGGTCAGGGACGATGCCCTCCACTCTCCAAGCCCTTGCTAAGAGACCAGGCCGCTCACCTGTGCCACCAACCTTCAGGTCAGAGATGGGTGAGACATGTGAAGGACTTGCTGTGTAATCCGAGGGCCTCTGCTCACATCTTCCAGCTTGAGGCCAGAGAAGATAGGCAGAGGCTTGCTTTGACTCCGTGCTTGTCATTCATTGAGACTCTGGCCGAGCACAGAGCCAGCAAACCCCAGGCCTCATCTGAAGGGGAGACATGCAGAAAGTGCATCAGGGGAGCAGGAAAGCCATGAGCTCATGGTGCTTGTTGGAGACTCACCTTGGCAAGTGTGGCTACTGAAATTGTACAGCCCTGCAAATTGTTGTTATTTTCCTAAATTCAGAAGTTCCCTCATTGTAGTTAGCCAAAAGTAAGATTTTTCACGTGAGTTTTTGGCTTTCTGATCAGAATTCACAGGAAAACTTACAATCACATTATTTATCAAAACATTAATTTGCTCAAGATTCAGGTAGGTAGCTGTGTTGGTCTGACACAGTTGAAATATATAAAAAAATTAAAAATTGTCCAGGCAAACCTTAGAGACCAACTAAGTCTGTTCTTGGTATAAACTTTCGTGTGCATGCACGCTTCTCCAGATACACTGAAACCCTTATATGAGGGTCTGGTGATTTCGGTTTCAGAATAAAACAGAATATAAGGGTCTGGTGACTTCTGTTTCAGTGTATCTGGAGAAGCGCACATGCACACGAAAGCTTATACCAAGAACAAACAGTTGGTCTCTAAGGTGCTACTGGACAATTTTTTTATATATTTCGATTAATTTGCTCAGTTGGTCTCTTGTCACACAGAAACGCAGGTTTGTACAATGGATTGTAAGTTCTGAAACAAATGATAGTAGCTGGCCAACTTCCAAAATGTTACAGTTCCTACCACTGACAGACCTCCTGTCTCACCTGCTGCCAATTTTGAACTTACTACATGCATCATACAAATGCATCTTAAACAACAGTGAAATCCTAAAGAGCCAACATGCTCATGGCAATAATAGGCATAACAGCACAATCCTAAAACATGATTACTCAGATGTAAGTCCCATTTAGTTGATAAGCAGGCAAAGGATTTCAGCTTTAAAATGCCATTGAAGAAACTGAAGACTTGTTTTCTCCTCACTTGGGAAACAGTTTAAAAATGAACTATGTGTGCCTGTGTGTGATTGATCTTATCTATAAAAGGGAGAGGCACTCAGTTTTCTAACTCAGTGTTCAGGCTGCTTTAATGCTAGTTTAAAATCTCTTCCATTATATTCCATTACTGTGTTTTGTAAAGGTTTAAATAATATATGAAGAGGCACAGATGCTCAGTGAAGTTTTTTTTTAGATCTTAACAAAGTAAAATGAAAGGAACTCTGTGTGCTTCAGATACAGAACTTTTTACTTGTTGGAAAGTAACTTACTTGGAATCTGAAAATTCAGACAAGTAACCTGTTGACCGCAATGTAAATGTGTGCTTGAAATTCATTTTTATATAAACATGTGAAAAGCACACACTTGTGCTGCTTTTTTTGTATAACTTCACATTTTGTGGGATGCACAAATAAATTATTATGTATGATTGAAAATGCCAGCTAATTTCACCACTTTTGTTCTTTGATGGATAGTTGAGCCAAGATTGATCATAGGCCCCATACACACTATACATTTAAAGCACATTTTAAAGAGTCATGGCTTCCCCCAAATAATTCTGGGAGTTATAGTTTACTAAGGGTGCTGGAGGGTCATAGAGATGCAATTCCCCCTGTGAAGGATTGGTTGTTAAGCCACTCTGGGAATTGTAGCTCTTTGGAGGCTATTGGGGGTTTCCTAACAACTTTCAGCATCCTTACCAACTAAAGCTCCCAAAAGATGACCCCTAGTCTCCTCTCCCTGAGTGCTCTCTCACATGCAGAAGTTACGGATGGGCAAAGGGTGTCGGTGATGACAAATAATATTTGGCTTATGCTCCAAGCCAGAACATGTGGATTGCTGCATAGTGATTGCTGTGCTTTTTTCTTCTTTTTATTACTGTTTTAGCATTGTTCACTCAACAACTGACTTTTTGATGTTAGATAAATAGCAATAATCATATAATCTCAAGAACTAACTTCAGTTGTTTCTTTGTGCACTAGCTTAATGGCCCACCAAATGGAGGTACCTTTTTCACCATCAGTGAAGTAATTTGAGATGATTGAGCACTCGTTATTAACGAGCAAATGGATTTATGGATCGGACTATAAATGCTGACATTCTCTTTTTAAGCATGTAGGTTGGGAATATGAGTGTAACTGGAGCACAGTTTCGGCAGTCATTCAGAATTTTATAACTCTGCACATTTATAACTTTGTGGATATGAAGCTGATTTAATTTAACTTGGTAGAGGTTTCCCCTTTTTGTTTTTACAAAAATGTAGCAAATAAATTGCCTGTTCTGTGCTGTTCATCCATACATATAATAGAGTAAAAGCTGCAGATTATTCATGCTGGACTGGATGGAACCCTTGGGTGTGAATGAGAATATCCAACAAAGACCCATAAAGCAAAATTGTACTATTCGGTTTCCATTGGTGTCATAGTGTATTAGACTTGTTTTTCCTAATTGGGGTTAAAATGTATAGAACGGAAAGGGAAAAACTTGTGTATTGGAACTCTTGGAGAGACATCATGTGGACAATATCCAAGGGCTAAACATTCTAATATGGAGATACTCTCTGAAGGCTCTTAAAGAGAGTTGACAGTGATTGGATAAAATAATAGGGAGCAAAGATTAGGGAAGTTAACCACTCTGCTTCCCCTCCAATTTACTGTGGCTGCATACACCATACATTTAAAATACTGGTTTCCCTCCAAAATAATCCCTGGAACTATAGTTTAAGGGTGCTGGGACTGTAGTTCTGTGAGGGGTAGATTGCAGTTAGCACAGTTCTTTGGAGGAAGCCATATGCTTTAAATGTATGATGTGAACATTGCCTGTAACTTATTTGTTCACTCATAATTCACATTTGCCAACGCATAGTGCTCCTGTGATTTCTTACTCTTCCTTCCATTTCTCGTCACTTCCTAAACCTGGAGTTGTTAACAATGGAGGGAAGCACATAGCCATGTTCTTACGAACCTCTGTTAGGAGGACTAGAGATGTTTACAGAATTCATAAACGATCTGCAACAGTGAGGCAGCCAAATTGCTTAGGATGCCAAATTCAGGTACAAAATGGTGTGCCTCTGACTGACTGTAACCAACCAAGGAGAAAAACTTGTGGTCTCCATAGAAAGCTTTCTGAAAAGCTCCACTTAGAATTTACTGGAGGTGGTGGAAAACATTGTAAGGATGTTTGAAATCACAAAATTACGGTACATTCAGCAAGAAATTCTCTCTCAAAATGCTTGAACTTCTGGTCATCCCCGAAAACCTTGCTGAATAGGTAGCAAACAAGTATGCTCTGCTTGCTGAATATTTTGTAGTACCCAGCTACCTGTTGTCTGGTACTTTTGAATTTCTGACCCACACCCTCAGGCAAGAGTGGCACTGAGCTCAGCCAATAGGACACTAGCTTTAAAGTTGGGGGACCATAAAGAGCACTGGAGTGGCCACGGGGTGGACCAATCCCTGGTCAGCCCACCCCCTCACTGCTCTCCTTGTCCCTGCAACTGCAAAGTGTTTTATTGACTGAGCTCCATGCCACTCTCAGTGTGGGATGAGGAAATGGTAGACAGTTGGAGCCTCGGCTGCTGATACAACTGTTCATGTGTTACTGCTGCTTATTGCTATTGTGCCAGGGAATCTCTGGGGTCATAGAGACGAAGCTGGCCTGCAAAAGGGCACCAGACCTGCACCCTGTAGTCTGACACCACAGAGTATAAGTATTGTTCTTAAAAGGGATGGTCATCTCTCGTCTATCCCACTGGTGAATTACCTCAGCCTGTTGAGTTTGATGGATAAAGATTTATGGGCGTGGTGCTTCCTACTCCTGTTAAAATAGGATCTGCCTACACAACATTTTCATGTGTCCAGCTGAATGAGTATACAAGACCACAGTTGTTGGAAATAAATAAGGGGGGGGACCATATATACTTCCTTGAGTTTCTTAGAGAGAAAAAAGTGTATAAAGGCAATAAATAAAGGATTTGTTTACCGTATTTTTTGCTCTATAAGACTCACTTTTTCCCTCCTAAAAAGTAAGGGGAAATGTCTGTGCGTCTTATGGAGCGAATGCAGCCTGCGCAGCTATCCCAGAAGCCAGAACAGCAAGAGGGATTGCTGCTTTCACTGCGCAGTGATCCCTCTTGCTGTTCTGGCTTCTGAGATTCAGAATATTTTTTTCTTGTTTTCCTCCTCCAAAAACTAGGTGCGTCTTATGGTCTGGTGCGTCTTATAGAGCGAAAAATACGGTATTTTGTGAGAAGGAGCAACATTTCCTTATGAGGAAACATTTCCTTATGAGGCAGCTAATATATATTTCAATGCCCGTTAATATTAGTGGAGTAAAGGGACCCCTGACCATTAGGTCCCACTCTGGGGTTGCGGCGCTCATCTCGCTTTATTGGCCGAGGGAGCCGGCGTACAGCTTCCGGGTCATGTGGCCAGCATGACTAAGCCGCTTCTGGCGAACCAGAGCAGCGCACGGAAACGCCGTTTACCTTCCTGCCGGAGTGGTACCTATTTATCTACTTGCACTTTGACGTGCTTTCGAACTGCTAGGTTGGCAGGAGCAGGGACCGAGCAACGGGAGCTCACCCAGTCGCGGGGATTCAAACTGCCGACCTTCTGATCGGCAAGTCCTAGGCTCTATTGTTTAACCCACAGCGCCACCCGCGTCCCCTATTAGTGGGGTAAGAACTGCTAAATTTCATTGACCCCGCTGGCCATTACATTTAAAGTCCATTGATTTCTCCTGCCCACCCTGGGCCCTGTTCCAGCAAGGAAATTTTTACATTTTTTTCTTAACTATGATCTGTTCCAAGATGCAAGATCAAAATAATTTGTTAGTTTGCCCCTTTGATCTAAAAATTATCTCTTCAGTTACCCTATCATTGTTGAGCACTGTGTAGTACGGACCCTGGGTGGATGTATTCAGCTGAGGAATAATTCAGGATGATTTGGAGGCGAATGGGGGCCTGCCTGACATTGAAAACAGGATGGAGGAATAAATGATAGCTATTATAAACGACTGTAGGTTATGCTAGAGGAGTTTTATTATAGTAACGGCTAAATAGGTTTTCTGCGCCCGTCCTGTAATTTAATGTCTCTATTAATTATCTGGAAAAGGGCTGTGCAGCAGTTTAATTAAGCATTTTCCATTGAACAAGGAGACATAAACATGGCAGAGTGCAAATATAAGCATTTATGTTAAGAAATGCTAAGAGCGTGTGTAGGTAGGAAAGCAAAGTAAGCGAGATCTGATATGAGAACAAAAATAAACTGGATAAATGCAATTAAAGGGGTGGCGAGTAAAGACATATGCTCCAGACCAGGGGTAGGCAACCTAAGGCCTGGGGGCCGGATCCGGCCCAATCGCCTTCTAAACTCAGCCCGCGGACGGTCCGGGAATCAGCGTGTTTTTACATGAGTAGAATGTGTCCTTATATTTCAAATGTGTCTCTGGGTTATTTGTGGGGGCTGCCTGGTGTTTTTACATGAGTAGAATGTGTACTTTTATTTAAAATGCATCTCTGGGTTATTTGTGGGGCATAGGAATTTGTTCCTTTCCCCCCCAAAAAATATAGTCCAGCCCACCACATGGTCTGAGGGACGGTGGACCGGGCCACGGCTGAAAAAGGTTGCTGACCCCTGCTCCAGACTGATTCTCTGCAAACTCTGTTGCATATAACTGAAAAGTCTATTCCTGGCATCCCTGGAAGGTGTGCTGAAATACCGTGCTGTACTTTACATACTTTCTCTGGGTCCGACACAGAAATCCTGCCAAGCAGAAACAGTGCTGGCATCAGCTCAGAGTTGCGTGTTTTAAGAATTTGTGGAAAGGGAATCAGTTGGGTGAGTTAATTTTCCAAGATGCTGCTTCTGCTGAATGACTATGAGGTTTATTTTCCTGTGTGCCTTTCCTTCATCTAAAAAGGCAGAAATTATCTTTGTGGTAGTACGCAGATGCTTTTGGGGCCGGCCATCACCTTTGCAAAATGGAGAAACTGCCATGGATACCACAACTATGCACACACAACCACCACCAACCCACAATTGTTTCCTCACCCACCTGCCACTGCCAGCAATTAGGCTTGGGAAAATGTGATCTTCCTGGAGAGTTCAGCTGGGGAGGAAAGAGGTAACCTTACCTCCCTTAGTGCAGTCTCCAGGAAGATATCACATCAACCACAACAGGTTTGGAGCCAATAGAAGGGGTGGCATTTGCAGGTGGGGGGCAGTTTCCAGCTAGGCAGGGAAGGGGTAACTTTTCCCTACCCAGCTATAAGCCCCCCACCCAAATATTCTCCTCTATTGTAAGCAGGCTTCAAAGAAACCTAAGAGTGTAACTGATAGAAAGTATCTTTGAGATGTAATTGCATCGTGGGGTTGGCTTGGTGTTTGTGGTCACAGCTGGGGAAAGGGGAGTTAATTCTTCCCTCCTGAGGTGTAAACCTCCCCCCCAATGCCTCTGTTAGGCTTGAAAGGTCTAATCCCAGTGGGGTAGAGAACAAACCCTATAGGTACCACAGAAGGCTGGTTAGCTTAGTACGTAGGGCACGAGACTCTTAATCTCAGGGTTGTGGGTTCAAGCCCAACCTTGGGCAAAATATTCCTGCATTGTAGGGGGTAAGACTAGATGACTGACGTCCCTTCCAATTCTACGATTCTATAACCCATGGGCACTGTGTTATGGCCCCATGACATAAGTTCTGCAACCTTATGGGTTGCTTCTGAGTCACGTTAAAGCAAGAATGGGTATGTTTCAACAGCGGTAAGGAAAGGGCCTGTAGCTGAGTGGCAGAGCACATTCTCTGCATGCAGAAGGCTGCAAGTTCAATCCCTGCTGTCTCTACCTGAAAAGGTCAGGTGGCTGGTGATGGGAAAGACCTCCGTCTGAGGCCCTGAGGAGCTGCTTCCTGTCAGAGGAGACAGCAGTGAGCTTAATCAACACATAGTTTGACCTGGTACAAGGTAGCTTCCTAGGTTCCTAAAGTTTCCCAAATGCGGCTTTCTCTTTTTCACCCCTACAAGCATCAGATCTTTAACATTTTTCAATCGTCAGTGCTCCCTTCTCTCCAACTTGTGACCCAGCTTTGCTTCTGCTAGGTATTTACATACACATGACTTTACTGGTGCTGGAAGTCATGTGCAGATTAATTATTAAATATTTTTTTCTTAAGTAGGGAAAGGCTTGAAAAACACCCACTGTAGAGTGGGTTATTACAGAATACTACTAGATTATCAATTTGAAAAATGTATTAGAGTTTATTATCTGGTAATATGCATACAAATTAATGCCTCATTTCTGAAAATGTTGCAATTGGTTTCTCATATCTTCTAATTGTTTTTCAAGAAACAGATTGTATTTTAAAGGGATCTCTTTCTAAAAATATGCTATGGGACAAGTTCAGGACATCCAGCCTGGTATTTTCTTATGGTATCATCATGCAATAACAGATATAAAATAGGTGTTTATTTATTCCATAGAATTTATATACCACTTGATTGTAAAGCAAAACTTCAAAGCAGTTTGTTGAAAAAGATATTATGGTTCGGCATCTAAAAAGATCAAATATAAGACCATTAATGTGGCTATAACTATTTGTTTCAAGTTATTTATGAGTGTGGTTTTAATCACACAACAGAAGGACATCCACAGACTATGCCACCTTCTGGTTTTAAAAATTAAAAGAGAATTCTCCTGGGCTTGCAGTAAATTAGATATTAGGAACCAGATAGTGTAGGATTTGGAAATTCCCCTCTTACAGATGGGCACCGTATTACAGTATTTTTCCATCTTGGTGACAAAACAGTTTGGCAGCTAGTTGCCATTGGAGATAATGTAGGAGTTACTTAAGTCCCTTATAGAACAATCACTTATTTTGGGTAGCAGCACTTGAATTATTTTTGAATATTTTCATGTATTGCATAACCAATCCAGATTGCTCCCAACATGTTCCCAAAGCCCATACTGTGTTTACAGATAAAATGCCATGGAATATATGCCCATTCAGGTTGACATTTCCTTTTGCATTGCACTTTTCCTCATTGTGAAATTGGCCAGTTCAGATCAAGTGGTGTTCGCATTAAATTTATTTGCTGATGTGTGTATAAACGTGTCTATTTGGGCAGATGCAAAGAAAGAACTTAGTGACAATGTTTTTGTTTTGTTTTTGTTTTTTAAATGATATTTATTAAAGTTACAAAAAATAGAAGAAATACAAAATACAGAAAAAAGAGTAAATTTTTTTAAAATATAACAAAAAAGTAAAGGATAAAAAGAAACATACAAAATAAAACAGTTAAAAAGACATTAATTTTCCAAACCTATCTTCTCTAGACTTATTTCCCCGGACCTCCTCGTACCTCCCTTTTTGTATTCCAGTTCAGTTTGTTAGTTCAGCAAATCCTTACCATTAAACTTTTGCCCAATTGTAAGCCTTTTTTCATATCTCTTAAAGCATTACAGCTAAAAAGCTCTTAGTTTCTATCCAACATCCTTCTAAGGTTCCTTAGTGACAATGTTTTTGTTGACTTCTGTTTAGAAAATGGCGAATAGATGCAACAGTGGGACAGACTGAACCTAAATTTGGAAAACTTGAGAGATGAGGGCCTGAGAAAAATTATGGTCATCTTATTCTTAGGTGAAGTGTATCCTTTCAGAGCTATTGCTCAAGGGATTGTAGGGAGAAGGGTACAGTTGGACCAAGATGTAGTATCAGCCAACATTTAAGCCACAAATAGCCAATGTGGTACCCTATAGATGTTAAATTAGATATTTATATCCCCTTTTATATTAAAATAACACTCAAAATGACTTGTTGGACTGCAATGGAAATCTGGCCCAGTGAGCCATGGAAGTTCTAGTCTAATGGAAGGCACCGTGTTGAATATCTCTGATTTAATCCATGATTATGCCACTGTTTCTCTGCCTCAGTAAAGAAGTACATTTGGAAATCGGGATTGATCCCACCTGGAAAGTCTTAAAGCAAACATCATGTTGAACATTTGTTATCCAAACACATTCTGTGCCGACAGTGAAAGCTAATGGCTCCATCCTCCCTAGATCAGCACTTGTCTGGCAGCCAAGAAACCTAGCTGCTTGCCAAGTGACTATTTCAAGTTGTTGCTTTGGGACATTTCATGGAAGAGCCTTTCTTTTTAGCAAACGTGTTTTAAACAGCGGAAAAATCTCTGTTTGCCAAAACATATGGAGCAGCGAGGATTCGTGTCTAATCAAATGTAGGTTTTTCCTGAACTCTTTGAAACGTCACATTGACAATGCAGAAAGGATTGTAGGTTTTGGATTGTGGCCTGTTTTGGATTTACCTCTTCCCAAATGATAACCCACGCCGTGGTTTCGTTGTTTTTTATATGAGAGAACAAATTTAGCAATAGGAAAGGGCAGCTATATTTGCGCGACTGTATTTCACCCAAACCCAGTGATTTTGGTGTGCCGTCTAAGTTGTAAAAACAAGTAGGGTATAATTTCCCAAGGAGCTGAAGGAGAAGGAATGTAAATGGTAGGAAGTATGTGTAGTTTGTGAAGCCGCTAAATGCTACGTGACTTCTGGGGTTGTTTCCTTTATTGCCGACCTACAATATTGCTTGCTATTTGTAGCCCACATATTGTTGGTGTGATAGCGTTTCTTTAAAAGTGCTCTATGGCTTTAGAAGCACCTTGCAGGTGCACAGTCTTCTTCCGCAGTGCTGTAACTTAGGTTGACACACTGGGCAGCTGACCGGTCAAATATTGTCACATGACTGCTTAATATTTAACTATGGCCAAATATCATTCTAAAAGTTCCAAGGATGCCACTGTGAAGATGGCAGCTTGCATTTATCTTGATTTCATTATTATTACATTCCTATCCCACCTTCCTTTCAAGAGAGTGCAGGGTGGCCAACGTATTTTTCACTTCATAAGACACACTTTTTCCCTCCTAAAAAGTAAGGGGAAATGTTTGCGCGTCTCATGGAGCGAATGCAGGCGGGAGGCTCTGCTCAGAGCTCCCTTTAAAGAGCTGCGTAGAGTGTATGTGTGGCTCTTGGGGGCTTTTCCCTGAGGAGGGAGAAGGGCAGCCCATCTGTCCCTTCTCCCTCCCTGGGAAAAGCCCCCACAAGAGCTCATGAAATGGAGCGCTGAGCAGAACCTGTATGCATCCCAGGCTCTGCTCAGCGCTCCCTTTAAATAATTTTTTTTTCTTACATTCCCCCTCTAAAAACTAGATGCATCTTATGGAGCAAAAAATACGGTAAATGGTTCTTCCCCCTTCCCCTGTTGATCCTCACAACACCCCTGTGAGGCAGGTTTGGCTGAAAACTTTTGACTGGCCCAAGGTCACCTAGTGAACTTCATGGCTGAGTAAGGATTTGGATCTTGGTACCCCAGATTCTAGTCCAGCCCCTTAACCATTGCGCCATACTGGATCACATTGCGGTTCCTATCTTCTTCCAAACAGGGAAGTTTTGTTTTCTTTGCCTGTTTGTTCTTTCAGTATAAAATGTGTAATTTTAGAATCGGTGCTTCTGAACAGTCTTTTGTAGCTGTAATGTTCACCTGCCCCTTTTATTACTTCACTATTGTTTCTTGCATGCCACATTATTCCTTGCTACACTGGTTCTTCTGAATTAATAGTCAAGTCAAAGGAAAATGAATGCTAACGGTGCATGCCCTAGCTAGCTAGCTTTAGAGCACAGAGCTTCAGTTTCTTACAAGGTGTTTCATATTCTGGAAAAGAGCTCATTTTGTTGCTTACTTTACAACTTGTAGAAGTACAAATCACAAATCGGTTTCTCCTTAATATACACAGCGTTTCACATTTGACTGGAATTTCTGAAGCATTTTGAGTGTGTGAGCTGGAAACTTCAATGTATTAATCTCGGAATCAAAGAATTGTAGGGCTGGAAGGGACCCAAAGGGAAATCTACTCCATCCCCAGACTAGGGCAGAGAGTAGCCCATATGGTTGGACTACCATTACCATCAGCCCCAGTCACCATGGCCAGTGGTCAAGGATGATGGGAATTGTAGTCCAACAACATCTGAAGGGCACCATGATGGCTGCCTGGGTTTCAGATTTTTGAACAATGGGGTGCAAAGAATTTGGCATGCCTCATTGGTTTACATATAAAGAAAGTTGTTGTCTTTTACAATCAAGTGGTATATAAATTTGGTTAAATAAAACAAATCTTTACAGAGCTGATAGAAATGTAGCGATAGGTCTGTAAAATGAATTGGTTATTTGGTGCATCTGTAGCACAAATATGAATATGATGGAAGGCAAGTTGTGTGTTCATACCATAAATTGGTAGAGATTTACCCCCTTGCATATAGAACACAGTGATATGGATGGTTTGGGGGTTTTTTTAATCATATGCTGTTGCTATGGTGACATTATTGAAGAATGGCACATGTGTGGGAGGCCGAAAAAATCTGGACAGCAAGTACTTGTTCTCAGAGTGAATTTTGGATCGTGACTGTTGTAAATAATAACACAGTGTATTTTAGCAAGGATGGGGTTGTGTAATGCATTCTTAAAGATCAGGAACGTCAATTCCTAATTGACCTATTAGCACCTAATGGTATCCATGGAACGGCACCAGCTTCTAGAACAGGATCAGATTGGCTCTTCAGAAACTTCTACAAAATGGCAGCTTTTTGTGTATTTATAAGTAAGATATGCAGAACTGAGTTACTGTGGTTGTAAATCAGGAGTACACAGGCAAAACCTCTACAGCAGGGGTAGCAAACCTGTGGCCCTCCAGATGGTGTTAGATTCCAGCTCCCATGAGCCCAATGGTCAACTTCTGGGGAGGCCACAACTTAGAAAAACACCTGCTCCACAGGCACACTGGAGTTGGATCTGGGATTTTTTCCCTTTACGGCACGAGGTCAAAGTGCTGTTGAAACTCTTTCCTCCCATCAGTTCTGCTTTTATAAAGCAGATGGGGAGAAGGTGGCACAAAAACTTTACAAATAAAAAATTGGGTGTGAAATTTCTCTTTGGCCTCCAAGCTGTTCTCCACCCCTCCAGTGTGGTGTAGTGGTTAAGAGCAGTAGACTCGTAATCTGGGGAACCAGGTTCGCGTCTCCGCTCCTCCACATGCAGCTGCTGGGTGACCTTGGGCCAGTCACACTTCTTTGAAGTCTCTCAGCCCCACTCACCTCACAGAGTGTATGTTGTGGGGGAGGAAGGGAAAGGAGAACGTTAGCCGCTGTGAGACTCCTTTGGGTAGTGAAAAAGCAGGATATCAAATCCAGACTCCTCCTCCTCCTCCTCCTCCTCCTCCTCCTCCTCCTCTTCTTCTTCTCCTTCTCCTTCTTCTCCTCCATTTTTTCCCTTCCTGGTTTTACTTCCACCACAGAGACAGACAGAAAGACAGACAGACAGACAGACAGAGAAGGTGGGAGGGAGGGCTTACTGTATCAAAATGCAGTTTCGGAATTGAATGGGAAAGCTTTCAGAAGGGGAAGCTGTCGCCACCCCCCAGAAAACCCCCTAAGGTTCAATTATTCATCTCTCTGGATTCCAACCTACATTTTGTTAACATCTTTATAGCAGTGGTGGGTAGCCAAGGTGTGAAGGGGTGGAGCTGGCAGAAGGCTAAGAGCCAACATTAGACCACCCCCTTTTCTTTCTCTCTCTCTCTCTCTCTCTCTCTCTGCCAAGCCTTGCCGGCCACTTTCCCCTTTTGTCTTTCTCCCCTTCTCATTGCCATCCCAACAAAACCCTCCGCTCCCTTTTGGAATTAGACTTGCAGGGGGAGTTCCTGTTGGGGTCAATGGGAGCAAGCGTACCTTGAGAAGGTGCTCAAGTGAAGATCATACGGAGTTTACAGGTTAACCCCAGCATTTGGAATGGGTACTCCTGTTCCTTCAATACCTCATATATACCTCTCTCTTTTTTTGCACCTGTTTCGTGCAAATGTGGAATGCGAAGCTTTCCCCAAGGTTAACTGCTACGTTGTTGTTGTTGTTTGCAGATGTGACTCTGAAGGTCCACGTAAGTGATGCCAGCACACATCAGCCAGTCACCGAAGCCTTTATTGAGATTTTTACCAACCAGATCCCCATTGCCTCTGGAACCTCAGGAGCAGATGGCACTGCCTTCATCAAGTTTCAGTATAAGCTGGGCAGTCAGCTGATCGTTACTGCGACTAAACATGCTTACGTGCCAAACTCTGCACCATGGAAACCAATAAGATTGCCTGGTAAGAGATCTTTATTTTTGTTCTGAGGTAAGATTTTATTTCTAAAGGGGGGCGTAACAAAACTGTGGGGGTTTTTTAAGAACAAAACAAAACAAAATAAAACCCCTGAATGCTGAAAATCATATTTATCATTTATTTATTCATTCGTCATTTATATCCCATCCTTTCTTTCAAAGGAGCCCATGGTGACAAACACATCAATAATACAATATATATATTTTTTCAAGCATTCTAAGAGCACTTAAAAACAGTTATCTCAGGGTTGTCAGGGAAAGGGGGGCCTTTCAGCCATCAAATAAATGCCTGGGCAATGCCTGTTTTAAAACTGAAAGTCAGTGAGACAGGTGCACCTCTCTCAAATGGCAAACTGCCACTGAAAATGCCCTGTCTTGGGTCAGTGCAAATCCAGCAGCCCCTGGTAGCAGCACCACCAACGAGGCCTCACCTGCCAGTTTTAGGGCCCAGGGTAGTTGATATGAATATGATAATAACCTGATGGTTTTCACATGAGAAGACTATGGATGCCCAGTAAGAACAGTGCCTCTCCTCATACTCCCCTGGTTAGGCCTTTAGTTTGACCGTGCTTTCCTTAGCTTGGCTTCAGTGCCAGTGTTTTGCCTTGGATCATAATGAAGCTGAACATGTGAAGCCAGAATGAGGAATCTCTGATTCTCCAGAGGTTTTTGGACTCCAACTCCCATCAGCCCCAGTCATCATGGCCAGCGATCAGGAGTGATGGGAGCTGTAGTCCAGCAACATCTGGAGGGCCCATAGCTGTCAACTTTTCCCTTTTCTTGCGAGGAATCCTATTCAGAGTAAGCGAATTTCCCGTTTAAAAAAAGGGAAACGTTGACAGCTATGGGAGGGCCCCGTCTTGCCTATCCCGGCCCTAGCAAATGGATGGGGCCAGACTACGGTAACTGGCAGTGGGGAAGAGAATTATTTCTGACCAGAGGGGAGAATCACTTCAGCTGATCTTTCTTTGGCCTCTGGATGAGGATGTCCTCGCCCGTTTTCCTCATCACTATTTCCTCCATTTTGGAGTTAAATATCTCTGATATTAGCTGACCTGGCATGCTTGAAAAGAGCAGTCATGCATTAAAGAGAGCAGAGGTTCTCAAACTGATAGGTAGCTGTGAGATATAGAACAAAGGAAGCTGCTTTATAATGAGTCAGACCATTGGTCCAACTCTGTCAGTGCAGTCTACACTGACTGGCAGTACCTCTCCTGGGTTTGGGGCAGGAGGCTTTTCCAGCCCTACCTAGAGATGCCAGTGATTGTATCTGGGACTCTCTGCATGCAAGGCTGCTGAGCTATGCCTTTCCTACAGGTGAGACATAGGGGCATGTATGAGGCACAGTTGCACCCTTTTCTAGTCAGTGAGTGAACAAGTGCCCTGCTGCTTGCATCAGAAGATGCTGGGGACTCAGTGCAGCCACTGTTGCTGTATTTGAAAAATGATGAACTAAAGAAGATTGCTTTTCTTTTTTCATGTCTAATCAAAATTTTGGCAGGGGGAGTGGGAGGGACTCGAGGGTGCCATTAGCGTGCAGGGTAGATTATTCCTTTTATTTCAGCCCATATTTCTTGTATATAGGGGTCCTTACAGTGCATTTTTTTTTGCTTTTAATATTGATTTTGTTTTAATTTTTTGAGGAAAGAACCAGTTTCACAGAGCTTTTGACAAGTCATTGAAATCTGAACTAGGCTTTTTGTGTGTTTTCAAGAGAAGGCACTTGAAATGAGTGTGTGTTTCTGAAAGGAACGCTTGTTTGGGCATCCTCTGCTGAGTTCATTAGGCATTTTGCCACAAATTGCAGTGAGAAGGAGCTATTATTTTGTCCCCTTATTTGCACTTAGTTCCTCTGATAAATGACCAAATGAGATGAAAAGGGGGTGGGGAGAAAAATGTGTGGTGTGAAACCATGCTTCTTTATGACTAATAATAAATTAATGCAGCTTAATGCAAACCACAAGTTTCAACGTGTGCAAACATTATTATTTTCAAACTGGCTTTTACTTCAGTTCGGATACTGCCAACTGGGACACGGCTTTGAATGGAGGTAAAACAAGACTTTCATAAGCTCAGCTGTGAGCCGTGGTGGGAGAAACCTTGGTGATTAAAGTTCCTCCACTGGGAACCCCAAAAACATTTAAGGGATGGTAGAAGAGCTTGAGGAAACCTGATGACAAAGAGGAAAACTAGGGAGGCCTCCCTAACTTTGTGGCCTGGGTTTGGCCCTTAGTGAGAGGATGAACCAGTGATCCTAGAGCAGCACTCTGTAACCTGACTACATCTGCCGTCAACCCTGACCTTTACCCGTGACAGACGGGGCTGATGGGAGTTGGAGTCCTACAACTTCTGAAGGGCACCAGGTTGAGGAAGGTTGTCCCAGACTGTCCAACAACTAATCCATATAATAACCAGGACAGTAGTAGTAGTAGTATATTTATATCCCATTCTTCCCAGGTACTGGGAGGAGGTGGGAAGGGAATGAGGTTGAGGAACTGGGAGGACAGAGCTGTGTGATGAACCATGTGGTCTGTTCTGCACCCACTAAACTTGCCTGCTGCCTTCAGGTGTGGTAGATGCTATTCTGTCGCTGATGTTAAAGTAACATTCGCCTGCCTGTCCAGTTGGCTTCTGGGTGCAGAATGAAGCAGACAGCATCTTGTCCTTTGTGCCAGGTGGAAAAGTGTTTTGGGACATTAAGAGAATGGAAATATAAAATGGGGGGCTTTTCACTCATGATCGCATTAGTACCCTACACAAGAATAAATGAAAGAAGACAAAGTTGGAACAAATCTACAGCAAAATGGTCTCCATTTGTTTTTGCAAAAATAATGCTCTAAATCCAAATACGGAAGCACTTTTCAGCAATTTGGAGTAATTTAAGATCTCTAATAATATATGCAATGTGCCTTAAATATTTTAAAGTATACTATAACCATGCAATGAATTGGTAATGGTGCAATTATGCAGCTGTGCTATTTATATAAGCATGTAGTTAACGTGTTGTGTTGTGTTTTCTTTCTTGTTTGTTAAGGTTATTGTGTTAAGATTATTTTGGAAGTAAAAATAAAAAACAATAGACTTTTTACCAGGTGTGTTCTATGGGACATGCTGTTATTTGTGAAAATAATATGAAGACAATAAAATGTGATTTTTAATTACAAATAGCTAATACACTGTCAAAAAGGAGTCAAAATCTCAGGAACATTCATAGCTGTGCTTGTTTTGATTTGCTGATTAATTGGGAACTGCACTGGTACATATTCTTCATTTCTTCAAGCTATTTGAATTGCATTGGCTTTAATTCTTACCAATAAAAATTAGGTGCAAAAAAGAAATAAATTATTATATTTCTATCCTTCAGAGCTACCTATTCCATAATTCATTCTCCTTGTAGCACATTATGCCCGATATGTGCTTTTAGTATGAGCAAAGAAATTATTGTGATGGAACAGCTGAAATTTGAGAAGATTCTGATTTATAGTGTGAATTTATTAATGCTTAGCAGAGCATTCTCAAATGTAAATGTGGTTATCTTTATACATATAATGTTTACATGACTACTGGCGGGTATCTCCTGCTATTTTAAATACAACTAGTGGTTCCCCAACTTCATGGAGAATGTTTGGAATTCAGGGAAACTGCTCCTGACTTTTGAAAGATACAGATCGTCTTGCAGATTAATACTTAGTGGTATGGACCCCAAGCTCCTTTGTTTGCTGGGGAAAAAATCGGTTAAACAACACCTCAGATTTGGAGGGTGTGCCCCCATCTTCTGGAAAAAATGTTTTTCTTTCTTTCTAGATTTGTAGTTACAGGAACTAAAACATTTAATTTGATGCAAAATTTTAATGAACTCTGTTAATTACAATATTTCCTTAGATTTTGAATTCTGTTCTTATTTTTAGAAAAATTGTGCTGTATCCACTGAATCTGAATTCCAGTGCAACTTGCATTTAAGACTGGGTAGGGTGACAGCTCTCCAGATGTTTTTGGACTACAACTCCCATCACCTCTGACCATTGACCATGCTGGCTGGGACTGAAGGGAGCAGAAGCCCAGTAATATCTGGAGCAGGGTTTCCCAAACTTGGGTCTGCAGCTGTTTGTGGATTACAATTCCCATCATCCAAGACCACTGGTCCTGCCAGCTAGGGATGATGGGAGTTATAGTTCATAAACAGCTGAAGACCCAAGTTTGAGAGACTCTAGTCTGGAGGACACCAGGGATTGCTGAGCTAGATCCTTATATAGACCAAATCTGCCATGTAAACTTTTCAAGACCTTTTCAAGGGGACAATGAGACTGTATTTCCCATCGTGTGTTTAAAAAAGTGATCACGTGTGGTGTACCGCTTGTGGAATGTTCGTCATTCCTCTCCCTATACATCGGGATTCTTTCATTCTTGCTGTCTAAGTTGATCTTCTACTTGTGGACACGTAATGTACAAACTCCTGCATACAAAAGTTGTTGAAGCCAATGCATGTGACATATTTGGTAGATGCAGTAGTTCAGAAAACAAATGCATTACCTAAAAAAGGCATTAGCTGGTAAACTTTGAAAGATTGGGGATCTGGAGGAAAGAGTTTTTTCAATATTACTTTATATTGCACTTAACCAATTTCCCTTCCACAGTGTTTTCTTCTCTAAGTCTTGGCCTTCTTCCTGAACGTTCAGCTACTCTAATGGTATATGAAGATGTTGTACAGATAGTCTCAGGATTTCAAGGTATGTGGTGTAAAGGGACCTTCTTTACTTTGTCATAATAGTTTTTACCTGTCCCACAGCTAGAGCTAGGACTTTAGCCTTTTCCCACCTTGGCATCCTGATCGTGGCAGGAAGAGAGACTGCAGTGTGTTAGCGGAGCTGAATTAGGTGATCTGGAGAGCCAGTAAAAGCCTCTACTGGCTTTACCTAATAATTTCTTAGGCCTGGCTCCTAGATGCAACTCATGTGGCCAACTGATCCCTTTAAAAACAACCAAACAGATATTTGCTCTTTATAAAGCAAGTTTTAAGTTGTGTGTCTCCCAAGATGGAATTGAACACCCTGAGGTTTTCATAGTAGGTGACAAATAATACAGATAAATTGCAGGAGATTGGGTTGCTTGATTAATTACATATGCATAATCTGCATATGAATACAGCAAACTCTCTAAGAAAAAAAGCCGACTTTATTAGTGGTTTTGGATTACGCATGCACATTTCACAGCTGTAAATTCTTTAAAGTTGACAGTTGCTGTCTGTAGCAATTGTAGTTTTGTGATGGTGCTGAAAATTCTGTCTTAAAAGAGATCCCACAATTCCTTAAGGGAAAGGAACCATGACAGTGGAACCGGTTTATGTCTGTACTGCTGTTATGGCCTGAAGCCACAGCCCAACACCTTGCAACAATACATCCTGTATTGAAGGAGCCAAAACTGTGCTTCTGCTCCACAGCATGTATTGTCTAAGCTGCAGCTGAGGATTCTTGGAGAGGTTTCTTTTTTTTTGCAATGAGTCGTAGGAGATAATAAAATTATTCTGTGTTACTCTGCTGCTTTTGTTTTTGTTGTGGATACTCATCCATATGCATATGCAAAGCAGCACAGGCAGAGATTTATGACTGAGCAGAGCTATCCCTGAGGTAGAGCAAATATCACTATGTATTGTACAACATGGGAGAGCTATGCATGCTCCAGGGTTTCTCACAGTTAACTTCGCTAATATGCAAAAATAAAAAAATGCTACCTTCAATTTGCCTTTGACTGCTTTAAAAGGGGACCTCTTAATATTTGAGAAATGTCTTGGGTTGCCAGCTACCTTTGCCACCTCCTGACAAAAGGGACGATGAGTGCCAGGGAGGGGCTCTGCAAGCCTCCAGGGGCTTCATTGTACCCAAAGGTGCCCTGATAGGGACCCCAGATTTAGCAGCTGTCTGTGGTTTGTGCTCACATTGTGTGAAATGGATTTGTAAAAATGTTACATGGGGGGGTGGGAATACAAGAGAGAGACATTGCGCACACTTTTGTAAATCAAGAAAATATTTTATTTAAAAAAAATTAGAAAGCTGCTATAATTGTTCCAATACATTGTTGTTGTTCTAAGTGAAAAGTGTTCGTTATTTATTTTACTTTATTATTACATTTATATCTCACCTTTCCTCCAAGGAGCTCAATACGGCATACATTTTACCCTCACAACATTTTGTCCTTACCTTACCTGGGAGTAAGCCCCACTGAAAACAGTGAGGCTTTATTTTGAGTAGGCGTAAGTTTGTACTGCAAGCTCTGGTTCTGAGTACATAACTGGATATGAATTTAATTTTATTGGGGTCAGAAAGCACTTAGGTAGTTGCCTTAGTGGTCACTTGCGACATTTGTATCTCTCCCCATAACATAAATTTCATACAAAGAGGCTTACAAATAAATAGGTAAGAAAAAGAATAGGTAAGAGAACAATTTGAATACAAATAAGACAAAGAATCAAAATCATCATAAATAACAATGAAAACAAAATTCACCAGACACCCTAAGTTAAGTCAACAGATTTTAAAACTGAAAGGCCCAGACTACATTGAATATTTGAAAGGCCTGAATGAACAGAAAGGTCTTCACTTGAGCTGAAAAGACTGCCAAGTTTAGGGTTGCCATGTGTCCTCTTTTTCAGGGGTAAAATTTGAGACAGATTGCATTTATTTGCTTTGAATGGCTGTCATATTGTCCTCTTTTTTGCTCTTCCAATTATGGAAACATTAGATGACACCAGTCGTACCTCCCTGGGAAGGTTGTTCCATAATTGGGGTGCCACTACTGAAAAGGCTCTGTCCCTGGTGATTACCAGTCCCTGGTGATTACCAGCGGTTGGAGGATGGATGGCGACTCACAGACTGAGGTTGAATCCTGACAAGACAGAAGTACTGTTCTTGGGGGACAAGAGGCACGCTGGTGTGGAGGACTCCCTGGTCCTGAATGGGGTAACTGTGCCCCTGAAGGACCAGGTGCGCAGCCTGGGAGTCATTTTGGACTCGCAGCTGTCCATGGAGGTGCAGGTCAATTCTGTGTCCAGGGCAGATGTTTACCAGCTCCATCTGGTACTCAGGCTGAGACCCTCCCTGCCTGCAGACTGTCTCACCAGAGTGGTGCATGCTCTGGTTATCTCTCGCTTGGACTACTGCAATGCGCTCTATATGGGGCTACCTTTGAAGGTGACCCGGAAACTACAACTAATCCAGAATGCAGCAGCTAGACTGGTGACTGGGAGCGGCTGCCGAGACCACATAACACCGGTCTTGAAAGACCTACACTGGCTCCCAGTACATTTCCAAGCACAATTCAAAGTGTTGGTGCTGACCTTTAAAGCCCTAAACAGCCTCGGTCCAGTATACCTGAAGGAGCGTCTCCACCCCCATCATTCTGCCCGGACACTGAGGTCCAGCGCCAAGGGCCTTCTGGAGGTTCCCTCACTGCGAAAAGCCAAGTTACAGGGAACCAGGCAGAGGGCCTTCTCGGTAGTGGCACCCGCCCTGTGTAACGCCCTCCCGCCAGAGAACAACAACTACCAGACTTTTAGAAGACATCTGAAGGCACCCATGTTTAGGGAAGCTTTTAATGTTTGATGGACTACTGTATTTTAATATTTTGTTGGAAGCTGCCCAGAGTGGCTGGAGAAACCCAGCCAGATGGGCGGGGTATAAATAATTTTTATTTATTTATTTATTTATTTATTTTTATTATTACTACTACTACTACTTCATTCGGGGGAAGCACTCAGTTACGAATCTAGTGTAAATGACAGAAAGCTGTTGGAAGTAAAGCTCATCTTTTGAGTAGGCATTAAAATGATGATTCCTTAACTCATTTTTACACAGATTTAAAGCTATATGTATTGAATGAGTACCCCAAAGCAATATAGCTGGTCATCCAAGAACCACATACCATACCTTGTAATAAGGAGTTAATCCTTGATTGGCAGGGGTTCTTTGTTTTCTTTAAGTACACTCCATGTATTGAAAAAGAAGCTCTTGGGAATACAGTAACAGCTGTTTTAAATCTTCATTTGCATGTTATGCAAAAGCTTGCAGATGGGGCCTGGCTGTGTTTGCTGCAAAGCTTTGTTAATGGTACAAATTTGTGGAGAAGTGCTTTTGGCTTCAGAAGCAGATACCTAATGGGACCTGAAATGATAAATACTACATGAAGCTGTCTCTAATCCTTCCAAGACTCCAAACCCTCCAATCCCATTAAGTGGCTTTGAACAAAAGTTCATTGTTGGTTGAGAGTTCAAGGAAAGCATAAATCATTAGAAGACGGCTTCCCCTACAGGGGATTTCCACAGGGGTGGAGGCTTGGTATATGATGGGCAGATTGTTTGAACTCTTCAACAGAATCAAGCCAAGTTGCTCTAGACCTGGAGGATGGAGGTTTGAGGTGATAGCTCTTTTCTTGACACCTGAGCCAGCAAAGACTCCTGCACTCCTGGCTTTCTGGAACTATTGCCTTGCTTCAGTGACTATAAAGTAGCAGGAATTTAATGAACGAGAGCCATTCAGAAACCTGGGGAGGACCATAATGGTTTCTCTGGACATGATTCCACTCCGGAACTTTCTTCAAAGGGCCTGCATGTGGCCTTTGGAGGGAGTGTAACTTCTTACAGCAGGATGGTAAATGCAAGTGAAGGCGCAGACCCAGAGAGAACACCTGGAGAAGAAATGAGCCCCCCTACACGTGACACTGTGGTCTAAACCACTGAGCCTCTTGGGCTTGCTGATCAGAAGGTCAGCAGTTCAAATCCCTGCAACGGGGTGAGCTCCCATTGTTCTGTCCCAGCTTCTGCCAACCTAGCAGTTCAAAAGCACGCCAGTGCAAGTAGATAAATAGGTACCACTGTGGCAGGAAGGGTAATGACATTTCTGTGTGCTCTGATTTCTGTCACGGTGTTCCGTTGCGCCAGAAGCAGTTTAGTCATGCTGGCCACATGATCTGGAAAGCTGTCTGTGGACAAATGCTGGCTCCCTCGGCCTGAAAGCGAGATGAGCGCTGCAAACCCATAGTCGCCTTTGACTGGACTTAACCATTCAGGGGTCCTTTACCTTTTTTACCTTCTACCACTTTAGTAGTCATGGCTCCCCCCCCACACACACACACCAAAGAATTCTGGGACCTGAAGTTTGTCAAGGGTGCTGAGAATTGTTAGGAGAGCTCTGTGCTCATCACATATCTACAATTCCCATAAAGGTTTAACAGTCCTCCTTTCCAGGAAACACTGGGAGTGGCAGTTCTGTGTTTTAAATGTACTGTGCAGATGTACATTGAATTGCATTGCCCTGTCACATCACTTCTGTGTGCCTGATCGTTTGCTCACGTTCAGGATTTACATGTACTGAAACAAGTAGCTGTTTCCAGCTGCAGATAACTTTAGACAGCAATCTTAGGCACATTTAACAGTGAATGCAATGGAACTTGCTTCTGAGAAGGTATACATAGGACTGTACCATTAAAGGTACATTTTGACTTTGAAGAGGGATGGTGGCTTCCTTTTAGATGAAATAGCCAAACATCCTGCTGAATTAACCATTGGGATCTTGTATCACTTATTGCTTGCTTAATTGGCGAACGGTAATTGCTGCTGGCGTTGTTTGCTTTCACTGGAATCCATTAAATTAAGCAAACCATGAATGCTGGCTATCTCCCATAGATATCATAAATGTAATCCTGTGGGGAGTATGGGGAATATCATGGCTTTGCTACTAAAGTTATAATTGCATTTATAGAAACCTTGCTTCATGTAGATGGCTATTGTCACATTCATTTGCTTAGTTGCTCTGTTCCTTTGCTTATTGCTAGGTGCACGGATCCAGCCCAAAGTTCATTTTCAAAGGAGAGCCTTGAAACTGCCAGAGAATACCAGCTTTAGCGACCTCACAGCATTTCTTACTTCAGCTAGTTCACCTTGGGAAGTGGATAGTTTTCCTTATTTACAAGGATATGATGGCAATGGAACTGGTAAACTTTTGTTCTTGTGATTATTAAAGTATGTTTTAAGTTCTATCTGACTAGTTTGAGTATTACCAGAATAGTACCATTTCTGTGTAGCCACTAGTACTGTTATTTACTGCCTGTATTAACTCTTTTCCTGATTTATTTATTTTTAAAAAAAGGATGCCCCAACCCCCAAAATCATTTGTAGCAGTCCTATGAGGCTAGTGACCCACCAAACTGAACTCAGCCCTCTGCTGTTCTGCTCCATGGGTCACAGACTGTGCAGGCCTGATTTATGGCCTTTTAAAGTGCAAAGGATAAAAATAAAACCCTACATTTAATTTACACTTGGTCAGAATGGCCTGTTCCCCTTCCCTTCCCCAAGGCTGCCTGCATCTAGTTCTCTGCATCAATGTTGAAATGATAGAGCACCTAGCAGGCACTCCTGCTATTGGAACAAGGGGTCTTGTCCTAAGAGAGCTTGAGGCTCACAGGGGAAGCTGGGCAGTGTCCCACCAAGAAGCCAAGTCAGAAATGCAAGGCACCCAAAGTATCTACAGGACCTTGGAGAGCTCCCAGGGTCCTGCTGAGCTAGCATTGCAAGCTGATGTCTCAGCAAGCATCTAGCGCAGCCTTTCTCAACCTGTGGGTCCCCAGATGTTGTTGAACTACAACTCCCATCACCCCTAGCTAGCAAGGCCAGAGCTCAGGGATGATGGGAGTTGTAGTCCAACAACATATGGGAAGAACCGCTGATCTAGCGACAACCAATTTCTTATAAGTACAGTAGTCTGGACCTGTCATGCGGTACACCCCACCATCCCAGATGAACTGACTGGTTTTTAAGGGGCCGTCACCATATTCTTCAGCCTTTGGATCCTGATAGGCTGGGGAGACGGGTGCCATGTCTCAGTAAGGGGGCCTGGAAGACAGTCCTAACTGTTCTTTCCCCAAGGCCAGAGCTGAAGCTTCATCATCCTCTGAACCCCCTGTGTTGCACAGTGCATGGTTCCTGGGTCGTGGATCACGGCAGGGCGAAGGGATGCAGCTGAATGGGGAAACTGACAGGCCATTCATATGTGCATGAAAGTACTTTCAATTCACACCTTGGATTTATTTGCTAAATGTCCACATGCAGAGAAAGCATCGCCGCCGCAGGATGACAGGAACAACAATTGCTTGTCATTGTCATCCTTCGCTTGCCACTTTCTTTGTCACCAGCAAGCTGTCGGTGTATGGGATGGACATAGCAAGACAATGTAATCAGTGGTGCTTTCATCTGAGAGGCATGTGGCCAAACTCTTAAGCTATTTGAAACAAGGAAGTTAAAACCTCGGTAGGATTGTAATGTTGAATTGGAATGAGCTGAAGGCCAAACTGTACATTAGTTAATGATGTGATTAGCAATCACGTTGTGGCTTTCTAAAATAAAAGTAAAAATTGGGTATTGTGGGGATGGTAGTCATCAGCCATATGGATAGGGGTGTTTAAGCCTTCCATCTCCAGCTGCAATCATGAAGCCAATTTGAGGTTTTTTCCTCTAATTTCACATGGGAAGAGGGGGATTTTTACCAAGAACTAGTCCTTTTTATTTTTAAAAAAACCACATTGTGATTATTAATCACACCATTAACGCAATGTTCATGTTGGCTCTGCCACTCCCTGTAACTGGCCTCATATGCTTTAAATTTTGCAAAGTGGTGTCCAGGTCATGACACCCTTAGGTAGCGGGAAGCTGATTCGTTAATGAAAAATAGTAGGTGTCCATGTGATCATTCTATGTATGAATTGGCTTTGAAAGTTATATTTTATGCATTTTCATACTGTTGTTCATTTGCTTACAGGAAATAACACTAGGTATGATCTTACTCCTGTCACTGCAGTTAGTGTTCACTTACTCAGAAGCGATGGGACTCCAGTTCCAGTGAATGGACCCATCTATGTAACAGTGCCTCTCCCTACAAACAACAACTTGAAGCATAGCACCCATGTGCCCGCTTGGAGGTTTGACCAAAAATTTGGTAAGGAGCCTTTTGTCACTAATCCTCAATTTTCAAACACTTCATTAGATAGTTCACAACCTCAGATTGGAACACAGCTGAAGTGTAACGAGAGGCAGTTATTCATGATGGTTCAAGAATGATTCGTTGTTGCTTGATTATGAGAATTCTCCTTTGCAGTTCTTATTTTACAGTTTGGGGTAGAATTTTTAAGGGAGGCTCCTATTTAAGTGAGACTTATCATTTTGCGTTTCACAAAGCCAAGCGTGACACTGCCTTTATTGTTGTTTGCCAGTTGGATTTTGGCTGTCTTTTCGTTTAATTCCAGTATGTAGAATCCATTAATTCAAGAGCCCATTTACTTCAGTTTTCATTTACAATTCAAGATTGCCATTTTTACTTCTGTGAAGGGAGACAGAAAATTGACTCATACATGCCTGGTTTATTTCCTGCAAGTAGCAGTCCACCTTTTCCTGTATCCTGTTTAAAAGGTTGGCACATACATTTGCAAATGATTGCGAGGAAAGAGGCTTTCTGAATTAGATCATTAAGTCACAGTGGCCAGGCACTTAAATCTCTTACTCCTCTGGTTATCTGCTTTATATATTGCTCCCTGCTGAGTATTTTTAAAAAATGCTACATGTGCAGCTGTAAATAGTATGCAGTTGGTAAGCTGAATGAAGGGAATTTCCTCATCTGGTATTTAAACATCTGTTTCAGCATATATGGATAGAACAGTCCTTGGCAAATTTAGCCATATTCACATTAATTTAGGGCAGTGGTGGCTAACCTTAGTACCAGTAATACTGGACTTCAGTACCCATCATCCCTGACCATTGACCATACTGGCAGAGGCTCATGGGAGTAGAAGTCCAACACCTAGAGAGTCACCATCCCTGGTTTGGGGCCTTTGTTTCCAATGGCATGGGGACACTTTTTATTTTATCGTGATACAGTTATTAAATATAACAATAGTTATGAGTAATATTCTTAATAACAGCAGTAATAATGATGAGCAGCATCCTTGCTATGAATAAAATTATTTTATTTCAAGAATTAGGACATAAAATTCAATATTTGTAATATTTAGAAAATTTTATGTAGCTGATTTTTCAGTACACAGAAGTAAACAAAGTACCATATCAGATATACTGTTAAATTACCAATGTTGATAAACAGGGGGAGGGATTTCCTAGTATAATATCCTGCTTAGCATTCCAAAATCATCTTCAAATTTCTTAACACTTAAAATCTTCCTTGTCCAACACTCATGGACCGCATAACTGTATTTAACGTCACAAGATTGCACAGTTTCATGTACCATTCTCTTAAATATGCCAGCTCACATCTCCACCCCATTTTTTTGCCAAGCTCGTCCCCAAGTACTTTCTTCCCCTGTGCTTTATCGACTTATCAGCAATGACTGAAAACACCCATTCGGCCAAGCCTTGACTTTACCTGCCTGACATGTGACATCTTATATGTCATATGTGACATCAGGATTAGGGCAGGTGGGTGTAACTTGACAAAAATGGCCTCACGGGCCAATTGGAGAGACTTGGTGCCCATGGGCCAGAGGTTCCTCACCCCTGATCTAAAGAGGAAGGACAACTTGTCAGACCACTTAAGTCCAGAGTCTGAAAGCAGCTGACTTCATCACTGACATGCATTGGCACATATCGCTAGGGCTGCTGTGCTCAGAAAGTGTCATATGTTGTAAACCAGTGTAGGAAGACCCACTGAAATCAATAGCTCTTTCTTCCACATAAATGTCCTTAGAACTATTATATTAAAGCAAGAAATAATAATAAATCACACTGATCATTTACTTTGCAATTATCCATTTATATGCCATATTACTCCAAGCAAGAATGAAGCATTGCAAACAAAACTTAACTGCCTTGGATGCAAAGCATACTAAATTAAAGGAGTGGCACCTTTTGAATAATTGATAAAATTAAACAGCCTAATTGTGCCCTGGAGACATTTCGAAGTTTATTCCGCGAGCTGGAGATACACTCCATGTCTTAATCTGCAGCAGTTGCCTCTACTGGAGATGGCAGGCAGAGAGATGCTTTAGTGGGATGTACTGTCACGCCTTTGAAGGAAGCCCTCGGTTTTTAGGGTCTAAAGTAAGCATACATCCATTAGACTGTGATGTTAATGTACAGGTGGAGATAGAAAGGTAGCCCGCCAGATTTCCCACGACTCGATGAAATTCACCGACTTACAGCGCAATGTGAATTATTTCTGATGTTTGTTAAAAGTCCATCAGGGGTGTTTTGACTTGTTCCCTTTCCTCTTCCTGCTCAAGCAGCTTTGCCAATGTTTGCTGTGCCTCGTATGCAAACAGGCCAAGGACAATGGGTTGCTCCTGGATTGCTCCTTGTGCCTCACCCTGAATACATTTTATGCCAACATCATTAGGAGCCCCTCCAGACTGCTTTCGCTTTTGGCAGGTGTGTTCTGCAACGCGATAATAGAGCTTTAGAGGTTTGATTTATACTGGGCCGTCCACACATCATTCTGCTTTATTTAGATGTTCTGCAACACTTCCCCAATGTTGTTGCATTGCCGTTGTCTGGAGGGGTGTTCTCGCACTACAGCACAACTAAAGTGGAGCAACCCACCCGCTCCCCCAGAACATTTGCAATATTAAAAAGTTACAGGATTTCAGCAGGACATTTTGAGACATGCATCGCTTGTGCGTCTGCTCCAAAATTTTTGCAGGCACTTAACAGTATCAGAAGTAGCATTTGTTGGCTTCGTCTGCATGATAGGAAAGGGAATTTGCGAGCTTTGCTCTTGTGTGCTCTTTCCTTTTCGGTTTCCGCGAAATGCAGCTTCTTGTGTACCATTCTTGGCTCACATCCTCCTTTTCCTGAACACTTAGCCGACATCCTGGACCATAACCGTGTTTTTAGCTCTATTTCATGCAAAATAGACCACTGTCACCCCCTCTGAGTAAATCTAAACCGAGCGCCAGTTAATCCAATAGTAATTGTGATGGATCGTTTGCATGTCAAGGTGCTGCTCACCGGCTTAGTGTACTGAAGGTGCTTACCTGCACCGCTTTGGGATAAAGAGTTTGGAGGTGATCCTCAGAAAGTGCCTGACATATTTTGACATGTTGAGTCAATGCGCACAGTTGGCACTGAATGTACAATACCTACAAACGTCAGTTATTGCTTTCCCCAGAGATTTTCACCAGGAAAGATTGGAGATGGGCCTCATGTTTTCATACTTCCTCTTCCTGTGGTGAGGAGAGTGGAGAAGGGAAGTCCTACAGCCCACTGGATTTAAAAGAGGAGTAAACTGAATGAATAAATATAAACTGAATGAATAAATGCCGAACAAATACATTTTATATTGTTGGATCCAAAATTTTGCAAAGGTAGCAGGTGGTGTACATGTTGTTGTTGTTTAGTTGCTTTTCTCACAGAGTGACCCAAAGCAGCTTAAGTTAAAACCAATTAAGAACAACAATAAAAGCGCAGCTACAAGACAGGACTACAACTCCAGCCTCAGTAAAAGAGGTCACAGCAGTACCCTTCAAATGAAGGGCCAGGATCAGATAGTTTTCTTTTATTTTTCAAAGTGTTACTGTTTGCGATGGGCACAACTCATCCTGCTTTTGCCTTTGGTAAACAGGCTTTGGAAGATTCTGTATTGGTTGGAAAAAAAACTGCAAAGCTTGTTTGATCAGCTTTGGGGACAAAAGGAATATTTGGGGAGGTAGTAGAAAAGCCCTGCCTCTCCCAGAATGTTTTTCGTTTGTTTCCATTTGTTTCCAGCCTCAGAGTCCTCAGATGTGTACACCTACCCAGTGGTGAATGTGTTCAAGTTTAAGGTACACAAATGTATACAGAAGTGTGCAAATTAACAGCAGAACTGTGGTAAAAGACCACAGCGGCATACAAAACACATCTTAAGAAATTATCTTTCATCCATACAAGTCGTACCTCGGAAGTCAAACAGAATTCATTTCGGAAGTCCATCCGACTTCCAAAACATTCGGAAACCAAAGTGTGGCTTCTGATTGGCTGCAGGAAGCTCCTGCAGCCAATCGGAAGCTGTAGGAGGCCCGTCAGACGTTCGGCTTCCAAAAATAGTTCGCAAACCGGAACAATCACTTCCGGGTGTGTGGCATTCGGGAGCCAAAACATTAAAGAACTAAGCTGTTTGAAAACCAACGTACAACTGTAGTCACTTTAGCCAAGCCGTTTATTGTTGTGCCTACCGAAACAACATTGTTAACAACATCAGATTGCTTGTTATATAATTATTGTTTTCAAGCTACAGAGGGGAAGTTGAGCCGCTGCAAAGTTCACAGCTCATGCTGTTTTTATCTGGCAGTTGCTGATAACTTGCTTTGGACATCCTTTTCTGCCTTAAGAGAATATCATTGTTAAGTGCTTCTTTCTGAAATTAAAAGAGAGACTATCCTACGCAAGGATTACATGATTTCTAAAGAGTGAGGTATTCCCTGGTTGCTATAGAAATGAAACTCCCCTCCCCCCCAAAAAAAATAGTTTTAAATCAGTTGCAGCAACTACATAATGCAATGGAGGCAAATATAATTGCATGGTAGCAGACATGCTGTGGTGTAGAGAGGAAAAGATCTGCTGCTGTGTTGAATGCTTTGCATTCTGTTTAAGTTTTACTGGAAAGGAGCAATTAAAAGCTAAGGGTGCAGACATGTTGGTTTGATTTTCTGAAGTGCAGGTGTAAAAGCCAAAGTTGCATACAGCACTTGCAGCTCAACCTCCTCCTATAGACACAGCAGTCCAATTTGCACATCACAGTAAACCATAGTTAATGGTTTGCCATCAATGTTCCTAAGAGGGTTCTTTTGCTCCTTTCCACACGCTGAGAAGAAACAAACTGCAGTCCCTGGCTTAGCATTATATCTGAACTAGGGGTCATAGTTTGTTCTGTTTCAAGTAAACCATGATCTGTAGCTGATGTTTGTTCTTGATTTTTTATTGTGGTTTGTTGTAGCACAGTCTCAGAGTCTGATATAACACTAAGTAGGGGATGGTGGCTTTTTTTTTTCCTTGTAAGAGCAGAGAGAGACAAAACAGACAGGTGTGGTCATAGTAAAGCATAGTTAGATGTATGGTTTAGCATTATGAGGATTCAGTGCTGATGTCATACCAGACCATGGTTAAGGAACCTTTAATGTGGTTTAGTGTGTAGTTTGAGCTGATATACTCTGGTTTGTGATTGACTGGCAAACTATAATTGGAAGCCATGAGTTGGAGTGGATTTGTGCACCAAGGTTTATGCTAACTATAGTCTGGCATTCTTTTGGAATTGACAAACCATAGTTACAACTACACCTACTCCTACAATGGAGATGGTAGCAGAGGGAATGTATTCACATTACACACTGAGTGCTGAAGGGAAAAAAACAAAAGTAGCAGCTCTGACTCGTGGTTTGCCTGTTGAACATTTCAAAGCTCAAACCATGGCATTGGGTTCTAAACCGTGGTTAGCACAAACCATGGTGTGAGCTGAGCCAGAGACTGCAGACAGCCGCCAAAAAGAAAACAGCCTTGAAGAGGCTGTTGCTGTAGGTAAAATAAGGCATGTCTATGCTGCATTGGGATTGAAGCCTACAATGAACAGATCCCCGTTTTCAGTGAAATTTCAGTAGGTCTCTGGCAACAGCTCTCAAGGGTTTCAGGCAGAAATCTTTCCTCAGTCCTGAGATCCTAAAAAGTCTTAATTTTGATTTGTATGCATATACAGGGATCTCCCCGCTGCAAATCAAAGCCTTCTCCTCCCTGGTGCCCTCCGGGTTTTGTGGACAACATCATCCTTGTCCATTGACCATGCTGTCTGAGGCTGATGCGAGTTGTAGTCTAAAACACCTGGAGGCACCAGGTTGGAGGAGGTTGGTGTTTTCATACAAATTAATTCAGGTACACCTGAGTGATGGGTATAAGCTTTAGAAGCTGCCTTGCTACCAGGCCAAACTACTCACTTGTCAATTCTTGTAATATTGCCTGCTCTGGCAACCACGGGCTGATCCCTTGCTACCTGATCTTTTCGACGGCAGGGTTTGAATTCGGGCCCTTCTGTATGCAAAGCATGTCCCTTTCCACTGAGCTATGGTCACTCCCTGCCCATGATTTGCATTTATGGCCTCTGCCAGGCAAATCAGATGATCTCCCAGGAGGCTGCCTTCCTTTATAGGTTTCGCTTCTAATCAAAACAGTGTGAATTGTGAACTGGGGTGGTGGCTGTGATGTGGTGTCTGAACGCTAACCGTGAAGAGTTGCAACTGAAAAAGAATCCTTTGCATTTATATTTTCTTTTCTTTTCTTTACCAGAGAAGGAAGCAGTATAGTCTATGCCAACCGTGAAGCAGTAATTTGCAGTATAATGTATAATGTCCCTGGAGTTCTTCCTTCATAGTTTTCCCCCCACCCCTGAAAAAAAAGGCATTTAGGGAGCAAAAACAATGGAAAGCTACCTGTGTGCATAATTCGCCCTCCCTCCTCCTTCAGATGTAATTAGAATTGCTAAGTGCAGGGAAGAGCTGTGTTCTTTTGTTCAGTATTAGACAGGTAATTTAAACGTACATCGGAAATGCAGACTTAAAATGACAGCGGTAACAAAGGAGGGGGGAAATGAAAAGTTCAACTTGGATTTTAGTAATGAATCAAGCAGTAATCCTTTGCGGGGAGGGATTTCTTTTCCTGCACTTAGCAAAAATCATATAGATTGCATGTCAGAACAAGTGTACATGTGTGATTTTTAATTTGGTTATCCTAAAGCACGCAAAGTAGGGAAGCCCATCGATAAGTTGTAGAGCATCTGAAGTATACCCATCATTCAGCCCGTACACTGAGGTCCAGCTCCGAGGGCCTTCTGGCAGTTCCCTCCCTGCAAGAAGTGAGGTTATAGGGAACCAAGCAGAGGGCCTTCTTGGTAGTGGTGCCCACCCTGTGGAACGTCCTCCCATCAGAAGTCAAGGAAATAAACAACTATCTGATTTTTAGAAGACATCTGAAGGCAGCCCTGTTTAGGGAAGTTTTTAATGTTTGATGTTTTATCGTGTATTTAATATTCTGTTGGGAGCCACCCAGAGTGGCTGGGGAAACCCAGCCCGATGGGCGGGGTATAAATAATTTTTTGTTGTTGTTGCAGAAGGTCCCATGTTCAGACCCCAGCATCTCCAGGTAGGGCTGGAGGTCTGCTGCTGGTCCATGTAGACAATGCTGAGCTAGATGGATCTATTAAGAACATAAGGAGAGCTTGCTAGATCAGGCCAATCACAGATCATCCTATTCTCACAGGGGCTGAACGGATTCCTGTGGGATTTCAACAAGCAGAACATGAGCACAAGAGCAGGCTCCCTTCCTGTGGCTTCCAGCAAATGGCATTCAAAAGCACTGCTGCCTCCAAACTGTGGAGGCAGAACTTCTTCTTCTTTGGCGATCATTCGTAGCCGAGTAAGATTGTCTTCCATAAACACGGTTTTAACAGTGAGTCCGTAAGTGACTGTGGAGGCCAATTCTGGATCCACATGTCCTTCCACTGTGGGGACATAGGTTTCCGGACGGGAGTTGATCATGGTGCGGGTTTGCTAAGCGTGCCTTCCTCTTAGTACATTTCTCCCTTTCGTCCCGAGTTCGAGCATCATCAAAGTCCATGACACCTTTGGTAAAGGCTGTTCTCCCACTGGAGCGCTTACAGGCCAGTGTTTCCCAGTTGTCGCTGTTTATACTACATTTTTAAAGATTTGCCTTGAGAGAATCTTTAAACCACTTTCGTTGACCACCAACGTTACGCTTTCCATTTTTAAGTTCGGAGTAGAGTAGTAGCTTTGGAAGACGATCATCAGGCATCCGCACAACATGACCAGTCCAACGAAGTTGATGTTGAAGAATCGTTGCTTCAACATTGGTGATCTTTGCTTCTTCTAGGACACTAGCATTAGTTTGCCTGTCTTCCCAAGTGATGTGTAAAAGTGATGTGAGGCAGAGCATAGCCATCATGACTAGTAGCCACTGATAGCCCTTCCTCCATGACTTGGTACAAGGCAGCTTCCTATGTTTGTTGTTTGCCAAGCCATGATGTTTCTGCTATGAAAAGGGTAGCAGGCTAAAGATAAAATTGTTCAGCTGGCTGGAAGCCTGTAGGAAAAAATACTCAATGAAAGGCGGGAGTAATGAAGGTATGATCTCAGACTATATATGCTTATTTCTTCTGTTGCCTGGTAACTTCAGAACAATGGTCGGAGCCCCCTCTGTATTACAGGAGCAGGGGTTGCAGGGGGAGAACCTTTAGGGCTGAACTGTTGCCACTGTTGTAATTGCCTAGGAGGAACTTCTGAAGTGTTTTATGTTCTCCACTGATAGCTTTCTACTCTAAACAAACCCCCTATATATATTTTTTTGAGGAAAGCTTTCTCAGGCTGATTGATGGCAAGGCATTGTTTTGCCTGGTTTGAGGATAAATGTTTAACTCTTCATGGGGAAGGTAATTTACCCACATTGGAGGAATTCTCCATGCTAAACTTCTTCTTTTTAAAAAATGTAATTAAAAGATGAAAGAAAAGTTGACCATAATGTTAATCCCTATAAGGTGGGGATATGACTTTGAAGTGGAAAGTTAACGTTTGAAGTGCTGCATGCTAGATCGTTCTGTTTTTGTTCCCTCCGTACCGGTGTGTGTTTCCTAGAAATGTTGTGCAGGCTACCACCAAAGTGGAGCAGGAGGTGGACAAAAATGAATTCTAACAGCTGCCCATGCAAACATGTGGAGGAATATCTGGCCTAGGCCCCCTAAATATGTACCACGGTTGGAGAACCTATGGCTTTTGGGCTACATCTTCTATATTTCCTGAACATTGGCCATTGGCAGCATCAGAAAGACTACAGTTTCCTCACCCCTGGTCCTACTCTGACTTAGCTGTAGCTCCCAAGGATATTTTCCCAATCCTGCTAAATGTGTACCTTTGAAATGGAATGAATGAATGAATGAATGAATGAATAAATAAATAAATAAATAAATAAATAAAATGGAGATGTCAGAAATTAAACTTTGGAACTTCTTCATGCAAAGTGTGCTCTGCTGTTGAGCTCTGGCTCTGTGGTTCTGTAAACCGCAGAAGAGTGGGATTTGAACTTGTAGATGCAGAGAACATTGGATTTCCAGGCTGTTAACTTCCCCCTCCCACAGCCATCGCCTTGCATGCCTTGCTAATAAAGGTGGACATTTTCTCTAGCTGCCAGTATGGGAGAAGGTGAGATAATCTGTGGTCCCAGGAGCAGAAACTAAAGGCTGTATTTAGCCAACTTTTGCTCAGAATAGACCCATCAAAATTAATGGACCTAACTTAGTCATATTCATTCATTTTAATGTGTCTACTCTAAGACTTTAACTTGGATGCCATCCAATTATCACAACTATACCACAGCAGCTAAATGCCCATGATAGTGGGGATTCAGTATTTATCCTAAAAGTTAAAATGGTTTATTGTTTCGATCAGTGGCTGAAATAAACTTTTTCGGATAGAAAAGGAGGTGCAGTAGGCTTAATAATTTATATAAACATTAAGCTTGTTTAAAAGCATGACATAATTTGGCCGCATTTTGCATGTAACAATAAGCCAAGCACTTTGGCATAACAAACCATAGCTGTTTACGAGCTGGTAAGCAAAAGGGTAAGAGGGCAGTTCAGTGTTACATCCAACACGCCGTGCTTTGCTGTTGGCTTAAGAATCCTGACTAGAGAGAAACAAACTGCAATCCTCGTTTCAGATGTAATGCTAAGCCAGTCTTAGCCAACCTGGTGCCCCTCAGATGAGGTTGGACCACAGCTTCCAGCTGGAGGGCACCAGGTTGGTGGAGGCTGCCCTCTTCCTGCTTTCTGAGCAATATCAGATTGCATACAACATCATGCACCTCAGTATCGTTTATGGGCATCCCAAGGGCTGTAGGATGTGGCAGATCTCCTTCTCTGAGATCAGCAGCTCTGGTGTTGGATTCCCCCTCCCAGCTACTGTAGCCAGTTCCACAGCCCTAGCAATACTAGAGCTCTGACATTGGTAGGGGCAAAAATGGGGGTGTTGGGGGTGGATTGGAAGCATGCAGGTGGAGGATCAGGAGAAGCAGAGTTTGGATTTGATATCCCGCTTTATCACTGCCCTAAGGAGTCTCAAAGCGGCTAACATTCTCCTTTCCCTTCCTCCCCCACAACAAACACTCTGTGAGGTGAGTGGGGCTGAGAGACTTCAGAGAAGTGTGACTGGCCCAAGGTCACCCAGCAGCTGCATGTGGAGGAGCGGAGACGCGAACCCGGTTCACCAGATTGCAAGACTACTGCTCTTAACCACTACACCACACTGGCTCTCAGAGAAGACATGGATCCAAAGTCCCCCAGCACATGCGCAAACCAGAGGTTGAACTACACCAGTCCTGGTGTAGCACAATTCTCTTTATTTTCAATGGAGAGGGAAATACAGTGGTACCTTGGTTTATGAACATAATCCGTTCTGGAAGTCCGTTCCTAAACCAAAGTGTTCTTAAACCAAAGCATGCTTTCCCATAGCAGCGGAGGACTCAATTTACAAGTGGAACACACACAACAGGAAGCGAAACGTGTTCTGCTTCCAAGGCAAAGTTCACAAACCAAAACACCTACTTCTGGGTTTGCAGCGTTCTTGATCCAAGTTGTTCATAAACTAAGCTTTCTTAAACCAAGGGACCACTGTACTTTGAATAGAGGTTGGGGGCGTGGGGAGTTAGTCCTGAACTGAAAAATTATGGCAAGGCAGGAGAACACTCCTCTAAGCATGGAATAATTTGGCCACAATAAGGAAATTTTGTCCGTGGTATGATTATTTTCCACCTAGTCATTTGGACACTTTGGCACCCTGTTTGCAAACTTTAACGGTTCCAAAATACAGACGCGCTTTCACTAACGCCAAAATTGAATATACTGTGGTACCTTGGGTTAAGAACTTAATTCGTTCTGGAGGTTTATTTTTAACCTGAAACTGTTCTTAACCTGAAGCACCACTTTAGCTAATGGGGCCTCCTCCTGCTGCTGCTGCTACGCTGCCGGGGCACGATTTCTGTTCTCATCCTGAAGCAAACTTCTTAACCTGAGGTACTATTTCTGGGTTAGCGGAGTCTTTAACCTGAAGCGTATGTAACCTGAAGTGTATGTAACCCGAGGTACCACTGTACTGCCTTCGGCTGTACTTGAGGGTCAATTTCAAAAAATTCTGCTGGAAAAATTGTTATTCCCATGTGGAGATGGCAGTATTCAGTCAGTGCCTCGTGTGCTTCTGGCTTGCACTGTTTATAAAGATTTGAGGAGTGAGGTTTGTTACCCCTCTGTTATTGTCCATGTTGGGTCGCTCAACCATTGCTACTGTGTCCTTTCTTTTAGCAGATCAAGATGATCAGGTGACAGCAAAAACTGCAAGTTTTTTAGCTGGGGCAATTAGAATAAAATCTATTATTTGATTACTGATGTAAACCTCCAAAACATATTTGTATAGTTAAGTTTTCACCTCTATCTTCAGTACATTTTATTTTGTTTAATTGCTATGGCTAGTGGCTGACGCAAATAAAGATTCTTCTGATCAGCTCCTCTAACCCTGGAGAGAGCCCAGTAGGGCTTCGGATAGGGCAGATGAACTACCTTCTAGTTGTTTCCCAGGCCAGTCTTAGGATCACAAGGCAAACCAATTTTCCTGGCTTATCATTATGTGCAAATGTGGCCACTCTCAAAACAAGAAGCTTGCATTTACTTTGGGCATGATCTACGCCACCAAGATAAATGGGACCAGGAGGTTGGTTAAATTGTGCCCTAGGCATTTTTACATGTGGTTGGTGGTACCTAAGTGAGTTAAGGCTTTTTGACAAGGCCAAAATTATAGTGATCATTTTTTAAGTGACATTCAATTGTGCATTTAACAATAGCTTTATCTTTTTCCTGCCTCTTCCCTTCTTCCTCTTCTCCCCCACCCCTTTGCTATTTTAATTCTTCAGTTTTGTTCAGACTTTCTGTAGCAGTTATAAACATCTCCTTAGGGAGGCCTGCCTCCCACTCTTAAGAACTGAGAATCTCCATCTGAATTCCGGGGGAAAGGTAGCATGAGCTACAGAGTCTCCTCTGCAATTCCTTTGGGGTTCTTATGCCATAGATGTCCTTGGTAGTTTTTCCTATGTGCTTTCCTGAAGACTGCATGCTCATCTGTTTTCAGAAGGGAGGACATTGCCTTTTTTTTTGCTTTTTTTTTAACAGTTTTCACATGCCACCCAATAACTGTTATTATTTGGGCAGTTCACAATAAAATGTTAAGCCATAAAGATTAAAACGAAACAAAAATCCAAACCAAATAAAGCCAAACCAATGTAAAGTAAGGTTATTTAAAAACCAGCAGCAAGATTTTAACACACATTGGGAAACAAATCTCTTTTCTGGTGCCCAAACATCCATAACGTGTGTGCCAGGTAAATCTGTCTGAGGAAGGTGTTCCATAACCAGGGTGCCACCACCAAAAAGGCCCTCTGTGTAGTATTCACCCATCACACATTGTTGGGTAGCATCCTGCTGAAGAAGGGCCTCTGAAGATGGTCTAAAGATCTGGGCACATAGTCCTGTTGGACAGCACAGTCAGAGATGCATGTGTGCATTGGCCTCCCCCTCCCCCAACCCAGACACAAACACACTTAATCTGAAGACAGCCCTGTATCAGGAAGAACTTCCTGACAGTAAGAGCTGTTCGACAGTGGAATTTGCTGCCAAGGAGTGTGGTGGAGTCTCCTTCTTTGGAGGTCTTTAAGCAGATGCTTGACAACCATATGTCAGGAGTGCTCTGATGGTGTTTCCTGCTTGGCAGGGGGTTGGACTCGATGGCCCTTGTGGTTTATTCCAACTCTATGATTCTAATGTCTGGTGTATTGTGTATTATGTTCTGTTGGAAGCTGTTCAGAGTGACTGAGGCAACCCAGCCAGATGCGTGGGCTACAAGTGATAAATTATTATTATTATTATTATTATTATTATTATTATTATTATGGCCATGGGGCATCACTTGCGCATTGGTTAAACATTTCCTGAATGTATCAGGGGGCTTCGTAGTCACTCAATGTAGATGTACGGCCCCTTCAGACACACATTTTTAATACGTGCATGTGGTTTCATGGCAGTTCTACACAATCCCACTTTCAATACTGCTTGTGCCTTCAAATGTTTTGGGGTTGAACACATTAGCTTGTTTCCTATCATCGCGTGTCCCGTAACTTCCTGCTGAAATCCTGCAGCTTGTTATACCACAAATAATCCCACTTGTTTATTTTTTAGCCCTAGCTGCGCTGTATAATGCAAGGGGGCCCCTCCAAACAGCAACCGTGTGGTAACATTGGAAAAGCATTGCAGAACAACTAATAAAACAGAATAATATGTAATATAAATCCACCATTACTGCACCATTATTGGGTCAATAATGTGCGGCAGAATATACCAGCGAAAAATACCGGTATGGAAGAATTGCTATTCTTAAAAACATAAGAAGGGTCTGCTGGATCAGGCCAGTGGCTCAACTAGTCCAGCATTCTGTTCTCACAGCGGCCAACCACATGCCTGTGGGAAATCAGCAAGCAGGATTCAGGTACAAGAGCACTCTCTCCTCCAGTATTTTCCAGCAACTGGTGGAATGCGGGTGGCGCTGTGATCTAAACCACTGAGCCTCTTGGGCTTTTGCCAATCAGAAGGTTGGTGGTTCGAATCCACACAATGGGGTGAGCTCCTGTTGCTCTGTCCGAGCTCCTGCCCACCTAGCAGTTTGAAAGCATACCAGTGCAAGTAGATAAATAGGTACCGCTGCAGCGGGAAGGTAAATGGCGTTTCCGTGCGCTCTGGTTTCCGCCAGATGACCCGGAAAGCTGTCTGTGGACAAACGCCAGCTCCCTCAGCCTGAAAGCGAGATGAGCGCCGCAACCCCATAGTCGCCTTTGACTGGACTTAACCATCCAGGGGTCCTTTACCTTTTACTTTTTTATCTTTATTCAGAAGCATTGCCAACTCAAATTGTGGAGGCAGAGCATAACCGTCATAGCTAGTATCCATTGATAGTCTTCTCCTCCGTGAGTTTGTCTCATCTTCTTTTAAAGCCATTTAAATTGGGGGCCCTCACTGCTTCCTGTGGGAGCAAGTGCCATATTTTAGCTAGGTGCTGCATAATCTTCCTTCCTCTCTGCAGGAAGAGCAGCATTCTCTTATTTGTTTTAACAATATTTATATGCCACATACTCAAGAGAAGGCCTGCAAGCGGGTTACAAAGAAGAATAAGAGATGTGAATATTTTTTCAAAAAAAATTTTTTTGATTAAAAGCAAACGTTTAAAAAAGTTAACATTAGAAAGATTAAACATAAATAAAAACAGCATTTAAAGAAAAGTATACCCATGAAAATTGTGTATTGATATTACATGCTTGGGTAGGCTTGCTGAGACAAATAATGTCTTCCTTAACAGGAAAAGGAAAGTACCTTGGTTGGATGTTACCTGCTAACTCTGTCCCCTCACAAACAATTACATCACTTTCCTTTTCTTTTTTTAAAGTATTATAATATTGATAGCATATGTTTGGAGCGGAATCAGAAAGCATTATCTCATCTGGGTTTTGCTGGAGCCAAATGATCATTGATATTGGCCTATAAAAACCAGCTGTAGTACTTCCATGGAAAATTCTAGTGTTTTTTTTTTTATTTAAAAAAATGTTCCATTGTCTGTGTGGATAAAAATGTATATATTGAGTGACTAGGTGGTGTGTTTTTTTAGGCCAGCGTTATTATGATAAAACGACCTGAGCTGTGTCTTAGTTCATATGAAACTGTCAGGCAGAGATTTAGAGGGTTTTTTTAAAAAAAACAAATAAATAATAATAAATAAATAAATATGCCTCCCCTCTCCTCAATGTATTCTATTTATACTTTGGACCCATTTTCTGGCATGTTCAAAGATAAACATGGCGACGATAAAAGATTCCATCTTAGGTTTTTGGCAGGAGGTGGCTCCCTACAGGAACTTAGAGAGATTTAATTGGGGTGACTGATTATGGGGCTGTCTGGGAGCTGGGAGGAATCCACTCGCCAGCTCTTGCGTCTCCTCCTCCTCGATGCATCCAGCAGAGATACCTAGATAAGAACAGAGGCAGCTTTTGTGAGGAAGAAAGTAGGGGTGGAGGAGAAATTCAATTCAGCTCACATTTGCAGGCAAACTTACCTAGTTTTCACCTTCTTAAAACTATATCTGCACACCAAAACTCAGACACCCGTCGAAATTCTCACTTCTCCAGATTCTGTAATGCGGTTCCCAAGCCAAGGAATGTTTACCAGAAATACATAAAAGCCTGTATAAAAATGCATGGATTAGTGAAAAATCACCTGAAGAAATGCATTCGTTAAGGGGGAATGGTTCTGCCAAAATGTTTATGTTGACCAAAACATAAAAAGATGTATACAGTGGTACCTCGGGTTACATACGCTTCAGGTTACAGACTCCGCTAACCCAGAAATAGTACCTCGGGTTTGCTTCAGGATGAGAACAGAAATTGTTCTCCGGCGGCGTGGCGGCAGCAGGAGGCCCCATTAGCTAAAGTGGTGCTTCAGGTTAAGAACAGTTTCAGGTTAAGAACGGACCTCCGGAACGAATTAAGTACTTAACCTGAGGTACCACTGCATATTGGGAGAAACGAACACTAAAACACTGCTGGATTTTCACAAGGACTTGCTTCTTAAAAATCCGCAAACTGGTGCAGAAACGTAGCAAAGTCAACTAAGGGGGGGGTGAGAAACTGAGCGAAACCAAAATTCACCCATCTCTACAAGAAAACAATTCTCTATTTTAGAGCCGTTGCTGGACTCCAGCTCCCATGAGCCTGAGCCCACACGGCCAATAGTCAGGGACGGTGGGAGTTTGAGTCTAGCAACATCTGAGGGGCTGCAACCCCACCCACCCAAATCCCTCTCCCACAGAGAAAGCGCTGCCCTAACCAGGACTGCTTTGTGTTCTGAGGGGTGTTCCTGACAGGAGCCCAAATGTTAAGGAGCAACAGCAGGCGGGCGGAATAAATGAGTATTGTACATGCAGGAAGACAGCCTCTTTTGTTGGCTACCTCCTTCCTCCACGGGTACAGTATTTCCTTTTGTTGGCAAATGCAAAGTGATCTGAGCCATTCCTTAATTCAGCTGGAACCATGGCCGAACTCTACCTTAAAAAGCTTGTTCCTGGCTCCTTTGATGCCTGCACTGCTCAGGGACAAAATTCACTCAGCGGCAGCAACAAAGAACTTTTAAAAGAGGGTTGGGAAGGATTTTGTTTGTATTAATGAAGTGTAACGTGAGTCAGGGAGGATGCAAGTCCTCCCTCATACCCCACCCCTCTACCCCCGCTGGTGAAATATCAGTCCTGCTGTAAACTCAGATTTTGCCCGGGCTGTTAAATTAATGATTCCCTTTGGTTGTCCACGAGATCTTATCAGCATTCAGTGAGGAGCTGGGCACAGGCTGGCTCTGCATTCCCAAGTTACTCAAATATCCCTGGTTTTGTTGATGGTAATGTTAATCCATCTGAAATACAATTGCAGCACAAGGATATAATTCTAATTTCAAGTGATTGTGGTGGTGGCACAGCCCCCGTTTATATGATTTTTGAGAAGTGGGCAGGAGTTGTCTCACCAAATCAAAGAGAATGACTAGGGCATGGGTAGGCAAGCTAATGCCCGGGGGCTGGATCCGGCCCAATTGCCTTCTAAATCCAGCCCGCGGACAGTCCAGGAATCAGCATGTTTTTACATGAGCAGAATGTGTCCTTTTATTTAAAATGCATCTCTGGGTTATTTGTGGGGCATAGGAATTCGTTCATTCTTTCCCCAAAAATATAGTCCGGCCCCCCATAAGGTCTGAGGGACAGTGGACCGGCCCCCTGCTGAAAAAGTTTGCTGTCTCCTGTACTAGGGTAATGAATACAGCAGAACTTGAATTGAGCTCATCTCCAGGTACTTTGCCTGCTTCCCTCCTTATTTGTTAGTTTTGGCGCCCACTGCTGGCGGAAAGCAAAACTACTTGCACTTGTTTAATAAAACTGCCTAAAAGTCACGATGGTTGATTTGTGCTACGATGGGCACGTAGACATTCTTTAAATTGAAAACAATGGGACACGTGTGCACACATCCCTTTGTTAAAAGCTTGCTGCTGTTGCTCATACATGATACACAGGTAGCTCCAGAGGTTTGAGGGACACCAACAGAACACTCTTATACCCATAAGTCACACTGTGTCTAATTTGGGCTTACTTCCAGGTAAGTGTGCATAAGATTGCAGCCTTAATGACCTGCGCTAACGTGGATTTTGATCACTGGGGCTGCTCTTTTCCTCCATGAATTCCTTCCTAGAAGAGCAGTCGCTGCATCCATGACAGCCCGGCATCTAAATGTTTGTACGGGAACTGCATCTACAGCCCCTATCATAAACTCCGAGCATTGAGATTATAATGCTAAATGCCTTTGTGGGCCATTGGGGACTGTCTCTCCCTGGCCAATACCATCTTTGTTGGGATTTTGGTTGGAACCAAGGAAAGGGTCAAATCTTACCTCCCAGCTCAGCCCCGCCCCCTTCATCTTCTGTTAACTCTTGTTCTTCAGCTAACGTGTTTGCATGTGACGCTGTGGTGGCGCTGTGGGTTAAACCACAGAGCCTAGGACTTGCCAATCAGAAGGTCGGCAGTTCGAATCCCCACAACGGGGTGAGCTCCTGTTGCTCGGTCCCTGCTCCTGCCAACCTAGCAGTTTGAAAGCACATCAAAGTGCAAGTAGATAAATAGGTACCGCTCCGGCGGGAAGGTAAACGGTGTTTCCGTGCGCTGCTTTGCTTTGCCAGAAGCGGCTTAGTCATGCTGGCCACATGACCCGGAAGCTGTGAGTCGGTCACGACTAGACCTAATGGTCAGGGGTCCCTTTACCTTTACCTTTTACATTTAGCATCACGGCCAACTTTTGTCTTCATAGCACAGTCCTCTGCATGCTTACTCAGAAGCAAGTCACCCTGTTTTCATTGGGGCTGAAGGGCCACGTAAAAGATAAATACAGCTGCAGCCTTGGTCTCTCTGTTATTTTAAAACAAAGCAAAACAAGCAAAAACCACCTCAAACAAGGCCTTTCGCCACAAAGTGACTTGTGCCAATGCACAGAATTGTTAAGCCTTCCTTGTATGGTGTTCCTAAATACATTTTGAATCCCTGTGTTACAGGAACATGGTTGAAAAGCAGCTTGGGCATCGTAGAACAAGAAGGAAGCGAGATGACCTGGACATATATTGCCCCACAGCTGGGATACTGGGTTGCAGCCATGTCCCCCACAAATCCAGGTGAAATGTTTTCTTTTCTTCGTTCCACAAATATCTGCACACCACGCTGTGAATGGGCCTGTGTGTTTCACTATAGTATCAGTGCACCCGCCATTTTAATTACCCACAAGGCCTTCCCAACGTACTACTGCTCTGGGGCATTGTGGGAAGTATAAGTGGTGGGCCTCTTGTCACTGTCTGGCGTGGGTGGCGTCACTCCTGCTGCCTGCAGAAGCACCTACAGGGGACCCCCTCTGAGAAGAGGTGGTTTTAGGATAGCATGATTGGTTCAGCTGCGCTGGGTGCCGGCGCCGCGACAATAATGTAGAATGGGGTGCAAGAGTTGGGGGCACTGAATTTTAGCATCACAGAGGGCGCCACTGAAATTTGAGAGACCAAAGTCTGCCCCTGTTCCAAGGCAGGGAGGGGTGCACATTAGGACCCAGAACCAGTCTGTCCCTTAAATGTGCACTCAAAAGGGAATTGGAAGGCTCTGTATTGGTTGGTTTGCTTTTCTTCAGCCTTTTCAACTTTTTCTCTTCTAGGTCCCGTTGTAACCCAGGACATCAGCACTTACCACACAGTGTTTCTTTTGGCTATTCTAGGAGGGATGGCTCTGATACTTCTGGTTTTACTGTGCCTCCTCTTGTACTACTGCAGGTAAAAAAAAACCTCTCTTTTTTTTAACCAATTAAGAGTTTTCCAGTAAATTTTCCATCCTACATTACAAGCATCCATTTAAAAAAACAAAACACAACCTAATTACATTGTCCATCTCATACTTCGTCTTCGTATACTGAGCATTTTACGGTCCATAGCAGTAAGTCACAATATCGGGACCACAGATGTTTGGGCAGGAGGTCATGTCAAAATGATTTGGGGGCCTCTGGAAGTTTCACAGTTCAACTTAGTCATGTAACCATGGTAAGAGGATATGAAGTCCCTATGAAAGTGTATTGATTTTGCTGTCCTTCTAACTCGACTCACTTCTTTAGCTTTTCTACTAAGGCTAACTCTCATACCTTTGAACCACCATCCTTGCAGCATGAATGGGGATTTCTGGCCCAAATGTTTTGCTGCCAATAGGGAGGAAATTAAGTATAATCTCCACTGTGTTTCCTCAGTTTGTGTACAGAGATCATCCCATTTTGCTTTAATATACTAGGGGGAAAAGAAACATTCCATCCTAATGAGTGATCCTTTAAATTTTCTCTCTCTTGGCACAGAAGCTCACAAAAAAAAGAAAAAAACCATTAGATCCCTAGGAGCACCTTGAGTGAGATAAAAACAAAAACTAAATGATTGGGTCTGAACCATCTGAAACTAATTCAGACCGATGTCCCCTAGTTGAGCCAGTAACTGATCGGTTTGAATAGATTATGCATTTTGTACAACCCTACAGTTGCCCATTTCTTAAATTGCTTAAATTTTCTTTCCTCTGTGGTATAAAAAGGGGCACAATGGGGAACTAGGAGTCACGGCCATTTTCCCCAAGTTACAAAAGGCTGGCTTTACAAAAGGGGGTTATCAATTTCATTTAAACCATATGCAGTTATCTTTAGAAAGGGAAGCACTTTTGTAATAGCAAAATTACACCTTTGAATTTCAGTTCCCTGTTATGAACTCTGTTCAGGCATTCTGAATACTACTACTGCTACTAATAATTTTATTATTTATATCCCACCCATCTGATTGCATTTCCCCCGGCCACTCTGGGCGGCTTACAACACATAAAAAATTGTAACACATCAGACATTTAAAACATCCCGATATAGGGCTGACTTCAGATGTCTTCTAAAAGTCAGGTGTTTATTTCCTTGACATCTGATGGGAGAGAGTTCCACAGGGCGGGCGCCACTACCGAGAAGTCCCTCTGCCTGGTTCCCTGTAACTTCACTTCTCGCAGTGAGGGAACCGCATGTCAAAATGAGGGCCTCCTTTTCAAAGGGAAGAACAGCAATGGAAGAAAAAGGATTTCGTTTGAAGGAAGATTTGATTGCCATTATGTATTATTTATTTCCCAGCTCTCCTGAGGACTTTTCAGTGTGGCTTAAAAAAGTGCAACAATACCAAAAACCAACAACTACACACCATTAAATACAAAAAGCAGCAGCAATAAATTATATGTAAAAGCAGCATTTAAAAGCCATACTTATAAAAACAACTTAGGCCAACACATGGAAATGGCAGAGCATGGACGGGCATGCTAACTCTGTCTCCATCGTCTTTGCCGTCACCCTCAGCATGTTACCTGGTGACACTTTGGGCTGTGACGAAACCTCCTTTACTTGTGAAGACTTCCCGCATTTTGAAACCTTCACCTCACACAATATTCTAGCCAGGAGAAACTCCCAAGACAGACTGCTGTCCCTCTGAGAGTAGAGGATGGATAGCTTCCACATCCAGAAGGACAGTTTTGGATGCAACCCAGTGAACCTAAACAAGCTCACTGGAGGGTCACATGCTAAAAATAATCATCTTTTTTTTTCTTTTAACATGTGAAATTAATGAAAATATAAGTAGTTGATTTATTCCAAGGGAACTTTTAGAAGATAAAAAGCAGCACAGACATTTAGGAATTCTATTATCATCATCATGATCATCAACATTATGTCTCTTTTCACAAAAGTGACTCAGCAACTTAAATGGGGGGCGGGAATTAAAACCAAGTAAAAGAATTGAGAATAAAATAAAAATGTTCATATATATACAGCCGTACCTCAGAAGTTGAACGGGATCCATTCCAGAAGTCTGTTCAACTTCCAAAATGTTCAAAAACCAAAGTGCGGCTTCTGATTGGCTGCAAGAAGCTCCTGCAGCCAATCAGAAGCCACAGAAGCCCCGTCGGGCGTTCGGCTTCCAAAAATAGTTTGCAAACCAGAACAGACACTTCCAGTTTTCCATCATTCAGGAGCCAAAACATTCAGGAACTAAGCTGTTTGACTTCCAAGGCACAACTGTATATAGAAATAAAATGTACAGGCAAATCCAGCCTCACCTGCCCTACTAAAAAGATGAGCACAAAAATAGGCCACAAATACAGTGGTGCCTCGCAAGACGAAATTAATCCGTTCCGCGAGTCTCTTCGTCTTGCGGTTTTTTCGTCTTGCGAAGCACGGCTATTAGCGGCTATTAGCGGCTTAGCGGCTACTAACGACAAAGCGAATACTAACGGCTAAGCGACTTCAAGAAAGACGTAACGAACTTGCGAAGCAAGCCCATAGGGAAATTTGTCTTGCGGAACGACTCAAAAAACGGAAAACTCTTTCGTCTAGCGAGTTTTTCGTCTTGCGAGGCATTCGTCTTGCGGGGCACCACTGTATACAAATTAAGGGCCAAAAGCCTAGGTAAATAAAAATGTTTCTGCCTGGCAACCCAAACCAGATATAGATGGTGATGGGCATGCTTCTCTAGGGAGAACATTCCACAAACAGGGGGCCACCACTAAGAAAACCTGTTCTCTGTAGAGCTGTCAGGTTGGAACCCTGAATAGGAGCATTCACTTAACAAAAGACAATATATTGTTGCAGGTGCTAACTATTTTTGTTCTCTTTTTACGATAGGCGAAAGTGTCTGAAGCCACGTCATAAGAAACTGCAGCTGTCCTCAACGCTTAGTGGCGCTAAGAAAGATCAGTCGACCTCAATGTCCCACCTCAACTTGATATTTTCGCGCCGCGAGTCAGAATTTCCTGGCGGGTTGTCTGTTGCCAGCAATGGACACACAGAATCCTCCGGCCACAAGGAGCTAATGGGGGCTGTGCGCATGGAGAAAGTGTGTTCGGGGGGAGAAGCAGATATGCGCACTCCCATGCTCAAGCACACGTACAGCACCTCACAAGAGTTTAGTTCCCGAGAAGAGTTGCTTTCCCATAAGGAGAAGGATCAGAGCCGTATGTCTCTGGAGAACATGGCCTCTAGTGATACTCTGCGAAAAGACTACCTTAAATCAGTGGATAGCTTTCCTATAAACCCCAGGAAATCTATGGAGGCATCAGAAGGATATGACTCCCCTGACAAGGAAGATCACAGGAGGAGTTACAGTGCAATGTTGGCTCGGCCTTTATTTGAGAAGCCAGAGCAGGCCTCCATGAACCATATTTCCACAGGAAGTAAATACAATCTTCAGGAGCAACTGTACCCCATCCCTTCAGCACCCGAAACAGAACTGTTAGACTGCAGGCCCAGTGAATGTATGATGTCTCGCTCTGTTGACCACCTCGAGAGACCCACTTCCTTCCCTCGGCCAGGGCAGCTGGTCTGCTGTAATTCTGTTGATCAGGTTAATGACAGTGTTTACAGAAAAGTATTGCCTACGCTGGTTATTCCAGGCCATTATATGAAACTTCCCGGAGAACATCCGTACATTAGCCAGCCTCTGGTTGTTCCCACCGACCAGCAGATCGACATAGAAAGGCTCCAGGCGGAACTATCGAGTCCTCATTCGCAGCTCTTCCCACACTCGCAGCAACAGATGCCGCCCCAGCAGCTGGCCGCCCAAGCAATATCTCAGCAGCATTTGCAAGAAGCTGGAGCAAGCGAATGGAGCACCCAGAATGTCTCCATGTCTGAATCCGTATCCATTCCGGCATCGCTCAACGACGCCTCTTTGGCGCAGATGAATAGCGAAGTGCAGCTTCTTACGGAGAAAGCTCTCATGGAGTTAGGAGGAGGCAAGCCTTTACCTCATCCTCGGGCATGGTTTGTTTCTCTCGACGGGCGCTCCAACGCCCACGTTAGACATTCGTACATCGATCTTCAAAGAGCTGGGAGGAACGGAAGCAACGACGCCAGCTTGGATTCTGGGGTGGACATGAACGAGCCCAAATCCGCCCGGAGGGGAAGGGGAGATCATTTGTCCCTGCACCAAACCCACCTGCAAGTTCAGGTACATCCGCAAAAGGAGCAGAAAGCTCCGGACAGCACAGCTTACACGCAGCTTGTGTATTTGGATGATATGGACCAAAGTGGCAGCGAATGCGGTACAGCCGTTTGCAGTCCGGAAGACAGTACTCTAAGGTGCCTCTTGGAGGCGGGGAGCAGAAGGACGGGCAGCCAGCTGCCCAGCCTGCAGGAGGAGACCCTAAAACGAACAGTGGAAAGTTCACCAGAGCCCTTAACGAGCCCAGAGCACGGAATGACTGTCCATAACGAAGCTGAAGATGATGAAGACGACGAGGATGACGACGACGACGATCAAGGAGAAGATAAGAAGAGTCCTTGGCAAAAGCGAGAGGAGAGGCCACTGATGGCGTTCAACCTAAAGTGAGCTTCGGTCCATTCATCTTTTCCCCCACCGACCCAGGGGAGTATTAAAGTTGCCAAATATTTCTTTCGGCGGATGTTCTCAGTTTGTCTGTGGAAGGGGGAAGAAAAAAAGGGGGGAGAACCCTCAGGGTGGGGGCAATGGAGGAAGTGCAAAGAATTACTGTGCAGATTCAGATAGTTTCTCTGAAGAGGCCGCGCGAGGGACGCTTCCTACGAGAGAGCTTTTAAGAGTGTGACTCTTGATTCCATTTACTTGACATCAGCCATCAAGGACATTTGGACATGTTTGGCATGTGGTATGGCGGATTATGACCTCAGATTTCCCCGAAAAGGGATCTATGTGAAACTTCATTGCGTTTTCTTAAATTCAATTGTATCATGACAGTGCTACTGAAAGGGTATCTTTCATTAGACTTTTTGACACTTGACGTCTACCGATATGCATTATCTCCAAGGAAGGCTATGCATTGCTGCTTTTTAGTAACCTTTTTTTGCGTAAACTATGCTTTTCTTACTTATGTACAAGGTAGTTGTTAAACATTTTATGTCCTTACGATATGTCTGCTCAGCAACTGATTTTTACCTACACAAAAGCCTGAGTAGAATCTCTTGGTATTTTGAAGAGCCTTTTTTTAACGAAGCCAAACTGAATTTTAAAGTCAGCTGCAATTCCTCTGGTTCCAATCCCCCACTCCCAAGTGCCTTTTTTACAGGAACAATGAACAGCCCCTTCTTTTTGCTAGCGCCTTGAATATTCAGATTTCTTTCTCTTTCTAAAGCTTTACATTTTCTTTTAAGGACTGCATGCCATCAAATGTCTGTGCTGATGGGACTCCTCATTTCACCGCAGTGTGTTCCCTAGTTATGGTGTGTACTGTGGATTCTGTTTAGCAAAGATAGGCTAGAGGACATCTTTGGAAAAGCAAAAACCCGAAAGTAGCCAAGAAGATAGTTGCAATGACTGTAAATATGGTGTATATAGACTGAAGTAACATGGACTATGGACCAAGCAAGTGGACTGAATGTGTGTTTTAGAGAGTTCGGGCAAAAGTTATTATGTACTATCCAAAAGTGCCAGATAAACACTTCTGTGCTTTCTCTATATAAAGCTGCTTGGTTATCCAAAAATTATAATTGAAAAATAAACTTTTTAAAAATTTAGGATTTTTTTTTAATTCCTCCTTTTAGTTGCAGCATTGTTATTTACTAGCAATTTGAACTCTACAAAGTGGCTGCTGAGGTTGGTGTGCTTGAATTCTATCACTTAATTCTCATGGAATCTCAGTGCCCTCCTTGGTTCATCTATGGCAAGGGAGGGGCAATGCCAAACACCCGGCTTTCCATTTGCCGCTGTTGCGGAAAACATTGTGGACATAGGAGATAATTGAACACAGAAAGTCCACTGACAGTGATTCAGAGGCCAAAGTGCAGCTCTTAATGCAGAAGCCCAAATGCAGTGCAGCCATATAAATCCTGTACATTTCCCCGGGGGCAATTTTAATACCTGTTGTGTTGTTTTTGAAAGAAAATTCAAGGCAATTAAAATTAACATTGCCATCTGTTTTAAATGGCTCCCTAAACTGGGGGGGGCAAAGGTGAGTGTATCATTAAAGAACATAATAATTCTTGTGGATTTCACAGATGTTACACAATTTGCTTTGTATATTTTGTTCTAATGTTGTCGACAACAAATATTAAGAAAGCTATTATGCATACACTACTTGAGACCTTTGGGAATGCTTGTATTAAAGAATACATATTTAACGTTCTTGCTATGTTTCAAGGGCAAGGGTGGTCTATACAGGATTGGAGAGCCATAATGGATGTATTGCAGTATATTAAATAAGAACATAAGATGAGCCTGTTGGATCAGGCCGAAGGACAATTTAGCCTAGTGTCCTATTCTCACAGTGGTCAAACATATGCTTATGGGAAGCCTGCAAGCATATTATAATATACATAATTCCTGTAAAAAGAAACTAAAGCTTCATTCATACATGGGGTTTATTACATTCGTTTTACTGGTTATAATGAAAGAGCTTCTGTTCCGATTTGCAATGTTCCTTTTACACTGCAATTACCTATTGCATTACAGAACTTTGGCTTTCTGATTAACTTACCAGAATCCCACGCTAAATTTTAAACATTAGGAAAGAACTGCATATTGGCATACCGCTTCAGATTTCATCGCATGAGCAGCTGAGTTTTAATCATGAAAAACCATGTGAAAATGGCAATGCAAAACTCCTGCAATTTTCTGGAAACAGCATGGAAATGAGCGGTAGTAAACTTCCTCAAATTCTGCTACATTTCCAGAAGTGGCTTTTACATCATGTGATGAAATAGCATATAAAATGTAAACATTTAGCAGGTAAGGAAACAAAGGTCTCTGATACGTAGTTACTCTTCTCATCCTGGGGATCAAACAAAGAAGATATTCTGAGGAGAACTTTCTCCAGCTCTTCTCCAGAGTACCTGGTGTAACTTAGATGGCACTTCCCTCAGCCAACATATTCAAGAATCCCCACACACCTTGGTAGGGCAAAGGACCCCTGTTTGTGGTATCAGGGAACCTTTGGGATTTGCTTGGGGCAAACTACTCTCTCAGAATCCTGCTTTTTTCCTCATCTCCCTTACTCCACACCTCAGCCGCTGCTGCTCCTCGCTCTCCCTCACCGTCATCTTGCAAAAAGGGACACTTTATGGTTTTGTCCTCCCCTAAGAGGTGTTGAAATGCATATTTACTCTGCACCCTGTCCTACAAGCTTCATAGTATAACATTTATTCTAGTGGATGTATACCGGGCTGAGCTTGGGCCAGGTCACTGTTTGAAGGACCTTGCAGGGTTGTATTCGAAACAAAACGAAGTAACCTAACATTCCTCTTTGCTGTGTGAGCTCAGTGGAGAAAGAGGGTGGAGTCCAAATGTGAAGAATGTTCTAGGACAAATGTGTTCCTTTGTAATATATTTAATGCAGAGATCTGCTACTTTATAATAATGCAGGTATTTGAATGAATATGATGTAATCCTGTCTTCTAAACTCACCTCCCCACAAAAAAAGAGAGATTACCATATTGGCAAATACAGCTCCTGGAAATGTCAGCTGTACTGGCAGGAAGAGTTGAATGGAGTATGTGGCTAGGCCAATAATGAAGATGACTCCCAGAAGACAGCCAGGCCACACCCAGTAGAGAAATCCCTCAATGTATCTAAAGCAGCTCCCCTGTTAATCACACAGAAGTGATGCAATTGTTGATTGATTGATTGATTGATTGATTGATTGATTGAAGCAATGCCTACAACACCTAAACAAATCTGAACTTTGCCTCTCCTTCCTTGCGATGGCATTCTGCTTCTCCAGAGAGCCATTTGAAAGTGCCACTGTTGTCTTTTTGACCTAGATGCTGGCACAAGGAGCAGTGTTTGAAATTAATTGGGCCAGCAGTCTTTTTGATAGTAACTCTCGGCAATAACCCTCAGTTACCCACCAAGGACCAGGTTATAGCTCAATAAACGGCGGCACCATCTCCACTGTGCTTTTCGTGAGCTTATTTCTGGCAGTTTTTTAATTTCAAGCAAAGGCTGTTAACGAACAGGATGTAATTAGTGTGTACAAATGAGGCACTTCTCGGGGATAAAACAGCTACCCAAACAAAAGCAATGATCCTAATTTAAGAAATCAAATCTCTTTAACACAGAAACCTGATAACAATAAGAGAGTCACTAAGAGAAGCACGTATTATTTCTTCAAAAGATTCATAGACCGCTTTTCAAACAAAATGTTTCCTAAAGTGATTTACAAACATGTTGTTTACAACAAACTAAAGCTCAGTCCAGATAAAATGAGGCACTGTTGGTGGGTGGTTCCCAAGATCAGATGGATGGGAGATTTGCTTGCTCTTGATGGGGTTACGCTCCCTCTGAAGGAGCAGGTATGTAGCTTGGGGGTACTTATGGATCCATTGCTGTCACTTGAGGCCCAGCTGTGCCCCTATTTGGACAGGGATAGCCTAATTTCTGTTGTCTATGCTCTGATAACCTCTAGGTTAGAATACTGTAATGCATTATATGTGGGGCTGCCCACGAAGACAGTTTAGAAACCTCAGCTGGTGCAAAATTCAAGGCAAGATGGTTTGAGCTTATTACACCAATCCTGGCCTTACTGCCAATTAGTTTCCAGGCCCAATTAAATGACTCAGTACTGCAATACTTCAAGGACTACCTCTCCTTATGAACCTACCTGGACCCTGCGACCATCATCTAAGACCCTTCTTCATGTGCCGTCTCCATGAGAGATTTGGAGGATGGCAATATGAGAAAGGGCCTTTTCTGCAGTGGCTCCCTGTTTGCACAATGCTCTCCCCAGGGAGGCTCACCTTGCCCCTTCATTATACCTATTTAGGCGCCGGGTGAAAACATTCCTCTTCAACCAGGCCTTTGGCTGATTAGCATTCTATGGCCTTTTAATGTGTTGGGTTATTGTTTTGTTCTTGGCTTTGTTATGTATTTTGTATTTTTATGCTGTGAACCACACCATGAGATCTTTGGACGAAGGGCAGTATACAAATTTAATTGATAATAATAACAATGCATATAAGCAAACCATAATATAATTTTAAAATCAGATTAAAAACAGACATGTCATTGCATTTTAACTGTTACAGAATATGACTAAGGTCAGCATAAACTAGCACCAGACTAGCAATTAAAAGCAACTGTCAAAAGGTAGGTCTTCACACCCTATTTAAACATTTTAAGGAATTGACCCTGCCTAACTTTGTGCAGAATTGAGTGCCGTAATTGTAGGGCCAGTGCTGAGAAGGCCCTGTTCCATGTGCCCACTAACCTAATAGTCTTTGTAGCTGTGCACTTAAGTAGGGTATGTGAAGCAGGGGAAGATTACTGGCTAGCTGCTAGAGGAGAAAAAAAAGTCAATCGTGTGGGCGGTTGGGAAGAGATAGAATGGAGCATCCCATCTGCCTAGCCACTGCACAGTTAAATGTTGTAATTTGCTACCACAAGGTGTGTTGATGGCCAACTTATGTGGCTTTAAAAGCAGATTGGGTAAATCCATTGGCTATCAATGGATGCTGGTCACAGTAGCTGTATTATGTTACTTCCAGGACCAGACGCCTCTGAATAGCTGCTGTTGGGGAGCAGCAGTCAGAGAGGACCAGGGCACTCAGTTCCTGCTTGTGGCTTTCCACTGGGGGGAACAAGATGCTGGAATTTGATAGGCTTTTGCTTAGTGGCTCTTCTTAGTCCAGCCTCGTCGTCGTGAATTTCCTCTAAAACTTCTGTTCATGTAAGCCAACAGTGGGGAGGTAGTGGCCTTCCAAATGTTGCTGGAACTACAAAGTCCATCCCTGACCATCGGCCATGCTGACGTTCCTCACTCCCTTATGTAAACAGTGGGCACACTGCTTTTTAGCACAGCAGGCTTATTTAAAGAACGTGTGCATCCTTTGGCTACAGAGGAGCACAGCAGATGAAAAATGGAATGTGGGTTTAATTTCACACAATGGGTGGAATGTTTTGGCCCCAGTCCAGTGGATCCAGTACACATGCAGATGGCCACATGAAGCCCCATCTGTTAACCATACAGAGCTCAGGGTTGGGGACACCACCACCCGTGCAATGGGGTGCCTGCACAGGACTTTCCCCAACATAAAAACCATGGGTAATATTAATATAAATTTATTTCTCATTCCCTGCCCATCTGACTGGGTTGCCAACAAAAACCACAGGAAAAACAGCAACAAACATTAAAACTTACCTATACAGGGCTGCCTTCATATGCCTTCTGGAAGTCAGATAGTTGTTTATTTCCTTGATATCTGAAGGGATATCCACAGGGAGGGTGCCACCACCAAGAAGGCCCTCTGCCTGGTTCCACGTAACCTCACTTCTTGCAGTGAGGGAACCACCAGAAGGCCCTCAGAGGTCTGGGCTGCATGATGGAGGTGGGGACACTCCTTCAGGTATACAGGGAACTGAGGCCGTTTAGGGTTTTAAAAACCAGCACCAACACTTTGAGAAAACAAGGAAACACCTCTGCTAAGATGAAGAGGTGCTGCCACACAGGCATGCATAGCTCCAAAGGAAACAATGTACATTATTCATCCTCCCCACTTCTAGAATGTTTTTTAATTGTGCATATTCATTCATTTAAAAATATGTACATACCTCTTAATCAACAAAAGCATCTGACCCGTTTACATAAAACAATAAGGAATATTCATTTAACCCCGGTAAACCCACACATTAAAAACAAGATGACATAAAATTTATTGAAATTCAACCAGCAATTTTAAAACGCATCTACGTAATAAAATTCCACGTTAAAAATATACAAATTTACGCAGGCATATGCAAATTTGTATATTGTATAGGCTCTGTCTTCTCATTCATCATATATGTATATATATGATGAATGAGAAGACAGAGCCGATTGCGAATATAACATTTATTAACGTATAAGCAAAGCCAGCAGTCTTCAAACGCACGTGCCCGTTAACACTACAAATTGGTGCAGGTTTAGCAACTTCAGGAGCGGATGAGTCGCTTGCGCTCGAGCCAGCCTTGCAATCCTGAGCCCGGGGGAGCCTCTATGGAGGCCAGGGAGCGCCTCCCCCGTGTTTCACCTGGTCAGCTGGGGCGGCCTCCCGGCAAGGGGGCGTCTCGCTCCCCGGGCTGCGTCTGGCGACGAGCGAAGGCGGAGCAGCGACGGAGGGAGGCCCGCAGCTAGGGGGAGCTCCTCCGGCCGCCGCCGCCGCCGCCGCCTTGCGCGCCCAAGCTGGTTGCCTTTCATAGGCTTGTGCCGGCGAGTCCCTCCTCCCTCCCCCCCCCCACCTTCCCCCCGTGATGGCGGAGGACAGCGAGTCCGCCGCCAGCCAGCAGAGCCTCGAGCTGGACGACCAGGACACCTGCGGCATCGACGGCGACAATGAAGAGGAGACGGAGCACTCCAAAGGGTAGGGGCGCCACCCTCCTCCGCCCAGCCCGGCGCAGCGGCGCTCGCCTCGCCTGCAGCCCGGCGCCGGAGCCCGGGTGGGCCCGGCCGGGCGGGCGGGTGGGCGGCCAGCTCCGCCGACGGCTCCCTGCGGCATTGGCGGCGCGCGGCGTGGCCCGGGAAGGCGGCGGCGGCGGCGGCGGCCCAGGTGGGAGGGAGCGCGCAGGCCACGCGGGTGCAAGCGGCCGCCTCGGGCTCGGCCGCCGCTTTTGTGTGAGGTGGGAAGGCAGAGCGAGCCGCTCCCCTGCGCGCCTTGGGCGGGCGGAGGGGCGCGGGGCCCGGCGGCGGCGGCGGCTGCTGCTCTTGCTGCAGCTGCCGGGTGGCCGCGGAGGAGGCAGTGTGCAAGCCGGGGTCCTTCCACGCGGAGCCGACGCCTCCCTCGCCCGGCCCTCGGCCTGGCATTTGCTGCAGCTGGCGAGCAAGGGAGTCTGCTTGGGAAGGTGGCCTGGCCGCCCTCTGCACTCGCCGCCGCCGCAGCCGCCCCCCTTCCGCGGTTGCCTCTTTCTCTTCCCCCTTCCCGCGTGCTTCCTTTGTGGACAGTCTCTCGTGTTTTGCAGCCGTTTGTCTGCCGTTCAGAAGGGCGCCGTCAACGTCCCTCAGTGCAGATCGAGTTGGCCCTGAAGGCCTTTTATAACACACACATACATACACACAGAGCTAAATCCGGCTGCAAGGATATGGCCCCTCGCTTGCGCCCCCCACCCCGGGAGAGGGAAGGGCTGTTTGCACCGCTAAAGTGTCTGGGAGTGGTACCAGTCTCTGATGGATTGATGCAGAACCCAGGGATGTGGTCCACCCCATCACCCCCATGGAAATTAGCTTGCAGTGGGTTATCTATAGCCCTGCTGACAGCCCCCATCCCTCAAAGTCTTTCTTGCTGGTAAAGCAAAGGGTGTGTGACTTCTCTAGCCAGAAAAAAAATGTAATCTATACTAAATAGGGTTTGGAGGAGAAAACTTGTATGAAAGAGTTATATGCGGTGTGTGGTTGGTTCTGAAAGCCACAGCTCAGCTCTGATGCAGGTAGAGGTAAAAGCCGGTAAATGCATTGAACATGCACAGAGTGCTTTTTAATATTATGGTTGATTCACCAATCAAGCCCTCATTTAAGTTGAAAGGGCTCAGAGGGCCGAACTTGCAGTCAGGTGTAAGGCATCCAGGGAGATTTCTGCTTCAGTGATATTTTCTTTTTGCAAATGTACCTTCTATGCATACATGTACATTCTGCAAGCGGAGCGTCTGGTTCCAACTGGAAAAATCAATGAGGGAAAAGTAGTTGTTTTCCCAGGTTGGTAACTACCTATCATAGGAAATGTGTTGGGTGCTAACTGACCGATTGGCTTGTGTTGCTGTGCAGACTCTCCTGAATCTGATAGACAGACTTAGGATGCGATCCTTCCTTCCAGGTATGCAGTTTGGGAGAGGTTAGGATGTGCAATATAATCTTGTCCCATCTCCTCCTACCACTGGCTGAACTTAACCTGGCATAAATAACTTTTCCTGATGTTTCTGGCTGAGGGACTGCTCATGGAAGTTAAGCCAGTGGAAGCTGCACAGGTCCAGGACCAAAAAGGGGTATGGAAGGGGCATGTTGGAGATACGTAGAAGGATAAACAAAGTTACGCTGCCTTCTAATTTCCTCTGTTCCCTGGTCTCGCTCACAGAGCATAGCATAACTTTCACCACCAAAAATGCAGGTTTCACTAAATTCAGCACCTAGGAGGTCTTTGAAAGGGCAGAAAACACAGTTAGGATGCAGCTTATCTTCTATAAAGAGGATGTACCACCATATCTGCCTGTTTAGGGTTGATCTGTTAGATGAAGAAGGACCTGTGTCTTTAGATCATGGGTGAGCCAGACCCTGACCTTCATGATCAAACCCTTTGAGCCTGGGCAAAGGAAATTAGGCTATGCTGGCAAAGTCACAGGGGTCTGCAGGCGCTACTGGTCAGCTCGTTGGCACTGCTTTCAAACTGTGTGCAAAGGTACAGGGGTTTGCAGGCACTGCCAGTGAGCTGTTTGGTGGCACCTGCAAACCCTGCCTTCATACATGATGCTAGGCGTAGGGCAGATAGGTATGGCTGGTGCATCTTCTTATGTTCTGACACTGGTGCCACAAGAAGCAACAACTAAAGCGGAAGTGGGGGGAGCCTCTGGTCCACATGCCAAATTAGGATTCTTTCTGTGTCTAATTTGGCCTGCTGGATCAGACCAGTGGTCCAGCTAGCCCAACATCCTCTTTTCACAGTGGCTAGCCTGATGGATGCCTATACGAAATCTGCAAGCAGGACAAGACACTCTCCCCTCCTGTAGTTTCCAGCATCTGGTATTCAGAAGCAGACTACCTCTGGCCATAGAGGGCAGACCATGGCTAGTAGCCATTGATCCTCCATAAATTTGTCTGAACCATCCAATTGGGTGGCCATCACTGCATCTTGTGGTATTGACATTAGAACGTAGGAAGGTGCCTCGTACTGAGTCAGACCATTGGTGCATCTTAGCTTGGCATTTCCAAAAGTAACAAACAGTGACTATTTAGGGCACATATGAGGAACCTTGGGGACGCAGGTGGCGCTGTGGGTTAAACCACTGAGCCTAGGGCTTGCCGATCAGAAGGTCGGCAGTTCGAATCCCCACAACAGGGTGAGCTCCCATTGCTCGGTCCTGCCAACCTAGCAGTTTGAAAGCACGTTAAAGTGCAAGTAGATAAATAGGTACCTCTCCAGCGGGAAGGTAAACGGCGTTTCTGTGCGCTGTTCTGGTTCGCCAGAAGCGGCTTAGTCATGCTGGCCACATGACCCGGAAGCTGTACGCCGGCTCCCTCAGCCAATAAAGCGAGATGAGTGCTGCAACCCCAGAGTTGGCCACGACTGGACCTAATGGTCAGGGGTCCCTTTACCTTTATGAGGAACCTCAGACCGGGGGCCAGAACTCTCTCTGTGGCCCTCAGGACTCTCCCCAGGCCACACAGCCTCTCTGGCCACACCCCTCACCAGTCCTTATATGTGCTGTCCTTGATTGTGTCTTTTTTTTTTTTTTTTTTTTGCCTGGCTGATATGTTGTGTTCTTATTTTGTATTTTTCTGTTGTGAACCGCTCAGGAGGTGTCTTCAGATGAAGGATGGTAGAATAATAATAATAATAATAATAATAATAATAATAATAATTGCTAATGTCTTTGCTAATGTTTCCTGCTGTCTGGATAAATAGAGAGAGCTGTGTGAATGTGCAGAAACTTTCCTACTGCAAAAGATCTCCCACCTCTGCTCTAAGGTTTTACACAGGAGTCTTTTTCAGCTGTGTTTGGAGAAGGTGGGGACTTAACTTGGCAGCATGTGCCCAACCACTGGACCCAGGTTGTGTCCAGTGTATAATGGGAAACACCTCATTTTGGTTTGACTTCATCAGGGGAAAGCCCTACTGCAACCCAAAACTATTTAACCCTGTATCTCGCAAATGGGAAGTATGATTCATGGGCTTTAAGGAAAGTCACTTCTTACACTTTCCCTTTCGTTTTCTCAAATATGTTGGCTTCTTTTTATTTATTTATTTATTTATTTATTTAAAAGCTTCTAGTGTTTGAAAGAGAGGCATTCAGATTTTCCTAACTCAGATAAATTGTCTAAAATTAAAGGCAAGTACACAAATAAACCTGGAGGGCTGGAAAACAAGATTGTCTTGTTGCTCAGCAGACGTAAAATGTTTGCCAAGGGAATAAATGTGCTTTGCTGTTGAAAGAAGAAGTTAAGTTGTGGCAGAAGCAAAAGTATTAGATGATGCTTAGAGGTGTATCGAATCATCTTAGCAGGTGCCTTCTGAGTCCTTCTGGCCAATGCATAGATTGTACAAGACAAACTTGGGGTTTGCCCACTGAGTAGACACTTGGTGACCTGCAGATTTAGTACACCCCGATTACAAGTATGTTTGTCATTCTCACATTTATTGCTAAAATGTCCTGGGTGTATTTTCCCACACAACTCTCTCCCCATCCACTTTAAGATCTGTCAGCAAAGTCCTGCTTCAGATAATACCATCTTCTGTGGATGTTAATATCAGCATCTACTTGGAGCAGGGCCTTTTCAGTATCTGCCCCCAAACTGTGGAATGCTTTGCTTCAAGGAGGTGCATTTGGCCCCATAACATCTGGCAATGGAGGAATATTTTTGCTCCACAAGCACTTTGGTAGGAAGGCCTCTGTTAACTGGAAGTGATGTCCTAGGACAAACCTCTGGCCTGGCTTGTGGGTCTCACTACGGCTTCCAGTCCTCCCCGTTTGGCATAGCAGACCCATTTTGGCCAAGCCACAGCCCCCTGCCAGTCACTGGACATCATGACATTGGACGTTGCCAGGTCAAAAGATAGCTGGACTTCAGAAGCATGGCACACCTGGCTTCTGTGGAGAGGCAGATTTGAGAATTGATGGATTTTCTGGCTATTTGGCTTCCTTTTTTTGATCTTGCTTGTTTGGTTTTGGTTCTGTTTTAAGATTGCCTCTTGGCATCAGTAATGCCTGTTTTGTTTTTATTCTTTAAACAGCTTTGGGGATTAGATAGAACTGTTGTAAATTTAGTTAAATAAATAAAACTGTAATGGATGATGATTCCCCTAGGCTCCTTATTCATTTTGCTTAAAGGATTTCTGAAGCTCACTGGTGTCTTGAAAGCCTGGGACCTGCTTGGTATCCACTGTCTTTGCAAACATTTTACAAGTATGCTGTGTGTATCCTCTTTAAAGGGTAATTTCAGCTCTCCATAGACTCCAGCTGTATCATTCAATTTGCACTATGCTGCGGAGATAACAAGAACTAATTAGAGCAGAGGTAGGCAACCTAAGGCCCATGGGCCAAACATCTCTTCAAAGTTTTCCCCAGCTTTTCTGTTCATGGAATCTTCTCTGCTTTGCTTCGCAATTTTCTTGAAATGCAGTTGCTAAAACTGAATGCCCCTACTTTGTGCTAAATCAGCTGAAATGCACAAGGCCCCTGGGTCAGCTGAAGTCCATCCAAATAAGGAGCTAGATGGGCTTGGGATCCTGAGGTTGCACCACAGTGCCTGACATCTACATGAAGCTGCCTTATACAGAGTCAGGCCATAAATCCACTTAGCTGAATATTGACTGCTGCCACAGGGAACAGTACTTTTAAATCAAGATGTAGAGGACTGAATCCAGTAACTTCTAGGTGTGAAACATGTGCTCTAACACTGAGGTATGGCACTCTAAAAAGGCCCCATTCAAAGGCTTCTTCTTGTAATCAAAGTATTTGGCTTAATATTTCCCATAAGGCTGTTCTCCCTGTGTGTAGATGACAGCACAGCTTATTGACCTAAGGTTTCTATGGATGTACCGTATTTTTCGCTCTATAGGACACACTTTTTCCCCTCCAAAAATTAAGGGGAAATGTGTGTGTGTCCTGTGGGCCGAATGCAGGCTGCTTGGCTTCAGCGATAGTAACGCAAAGCCTCTGAAGCGCAGAGGGAGCGCTCCTTCCGCGCTCCGGAGGCTTCGCGTTGCTTTCACTGAAGCCTGGAGAGCGCAGGAGGATAGCCTCCTGAAGCCTTTGGAGCGCAGTGGGACCTCGCAATGTGCTCCAAAGGCTTCGGGTTCCTTTTGCTGAAGCCGGGAGAGCAAGACTCTCCTGGCTTCACAGAGAGGGAGAGCTGCGCAGCGCCCCTTCAGCGAAGCAGGAAGAGAAATGGAAGGGGCTCCGTTTCTCCTGCCGCTTTGCTGAAGGGGCGCTGAGCAGAGAGGGGGAGAATTTTTTTCCCCTGTTCTCCCCCTCCTATGGTCCAGTGCGTCCTATAGAGCCAAAAATATGGTAATTCAGATGAAGTAGCCCAATGTCAGTAGTAAGAGAGGCCAGGCAGTCTAGACCTGAGGAGGCTTGTAAATAGCCACTAGCCTGGTTGTTGTTGGTAAGGAAAAATTACTTCCAGGTAATCAGTCAACAACCCATGGAAGCATACGGACATTTGAACTATGCTTCTTTTGGACCATAGGTGTGCTCCAAATAACTAATGATAGTATTCCAAAAGCCATATTAGGACAATGTCTTCATTAGGTCGACCGAAACATTACAAAATGGTGTGCGAGCTTTCATGTTCACCAGGCGAGATGGTATACGATTGTGGGGGGAGTTGGCTGATGCAGGAGCTGTGGGTAGAATCTGCATTTAGTCACAGTCTTAAGATGGAATGTGGGAGGAGGTAGCAGACATTCAGAAGAGGCTCTTGTTTGGTGCGTTACAGGTTTCAAGTTGTATTGGGAAGAAACATACAATAGTTAATGTCCCAGTTCTGAAAATACAAAATCCAGCTGTTACCTAGATTTGTCTCCATCCTTAGGCAATACACATAGGCCCTTGACAGATGGAAGACAGCAAAAATAGGCAATTTTCACATCAACAAAACTGCAGATCAGTTTCGCTAGGTGAAAAATAATTTATAGAAGCCGAGTTAGGTTGCTTTACCTAATAATTGGAGGGAACATTCCCTCAGAGAATAAAGTCCCATCTTCCTTTTAAAAAAAATGTATGTATGTAAGGGCTTGTAAAAATTCTTGCTTTTTAATTTATTTATAAAGCTCATCTAGGAAAGCTGACTCTACCGTAACTATTGGAGTTGCCTCTGGCTATGTCCCTACCTCTCTATGGGTCTGCTTTTTTAAAAAATCAGCATTAGTTTGGAATTAAATTGCTGCCGGCAGTTTCTCCCCTGGGGTGTTTGAAATAATCGGTGTGCAAAGTTCTGAGGGCCAGACTCATGTCTGTACACCTGATCAGAATTAGGTTGGGTTAAAATACGCCCCCCTCTCTTTTCATTCTTATTTAAAATAATAATAAAAAAAATCCTTCCAGTAGCACCTTAGAGACCAACTAAGTTTGTTACTGGTTTGAGCTTTCGTGTGCATGCACACTTCTTCAGATGCATTTTTTTACGGCAGCCTTGTTCACGCATCCTAATTTAACGCAAGGGACTGTGGCATAGCTGCTGCTTTCTTTTTGTCATGAAGACAAATCAGGTTTTCAACCCCTATTTTCCTCTCTGCAACCAGAAGTGCAAAATGTATTGGTTGGAGTGAAAAGTTCACTGCTGAAATGAATGTGCAAGTAGGCTGCAAGCAGAAGTACCGTATTTTTCGCTCTATAGGATGCACTTTTTCCCCTCCAAAAATTAAGGGGAAATGTGTGTGCATCCTGTGGAGCGAATGCAGGCTCCTTGGCTTCAGCGAAAGCAACGTGAAGCCTCCAAAGCGCAGAGGGAGCACTCCCTCCATGCTCCGGAGGCTTCGTGTTACTTTCGCTGAAGCCAAGAAGCGCAGCGCGAGCTCCCGCTGCGCTCCGGAAGCTTCGGGTTCCTTTCGCTGAAGGGTAGGTGCCCCTTCAGCTAAGGCGCATCGCCCCTTCAGTTAAGCGGGAGGAGAAATGGAAGGGGCTCCGTTTCTCCTGCAGCTTCACTGAAGGGGCGCTGAGCAGAGAGGGGAAGATTTTTTTTTCTTGTGCTCCCCCTCTAAAACAAGGTGCTTCCTATGGTCTGGTGCGTCCTATAGAGCGAAAAATACGGTAGCTATGAACACTTTGTCTGCCTTGTAAAGAAGTTGTTAAAAGCTACTAACCTCCTCACCCCACCCCCCAAAAAGCCCAGTTCACTTTGTTTTTGTGCTGGACACAGCATACCATCTTTCCTCTACCAGCCTCCTTACGACTTCGTATGCAATTCCTTGTCACTTATGGCGACTGCACAAATATTTTAAAACAAATCTGATTCAGTTGGTTTTTTTAAAAATTGCATTTATATGCTCAGGGTGGGTTACATGGGGTTTAGGGCTGTCTCCAACCCAGACCTGATTAAAGTGCCACACAATTGCATGCTGTTAGGTCAGCCATTGCCAGCCTGATGCTGTCCAGATGTTTTGTACTGCAACTCATCTGCTGCGGCACCAGGTTGGCAAAAGTTATGCTATGCTACTCTCTAGGTCCAGCTCATATACACACCTGTGCCCAAGGTTGAGAATTAGGCAGGTTCGTAATCACTGGACTTAATAACAACTTGCCACAATAGGAGTCCAGAGCCACTATATGGGCACATGGAATTGATGTTGTAGCTCCTTTGGATCCTGGCTGTCGATTCTGTCACTTCTACAGTATGCATATAGCAAGGTGCCATGTTCCATCAATTGCCTAGTGTTATGGGGCAGTGAATCATACCATTCACTTGTTGAAATTTGTTGAGCATAGCGATGCATCCTCAGAAAATAAGCAAATGACAGGAATACATCAGCAATTACTAATGAGGGATGGGATACAGTAAATAAAAGCACAGTGGAATTGATTGCCTCTCGTTCCTCAAAATGCAGAAAAATGTATACCTTGTATGTCATGAAAAGGAACAAATTATTGGGCTGGTTCATATTTAATGCTAACCATGATCTAGTGCTGAGTGAACAAGCAGGCAAAGCAGAAGGGACCATGAGGTGTGCTTATGCATATAGCATTAAACCATGTTTAGCAATATGCAGTCTTCAAAATTAGCCAGGCATATTTTGCACCTGAGAAGGTGCCTGGGTGCCAGGATGGCGCCTGACATCTCCACCATCTGGAGGTAGACGCCAGGGGATCATTGGATCTGGATTGCTCTCACACACAAATACCACATCCTGTAGGAATAGGCCAATATACATGTGGACTATCCCTGGATAAAGTGCCTTTTCTGCTTTAAGTTCTCAAAGTTCTTAACCTAGCTCAAGGTTGTCATCTGATCTAGCCAGATATTTAACTGAGAATCAATCACAGCCAGTCCATCATTTGGAAAATAAGACTTTAGAACCGCCTGGCCCCAAAATGGCAACTAGACATTCCGTTTTGGTGACTGCAACTTTGGTTTAAGGAGCCATTTGGCGCCTAGCTTATATATCTGAGTTTCTAACACTGGATGCAAGAACTAGCTCATTGTATGAATATTTTGAGTTGCTGCTGAGGGTTTTTGACATATTAAGTACGGGTAGATTTGGTGCCCTCCAGATACCGTAGAAATGCAAGTCCCATCAGCGCCAGTCAGCACAGCAGTGCTCTAGGATGGTGGGAGCTTGAGCTCAACAACATCACAGGCTCTCCATCCTGGTTTTAAGGGGAGGACCATAAAATCAGAATGGGAACCTGTGGCCTCCAGATGTCGTTGGACTCCAAACTCCCTCCATCTCTGACCACCAGCATCTCAAGGGCACCACCCTGGCTATATGAAGAGTCAATATGTTTAAAAGGAAACTAATTCACAGCAGAGGATGTTACAGAGAAGACATGACTCAGAGATGGTGGTAGTTATAGTCTGACAACATTTGGAAGGCAACACTGTGATAGAGGATTGCGGGGCAGGGTTAGGTTCCTAGGCTCCATCATAAATTCTTCAAGGAACCAGATAGTAGGCCTACCTAGCTAATGGAAATTTCAGATAAAATGGGCTTACTTTCAAAATGAAATAGGAGGCCTCTATTTCTGCAGGAACCCTAACTGTAGTTCTGTGTTTAGGGTTAGGGAGCACCAGTGGAAATTTTCATCACCACACACTGCACAAAACAAAACAAAGAAACCTACCCTCCACTTCCCAGAATTTGTTGTGGGGGTGAAGCCATAGCAGTTAAACTGGTAGAAAACCAAAATAGATTTGCTAATAGTGTGTGAGTAATTGGGAAGCATAACAGTAACAGGTATCTTCCAGAAATGTAGAACACAGAAAGCCTTTTGCTGTTAACTACCAGGAAATTTCCTTTTTCAGTTTCCGGTGCCATTTTTTGCATGCACCGATGTGCAGAGAAAGGTTTCCAAGCGAATAATGCTGCTTAAAAGATGTGATCATGTCAAATTCCTTGCTGTATTTAGAATCACCTGCTTTTGTGGTACTGAGCACACAATCCCTTTTGATCTCAAGCTTCAAGGGAGGGGACGACTGCAATATCTCTTTCATTCCACGGTGTGACGCGAACATTTAAATGAAGACATTTCCCCCTAGGTTGACATTTTTAAATTAGGTTATAAGCTGATGACCACAAAACAGTTTCGTGATTCTGTGGAGGTGTGGTAAAAATAGTCCTGTGCGGAGCAGACGAGGCTACATAAACTTGATACAGAAAATAATGATATCATAGATGGCTGTGATGGATGCAGGTATCAGCATTTTTCAAATATGGTCTTTTCTGCTGGATGCTGGGAATGTATGCAGTGCGATTCAGATAGCCGAGTCTTACATTTTTTTCTTCCCAAAGAACCTCATTCTATTATGTTTCACTACAAAGAAGGTCCAAGGGACGCGGGTGGCGCTGTGGGTAAAACCTCAGTGCCTAGGACTTGCCGATCGTATGGTCGGCGGTTCGAATCCCCGCGGCGGGGTGAGCTCCCGTCGTTCGGTCCCAGCTCCTGCCCACCTAGCAGTTCGAAAGCACCCCTAAGTGCAAGTAGATAAATAGGTACCGCTTTATAGCGGGAAGGTAACGGCGTTTCCGTGCGCTGCGCTGGTGCTGGCTCGCCAGAGCAGCTTCGTCACGCTGGCCACGTGACCCAGAAGTGTCTTTGGACAGCGCTGGCTCCCGGCCTCTTAAGCGAGATGAGCACGCAACCCCAGAGTCGGTCACGACTGGCCCGTACGGGCAGGGATACCTTTACCTTTACAAAGAAGGTGCTTCCATGTGGGGGTTGCATTGGGGGGGTGGAATTGTTTTGGGGAGGGAGATGATGTAATTTAGCTCCACTTTTAAATACAGAGATTTCATGAATGCGCCTCTCTTCCAAGGTTTAATTTATTTTTTCCTTCTGTAGCAGAATTGGGGAATATTTTTGAATATGACAAAAAGAACCACCCTGAGCTACTTTTGGCACATTTTTGGAGGGGTGCGTGCGTTTTAAAAACAACACCAGGTCATCTTTTTCCAACTCTCAATTTCTTTACAGAAGTCCTGGAGGAGACTTGGGAGCAAAAAAGAAGAAAAAGAAACAGAAGCGAAAAAAGGAAAAGCCAAATTCCGGAGGTACCAAATCAGACTCTGCATCTGACTCCCAGGAGATTAAAATTCAGCAACCTTCAAAAGTGAGAGCCTGGGCTTCATTTTAACTTTGGTAGCATAGTGTGAGAATCGTAATAGGCAGTGCTAGGTGAAGGGTGCGCTGAATGGGCTGCTTGTCACAATTGCAGGTAAACGCAACTGTCCGACAGAAAAAAAAGTCTATATTTTTCGAGGTCTAAATGTCAGGTTCTACTATCCTGTTAATCCAAAATTAGAACCTTTCCCTCTCTCTTTCTGGCTCCTAAAATTCATTACCCTTGTTACCAACCATTTTGTAGGACTCCTACCCCGGAAAGGTTCTTATGTGTCAAATGTAAAAAATCTTCATTTAAATTTGTTGTCTTATTTTGATGCACTGTAATTACTATTCTATCTTCAAAATGTATTTTAAGTAGTTTTCCAAATTTTGGGAAGTTATTTGCTTGCTTTGCATTTGAATAACTGTTAAGGTATCACAGCCAAATTTTTGCACGATGGGTCCAAGGTACAGTCTTTTGTCTTATGTTTGGATATAATTGGATGCCATTCAGAATCACTGGTTTGATTTTAAAGCATCTAACAGTGCAATCCTGCATGCGTTTACTCAGAAGTAAGGCTCAATGAGTTCAAAGCGCCTTACTCCTAGGAAAGTGGATATAAGATTATAACGTCCATTATAGTTGGAGGCCTTTGACACAAATCTGCATTTTATTCAGTTGTCGTTTTGTGTAGTTACAGCACAAATTACTTTGAATTACCTGCTTTCTGGTTTTGCCTGGTATTCGTTCTGCTGCTTCTCTGCATGTATCTCTCGCTGCGTATTTTGGAAAGTTGTTTGCTTGCTTTGCATTTGAATAACTGTTAAGGTATCACAGCCAAATTTTTGCACGACGGGTCCAAGGTGCAGTCTTTTGTCTTCTGTTTGGATGTAATTGGATGCCATGCAGAATCACCAATGGTGGGCTGAACCTTTCAAAGCTATCTTGGATTTTGACCAGGGATTACAAAAACACTGATATTTTGATTTCCTAGAATTCCTGGCAACACTGGGCATGAGACGGTAGGTGCTTTATAACACCACTTAGTCATAGTGTTTTCTAGTGAATACCACGGGACAGAGTGACAGAGAGTTCAAATACGAGAACCTCTGTGAACCCATTTCTTAGAACCTCTGTGAACCCATTTCTTTGAGCAACTCTCTGTCTCGCTCAGCGCACCCCACCAGATTGCCTTGAGCATAACAACTGCTAGGTTGTTAAACCTCTTCCCGCAGTGCTGTAGAAATATAATTGCATACCTACCCACACAGAAAGGGCCTGTAGGTTTTTCTGCTAAATCACAAAGACCAAGTACTACTTTGTATGTCAGCAAAACTCAAGCCTGCCTGTGACCCATTGTGTTCTCCGTAGCGTCGGGTTGAAGTTATTTTTATTCCATTTACAAACGATTGCAGCTTGTCGTAAGTTCTGAGGCTTCAGACTGAAACTGTTTACTGTTGCTGCCTTCTGTTGCCTCAGCTTTATTCTGAGGGCAGCGATTCTAAACCGATTTCCTTGGAAGTAAGTTCCACCTGAATCTCAAAAGCCTATTCTCCAAGTAAATGCTTTCCACTTGCCAGTACATCGTTTCCGTGTGCATTTCCTCTGTGGTTGGTTTTCCCCTCAGACAAGTGCCACCTCACGTTGGTATCTCAGGCAAATCTGACAGAACACAGGCCTCATAAAAATCCTCCTGTGGATGCCATGGCTGATTGCGAAGATTTGATGTGCTATGGCAGTGGTTTTCAACCAGTGTGCTGTGGCACCCTGGGGTGCCTTGAATGATGGTCAGGCGTGCTGCGGACAACACTGGCCTCTGTCCCTCTTTCTTTCCCTCCTTCCTCTGATGCCCGCTCACATCTCTGCCTCCCAAAGGCTTGCACAGCTGTTTGTTGCAGCAGCCCTGGCTATCAGCTCTGCAGGCAAATGGCACCTATCTTTGGGACAGGTGGTGGGAAGCCCAGAGACCAGGAGTCGCAGCAGCGGCTGCCCAGAGGACTCCCAAGGAGAGGAGGCAAAGGGAACACTCCACAAGGTGTTTGAAAAAGGGTGAGAGACTGCCAGTTCTGCAGGCAAGGGGTGACATAACTGGGCTCCTGAGCCCCACAGGGGTGCCACAGAAAGAATGTACAGTGGTACCTCGGGTTACATACACTTCAGGTTACAGACGCTTCAGGTTACAGACTCCACTAACCCAGAAATAGTATCTTGGGTTAAGAACTTTTGCTTCAGGATGAGAACAGAAATCGTGCTCCGACGGCGCGGCAGCAGCTGGAGGCCCCATTAGCTAAAGAGGTGCTTCAGGTTAAGAACAGTTTCAGGTTAAGAACGGACCTCTGGAACGAATTAAGTACTTAACCCGAGGTACCACTGTATTGGTTATGTGTTGTGGATTGGTCATGCAGTATGGATTTTAAATTTGTGGCTTTCTGTCCCATGTTTGACAGATGTAGGTGGGGCAGAGCTGCTGGCAGGTGGCTTGCATTTGCTTACAGGGAGCGGGAAAAGGCAGAGAGATCAGCATGTTGCAAACACACCAGCAGGGCCAATATGGTGCTCCTGCCAGTGCATTTGCACTGCGCTGACCACACACCCCCAGCCCTGCTCCCTTGCACCTTCCCACCTCCCAGTAAGCAACTGCGACCCACCTGCCACACAGCTAGCATAGTGACTCTGCCCTACTTCTGATGCTTAGATGCATCTAGTCAAAAGAAACTTTTAGTGGGTAGTTGCTTAAGATTTGGGTCAGGTTCTGCTGTTTAAATACAACTTCCTTTCCGAAGATTGCCGTCATGCAGATGAAGTGATGTCTGATCCAGCGTGTCCTCAGATCACTTTCGGGTGGCGTTGATTCCCATGAGTGCTGCAGGATATTTTCCAGCTGCTGTGTGTATAGAAACCAGTTGGCAAAAGAGGTGGCTGAATAAAATGATGTGTCAGATTCTTCTGAGAACTGGCCCTTGGTGTAGAAGGATTTGTTGGTGGTTATTCAAATGTGGGTTTGATCTCTTGTATTTTTAAAACGATAAGACAGCATCTGAAACCTCTGCCTCACCTGGGGCAGTTCCCTTTCTCAGGCAGGTAAAGCAAATGGGCCTGTGCTTACATCCCTATTTCTTTCCTAAATTGTATTTTAAGATAGATTAACAAAGTTTCAACCTATTATATGATATTGGAAAACAGCAGAGAAAACAAACAAGGCTGGCAGAGAGGATGTTTGAGTTAATTTGTTACCCATAAAGTGTATTCACAAGTCAGTCGGGGCAATAGTTTAAGAAACAAGTTCATTTAAACCAGTGGTTCCCAGACTTAACGTTTCTGTGGTTAAAATACATAGATGGGGATGATAGCCTGACTTCAGTTGCCTGTGCTGCAATGCATTGTCTGTGGGGCTGTCTTTGAAACAGCTAAGAAGCTGCAAGCTTCTACAGAATGTGGTAGCACAATTGTTAAGTGGGAAATGGAGTAATGGTAGACTTTTCCCAATTCATGGGGGTGGGGGAATTAGGGGGGGTAGGATTTATTTTTTTAAATTGTCTTGCAATCTCTTACATAAAAACCATCCATCTGACCAGGTTTCAGCTAATTCCATCTGTAGGAGTTGTTGTGCCATCATTGCCAACAGCCCAATTTTTCTGTAATCAGCTCTTCAAAGTATTTAATTCTAGTTCATTCAGGCTAAACACCTGTATTGATGGCAAAGATGACAGCCAACATCTTGGAGCAGAAGTTTCCTGCTGAGAGCACCTCGAAGTCCAGGTGCTCTCTGAATTGAAAAAGTGTGGGAATCACTATTTAAAGCGTTTTTAAAAAGAAAAGTGACTTATCTTGTCTTTTCCCTTATTATTCCAGCAGTTGACAAATAAAAGGCCATCATTATTGGACTGTTTCACATTACAATTTTCATCACAGAGGTTTCCTGAAACCTGGAAGTCTCTCTTTTCGTGGGCTTCGTTTTGAGGGCTTCTCATATGATTGAAATTTAACTTTTAACTAGCTCCGTAGTGTGGATTGAAATTTAACTTTTAACTAGCTCCGTAGTGTGGTAGGTAATGTACAAGCAGACAAGTGCAACAGTTTATGTTTCATATGGTTTCAGTCAGGCATGGCCAAACTTGGCCCTCCAGATGTTTTGGGACTACAATGGTCAGGGATGTTGGGAATTGTAGTCCCAAAACATCTGGAGGGCCGAGTTTGGCCATGCCTGATTTAAAGCCTGCAGAACGGAATAAGTATGCTAGTTTAGGGCTATGGGGGGAAATTCAGATTTTTAGAGGCAGCACTACATTTTGAGGCATGTTATAAGTGGGTGCCGAGTCCCAACTCACCTTCTTTGGGGCTTCACCTGAGAGGTATGAGATGGGAGACCAAGTGCTAGTGGACTAAGTTCAGTGAGCCATCCTAGTTGGTGGCTCATGAACTGGTGGTCCACTGTGAGTGCTTCAGCATCATTGTATAATTGAGTTGCAGCCATAGCCCTTGAGTTGGCCAGTTGTGGCTCTGCAGTGTCCTCCTTGAAGTGAGGGAGGGGACTGTACACAGCATTCCAGGTGTGGTCGTGCCATATATTTCTATAACATTATGCAGCAAAAGATTACATATTCACAGTGAACCACAATGAGCCCAGCAACCCTGGCTTATAGTGACATTTGAATGTTGACATTTAAAAAAAAACCTTGGGGAGCCAAATTGGATTTGTTGGGTTATTCGTATTTGCTTTTTATACTACGTTTAGCTGCCGGTTTTAGATTGCTGTCTTCATTTGATGCCTTTTGCATAATGGTGTTTGATTTCAAATGGCTCTTTTTAAATAATATGGTATTGAGAAATATGATATGGGCGGCATATTATTATTATTGGGGCACAGGTAATGCTGTGGTCTAAACCACTGAACCTCTTAGGCTTGCCGATTGGAAGGTCAGCGGTTCAAATCCCCACAACGGGGTGAGCTCCTGTTGTCCTGTCCCAGCTCCTGCCAACCTAGCAGTTCGAAAGCACACCAGTGCAAGTAGATAAAGAGGTACTGCTGTGGCGGGAAGGTAAACGCCATTTCCGTGCGCTTTGATTTCCGTCACGGTGTTCCGTTTCGCCAGAAGCAGTTTAGTCCTGCTAGCCACATGACCAAGAAAGCTGTCTGTGGACAAACACCAGCTCCCTCAGCCTGAAAACAAGATGAGTGCCACAACCCCATAGTCGCCTTTGACTGGACTTAATCATCCAGGGATCCTTTACCTTTATATTTACCCTTTACCTGTCACAGCAGCCAACCAAACATCCCCAAGCCCACCTCGCCTGGTGCTCCAGGGCATTATCTGACCCTCCAGAACAGCTTTCCATGAGGCTTCTGGGGGAAGAATACATTGGTCAAAACCACTCCCTCCCCCCCCTCTTTCTGTGATACTAGCAGAAGTCTTATCATAAATCTGGATCCAACCCAATGCATCTCTAGAACAGGGGTGGCCAGTGGAGTACCCCCCCACACCCGATTTTGCTGGACCACAGCTTCCATCTCTGACCATTGGCCATGACTGTGGAGCTGATAGGAGCTGAGGTCTGACCGCATCTAGAGGACACCCCACTGGCCATCTCTGCTCCAGAGTGTTCCAGACATTAATGAAAAAGGAGAATAACTTCAAGACAGGCCAGCCATTTCTGGATGGGGAACCTGCAGGCAGTGTTAGAAATAGAATCTAGACGAGAGCAAATGCAATATATGGCATTAATTCATTCATATATAATAAAAGTTACCATGTGATAAAGTAAAACTGTTAATTCCTGCAATATATTTGAGCTTTCACACAATCTTAAAAGCTATTTCCGGAAAACTAAGGCAACATAGCATGAGTTTACTACTCGTTTCCTGTTGTTTGAATCCAAGGGGTGGAGTGGGAGATCCATTTGCAGCCCCCTTGAACCTGGAAAATCACAGGAGTGAAGTGATGAAATTTGGGGCTCTATCCCGGCATATATTGTTGTTCCCTGTTGTTATCACGGGCAAAGAGAAACACACACATGTGCGCAAAGGGTGGAGGGGTAGTGACATTGCCCAATGGCAGTAGTTGTTGTTGTGTCACACCACACCTACTGGTGCGAGTAAAATTTAACACGATATATTGGGCAGGAAGCCATAGTTCCATAGCACAACAGGTAGTGCAGTGAGATCGGGACCTTAGAACACAGGACAGAAGTCCTAGCATTTTAATCAGGAAAACTAATGCAATATTCCCATCTGGATGCACCCTAATTGACTCTGCATATCTTTCTCTCTCTCTCTCTCTCCCCTGCAGAATCCAGCCATTCCAATGCAGAAACTGCAAGATATTCAGAGAGCCATGGAGCTCCTGTCAGCATGTCAGGGCCCAGCAAAGAACATTGACGAGGCGAGCAAACGTAAATACCAGTTTTGGGATACACAGCCTGTACCCAAGCTTAGTAAGTCTGTAGCCGGGACCGGGATAATGAAAGTATTCTGACTGACTGATTGAATATATCGATTTGCAGCCTGCCTTGTAAAGCAACCGTGTGAAATCCTAGTGCAACAGCAACCAGAACAAAAGAAGCAGGTGTAACGGCAGCGTTAAAAAGCAGTCTCATCGGAGGTTGAAACTTCTGGGGAAGGATGCCAAAAAGGCACCCGATGAACCAGCAGAGAAAGAGGAGGGCAGCCATGTTTGCATTGCCGCTTCCGCCCCGCTTTGGGGAATGCTGGTCAGAAAGTGGGATGCGTACCTACGATTCATTAGCAGTTCTACGACCCCTATCATCCTTCGCTGTATATGGGACTTAATAGAGCAATCTAAGCAAAGGTGGCAGAGGAAAGGAGAGAGCTCAGACTGGTTTCTGCGAGCTTGTAGTGGATCCTGGGGGAGTTGACAAAGGAGAGACAGAAGGGAAAAGAGAAAGCTTAACAGCAGGTGGATTTTAACATCAGGTGCTGCTCCTTAGATATAGTCACGGCTTTAAAAAACACACACTTAGATCTGCCTACTTAGGGCCCTTTGACACAGGCCTCATCTGCACTAAACGTTTAAAGCAGTATCATTCCACTTTGAACAGTCATGGCTTCCCCCAAAGAATCCTGGGAGTTCGTTAAGGGTACTGAGAGCCGTTGGGAGGCCTCTATTTCCCTTACAGAAATACAGTTCCCAGAGTTCCCTGGGAAGAAGGATCAATTGTTAGACCACTCTGGGAACTGTAGCTCTGTGGCCCCACCCCTGCTTTTTAACCCTTTCCTCTGTTTGGTCTTTTTTATGCTTAATTGGATTTGTGATGAAATGTCAAAGGAGAAAAGGGATAAGTGAGGACTGTAAAATGAGAAGTATAAAACCAGTTAGTTAAAGAAAAACTGCTTTTTTAAAGACTATATAATTTCCAAAGGGAACCTTTCCTCTGACAGACAGGCAGGAGTCATAGTGGTGGATGTTGAATTCCTAGTCTCCACCAATCTGTAGAAAAGTATTACTCCATTAATTGGGAGCCGTGAGTCTGCTGCTGGGGTTTGAATCTGCATTTGAAGTGAGTTCATCTTGAGGAGCAGTCATGCTTATTATATTTGTTTATATCCCGCCTTTTCCCCTGACAGGCACTCAAGGCTGCTTATAGCTAAAATAGAAACAGCTAAAAGCAGGGGGGAAAGTGGAAGCAAGATTTTTTTTGGGGGGGGGGAAACAATTAAACATGAATTATAGCATTCAGCAAGAAGAGGCAAAGAGTGATGTAACCAATCAAGCTACAATACATTGGACTGACTTGAGCAACTGAGGGCAGGCTGGGAGAATGCAACCTGAAGTTTACTTTACTGTGACGTGTAATATTCTCACTTCATATTGGTTCTGTAAATCTTCCCCTTGTCCCTTAAAAGTGGGGATTTTCAGAAGCATGCCTGTAAGCTACACACAATGCAAATTTCCCCCCTCTTTCCCCGCTTCTTCCTCTTTTATGAACTAGGTGAAGTTATTACATCTCACGGCGCAATTGAGCCTGATAAGGACAACATCCGCCTAGAGCCATATTCTTTGCCACAGGGTTTCACATGGGACACTTTGGACCTCAGCAACGCCGAAGTCGTAAGTAGAACTGCTTACAGTCCTTAAAACACAAGCTGGGGAGGCCCATATATTTCGCTGCTGGGCATGTTTTATGTGCACAGATGCACTTGGGCACCAGGGTAGTTTTGTGGAAGTAAATGCATCACTACTATGGACTTTGAGCCACTGGACTACAGAGTACAGTGCAAAATTCTAGTTAGCGCATTGGGATTAATTTTTCCCCCTTAATGCCTTTTCAGCTCAAGGAGTTGTACATGCTGCTAAATGAAAACTATGTAGAAGATGATGATAATATGTTTAGATTTGACTATTCACCAGAGTTTCTCTTGTGGTGAGTAACAAAATTCCATGCTTTTCCAAGTAGCAACCTTTGAAAAAATTAGTACCTGACTGTACTTGTTTTCCTCATCCCTCCTCAACTCTTTTTCCTTCTGTGTCATGTCTTGTTGCATAACAAGTCTGCAGGCAGGGTTGTTTTTTGTTTTTTTTAATGTATATCTCAGAACAGTGCCTAGAAAGCTGTTAGGTTCTTTGTAAATAACAATAATAACCTGTGGTTTTCTTCTTTCCAGGGCTCTGCGGCCTCCAGGCTGGCTTCCACAATGGCATTGTGGTGTCAGAGTATCATCCAATAGAAAATTGGTAGGGTTCATAAGCGCCATTCCTGCACACATACGGATTTATGAGAGGTAAGTCCTGACTACATCTGATGTCAGTTTCGGCTAGGCATGTTGTTAAAAATCAATTTCATCAATGGCAGATAGGGGCATGTTGGAAAGATGTTCAGTGTTTTCTTAGGTCGAAATCCAGTATACAGTTACACTAGCTGAAGTCCCATTTAAGGATTCCAGCTTTGGCGTTTATTGGGAATGTCCTTGATACAAGTCTGTCCACCTCGGCAACTTCTTACTATTCAAAATAATGGGATGCTGCTCTATTTCGTGATAGTTTGGAACAAAAACCAAGATGTCCATCAAGGCCCTGGTCTACATGGGGTTCCACATATCCACCTGGGTGGAATTCAGGATCACCAAGAGCTAGAAGCAAGGTTAAATCAAAACGCCCTACATTTAAAAACACAAACTCTTAAGCCAGCAATATGAAGCGCTTCAAAAACGTTTTTGAAAGTCAGAAGGCCCCAGTATGCAGCAGCAACCCAGATGTTTACAGTCCAAAGGTCTGTCTAATAAGGGAAAAACTTGTCTAGCCGTGCAAAAAAAAAAACCTTTTAAGGGAATCGTCCCAAGTGCACCTCCCCAGGAAAGAGGGTTTCAGAGAGAAGGTGCTGGCAAATTATTTCCAAAACATGTTTTGTTTATACAGCTGGACGAAGGCAGGATTTAAGAAATGTGGCCTTGTGTGTTAAATGGTATATGGTGGTACATGGTCTGCAAAGAACACATTCCTTCCAATAAGAAACAGCCAACGTACCATTGGAATATTCTCTCTCTCGAAATAATCGAGCATTCCTTTTGCTGAACGGAGCCAGCTTTGAATTCTTCGTTGTTTTAAAAGAGGGGTGGCTCAACTCCTTTGGTCCAAAGGTCTTGTGTTTGCCCTTGGCCACTTCATGAGGTGTGACCAACAGCTACTGTGAGAGCCATTGTACTACAGGCTAGAGGTTGTCACCCCCACACACTTGTACACACACACTTAACAAGTACACACACATAGCACACAGCTTCTTCCTTCTCAGCAGATCTGTGTAGATCTACTGAGGAGGGAAGTTACTGCCCTCTTAACCACTTATCAAATGACCTATTCGATGACCAGGGAGGGGGCGATTTGCATCCTCACTGGGGCACTGGGCTCCCCGCACGCAATCCTCCCTAGGAGAGGATTCCACAAACGGGGAGCCACTGCAGAAAAGGCCCTTTCTCGTGTTGCCACCCTCTGGACCCTCTCGTGGACGAGGCACACAAAGAAGGGCCTCAGAGGATGATCTTAGGGTCCGGGAGAGAGGCAGTGAAAGTTGGGAGCACAAGGGAGTTATGCTTCCCATGTAACATGTGAAAAGGGCATTTTGCAGAAGGTTACATGGGAAGTTCTAATCGTGACAAGAGCTTGCGATTCCTAGTTCTGCAGCTGCATCTTTTGCACATTACATTAGTGCTTGAATTACAGGGAGAGGTCTCAACTCCCTTACGTTCTGCAGCAGCCCACTTGGGCTGGACTTTTGATTTGCCCAGAATCAGGAGGTGAGGCTTATTGGCCTCGCTTTCTCTCTCCCGCCTCCTTGCAAATCCCTGCATTACGCTGGCAGCATAAGAGGAACTGAGCCTTGCAGGCGTCACCTCTCATTTATTTATCGTCGCAAGAGTTTATATCACATTTCTGCACCACAGGCAGAATATTAGAAAATATTTGGATTGTTGTTGTTTAAAAAATAAGTGGTGGCTTATAACTTTTTATTCCCAGTGAAAAGAAAATGGTAGAAATTAATTTTCTGTGTGTCCATAAAAAACTGAGATCTAAGCGAGTAGCACCGGTCCTGATTCGCGAAATAACCAGGAGAGTAAACTTGGAAGGGATTTTTCAGGCAGTTTACACTGCAGGAGTGGTACTTCCCAAACCTGTAGCAACTTGCAGGTAAGCAAAGGGTTTTCCTGAGATAAGGTTGCTTTTCCAAAAGCTTGCAGATGGTGGTGGTGGTGTGGGGTTTATACATGCAGCTTTCAAAACACATCTTGGGTTTTTTTACAGTTTCCAGTTTAATGATAAATCCCTCGCTGTGCACAAGCAGGTAAAAATAATTCAGTAAGAGGAATGAATAGCTTTATGTGGCGTCCAAACCCAGGGATTGTGGTTTGTTTATCCCTCTATAAGCCAGGATTGGTAAGCCAACCACAAGCCTTGATTTAAGTCTTAACTAGTGATCCTGGCTTGTTAGGGAGGAACCAACCACAATCCCAGACTTGGCTGTAACACTAAACCATTTCCTTACTGATTTGTTTGCCTGTTCATGCAAAGTGGGAGCATTCAGGCTGTATGCGCAGCCCATAAGTCACGCACAGTATGGATTATTAAGCAAAGGCCCTTGGCTTAGGAACATCCCTAAAAGAGGGGATTGGTGTTGGAACAGTGAACCGGCATTGGGGGGGAAATACGATTTAGAATACTTTGAGCCAGAGAAAGCACCTTTTCGTGCCCAGTGTTCAAAACGGTCAGTGTTGCCTCAATATATGCTATTGCCTCGATTTCTTTTTCTCCATCTTTCCGCTAAGAAAAACCATCTTGCAGGTGAATCACTTTATGGTGTCAGTGTGAGGCTGCAAAGGGAGATTTAGTGGGCTGCGTGTTCAGCTGTCATTCCCTGTTAATGGAAGATGAAGTAGAATGCACTGTCCTCCTAAATTTTGCATTATCCTTTCCTGCCCACAGCCAGCATGGTGTAGTGGTTAGAGTGTTGGTCTAGGACATGGTTAGGCAAACTAAGGCCCAGGGGCTGGATCCAGCCCAATCGCCGTCTAAATCAGGCCCGCGGACAGTCCAGGAATCAATGTGTTTTTACATGAGTAGAATGTGTCCTTTTATTTAAAATGCATCTCTGGGTTATTTGTGGGGCATAGGAATTCATTCATTCCCCCCCCCAAAATATATATATATATAGTCCACCCCTTCCCCAAGGCCTGAGGGACAGTGGACCGACCCCTGCTGAAAAAAGTTTGCTGAACCCTGGTCTAGGACCTAGGAGAGCACAGTTCAAATCGCCACTCAGCCATAAAGTTCACAGCTGACCTTGGGCTAGTCACAGTGTCAAGGGAGTAGGGGGGGCACATACCTTAAACAAATGAATTAATTCAGTAGATTGGTAGATTGTGCTTACGATATTAGCTGTCAGTGTGTTAAATTTTGTGGGTGCTTTGCATGGAAACACATTTCAAAGACCGAAATGAGATTTGTGCATATAAAAATTCTGCTTGGTTATTTTCTAGGTCCTGTCCCAAGCAGTGGCACAATAGCTTGCCTTAAATTGGATAATTTTACTTATAATGAAATGCAGGGGTTGCAGTTCAGGGACTGAGGTCAAGTGAGATAAATTTTATTTATTATATTAGGTGTTGTATTTTTTAAAAATGCACTGTATCCTGTTTGTAACAGTGAAGAGGGGTAGTAATAAATATTTTGAATAAATAAAATTAATATGTATATATATATATATTAAAATTTCTAGGTATTGGCATCGATCCCTGAATCCCAGAAAATTGGTAGAGGTGAAATTTTCTCATTTGAGTAGGAATATGACTTTACAGAGAACGATGAAGCTTTACCGACTTCCTGATGTAAGCATTGTGTCTGTTCATAGCATCCTCTCTCTCACAATGGGGCCCCAAATAGCCTTCTGTTAATCCTTTACAAGGCAGGCTTTCATTTTGGGAAGGCAGGACCGTTCGAGAGATGTGGAAATAGTTAACTGGTTAGGAAGAGGCTTTCAAAGAGTTGTAGAGTTGAATGTACTGATGCCATATACCAGGCATGTCCAACTTTCAAGAGACTATGATCTGCAACCACTATAAAAAAACTGGCAGTGATCTACCAAAGTTGTTGAGTTTTTTGTGGGGGAGGGGTCCTGCAATCTACCACAGACACCCCACAATCTACTGGTTTATTAGGGGGGAATAACTATGGCCTGTGAACCTCCCGGATGTTTGTTGGACTCCAATTCCCATCAGTCCTGCCATTTTAGCCAATGTTCAAGGATGATGGGAGTTGTAGTCTAGCAGCGTCTTCAAGGCCAGAGGTTCCCCATCCCTGTTTCCATACTCATTATGCCCCCTTTAAGCGTTAGAGAAGACGTGACAGATATGCTGTGACAACATAGAGCCCTATGTTTTTCTGTAAAATCTGATGAGGCCATAAGGAGGCTTCGAACACAGTACTCTTGAAACCACTATTTGTTTTCCTGTATCTACGAAGTCCCTCTTGGTACTCAGAAGACCAGGGTCTTTTTTTCTTTTTCTTTTTTTTTCTTTTTTTTTGCTGCCCAAACATCCATACGCATGCAGAAGTTCATGAAGGATGACTTTCCTGCCTGGTTGGTGTCACCTTGAAGGTGTTTTTGCTGGGAGTTATGCAAAGCAACATTTGACAGCAGGGATGGGCAAACTTCAGGCTTGCAGGACGTGCTTTGGATTTTACTGGTAACCTGAGATCCACCACCCAAAGCAAAATGCAAAATAGCAGCTCTGCTGGGTGGACATAAGCTAAGGAACAGAGTGTCTGCATGCGCAAGCTCAGCCAGGAACTTCGGAACAGTGCCAGAAGCCAGCTTCCCAAGCAACTTCACACAAAAATTCACTTCTGGTCTGGTCACCCCAGCATTATCAGCAACGTAATGGGGGAGACTGTGTTTTAGTTGTCGCTGTCCTCTTGCCAAGCCACCATAAAACACCCAGAGATCTCTCAGAAGTCCCCGATCTGTCTTCTGCCTACCTGAGTAATCTAGAGGATAGGCACAGTAGTTTTTCCTAACTGAATGCCCTAGCATTGTTTTTCTGCTTAATGTGTAAGCTGACTCTTTTTTAATCTCTGACCTCTTTTGTTATAACAAGGCCACAAAAACTTCAGGTTTGAGACCAATGGAACGAAAAGACATTAAAGCAGTGCAAGAATTAATTAACAATTACTTGAAGCAGTTTAAGCTTGCTCCTGTTATGGACGAAGAAGAAGTGGCCCACTGGTTCCTGCCTCAGGATCACATTATTGATACCTTTGTTGTAGAGGTAAGAGAGAGTCTGTCCCCTTCCTCCATCAAGAATGTCAGACAAGCCCAGCTGCATCAGACCAAAAGCCAATCTAGTCCATCATCCATTTCTCACAGTGATGGACCTGATGCCTGTGAGAAGCTCTTCCCTTATGTTAGGAACTCCTGTATCTCCATTTTAATCTATTATTTGAAAGTTGCTGGTTGTCAGCTGACTTGTGAACTCTTCATTCTGGAAGACAGTGTTGAATTGTTCAAAATAAATAATAAAGTCTCTCCCAGAAAACCGGCAATGGTCCTTTTCAGGTGCAACATTAAAATCCAGTTTTGTTATGGGCACAAACAGCAGTGAGCCTCAAGCTCAGATTTTTTCCTGTTCTCCTCCATCATAGATGTGTGGCTATCAGAAGCATCCACTTTTGCTTTTAAACTAAACAGTTTCTTCTTACATCTGAACTTGATTAAACTATGGATTGTTCAAAGAAGCCCGTATCAAACCGTAATTCCCCAAGTGTAGACGTAATTGAGAGACACTGCATAGTTTAAAAGCAAAGCAGGTGCTTCTGATTTCTCACCAAGGCAGGAGGAGTGTGCAATCCCAATATTTGCTGCTGCTTGTGCATGTAAAACTTTAAACTATGATTTAGCATCATGTCCTAGCTGGGCAATAGTAACTTCTCTCTTTTGAAGTAAAACTGGATATGCCGATACTAAAACTTGGGTGATTTCAGATTGGCCTCCGTTGGCCTGATAATAATCACGATTACTTCTACCACTTGGAATTGGGAGCTCTTTTTCTTTTGTTTAAATAAGGATAAATATGCACAATGTATCTGGGATCTGCAACAAAATGTTGCAGTGTAGAATGGTCATGTTGAGGATTCCAGGTACAGTCATACCTCGGGTTAAATGTGCTGCAGGTTGAGCATTTTCAGGTTCCGCAGCAATCCGGAAGTAACGGAGCGCGTTAATTCCAGGTTTTGCCACTTGTCCATGTGCAGATGCTCAAAATGACGTCACACACATGCGCGGAAGCGGCGAATCACGCCCCGAGCGGACGCGGGTTGCGTTCGCTTCAGGATGTGAATGGGGCTCCGGAACGGATCCCGTTCGCATCCAGAGGTACCACCGTATTTCATTCTACAGAGTTACATGTCCACTAAGCATATTTACTTCTCATTGGACTGTTTGCAGATGTGCCTTCTTGGGTTTTTTATACACATGAAAACTTGGGGTTCCCCCAAGCATACGGATACCTCCTTCTTGTGTCTTGAGGTGCCAATTTGACCGACACTCATACAACTGAGATCACCCTTTTGCAATATATGATACAACTCAGCATGGATTGATGCTGCTGGGCTTGAGCCTTGCTGTTATACGGATGGCTGCGCTATGCAGGCTGCTGCTCTGCCTTTTTAAATGGCAAGCTGTGCACTTCGACACTAGAGAAGGAAGTGAGAGCCAACGTGATCATTGACTGGGGAGACCCTGGTTCAAATCCCCACTCAGTCATGAAGCTCACTGGGTGGTCATGAGGTTTAAAATGGGGTGGCATACCGTGTGTGCTACCTTAAGTTCCTTGGGAAAAGATGAGACATAAATGTAATAAAGGGGACAGTCTGCACCTTCAGCATCTTTGTTCTAGCCGCATGAACCTTTGGCCCTCCAAATCCCATCGTTCCAAGCCAGCATAGCCCAATGGTCAGGGATGATGGGAGTTGTAGTCCAACAACATCTGGAAAGCCACAGGTTAGCCAACCCTTGGCCTAAAGCAGTGTTTCCCAAACTTGGGTCTGCAGCTGTTTCTGGACTACAACTCCCATCATCCCTAGCCAGCAGGACCAGTGGTCAGGGATGATGGGAACTGTAGTCAAAAAAACAGCTGGCAGCCCAAGTTCAGGGAAACACTGGCCTAAAGTAATGACATTATAGATCGTGATCAGCGTGAGATTGTTTTGAAACAAGTTTAACAGGGCTAAAATAAGCCAGAGCTGCTGGCCGTATTTATTTGGCTGGCTGTAAACTCTCAGCACATCAAATACCTCTTGGCTGCAGTAGTTTTTCTTGACCTGTAGTTCTGCCAGCCAGCTTGAGTTGCTTACGTCTCCAGTGTGCTATAGATTTCTCAGTAGCGTCTTTTTCTTCCCCTTCCTTTCCTAGAGTTCAAATGGTGTTTTAACCGACTTTCTGAGTTTCTACACGTTACCTTCGACGGTCATGCACCATCCCGTTCACAAAAGCCTCAAAGCAGCCTACTCCTTCTACAATGTTCATACGGAAACCCCTCTCTTGGATCTCATGAACGATGCACTCATTATAGCAAAGCTGGTAAGTAGCCCTGGCATTGTCGGGTCACTTGGGCTGCTTATATAGAAAACAAGGTTTTCCGTGGCCAGGAGAGCTGGGAGAACACAACTCCTGGTGTGACACACCTCTTGGCACTGGAGAGAACAGGGCAGCCTCTGCTTATGGCTTGAGCTCCCAGGAGGCCTTTGGGTTGTATGGAACAGCTCTCAGACAGAATCATAGAATTGTAGTGTTGGGACTCCCAATGATCATCTAGTCCAACCCCCTGCAATGGCAGAATCTCGGCTAAAGCATCCATGGCAGATGGCCACCCAAGACTCTGCTTTAAGACCTCCAAGGGAGGAGAGTCCACCACCTTCTGAGGGACAGGGGATTAACAATACACCCACATATTCCAAGTCTATTATTTTCTGAAAGAGAGCTCTTTTTTGCCTGTATGTTGCTGCTTCTGGATGAAGAAACAAGTGAATGTAAAATTGCAGCTTTCCTTGTCCCTGTTTTGTATCATTGTCTTGATTCAAACTTAAGATACAGCAACAGTGGCTCATTGCAGGGCTCTGAGAGAGAAGAGCTCTTAACCTATTACCTTCCAATGAGCCCATGGTGTGGTATTCGACACATTGATCCCGTCAGCACAAAGACTTGAGGCTGTGCAACAGAACTTCCCTTTCTCACATTATCTGTTTTGTCTGCACTCAATTGAAAACCTCAAGAAATATTTAAAAAAAGAGAGAGAGAGAGAGCTCTAAATGAAATATAAACTAATGATAAAGTAACACTTTCCATCAGTAGATGTCATTTTAGTTCCGGTTAAAGTAAATCCAGCTCTTGGTCTCTCTCAGTTGTTTTTTTATACCCCCTGCCATCATTAAAAGTCTTGACGTATTGGTCTGATTACAATTTTCATGTACAATAGATTGGCTTGCCAAGCATGCTTCAGGTTTGTCCAAAACAACTTTGTCCTGCACAAACTACAGGTCAGAAGCTAGCAAACTTAAAAAAAACAAAACCCTTTGCCATTTGTCACATGTAAGCTGGTTCCTCCTGTTTGTCAGGGGTGAGGATTCTGCAAACTGGACTCCTTTGGCGCAGAACCTTGAATGTTGCCTGTGGTGCATTGAGTCATAGTGAGTTTGGGTATCAATTCAATTCCACTTGCCCACCACTTGGAAGTTTTTGCATACATGTGACTAGCAACAGAATTGGGGAGCTAACCCCCAGACATGCCAGCAGGGGGGTTGCAAGAAATGGAGGGGTGACTATACCTACTGTACAGGATGTGTACCAAATGATGGGATCACATTCTAAGCACAGCACGCTTTCATAGGTAACCTTGATGCAAATGCTACTAGAAAAAAAATCATTATTTCTTTTCTCATATTGCCAGAAAGGATTTGATGTGTTCAATGCACTAGACTTGATGGAAAACAAAACATTCCTGGAAAAACTGAAGTTTGGTATCGGAGACGGCAACTTGCAGTATTACTTGTATAACTGGAGGTGTCCTGGCATGGACTCTGAAAAGGTAACACATTTCACAGAGGCTCAGTTGTCTATAGTGATTTGAATTACCTAGATGCCCTGTGACTTTGCTCTTTCTTGTACCCTGGGGCAGGGGAGGCTAACCTATGGCTCACCAGATGTCTTTAGACTACATGTAAAATCATCCCTAACCATTGGCCATGCTGGCTGGGGCTGATGGGAGTTAAGAGTCCAGCAACATCTGGAGAGCCAGAAGTTAGCAACAAGTGTGTCTGACAAAGCCCGTTCTAGCGCTAAGTCCAGGTGGGGAACTGGATCCGTCCAGTGGGTCAGTCTCTCACTCCTCATGGACTGCCTCCCTGTTACTCACCTGATGTCAGCTGATTGACACCTGCGTTCAAAGAGGATCACTTTAACCACTGATCAGGTGGAGTGCATTTACAGCTACCTCCTTTAAGGGCCAGCTCCCAGTGCCAATCACCTGATGCCTTTAAAGGGGCGTGCTCCACCAGTACAAATCAATTTGTATTGAATCCCAAGGGAGAACTCCCTAGTGCAGCCAATCCCCACGGGTCTCCCTGTCAGTGCCGATCAGCTGATTGGTGCTGACAGGGACTTCCGCTTGCAAAGGAACCAATAGGAGCTCCCGGTGGTTTCTTTGTAGCCATATCCATACCTGCTCAACAGGTGGGGTGGGGCAGGCAATAATGGTTTCTGAAGAACTGTCTCCTGGGCCAACTTGGCACCTGTGCTGGGCCTAATGAAGCCAATGGGCTGGAGATTTCCTTACCAATGTTTTTATTTGTTACCCTCACCTGCACTAACAAACCCGCTGTTGTCTTTCTAGGTCGGTCTTGTATTACAATAATGAGGAAGGACACTTGTATTTATAGTTCTCGGAAGTAATCATCTGGGCTGATGGAAGCTCTTGGATCGGTACCGTTCAAGAGGAGAGAAGCACAAAGGCTGGTGAACTTTAAAATAATCCTTTGAACCTTGGGGCCACGCGGATGGGAAGTGAGGAGATCCATGCCTGACCAATCCTTCACACCTTCAGCTCAGCTCGGACCAGAGAGAAAAAGCTCATGAACCTTTTACTGTTTTGTCGATGAAACGAAATAAAAGCACATTTCTTTTAATTTCCAACGCTTAGCTCGCATCTTGATGGAAAAGGGTTCTCTCTTTTTCCCCCCTTCCCTTCCCCTGCGTTAAAGACTGTTTTTTGTACAACCAACTCGATTGCAGTGGTGGAATAGAGTACAAATTCTTTACTGTTAATGTGACTGAACTGCTGCATTTCTATTTATTAAGTGGTGGTAGTGTACATTTATCAATGTAACAAAATGAAGGAGCCGATTTTGAGTGTTTCTGCTTATTTTCCATCACGTGGATGTCATCGTCGGAAGGAGGAAATCCTTGGGGAGTATTATGACTGTCTGTTAGGAAACATGGAAAACCTTGGATGTATTTTGTAACTGTGGAGTGGTACGGGAAATGCGCTGGTCTTGGACTAGTGCATTTGTTTCTCCATAAGCAATGCTGCCAAATCAATAAAATAAAAAAAATTACAGATTTGTACTTCGATCTTCAGTAGATCACTGACTTGACTTCAAGAGTATTGCACTGTTTAGTGCAGGTGTTTATATGTTGCCTGAATTATATATTACTCTATTAATCTTGCAGCTATGAAGAAGGAAAACCTTTCGGGGGTTTCTTTCGGTGGCAGAGTTATGAGCAGCCTGTACATAAAAAACTTAAGAATTTTAGTACTGTTATCAAGATGTTACGACTGAATGTGTTCAAGGCTTTTGCAAAATTGCACATATTCCTTTTGTCTACTTGTTGTTTTTTTTAAAAAGGGGGGTGGAATGTCCGTTTTAAACAAAAAGTATGTTTGTGTAAATAAGTAAAATTTGCTTATAGTAGCAGTAGTATATCCTGGATTTTGGAACAAAGGATTTCACTGCCCCTTGTGCTTATTATAAGCAAATGTTCAGAACCCTGTGAGTACCTTTTTTTGGTTGTTACCAGCCTTAAATAATATGCCATAATGTGTCTCTTTCTATCTCCCACCCACCCACCCTTGTTCTTTAATTCTAATAATGGCAACCAGCCTAAAAAAAGCAAAGGCCATGCATAGATATTGCTTGCTTGAAACAAAGGTATTTCCCAAGCTAGACTCACCCCAGATTGATTTCTCAGTGAGTTGGTATAGGTTGAACGGCTCTTGTAAATGAGTCCACGCTTCTCTAAGCTTTCAATTTAATGCACCATGATTCAATCAAAGGTGAAGATGTTCAGTAGTGATCTGTATAAGTTTACATGATGGTTAAACGTGTGTGTGAGTGTGAGAGAGAAAAAACATTAAAATAGCACTGAATAGCTGAAATTAGTGTGGAAGTAGGAGTGAGGAAAGCCTCAGAACTACGCAAGACTTCATAAGATTAATTATAACCCTTCATTTTTCTCCTTCACTAGACAACTGAGAACAATCTTCCCAATTATTACCCAATAAATTGCTGGAGCCAAGCAGGTCTGGTCAGTGCTTGGATGGGTGACCACCAGGGAACCACCTAGGTTAGGTTTCCATGGCAGAGGAAAGGCAGAATAGAAATGTAGTAAAAGTACAACAAATTCAATATTTGTGCTGGAAAGGTAAGAAAGCAAAGCACAGTTGGTGTAGATATGTGGTGATACCGCCTTTCCATAACCCTTTAAGCACAAACTACTGCAAGCACAAAGTTTTGCATCTGACTAAATAGGTAATAATTTAACGACACATCCTATATCCGGTTCTTGCTGCTGCCTCCTTACTGTCCCTACAACTTGCCTGTTTTCAGTATTAATATTAATAGCAGCTGACTGAAACAAGTTTCCTCTGAGCAGCCATTTTAAGTTGCACCACCGTTTTAGCTGTTTAGGGGCATTTTTAGTTTTTAGATTCAATAGCATGCTGTTAAACTGAACGTGGCAAGGCTGTAACCTCTGTTTAGGAAATCTGCATTGTGGGATCTGCAAGAACAGTTGTGACCTGCATCCCAAAATCCAAATCTGAAGTGCTTTTCTTCTTGCAGATATTTGGGCTGATTGACATGCTAAAGAAAATACTCCTCTTTAAAGGCCAAATGCATCTGGGGTCAGTTCTGCATGCATTATTTGACCAAATGCAAGTGTCCAAAGGATAACATTGTGCTATCAAATTTGCAGATGTTTTGTGATTCCGGCATCTTAAAGAGATTACTAGCTATTGAATCTATCAGCACAGATGGATGTTTGAATAAAGGTTATCACTTCCATACTATTTTGTTTTGAATTACATTTAATCCAGAAAAAGGCTTTGTTCCAAGCACTTTTAGATTTTTTGAAATGACATGTGTCCAGTACCAGGCTATTAGCTTGAATGTCTTGCCACAAATACGAATTTTGTAATGTTGGTATATATTCTTAACTGCAAGCCTAGTTAATATTACATAGCTTTTACTGGCTTCTTAAACACACACACACACACACACACACACACCAAAAAACCCCAAAGGCAAATAAGAAATGTGGGAACAAGCCAATATAATTGATTACTTTGAAATGCGCTTTTTAGTTTTGGGAAGCTTCCTTCGCTTGTTTGGATTGGGTACTATTTTTTTAACCCTGAGTGCTTGAAGGGCTGTAGCAGGAGAGGCAAGCCTGCTGCAATCTGCTCTTTTCCGCTTGTGGTTGGGAGAGCACTCTTCCGGGTCTGACTCTGTGCACTCCCCCGCCTGCAAGTTCGCCGAATGAGCATCTTCAGTGGCCAGCAAACGTTCTGTTCCGTGCTGAATCCAGGGCACATCCAAATGTGGTATTCGCGGGATAATGGTTTTGGCTACCTCTGCAAAAGCGTCAGTGTCCTTTTTAAATCCCAGGGCGAGGACGGACGTTAACCCGAGGACCGGTGCAAGGCTTTCACTGAGACGTGGAACCTGGCCGGCTGGAGTGGCCCGGCTTGCGCAGAGCAGAATAAGGTGAGATGTTAGCATAGCAGGTTTGGCAGACTTGCACACAAGCACCAGAAGCAGCTCATTTTTTTCCAGCGCTCTTGTTACTTCATTGATCCCGATAGCGAGTTGGTTCCTGATTTGCAAGTTTGTCCACCCATGTGCTTTAGCATCTCCAGGGCAATTCTCGTCTTGAAGTCTGTTGGTCTGGCCATCGCACTGTTCTTTCTCCTGCTTCTTTCCAGAAGAGGGTTTCTTCCTTCTCCGAGTCTCTACCTTTTTTAACCCAGTCTTTTTCATAACATCTCCTAAGGCTTCCAATATGTAGTGCATGTCTGCTCCATCCACAGGGCTCCACTGCAGAGTATACGGGTTGCTCAAAGATGTTTTTACAGACATTTGCTTCGATTTACGGGCTGACGATCCCTTTGCTGCCTGAAGGGACATCTTGATGCTCCTGGTATGGTTTGCCAACCTGAGCTGCGAATGAAAAAGCAGCAAAAAATTCTGCAAACTAAACCAGAGATATACACAACATCTATAGGCATGCATCCCCCATTCCAACACATTATTGCTTCTTTAATATATATTTTTCTAATATATTTGGCACTGCTAGGTTCTTAACTTCTACCTAGCCTTGAAACTGCAAAATAAACTGTTCATTTGCACAAAGCATGCTTATATCCAGCACTACATGCTTAGCCATACAAAAAGGAGAGTCTGCAAAAATTTGCAACGAGGATCTAAAAGTTGTAAGCGACAAATGTGTTTCCATTTGATGCTGAAATATTTTGGAATTATATTTTGGAAATAATGCACGATATACTAGAACAATGAAAAGTCTAGGAGGAAAAGCTAGTATCGTTTAGAAGGACATTTAAATCCTAAATTTTAAAAAGGAGTGTTCCTAGAGAAACCTCAGAAATGTGTATTTCCACCGGGCTCTCTGATCTGTGAATTCAGTTCGATTTCTGCATTTCATGAGATCTCTGCGTATAGGCTACAATCTGCCAGGAAGGGGGTTCCCTGTACAAGCCCCATTCAAATGAATGAAAACAACAAAACACTACCCTGGACTCTGCCAACGATGTGCACTATCCAGTCAAGTTCAATATTTAAGCTTCACTTGTCTCTCTCAAGAAGACATGTCACAACCCGTCTGTATATCTGACTCCTGTCTCAATGCATCAGTGCAACGTCTCTCGATATTAAACCATGTCTGTTCTATCATCAACTTTACTTATTTAAACCCTGCTTTTTTCTTCCCAGAAGCAGGACTTACAGCAGCTGACGAAAATTAAAACAAACATGGCTAAAACAGGAAGCTAAGAACAGATCAAGGATACAGTGGTGCCCCGCAAGACGAATGCCTCGCAAGACGGAAAACCCGCTAGACGAAAGGGTTTTCCGTTTTGGAGGTGCTTCGCAAAACGAATTTCCTATGTGCTTGCTTCGCAAGACGAAAATGTCTTGCGAGTTCCTGCAGGGTTTTTGCCTTTCCCCCCCCTTTTTCCCAAGCCGCTAAACCGCTTATCAGCTGATGGCTAAGCCGCTTATCAGCTGATCTTTAAGCCGCTTAACAGCTGGTGCTAAGCCGCTTATCAGCTGATGGCTAAGCCGCTTATCAGCTGATCTTTAAGCCGCTTAACAGCTGATGCTAAGACGCTTATCAGCTGATCGTTAAGCCGCTTATCAGCTGATCTTTAAGCCGGCTAAGCCGCTAATACTGTAGCGCTAAGCTGCTAAACCTCTAATGGGCTTGCTTCGCAAGACGAAAAAACCCGCAAGACGAAGAGACTCGCGGAACGGATTCTTTTCGTCTCGCGAGGCACCACTGTAATAGATAAAAAGTAACGAGAATACCTAAACAGTAGACTTAGGAAGGCTGCTTGTTTGCTCAACCTCTGTCGCTTGCACTTGAGATAGAGGCTGCAAGGCAAACTCTGGTTGCACGACTCCTACACTAAATAGGGGACTGCACTAGTTCAAGGAGTGGACAGAAGAGGGGTCAGCAAACTTTTTCAGCAGGCGGCCGGTTCACTGTCCCTCAGACCTTGTGCGAGGCCGGACTAATTTTTTTTTGGGGGGGGGGGAGAATGAACGAATTCTTATGCCCCACAAATAACCCAGAGATGCATTTTAAATAAAAGGACACGTGTAAAAACATGCTGATTCCCGGACCGTCCGCGGGCCGGATTTAGAAGGCGATTGGGCCGGATCCGGCCCCCAGGCCTTAGTTTGCCTACCCATGGATTAGTATCTACTGGGAGATCGCTGGGTAATTTGCAATATCTTATCAATAATTTCTGACTCCCAATTTTTCAGCAGCAGAAACATAATGTCTTCCCCCACAGAAAATATGTTGCTGAACTGAAGAAAGCTAACCAGGAGTAGACTTTTTAATGCAAAAAGATCTTCGTTCGGATTTGGAACGGAAAACAGAAGTCTAGACTCAGCATACGGGTCCGCGCACCGTGCTCTTTATTCCTGGCCCCGATAGGTAGATCTGAAATCTTGAGCATCCCTGCACTAAATCACTTCCGAGAATCTATAATGCAAGGACTCCTTCGGGTTGCAGCTGAGATGAGCCTCTTCGAAAGCTTCCTTGAGGGTAAAAGGAAAAAAAAGCAGCTCTCTGCAAGTTAAACAAAAACGAAGCCCAACTTCCCTGTTAAAGAGATCTGCTCAATCCCGGCCTGCTCTCTCTGCTCCGGCAGCAAGAAGCATTCGGAAACGTTGCTACCACCTCTGGCCGCTGCACGTGTAGACTTGGCCACAAGCCGCCCCCGTCCCCATCCCCACGTGGCAACAACCCACCACTACAGCAGACGGCAGGACTCCTTCCGACCCTCGCGGGCGTCCGCTCTCAGGCTCCTCTCCGGCGACCGGGCGCGCTGCGGCCCCGGCTTCCTTCCCGCGGCCTCCTAAACCTTCCTGAGTGCGCGGAGGGAAGCGGAAGAGCCGGGCTCGCCTGGCCCACGACCGCCCTCCTTCCAGGCGGAGCTTGCGCCCGGAAAGCCAGGCACAAGGCAGGCGCGCAAGCCGCGGTTTGCACCTGCGGCGGCCGCCAGAGGGCGCTGCGAGCACAGTCTTCGCGTAGGTTTCGTGCGAGCTGACGCTCGACGGGGCTTTACTCCGAGGATAAGGTCACGCCTTTCTGCCGTCCTAGTTCGTGGCTGAGCGTTTCCTCGGACTCCCCACAACCCAAGACATAGAGGAAGGAGGCCCTGGAGCCCTCTAAGCCATGGGTAGGCAAACTAAGGCCCCGGGGCCGGATCCGGCCCAATCGCCTTCTAAATCCGGCCCGCGGACGGCCAGGGAATCCGCGTGTTTTTACATGAGTAGATTACATTTATTTAAAATGCATCTCCGGTAGTAGATCCCTTGCAGTCGCTAGATACCTGATTAATGTTTTATTTCAAAAGAGGAGAAATGGATCACTGTATGTTTCTGACAGCTTAGCTAAACTTAAGAACCATCAATAAGTGCCAGAACTAAGACGTATACCCCCCAAAATCTGATGGATCGGAATTGCGGTTTACATAGAGGAAGCTTATTGTGTATAGTGTTTACTTAACTAAAGTAAAATTGGTTTTATAAGGGTGTTTTAACTTGGAACTGTTTAAATTGTATTGTTTATGGATAAATTCTGATGTATTGTTTTCGATATGGGCCAATGGCCGCAATAAATCTATCTATCTACATCTCCGGGTTATTTGTGGCAAGGAATTTGTTCATCCCCCCAAAAAAACAAAGTCCGGTACCCCACAAGGTCTGAGGGACAGTGGTCCGGCCCCCTGCTGAAAAAATTTGCCGGCCCCTGCTGTAAGCGTTGCTGGAGTCCAGTTCCCATCAGCCCCAGCAAGCATCGCCAGAGACTATGCGGCTGGAGTCATAGAAGAATTGTAGAGTTGGGACCCTGAGGATCATCTAGTAGTCCAACCCCCCTGCAGTGCAGGAATATGCAGCTGTCCCATACAGGGATTGAGCTTGCAACCGTGGCGTTATCAACTCTAACCAAGTCCAGCAACATCTGGCCAGGCATGGAATGCCCATCACTGCACAATATCAACCAAGAGACCTTCCCACTGTTTCCCTCCAGCTGCCAGAGGTTTCTGTGCCACACACAGAGAGAGAGAGAGAGAGTATACAGTGGTACCTCGGGTTACATATGCTTCAGGTTACATACACTTCAGGTTACAGACTCCGCTAACCCTGAAATAGTGCTTCAGGTTAAGAACTTTGCTTCAGGATAAGAACAGAAATCGTGCTCCGGCGGCGTGGCAGCAACAGGAGGCCCCATTAGCTAAAGTGGTGCTTCAGGATAAGAACAGGTTCAGGTTAAGTATGGACCTCCGGAACGAATTAAGTACTTAACCCGAGGTACCACTGTACAGTGGTGCCTCGCAAGACGAAAAGAATCCGTTCTGTGAGTCTCTTCGTCTAGCGGTTTTTTCGTCTTGCGAAGCAAGCCCATTGACGGATTAGCGGATTAGCGCTATTAGCGGCTTTTAGCGGCTTTTAGCGGCTTATCAGCTTATCGGATAAGCAGATAAGCGGCTTAGCGGCTTAGAAAAAGGGGGGGAAAGGAAAAAAAAACCGCAGGAACTCGCAAGACATTTTTGTCTTGCGAAGCAAGCCCATAGGAGATTCGTTTTGTGAAGCACCTCCAAAACGGAAAACTCTTTCGTCTAGCGAGTTTTCCGTCTTGCGAGGCATTCGTCTTGCGGGGCACCACTGTATATAGAAAGCTGTAGGAGGAGAAAGCTGTATCTGTTGAACTACCCAGATCTCTCTCTCTGTGTGTGCGTGCACACAAACATGTACACACACAGAGAGAGTGATCTGGGTAGATCAACAGGTACAGCTTTCTCCTTTGGTAAGCAAATTGACAATACTGTAGTGGAATATCCGCTTGCTATTCTGCTGTTAGAGACAAAGGACAGGAGTCCCACTAAAGCAGAGAAGTAACAGTTCTAAGATTGCTATTAAATAAAACCAAGCAGCAAACTATCAAAGAGGGCCACCACGTCCTTATTCCAGGGGTTGTCAACCTGGTTCCTACCGCCCACTAGTGGGCGTTTCAGGATTCTAGGTGGGCGGTAGGGGGTTCTACGGCACAAGCTGAATCCTCCTTCCATTGAGCACTGGTGGGTGGTAAGGAAATTTTACCATCAAGAAAGATGCATTAGTGGGAAGTGGGTATAAAAAGCTTGACTACCCCTGCGGCTTATTCAAAAACAGGAAATGGGTCTTACAACACTTTGAAGTATGGACAGCTGCCCCCCCCCCCCATCCAGTAAAACAGTAGAAATAACTAAGTGACCAATGACATTGGTTCTGCCCTCTCTAGCAAAAGTCCTGCCCCCCCCCCACACAAAAAACCTGGCTATATCCATGCTTTAAAGGCTGACAGCTTTATGGCCCTATTTCATCTGCCGAATGACTGAATGAATGAAGTTGAATGCACGCACACACACATGAAAAACAAAACTGCTGCTCCCCCACGTAACCACATTTCCCCCCCTACAATAAACTTTAAAATAATTAAACATTGCTAACTTAATGATTTAATGTGTGGCAAGACCAAGTTGGGGGGGGGGGGAGAGAGAGCTCCTCTTCAAACCTGTACAATCTGTTATAGCACCCATTTAGCAGGCATAGGCAAACTCGGCCCTCCAGATGTTTTGGGACTACAACTCCCATCATCCCTGACCACTGGTCCTGTTAGCTAGGGATGATGGGAGTTGTAGTCCCAAAACATCTGGAGGGCTGAGTTTGCCTATGCATGCCCATTTAGGATCAATGATGTAATGCAAGTGCGCATGACGCATCAGCCCTAATGGGCAGGAACGAACTAGCACGGCATGAAATAAACACTAGGTGGCACTAAACGAGCGATACATACAATGGGATGCACATTGCGATCATTCTCGCTTCAGTGCATTCCAAGGGTACAGCGGAAATTCAATGTACTGTATTCCTGTGCAAAATCTTTGTTGGCTGACAGACAACATAGAAATAAACTGTAACATAATATTCAGAAGGAAGCAATACATTCCATTGACCAAAGTATTTTCTTTCAGTTTGCTTTGTTCCCATTTTAAACTGAAAATGCATTAAACTGCATTTGGGGGAGGGGAGGTTTGACACATAGAAAGGCAAGGATTAGTGTCGGATTGCTGCAACAAGTTTGTTTATTTTTAAAAAGTTTTGGCATGAGCTGAAGTTTGAGACATTAAGCAGAGACATCCCTTGCACATTGGCGGAGTAAAGCTTCCTTGGATTTGGGAGGTCACAGGGCGCTGGGAAACAAATGAGGTAATTTGCATCAGGTGATGATGACATGCCTCTCTCCTCTCTGGTGTACAGAGCAAAGTTAAATTGCAACTTGAAATGCAGCAGGGGGAAGCAACCCTGCTGTGTTTTAAACTGCCAATATGCATATAGCCTAAATTTCCAATAAGCATTTGAACCCCTCCCTCAAAATATTGACAAGTGTCGTTGGCAGCCAATGAGTCGCTGACTAACAATTCCATTCTGTTTTCTTGCCTCTCCTTGCTGTTGGATTTTGCCCACATCAACACCATACATATAAAGCACTATAATTAATAATATTAATAATAATAATAATAATAATAATGCTTTATTAGTTTAACAAAGCAGAAAAACAAATCAAACTATATATAGCAATTAACAAAAAAATTGCTTACGTACCCAAAAGAAAGACACAGAATTAATTTCATCCTTTACTAATTCTAATGTGACTTCCGGTCCCCCCCACTGTGGTTCCTAAATTCCCTTTCACTGCACACTTAATTTTATCTCTCCTAGATTCTCTATCATTTTTGTTCTGTAACAGTCTCCTGTTTCAAGCAGAAACTCAATCCAAGCCTGCCAATGAATTGGCAATATTACAATCTTCTTTTAAGTAATCTCTATGAATATTCCACTCTCTGTTGAATATTTGATCTGTATGGTCTCGGAATCTTGCTGTTAATCTTGCTAGTTCAGCATATTCTAACATTTTACTTTGCCAATCTAACTTTGTGGGCGCAGAGTCCCCCTTCCATATTTTAGCAATAACGATCCTAGCTGCTACTACCGCATATATAAATATTTTCCTTAATCTTTTTGGGATTTTATTATTAATTATGCCTAGTAGGAAGGCTTCAGGCTTCTTTGGGAAGGTGCATTTAAACATTTTTTAAAATTTCATTGTACATTGTTTCCCAGAAATCCTTGATTTTCTTACAGTTCCACCATATGTGGATCATGTTGCCTTCTGCCTCCCCTCATCTCCAACAGATGTTTGATCTAGTTTTACACATTTTGGCAAATTTTACAGGTGTTAAATACCATCTGTAGAGCATCTTCATGCAGTTCTCCTTCAAGTCATAGCATGCTGTGAACTTGAGGTCCTCCCTCCACAGCCTCTCCCATGATTCCATCTGAATGTTGTAGCCAAAGTCTCCAGCCCACTGCGCCATAACACATTTCACTTCCTCCTCCTTGACCTCCCAGTCAAGAAGGAGCTTGTACATATTAGAGAGCGTTTTCTTATTTGTGTTTATTAAGTCTTTTTCTAATTTTGAAGGTTCCGTGGAGAATCCTTTCTGTTTATCCTTTTGAAATGTTTCATTTATCTGAAAAGCACTATCAACCACTTTTAAAAGTCATGGCTTGTTATTATTACTATTTAGTAAATCTGTATACTACCCTTCATCCATAGAGCTCAGGACAGTTTTCCTAAAGTATCCTGGGATTTGAAAGTTTGCAAAGGGTGCTGAGAGTTGTTAGGTAAAGGGACCCCTGACCATTAGGTCCAGTCGTGGCTGACTCTGGGGTTGCGGCGCTCATCTCGCTTTATTGGCCGAGGGAGGCGGTGTACAGAATGGGAACCTGTGGCCTCCAGATGTCGTTGGACTCCAAACTCCCTCCATCTCTGACCACCAATCATCTCAAGGGCACCACCCTGGCTATATGAAGAGTCAAATATGTTTAAAATGAAACCAATTCACAGCAGAGGATGTTACAGAGAAGACATGACTCAGAGATGGTGGTAGTTATAGCCTGACAACATTTGGAAGGCAACACTGTGATAGAGGATTGCAGGGCAGGGTTAGGTTCCTAGGCTCCCTCATAAATTCTTCAAGGAACCAGATAGTAGGCCTACCTAGCTAATGGAAATTTCAGATAAAATGGGCTTACTTTCAAAATGAAATAGGTAAAGGTAAAGGGACCCCTGACCATTAGGTCCAGTTGTGATTGACTCTGGGGTTGCGGCGCTCATCTCGCTTTATTGGCCAAGGGAGCCGGCTTCCAGGTCATGTGGGCCAGCATGACTAAGCCGCTTCTGGCGAACCAGAGCAGCGCACGGAAACGCCGTTTACCTTACCTATTTATCTACTTTGACATGCTTTTGAACTGCTAGGTTGGTAGGAGCTGGGACCGAGCAATGGGAACTCACCCCGTCACGGGAAATCGAACCGCTGACCTTCTGATCAGCAAGTCCTAGGCTCTGTGGTTTAACCCACAGCGCCATCCGCGTCCCTAAGAGTTGTTAGGAGACCATTATTCCCTTCACAGTGCTGGAATACACAGAGCTGTTTAACAATCAGTTCTTTTTCTTACCAGGGAACTCTGGGAATTGCAGCTCTGTGAGGGAAATAGGGAACTCCTAACAACTCTCAGCAGTTGTAATAGTGTTTTTATTTATTTATATCCTGGTTTTTAAACCAACAGATATGCAACACAGCTTACAAGGCTTGTTGTTGTTGTTGTTGTTTCATCATTTAGTCGTGTCCGACTCTTCGTGACCCCATGGACCAGAGCACGCCAGGCACTCCTGTCTTCCACTGCTTCCCGCAGTTTGGTCAGACTCATGCTGGTAGCTTCGAGAACACTGTCCAACCATCTTGTCCTCTGTCGTCCCCTTCTCCTTGTGCCCTCCATCTTTCCCAGCATCAGGGTCTTTTCCAGGGAGTCTTCTCTTCTCATGAGGTGGCCAAAGTACTGGAGCCTCAGCTTCAGGATCTGTCCTTCCAGTGAGCACTCAGGGCTGATTTCCTTCAGAATGGAACAAGGCGAAGAAGAAGAAGAAGAAGAAGAAGAAGAAGAAGAAGAAGAAGAAGAGTTTGGATTTGATATCCCGCCTTTCACTCCCTTTAAGGAGTCTCAAAGCGGCTAACATTCTCCTTTCCCTTCCTCCACCACAACAAACACTCTGTGAGGTGAGTGGGGCTGAGAGACTTCAGAGAAGTGTGACTGGCCCAAGGTCACCCAGCAGCTGCATGTGGAGGAGCGGAGACGTGAACCCGGTTCCCCAGATTATGAGACTACCGCTCTTAACCACTACACCACACTGGCATATAAACATATGCAATAAAACGAACAATAGACTAAAACGTACAGTATGACAGACGGCGGAACAATAAATCAGCAATAAACAAAAGGCAGCTGAAAAACAAGTCAACCTAATTGGAAGACAATAATAACATGGGGAAATAAAAAATTTATTAAGCAACGACCTTGAGGCGAAAAAAAGGGGACCCAGTGGCTTTCTGCAGGGAAAGTATTCCGCAGGCATGCAACTGAGGAGAGCTGCAGTCTAACAACATCCGGAGGAGAGCAGATCCCCAAACCCCATCGTCAGAAGCGATGGTACACTGCAACATTTTGTTGCAGGTCGGACTTGAAGCTCAGCATATTGCTCTCGCGCACTGCTCACCACTGCCCCCTAGCGACTCGACGGGGCTGCTGCCGCAAAGCCCAGCCGCCAGTCACCAAAGCGCGCTGCCGCTCCGCAGCTGGTCTGGTTTCCAAGGCGGCGAGGCAGCAGCAGCATCACCTACTTGGCTCACTTTTCGGGAGCTCGCGCCTCTGGTGCGACGTCACAGTGCCTTCTTGTCCAATGGGGACGCTTGGGCCGATGGCATTATAAATAAGGGCTGCGCGAGGGAGCTGCGGCTTCATTCCGGACGGGGGCGGGGCTTTGCTGAGAGCGCAGGAGCCGTCGCAGGTTGTGCACCATGACTCTGGAGGTAAGGGAACCTCGAGGGAAGGAGCGGGGCGGGAGGGAGCCGGCCGGCGCCTGAAGCAGCGGCGTGAGCGCAGCTTCTGGAGGGACCTGGACTGCGCCGAGAGTGGAACTTGGGGAGGAGTAGCGGGGGAGGGCTGCTGGTCCTGAGGTTTTGCAGCAGTATCCGGCGAGTGACCTCCTGTGCTGTGCAGGATCGGCTGCTGGATTCGATCCAATCCAGCGAAGCTATTCTTAGGCAAACCCTATGCCTGCACCGTGCAATCCTCTACCTGGAAGGATTGAGCCTCATTGAACTCAGTAGAACTTATTTTTGAACAGACGTGTATAGAATTGCTGTGTAATACACTCTTTTAAAAAAGTACAGAGGAGTGCGTGACTTGGGTTTCCCTATTTGACTATTTCCTACACCTTTTGGTTGGAAGGGAATTCCCCCCCCCCAGCTGTTTGGCTCAGGGGTCAGCACTGCGGTGATCAACTGGACCCCGCCCCCCACAAGTCACTATAACATTGCACCTCATGTCGAAGTATATAGGTGCAGAATTGAGGACTTAAAACTTTAAAACCTGGACAGTTATAGCCGTGCATTTGCAGCTCCTCCAGCTAGTACAGTGGTACCTCAGGTTACAAATGCTTCAGGTTACAGATGCTTCAAGTTACAGACTCCGCTAACCCAGAAATAGTACCTCGGGTTAAGAACTTTGCTTCAGGATGAGAACAGAAATCGCGCAGTGGCAGCGGGAAGCCCCATTAGCTAAAGTGGTACCTTGGGTTAATAACAGTTTCAGGTTAAGAACGGATCTCCAGAATGAATTAAGTTCTTAACCCAAGGTACCACTGTACTGATTCATGAAGTATAATGTGATGAAATGAGTCCCTCCACCCCCACTCAACCACACAAATGGGAGTTGCAATCCATTTAGTGTTGAAACCATAAACTTGGGCAAGTTTCCGTGCACAGTTGCAGAAGATCTGTGTAATTGCTTGGGGACAAGGCAGGGACCTGCCTGCCTGATGGACTGGTTTGAGGTTTCAGCTTTAGAGAATTATAGGGGAGCAGTGGAGAGTCTTGTCTTTCAGGATTTGGGTGCTGCATGTTCATTTTTTGTTCATGTGCTAGCTAGTCTCCACTCCAAGTTAAGTGTGACTGCACAAACACTTACGGCTTCCTCCATCGGAGCATTTATGGCCGGGGAGCAGCAAGGTTTGAGGACTGCAACACTCCACTTGCATGCTAGGATCGGAAGCCGCAGCCTCTTCTCTTTCTGATGTGCAGACCTCAGCTCTTTCCTACTTATTCTGCTGGGCCAGCATTAGCATCATGCAGAGAAGGGCTAGGATGAGCTAAAGTGATGCAGCTGGTGAAGGCAGATTCAGCAGCATCATAATCCCTCCCCCAGAAGTACTCAAACTCTGCACACAGCAGCTCTGCTTAACTGCCTGGATTTTGGCTGAATCTTTCGCAAGGGGGATTTGAGGACTACAGATGATTGTTGTGTAACATGCAGTCTTTGTGACTCTCTGCACACATGCAAGCCACAGCCCCCCCGCTCCAATTTAAATGAATGGCTGCTAGCTTGTTTCTTATAATGCCATCTAGATGTAGAAATGTAATAAAGCAACGGAGCAATTTAGAATTAAAAACACAACTGTATTCAAACGTGATTAGCATCCAGTTAGAATACAAAAGTTTTCCCACATCAGTTGCAACTGTAAATAGATTTTAAGATTTTTTTGTTTCTTTAATAATATTTGTATGCCACCTTTGTGATTTAATGGGGTTTCCCCCCCATAAATGTCTTTTCCCCAAAGTGCATGGCCATGTAGGGGCTTTCTTCTCGGTTTTGGCATTCCAGAAAGGATGCTGCAGCATGCAGACAGTCAATCGCAACCTATTTTATACATTTATTTAGGCAATTCTATATTGTGCAATCAAGCTATGCCTTCTGGGTGAGCTGTAATACGCTATTTGCAAAAGAGCTCACAAGGTGATTACAGAATATTTAGGGATAACTAATGAGATTACATATTCGTGGGGGAAAAATTTTTATGTTTCAGTGCCCCTGTAACAATACAGATCTTCTTTCTCCTATTCAGAGTAAGTGCATAAGTGACTTTACGCAAACAATCCTGAATATAGTTTATCAGATAATTTCAAAGCACCCCCGCTAAGAAGTATGAGATTTTATGTTCTTAGCTAGAGGGGGAATTTACTGAGATTCCTTCTTTTTACAAAGCCATTGCCACCCTGGTTGGTATCCTTTAAAAAGCACAGGTAGGTCTGCATGCTGAAAAGGACGTCAGGGTTACATTGCACAATAGCAATCCCCCCCCATGCTATTGCCCCTGGCAGACCACTTTTGAGTTGACAGTGCAGTCCTATGAGTAGTGCAGTCCCAGTAATCAATGGGGCTTACTCCTAAGTATACAGTATAGCATTGCAGCCAAAGGGTACTTTTAAAAGCATTGATTTAGTCCAGTGGTTCTAAAACTTTTCCCCTCTAGGCCACAGTTTCAGAATAATAATAAAAAATGATAAGAAAAGAAACTGGAAAAGAAATACATTGGAAAACAAAAAGAAGCACTCCTAGCAGTGCTTGATTTTGAAAATATACCCATATTCTGCAAATAAGAAAAAAATATTTTGATACTATATTATCTTATACTATACTACACTGAAATTTTAAAATGTTTCTTTGATTGTCCTTTAATCTTCCCACCACACTTGACATCTCCTCCTGTAACACCAGTATGGGACCCCATGCCCTGTTAAGGCCACTGATTTAGGCTGTGTATAAATCATTGGGTTTAAAGTGCATTCTCTGGCCCCTGGAAAAATCACTAGAACTAATTTACACCTCACAGGCCTACAACATGAAGCACTCTTTAAAAGCTACAGTTCCAATGATTCTTTAGGGAGGGGAAATGTCTTTTAAATGTATGATGTGCATGCTGGGGGTGGGCAGGCTGCTCAAAGTATATAAAAAAACAACTACTGGACTAACTTAAGCACTTAGGTATAAGTGTGTTTCTTTGGCTCCTTACTGTTGCTTGAAAAACAGCTCCTGGTGATCACGTTTGTAATAATCCTATTGGCTATTCATATTCTCTGGAACTGGATAAAGGTAAAGGGACCCCTGACCATTAGGTCCAGTCGTGACCGACTCTGGGGTTGTGGCGCTCATCTCGCTGTATTGGCCCAGGGAGCCGGCATACAGCTTCCGGGTCATGTAGCCAGCATGACTAAGCCTCTTCTGGCAAACCAGAGCTCGGCACAGAAACGCCGTTTACCTTCCAGCCAGAGCGGTACCTATTTATCTACTTGCGCTTTGACGTGCTTTCCAACTGCTAGGTTGGCAGGAGCAGGGACCGAGCAATGGGAGCTCACCCCGTCGCGGGGATTCAAACTGCTGACCTTCTGATCGGCAAGTCCTAGGCTCTGTGGTTTAACCCACAGCGCCACCCACATCCCTCTGGAACTGGACAGTTCACCATAATTTTGTGGCAAGCTTTTTATGGCTAGGTGTAGTTAAATCTACTATTCTAATATTAATAGAAGCATGTGGGAAGAAAGAATAGTGAGAATTAATCAACAGAAGGGTGGGAAACCAACTCTGAATTTGTAACGGTATTTGTATCAGTGGGTCTAAAATAGGATAGCATGAATGAATGAATGAATGAATGGATACTATGGTTACACATAGTGGACACAGTAATGAATGGGTGCCCTGTTATAACTGCTCTGTAATGGAACACAGTAGCTCATTGTTTAATTTCAGTGATGTTCTATAGTTGTTTCATCTAATGAATGTTTGTGGGGGGGAGAGGTTATGGGAATTTAAGAGTTGACGACAGCATCTTGTGAGCCAAGGATGAGTTGATTAAGAGTCCAGATTTTAGTGCTGGCTGTCTGCCTATTTGGAAAGCTTCATACTGAATTATTTGTTTCTTTGCAGTATTTTACTTTCTGATAGGAGAGACAGGTTCCTTATGACACCTTTGTTAAAATAGTCACGATGCTTAACCTGACCTTTATTTCTCATAACAGACATTAGAGCACTTGTGAGGAAAGAGCCCGATTGATTTGACACAGCCTGGGATGCAGTTCTGGCAGGATCATTGTGTCATGAGCTTTGTGCAAAATACGCATCCTATTGCTCATGCATATAACTGCAGGTCTGCCTGGAGATTTCACAGTGCTAATCAAATAAATAACTTAGCAATGTAGCCATCAGGGCATAGGTAATGCATGTCAGTTGTTGGCAAAGAAGGGTCAATACAAGAGCTGTACTACGTATAGTGGAGCAGTATCTCCTTTCCTGCATCACTGTAATGCGTCTCTTGTGACTTAGAATCATAGCAAAGGCAGATGAGAGAATTATTGACACTGACTCAAGGTTACCCTGAAGTAGCAGAATAAAAAGATGCTGGGCATGTCTTGCTTTTTGTAAAATTAGCTCTGCTCTAAAGGGGAAAGGAGATTGCTAAACCATGTGGACTCTAGACTAGCATCTTTATTTTTAAGGGGTTTTTGTGTGGGGAAAGTGGCCAATGTGTTATATAAATGAATATGTAAAACTAGTCAAGTTCTTCATTTAGAATTCTTGAAACATGATCTGTGATTCTTGGAGACTGACAAAGAGAACTGAAAAAAAGCCTTTCCAGTCCCATACGTTTCTCTTTTTAAAAACATCTTTGTCTGTTGTAGGAGCCAATTCACAAAAATGTACACTCGCTCTATCCTTGAGTTACTAGATTCACTTATCCAGAGCTTCCTGCTCTTGGGAGCTGTCATTAGTGCAAATATCAAAGCCACACACCTGGTCTTGAGAGGATTAGGGTGGGAGAAGTTGTTTGCAGCCAAAAACCATTCTCTCCCACCACCCATGGGAAGGAAACCTTTTTCTATAAAAAATAATATTGAACTTGGGATAACTGTCTTTTTTCAGCTCAAAGACAGAGGATCTTGGGTTGTTGATTGCGTGCAATATGTGGTTCCATCACTAGTGTGGTTATATGACAATGCAAGCTAACTGAGCATGCCCTTTATGGAGAAACAGGGGAGCAGAACTTTATCTGAACTTATCTGTGTTTCACATGTAATGTAGTTCTGACCTCAGTGTAGTCGAAAATCAGTAGAGCTGACAGAATATTGAACAGATGGCAGCCATGAAGCCCAAAATGAGGCCTTTTGGCAAGCTCATGGGTAGGCAAACTAAGGCCTGGGGGCTGGATCTGGCCCAATCGCCTTCTAAACCTGGCCCATGGACGGTCTGGGAATCAGCATGTTTTTGCATGAGTAGAATGTGTCCTTTTCTTTAAAATGTGTTTCTGGGTTATTTGTGGGGCCTGCCTGGTGCTTTTACATGAGTAGAATGTGTGCTTTTATTTAAAATGCATCTCTGGGTTATTTGTGGGGCATAGGAATTCGTTCATTCCCCCCCCCCCCCGCAAAAAAATATAGTCCGCGCCCCCCCCACAAGGTGTGAGGGACAGTGGACCGGCCCCCTGCTGGAAAAGTTTGCTGACTCCTGGGCAAGCTGCTAGCTCACCCTAGCCCGCCTGACAGAAATCTTAGGATAAAATGAGCATAAACCTGCTTTGTGGTGGAACACTGTGATACTGATATGGAAATAATAAAACCCCATGCCTTTTACTCGAAAATAAACTTGGGTAGGTAATTCCAGTCTATAAACATGCTTTAAAATCAGTGAGCCAAATTAGCCCCTTGCTGATCATTAAAGTGTTACAGAGAAATAAACCTGCATTAAGGCTGCCATTTTATACCACCTTCCTGGGAGCAGGTCCATTGGGACTTTTGAACCAACGTGCATAGGATTGAGAAGTAAGTGGTTTTAAATATTGGTCCTATCGCAGACGAGCATATTCTGGCCTGGTAGTATAATGTGACGTTCTTGTAGCCATGTGGGACTGAAACCTTACTTCAAGTGAAACCTTATACCCAAGAATAGAAAAATACCAAGGCAAACAAAAAACAACCCAGCTTGCTGAGAGAGCTGATACTGAACAGAGTTGGAAAGATGCCCAGTGTCTTCAGTATCTGCATTGCAGCTTACACAGAGAAAGAGAGTGAGATTCAAGCGATGCTACAACTTGACTGCATGCAACTTGACTGGTTGCATGGGAAGCTTCTTAGCATAACTCACTGGTAGAGCATTTGTCTTGTGTTTCAGAAGGTCTCAAGTTTGAACTGGCATGACCAGGTGGGGCTCAGAGAGACTCCTCCCTGAAGCATCACACTCCTTGGAAGCAATATATGGCTGTTTTAAGTGAAATTCTTATATATATTTTTTGCCTCTCTTCAGGCCGACTTCAACACTGTGGCAGAAAAAGTAAAAAAACTAAAGACCAAACCAACTGATGATGAACTAAAAGAACTGTATGGACTCTACAAGCAGTCGACCGTGGGAAATATTAATATTGGTAACTTTGTACATACCCACATGTTTATATATTCATTTCAAAGATACTTTGCGTGGGTTTTTATTGAAACTTAGTTGTTGTCTTTTGGCAGAGTGTCCTGGGATGCTGGATTTGAAAGGCAAAGCAAAATGGGAAGCATGGAACCAGAAGAAAGGTGATGGATTTATTACAGCTCTTTATTATTCTGATTCAAAATAATGTCATGTGAAAATAACAAATAAGGCATAGTAATAAAGCTGATTTTCCCGCATTTACAGGTATGTCAAAAGAAGATGCCATGAAGGCTTACATTTCTAAAGCAAATGAGATGATAGAGAAATATGGACTGTAGATTTTCTTTGGACAATTAGTTCAAAGGCAAGGGCACTACTCATTTTCAGACTGATGTGAACATCATTATTTGCAATAAACTGTTTTCTTCTTTGGACATGGCTTGTTTGGATCCTCTTTAAGCTAGTAATATTCATGGTTTTGGCTACTTAAATATTCACAGCAATCTTCTCCTTGCCCATGTCAATATAAAAGTTTGCACTCACACGGTAGAAAAAAAATAATTCAACAACTTTGGGAATGGCATTGATGTTACGCTATTATAATACATCTGATTAGTTCTACTTACAGGAAATACTGGTAGCACAGAAATACTGGTAGCACTTCTGTTCCAACTAGTGACACCAGAGATGGGGAACCTGTAGTGCAACTCCCATCAGCCCTGCCAGTGCTGGCAGTGATAGGAGCTGTCTTGCACTGATGGACCGTTTCAGATGGCATAAGGTTTTGAAATCATGTATTTACACCTACACACCCATTGCAAAAGAAACACAAAACTACACACAAACTTCTCAAATGTGATAAGTTGCTTCTGGTGGCATGCAATTTTCTTGCCCGAAAATCAATTTACCTATTAATTATCCGAAACACTTTCTTCTTTAAAAGAACAAAATATTCCAATTAACAGGCAAAAATTAATAAAGACTGATTGCAATCAAAACGTATTTGCAACTTGTGACACTGTCCTTAAAATGTGAAGTAATCATCTCTGCTTCCGCAGATTTCATCACACCAGATTATCAACCGCTGTTACATCTTGAGATTTAGGAGGATATATTTGAGTTTTGGAGGAAGCATGTGGAGTCATACCCAGACAGGCCTCCATTGGCCTCATGTACATGACTGAACAATGTCTAATTAGAACAAGGACCAATTAAGGCCAAATGCCTTTATGCTACCTCATTTCACTGCAGCTTTAGAGTCTTAAATTTTTGGACATACATTTATTTTGCTGAGGAGGTTGCTGACTAATGATTCTGAACACGTAGTGGTGGGAGGGAACTAGAATGCTCTTTGAGTGTTCTGGGTGGGGTAAATCACTGAAGAAGGCTGCTGCTGATGGTGATATTTATCTGCCACCCATCTGGCTGGGTTATCCCAGCCCAGTGCCTTGGAACTTCTTGCCATGTAGGAAGTGGGACATGCTGAACTGCTTCAGTGGACTAGCCAGTTCTTGAAATCTCAGTGTTTTTTTCATGAGCTGTAACTGTTTGGAATAAAATGGAAATGGTTAGCCTGGACCTCTGCCAGAGGAACAAAAAAATAGCCAAAGGAACGACTGACCTAATTCCAGATAAATTGCAAGAGGTTCAAGTTTATGTAAGCCCTTCAGAAACAACATAGCAATACAAATATGCAACAAATTGCAGTCAGCTGTTCCCATCCTTCCAAGCTTGGTTCTGAACTAAACTGCTATAACACCCTGCTTATTTCTTTGGCCACAGTGAACATTATTCTACAGTTCAGGAATCTCTTTAACTGAACATGTTCTTACATCTACTGAACAAAGGATTCAATTGTCTCAACACTTGCTTTCCTCTCCAAGTTTAGTTTTCAAGTTTGGAAAGAAATTGGATGTGACTTGCACAACAAATTCAATAGAGCCATTCAGGGACCTACTCTATATTCATGATATTGTGCCCATTTGATGCCTGGTTGGTCTTTTTCCTTGAAAAGGGTCTGGAAACTCCAGTTGCCAGTACAACACGATAGCCATGGGAATTCCTTCACTCAGTAATTGGATGCTGTTTCATTGTTACAAAACCATTAAATGTTTCAAAATTAAAAATTTTTGCCCTTTGCACAGGACAGAAAATTGCAGTTCACTGTTTTGTAAGAAGCTGAGAATTTTCCGGTGTAAAATGTCTTCAAGTGAATGGACTTGCTGTTTATGGATTGTAAAAGGGGGGAGAACCCTAAAATAATTTTCTGCTTTCTAATAATATGTTTCTTCTGGCCTACCTAATGATATCTACCTAAATTACTGCAGTGAATTGTACTTCTAATCTGAGAAACACTTACCCACCTGCTATCGAACTGTCCATTTTGTCTCACCATGTGCAATATGAGGAGCTTCACTGCCACTTGAAAGCAGACAAATAAACCGTTGAATAACACTGGGCTTTCAGGGCAGATGAATCTTTTCCTTTCTTAAAAACAAAACAAAACACCAACTGATGCTTTCATTTAAAATAAAATTCACTGAGTCTTTCATAAGAGCCACTTCTATTTCAGATCTTTAATTTAGGTATTACCTGGTGTAATAATAGCAGTATTGATAATCTACATTAGCAGTTACATTCCCAGGCTGGGAAAAAATCCTCATTGGCCAGGGCCATGATGTCATCACCTTAAGGGCTGCAGTGAACATCAGCACCTGCAAAGAAAACTCTGGTAAATATACCATTGCTACTGCCTGGGAGAGGACGCAGGTGGCGCTGTGGGTTAAACCAGAGCCTAGGACTTACCAATCAGAAGGTCGGCGGTTTGAATCCCTCTGACGTTGCTCGGTCCCTGCTCCTGCCCACTTAGCAGTTCGAAAGCATGTCAATAGGTACGGTGTTTCCGTGCGAAGCTCTGGTTCGCCAGAAGCGGCTTAGTCCTGCTGGCCACATGACCCGGAAGCTGTACGCCGGCTCCCTTGGCCAATAAAGCGAGATGAGCGCCGCAACCCCAGAGTCCGTCACAACTGGACCTAATGGTCAGGGGTCCCTTTACCTTTACTGCCTGGGAGAGAAGTTCATTAGTAGCAAGCTTGCATTTGTGAGTCCTTTTTTTGATGGGCAGCAAGGCTGTGCAGCAGCAACTGGTCACACTGCTAGGGCCATTTGTGACTCAAGTTTTTCTTAATGTTTAAAGGCTCCCTTAAATATGGTTAAAGACTTTACCCCCCCCCCCATGAGGCTATTGGGAGTGTGATGTCATAACAGGAGTACTGATAGCAGGAGATGGAATTCAGCAAGTAGGTCTCTCCTAGCCCAATACATCAATATTGCAACCCAACTACAAAAGCAACATAAATCTGACTCCACACCTTGCTTTTGAATATATATTTTTTCATTTCTATTTTGTTTCTCTCGTTCTCTTGAACGCTCAGAATTTAAAAGTCACTAATTTAGATTGCAAGTTCGGCATTCTACAATATCAGTTATGCTCTTTATGACTATCGCAAGCAGGTATTATATTCTAATGGAGTCACAAATACTCATCCAACTTGCTGGGCAAAACATCCTGATTTATTTATAGTGCGATAAATGATGTCCACTATTGCAGCTATGACCAACAGACAGAACTTAGAAGTTCAGAAACTGCCAATACACACGTTTTTGTTTTTTAAAGTAGGCAGAGAAGTCAAATGCAGAGGATAGTTTGAAAGAAAACAACTACATCTTTTAGACAAACTAAACATAGTATAAGATTCTGCTGAAACTCTGGTAAGGACAAAGGATTTCAAAGTACAGTACTTATGACTGTTGTAGGCAACACTGCCATCTTCTGGACGTTCAAGCTGCAACATGCCCTACAGTCTGACTGAGAGGTTGCTCTTCTCCTGCGTGCTTCACTTAAACCACATGTACCTTTGCTTGACTATGTGGAAATACACCAGGGAGCTGGAACTAACTGAACCATCCCTACAGTGGTTGCTGGTGCTCATGGGGGCTGGTGGGGTGGAAGGCAGGGAGACCAACAGTAGGTGCAGGTGGCAGGTGGAGGCTAGTTGAGGGCAGACACTGATGTGATATACTGAGGCTGCTTCAACAAAAAAATACTGCATGAGGTCTGCTGGACCACCAGTGAACTTTAAACACCTAGGCATTTTGCCAACAGAAATGCAGACAGATCTGAAACACTCCCTGTGGAAAGCCTTTCCCCAGTCCCCGTAGATCCTTTTTCAAAGGAAGTACAAACCAGAATCAATTTGGATATAGTGGGTGTCAGTTCTACAATCCTATTAAAGTCACATCTGTCATAAGGACAAAAAAGAGGCAAGGCAACGCCACACCAGAAGCAAATGGAATAAACTTCCAGTACAGTGGTACCTCGGGTTAAGTACTTAATTCGTTCCAGAGGTCCGTTCTTAACGTGAAACTGTTCTTAACCTGAAGCACCACTTTCGCTAATGGGGCCTCCTGCTGCTGCTGCACTGCTGGAGCACGATTTCTGTTCTCATCCTGAAGCAAAGTTCTTAACCCGAGGTACTATTTCTGGGTTAGCGGAGTCTGCAACCTGAAGCGTATGTAACCCGAGGTACCACTGTACTGGAAATACAGATATGGGAGACTGGATGCAAGACCATCTGCAGTTGGAAGACCATGAGAAGATCTAATCCAAGAAACACAAGCTTCCAGATTTGGAGTGGGGTTGCTGGAACTATTGACAAGTCACATCTAAAATGAAGGAAGTTGGTGGGAGTGTAGAAACTGGAGATTTTCAGACTGATTTTCTGACTTGGTTTGTTTACTTTACCCCGCACTTGACTAATTACCGATCAAGTAGCCACAGTTTTATAAATAACTGAGAAGAACCTCCATAGCTCATTTGGTAGAGCAACTATTTTACATGCAGGAGGTCTCTGGTGTCTCCAGGTAGGGCTGGGATTGGAAGGGACTGTTGTTTGAAATCCTGCCACACAATTCTAAACTAGTGTAGTACAAGTCAGCTTCCAATGTTTTTATGACTGACTGACAGAAACATAACACTGTACAGCAGACCAGTGGGTCCATATTGTAGAAAAAGAGAAAACAAAAACCAGAATAAACTTAACACAACATATGAGAGCCAATTGTGGATGATCTGCCACCCTGCCTAGCTACATCCTAAGTCAATCCATGTTTTTTTTGGGGGGGCAGTAGCCCAACAAACAGCGGGGTTTCCACATTGACACAATGATTATATATGTCAATGTCAGGTAAGCTGGGTTCAAGAACTTCATTCCCTGAACAATTCAACACACTGCAGGCTGTACAGAAACAAGATGTTATTTAAGCAGTGGGGTCTCAGTGGGAATGAACTCACTAGTGTTTGTATGAATCTTCCATTGTGGCATGACGGTTAAGAGTATTTTGTACTATGCAGAATATGCCGAATTAGATGGTTTATCAGAAAAAATAAAAAATAAATCAAAACAGGAATTTGTTTCTAAATGGGAGGTTTTCAAAGAATATCTGAAAAATAAATATAGTAGTTTAAATTCTGTTGCAGCATTCGAGGAACTTCAGTGATAGTTGCTAGGTAGATAGAAGAAATTAGATTTATTGAGAATAAGTTTAATTATGAAAAAAATGTGTATTGGCAATACATAATATGAATTTGAAATATGGAATAGACGGGAAGTTGGGTCTTTAGTGTTAAGACCAATAGATGTTTTATTGTTTGCCAAGAAAATTATGTGTCTATGGTTATTTTTGTAATTTGTCTGTATTTTGGTATTTGTGTTTTTTTGTGTGTGTTTTTTTCTTGTTGTATGTATGTATAAATAAATAAATAAATAAATAAATAAATATTAAAAAAAGAGTATTGTACTATGACCTGGGAGACCACTAGGGTCCAATTCCTCACCCAGCCATGAAGCTCACTGGGTGACCTTGGGCCAGTCACCATCTCTTAGCTTAACCTACCCCACAGGCTCGTTGTGAGGATGAAATGAGGAGTAGGATAACCTTGAGCTCCTTGGAAGATAAAGGTGGTATATAAATTAAGTAAATAAATGGTTAGGTAAACCACATAGTAAAGATTATCTTTGACACTTCAAAGCCTTGCCCCAAGGCTATTTTGCAAGTATTAAAAATAGCTTGTGCTTTAAATAAATATAAATACATGTTCCCTTAAGAAATATTAAATGCTATGGATTAATATGGATACAAATATGTTTAAAAGATGGCTGGTCATCTGAAACAGGCAAGATGCAAAACTCACCAGTCGGAATTGTCATAAAGTTTGTCAACTACGCATTTGTTTGTGGCCCACACTTCCAAGAAACAGATGAGCTATCAAGACATTTTATTTATATGTGGCAGATGCCTTCTCACCGTACTACAAAATGAAGACTGGGAATTACCGGTAATTTGAATCTACCTTTTCCTGATGTGATGATGCCACATTATCCTGCAGGCAATCAGACTTAGCTAAATGATGATGTCACAAAGCCAACTAGGAGAAAGGCCAGTGCTTCATACTTTCACTTTGAATGGGTGAACATTTCCCTCTTTTTGCAAGGCTCCAGAACAATAACTAAAATTGTGAAGTTTGGGGCAAACAAGATTTCACACACACACACACACACACGTTTCAGCTGAGGCTTAATTTTAGCTTTGATTATTGTGTTACTTATATAATTGGTATTAGAAATGTTGTAGAGAGCGGGGGCCGCCCGGTCTGCTCTGCTCCCCCCCCCCCCCGTTAGCTTCCCGCCCCCTGCAGCTGCTCACGGAGCCCCCGGGTCTCTGCCTCCGACGCGGCCCTGCTCCAGCCCAGGCGACCCAAGGCCGGCCTCCAACCCGCTCTGCGCACCGCGCGCTCCGCCTTGGAGAAGCCCCGCCAGGCGCTGGCACTTCCTCCTTCCCAGCAGGCCTGGATGTGGGGTAAAGGTGAGAGGAGAAGCGAGCCAAGAAGCAGAAGCCTCCGCCTCCCGCCGCTCCCGCTTGAGCAACTCCGGCTTCACTGTTTGGGCTGGAGGCCGAGGGACGGGCGGCGGCGAAGACCCCGACTGCTACGCGGAGGCCTCTCCGAACGGGAAAGCGAGCAAGCAGCGCGGCCTGCCAGGCGCCGAGGCTCAGGTAGGGGGAGGCAGCGCAGGGCTGTGGGAAGAGGAGGAGGAGGGCGCCCGGGTGGGGTGGGAGCCCCGCAGAAAGGGGGGGCGCCCCGCAAGTGAGTTTTTGGGGGTCTTGCTTGCTCCCCTTTCTCCTTCCCTCACCCCACCCCGTAAGTCGCCTCCTGTTGTTTCTGCAGCTCAGCAGCCAAAGCCAAACAAACTCGACACTTTGCAAAGCGCAACCCGATGAATTCTGTAAAAAAACAATAACGCGAAAACAGGCAAAGTTCGCAACGGAGCGTGACAGAGTTTTGTGTTATTGGTTTGCTGTGCAATCAGCCGTCCTGGGCTAGGGCTGACGCCACCAGCAAAACTTTCCTAGCCCACTACTGTCCCTGCAACTGCTTGCTGTAGAGCCCCAGCTGGACACAGGGCACCTGACTGCGAAACTAGGGTTGCCTACACATTTAAAGCATATTTCCCCTCCCCTCAAAAAAATCCTGGAAACCGTGGCTTGTTAAGGGTGCTGCGGATTGTAGGTCCCTGAATGAACGACTGTTCTTGGGGTTCGTTTGGGAGGGGGGGAATGTATTTTCAACGCACAGTGTGTATATGCAGCCTGCTTAACTCTGTTTGTAGTTTTCCTTTTTGGGAAGCACTTAGGGCATATTGGACGGTGTATGAACGAGAAATGATAGCAACGTTGTCAGGGTTCGGGAAGAAAGTGAAGTGTGTGTTTCTCAATCACCCTGCAAAATAAATGCATTTTAGATTACCTTTTGCAAAGGTGCCATGTAGGCAGAGCACACAGTCAGGGAACATTGTTGTCATGGGTGCCCAAGATGCTTCACAAAAATCAGTAAAGACTGGCTTGCTCTGGACTTCTGACACAACAACCGACTGGTGGTAAACAAAGGGCAGGGATTGAAATAATATAGTGTAAGGTTGTCACTAAGAGGTATCGTGATATGTCCCATGGAGGGAAAATACATGTTGGGTAAACCCAATTGAGTATGATATTAAGATCATGATGTATTATTACTATACATTAATTACTATAATTCATTAGCTGCACAAGGTAGTTTGGTTGTACTTAAATTTGCATATCATTATCAACTTCAGTGGCATTGAGAGCCCCTCTAGATTACAGTCATACCTTGGGTTACAGACACTTCGGGTTGTGCGATTTCGGGTTGCGCACCGTGCCGAACCCAGGACTACTGGAACGGGTTACTTCCGGGTTTCGGCGCATGCGCAGAAGCGCTGAATTGCGCTTTGTGCATGCGCAGAAGCACTGAATCGCGAGCCGTTCATGCGCAGATGCACGGGTTGCGAACACTGCGGGTTGCAAATGTGCCTCCCGCACGGATCACGTTCTCAACCCGAGCGTCCACTGTATGATCTTTCAGAAGGGCGGGATTAATGCCTTTTTCACTAGGCACACCCAGGACTTGCAGTTCTGTTTCCCGTTCCCACAGATTAGAAGCTTTGCTCTGAGGGAATAGCTTTGAAGTTTTGACTTTTAAAAAAAGGTCTGTAGAAGATATACACTCCAGCAGAAGGAGAACGTGAAGTCTCTGGAGTAAAAGGTATGATTGTTTTTAAACAGGCAGGGACATTCAAATCGACTTGGATCGTGGGAGAGGTTTACATTGTAAATGACCCAAGTAAAATGAATTAACGACAGATCAGGATGTGCAATCAGTTCATAGGAGTCTGTTTATTTTTATTTTTTTAAAAAATACTGTTTTCTGCAGATCGTCATGGAAAACCAAGTGACTGATTCTTCCGAAGAGCGTACATTTCAGTATCAGAGTTCACTCCCTTCACTGCCCATTCCTGCTCTTGATGAATCTTTAAGGAAGTACCTCGATTCAGGTGTTAAACAAATGTTAATGTTTATTGTGGGTAAAGACTTAAGTAACATGGAAAGAATAACCTGCTTTTTGTCTGCTTAGTCAAATAACTTCATGCATGTTAAGAGTCTGAAAGTACTAAGGATTTTGAAACAGTTACCATAATACATTGCTTTATTTGCAGAGTTAGCACGAAATGTACCAGTATGCTTTCAATATTTAAAGCACATGAAGTCACAATAAAAATGTTTGCCACTGAACTGTGCAAAGGTTGTAAAGCGTTATCCAATTCTGCACTTTCTAAAGTCCAATGGGAGGAGCTTGAAACAGTGACAGTGTCCATGTTAAAATTACTTGGTTCCTACCCAAGGCAAACAACCTTCAAAATACAGCAGATTTCTATATACTGAAGCTGTAAGTGACACCATGCTTAGAAACAATAATTAAGATGTTAATAAAGAACTTATTATCAGGTAAATGTGCATAGGGTTGCAGCCTAAGAGAGTACTATTGAACTCAGTGGCGGTTACTTCTGAGTAGGATTGAGCTGTAAATGTAAATAAATTTGTGTATTGTCTAGTATTTCAAACTAGAATGCCTGTTTGAAATACCAAAGGAACTATGAGATGTTACAGTTTAAAAACAAAAAATATCAGTCATTGCTAGAAGGAAAAAAATATTTTCTTGTTCCTGTTACAAACCATATAGCTTTAAAAAAAATGTTCCTTTTAACCTTAACTCTCATATTCACGATTTAAAATCGGATGGGTTGTATCTACTGGGGGTTGGATACCTTGGTTGGAAATAAAATTAGCTCCCATTGATTGCTTGATCAACTAAAGCCGTAGTTAATTAATACTTGCAACCCTTATTGTTGTAAGTTTTCATTTTTCATGAAACATTATTAGAAAAGAATGGTTGTTACCGAGGACTTGCATACTTTTTTTTTTAGCAACACTTCTGAATCAAAATAATTCCCAGCTATCACTGAATATCTTCCTAAACATTGGGCATTTATGCCAATGTATAAAGTTGTCATTGTACATTGTGTCCTTTAAGTTTAATCTATTAAAAGTTTCATAGGCCTAAGAATCAAATAGCTTCAGATTTCTCCAGCCAAGCACTGTAATGACTGTGTTCTTAAGAGTCAATTTACAAGCTATACCAGCCTGTTGGAATGCTCCTTAGAATTGCAGTGTAAGTCTCTGACAATATGCACACTTGAAAGAAGTTCAATAGAAAACAAGCAGACTTGGTAAATGGACGTGGGCTTGCCAGCACGATTTAGCAATGGTGGATAATCACTGAGTGATTATTGCTGCCCGACTCTTCCATGGCTCACTGTTTTTTCTTCAGGTGTAATAATCTGAAACCTAGCCAGGGAATAGGGTGTGCATGGTATTTGGCTCTATTCTCATTTGGCAAAAGGGTAGGAGATAGCAATTTGCAGATTTTACAGTACAGAAATAGCCCTGGCTCAGTTATACTCAAAATATAGGCTTGGCAAAATATTCAAATATTGCCAAAGGACTTGTCCATGTCGTTTCACTCTTCATCTTCTCAGGATTAGTTGTGGTGACACTCCTTCTCAAAGGAAAAAAAAATACCTTATATCTATGATATATCTACTGAACACTGGTTACTGTTCAGGCTCAATGTGAGCTTTCCATTTTACTTTGAGAGTGTAGTGACTGCAGGCTACCGTAATTCACCCAGGCATCTTCTTAGTCTTGTTAACTAAGCCACATGTGCAAACTCTGTCCATTTCAATAACATTGTGTTTCAATTGATACTGGATGATAATGAAAGTTTTGTTTGTGGTTATTAATTTATAACGATTCTCCTGCACACACGTAAGCCATCATTTAGTACTACAGAGATGGGTTTGTATGTATGAACCTGCACTGTGTTTGTCTCGTTAACATTCAGCTGTTAAGAAATAACTATTTACAGATACTGTCAGCCGTGGCATTTGGTTTTTTGTTTGTATTCTGCACACTGATTTTGAACTTTGGAACATAAATGCAACTTGGAAGTACAGTCATAAAAAGGTTCAGAACATTTTTGTTTAACTAAACATTTGTGTTTTGCAGTGAGACCTTTCCTAAATCAAGAAGAATATCAAAGAACTTCTGACATAGTAAAAAGATTCAGAAATGGGATTGGGAAAGAGCTACATCAAAAATTAGTTGAAAGAGCTAAAGTGAAGAGGAACTGGGTATGTTTTGAGAAAGCTTGCATGGTTTGCTAATTCATGCTGATAATCAGTTTTCTAATGAAAGACAAGAAAAGGGTGCAAGGCTTATACCTTAGAAATATCAGTCATTGACTCAATACTTTGATCCTTACTTATACTGCTTCATCTCCTGTTGTGGGATGAACCACACATTCTAGCAGAATTTTCAGGACAAAACCCTCTTTTTATGTGTGGAAAAACAGCACAAATGCATAATAACCAGATTACCAGTTCAGTTAATCAAAAATACTATATTCTGATTTCCATCCCACTGAAGTCAATAAGTCTTGGAGAGCAATCCAATGCATGTTTACTCTCTACAGAAGTCCCTCTGTGTTCAGTGGACTTATTTGTGTGCATAGGAGTGCAGCCTAAATTAATATAAGACCAATGCTTCACTTTAATTGTATTGTAGATCCATCTAGATGCAGGAACAAACATTTTAATGTGCTCAAGCACAGGCTGCTTTGCTTTGGTCTTAAATTTGTTGATTGAAGAAGAGTTAAAAAAATATTTGTTACATAATAATTCTTAAACTGGATTCCTGGTTTGTGATATTTTACCATTTCATATCTAAGAAACAGAAGGAAATCCTTTTATCTTTCCTATTTTAATTGTGCAGAGACCCATATCAGGGTTTAGAAAATGGAGACAGTTTCACATGAAATTTTAAATGCCATAATATCTTCCGAAAATTCAAGCATCTGATACTTAAAAACAAAACAAAAAACACTTCAAGTGTAGGATAATCCTATGTAGAGTGCTACATTTATAGATTCTAAACATGAGATAAATGTCTGATGTCCACATGTTCATTGTTGACCATTGTTAACTGCTAGAAATGTTAGCAAGGGCCAAAGCCCACTTGCATTTCCAGATAGTTGGACCAGGCATATGTGGTCAGCACATTGCTTGGAGCATGCAAGGACCTCTGTGTAAGAGTACAAAAAGCAATTTAACTAAAATATAATAGGAAAATGTTTGATCCAAATAACTACTTTAGGCACATTTATAGATATAGATATAGATATAGATTCTTTGCATAGGAATCCCCCATGCCAGATCAGAAATTGAGTCTCCCTCTACTTTCAAATGTTGTTTGTTGTGTGGCATGGAGGGCGGCTGCTTGATCCTGATATGCCCAACCCTATTTTGATGTGCAGAACTACCGTATTTTTCACTCTATAAGACGCACCTGACCACAAGACGCACCTAGTTTTTGGAGGAGGAAAACAAGAAAAAAATATTCTGAATCTCAGAAGCCAGAACATCAAGAGGGATCGCTGTGCAGTGAAAGCAGCAATCCCTCTTGCTGTTCTGGCTTCTGTGATAGCTGCGCAGCCTGCATTCGCTCCATAAGACGCACACACGTTTCCCCTTACTTTTTAGGAGGGAAAAAGTGAGTCTTATAGAGCAAAAAATACGGTACTTGTGCTGATGCCAGTTACGAAGCAATTCTTGCCCTGAGGCCATTCGGCAGAACACAAATCTAATTGTCAGAGCTGTGCTCAAGGCTCCTTATGCTCTTAATTGCTGTTTCTTTTCAGCTGGAGGAATGGTGGCTGAATGTGGCCTATCTTGATGCACGTTTACCAACACAAATCTATCATAATTTTGGAGGGCCAGGCCCTTACCTCGAACATTACTGGCCACCCAAAGAAGGGACTCAAATAGAAAGAGGAAGCATTGCTGTATGGCATACCTTGAAATTCTGGGAACTATTGAGAACGTAAGAAACTTAAAAGCACCATGTATTAGTTCTTATATATAAGGATGATACTGGTCACTTTTTTGGGTGGGAGTGTAAATATTGCTAATGTTCATTGCTGAATGTAGTCCCATTTGATTGTTTGAGGAGTTCTGTACCTGCTTACTTGGGAGTAAACCCCAGTAAACTCAATGGGACTATTTTTGAGCGGACATGTATAGGATTGCACTGTCCGTGTCCGTGTCTTGGAAGTCCAAACCTGTGTCCTAATGTAAGATGCTTCAAACATATATCAGCTTCTTGTGGATTAAGGCTGCAGGCTGGAGTAAGTCCCATTGAACTGTACAGCACTGCATCCAAATTAGTATGCACAATATGAGGCTGTAATTGTCATAAAAAGAGAGAACAGAGGACACCTCACTAGTGTTTCCTGATGAGCAGATAGCTTTGCTGACTTAGGTAAGTGATTCTTCTCATGGGCTATAGAAACATGGTATAAGTGTTCAGAACACTAGCCTATCTAATCAGGGAAAGATTCCTTCCTGGTGTCAAATCTGGTACCATCTTATCCCTGGGTTTGCTGCACATTCTTTTCAACAGAATTTGAGTATCTTAACAATGTATTGTTGTCTTTATTACAGAGAAAAGTTGCCTGCAGATAAACAGGGCAATATGCCTCTGGATATGAATCAGTTCCGAAAATTGTTTAGCACCTGCAAGATTCCAGGAATTACACAAGATTCCATTGCCAGTTATTTCAGAACAGGTAAAAAAAAATGATTTTCTAGATTAGAAGAATTTTATTTTTAACAAAGCATGTTTATATAGCATCCATTGCATACAAAAGGGCTCACAAGTACATTTATTTTGCTGCTCTGGTTTTAAGAATTATTATTATTGTTTTGTTTCATTTTCTGGCCTCACAGTAAGGTTTAATCTGCAGTGTGGGAATCCAGAGGCAAATAGTCACTTATTTCTTAAAAGTCCCACTGAAATCTTTGTAACCTGTGTAAAAATCACTTAAAAGGATAACTTCAGTTACCGTATTTTTCGCTCTATAAGACGCACCAGACCATAAGACGCACCTAGTTTTTGGAGGAGGAAAACAAGAAAAAAAATATTCTGAATCTCAGAAGCTAGAACAGTGATCCCTCTTACTGTTCTGGCTTCTGGGATAGCTGCGCAGCCTGCATTCGCCCCATAAGACGCACAAACATTTCCCCTTTTTAAGAGGAAAAAAGTGAGTCTTATAGAGCAAAAAATACGGTAAGCATGGTCTTTGCAGCATCTTGGCACTAAAAAGCCACACGATTTTACTTTTTGTGCAACTCTTCAAAGCACAGTAGCACCTTCAGTAACAGGATCTTGCAGTCCTACATAAGAACAAAAAGGTTCGGTCACATCTATAAATCTAATTGAAAAGAGGGTGGATTTCCTTTGGCCTCATTTGGTTGACAGTAAAAAAGCTTCTTAAATTATGTTTGTACTTTGGTCACAGTGAACGTTAGTAGGTTGATTAAATTGCAATGATTGTAATGTCTATAAAAATAAAAGTAGTTGTGAAACTATTTTATATAAAACAAACTTGGACACTAGTTATTAGTTGCACTAGTTCTTAGCTACAGAGTTCTTGCAATGTCCATCTGGAATGGAAACTATTCAAGGAGACCAGGAGGCAAAAGTTGCTCATCTTTCTGGTGAGCCGATGGAGAGGCCTTTCCCACCAGTAAAGCCATCAGTGCAAGAGGTTTCAGGGAATATGAATCGATGCCACAGTAAAGCCGTGTACTGACAATGTTATATTTACATTAATGCTGAGTTGCGTCTCTTCATCCGCTTGAACACACAGTCACCAGGAATGTTGTTTACAGGTGTATGAAGCTCTTGGTGTGATAATAGTCTTTATAGGCACACCCAGTCTCTTTGATTGCCTCTGCAAAAGATGCCCTGTTGCCACTGTGCTCTTCAGTTATGCCAATATGTAGGTAGTTGTGATGTACAAACCGAGAATGCCTCCTTCATGTAACATTCCTGAAGGTAAAATGATCTGCCTGCTTCTTTATAAACCTGTGCCATCTACTTAGGGCAGTATGCACTAATTGTGGGCTTGTGGCCGAGGGGCAGAGACCATTAGCAGCAATAACACTGAGCTGTAGGAATGAAGATGTCTCAAGTCAGATCCATGTTCCCATGTCCTAACGAGAACCTTTGAACTCTCCCATCCCCCTCCTGGAAGAGGCAGTGGTTAGGGAGAAAGCAAACGCTCACTCTCGTTTCTTTCTTTCCTTGGTTATTGAAAGGCGAGACCATTCTTCAAAGGTGAGAAGTTTTTCTCTAGATCAACACAAGGGCTGCTTCTGTGGGCTGGCGTCTTTACTATCAACCTGTCCCCTCAGTCCATCTGCAGTTGCTTCCACTTCCTCTCATCTCTAGGAAAGAGCCTGTAACCTGGACCGTGTCATCAACGGCCGAGGACCAGGCAACTCTCTCACATGTTTATTTGTAATATTGCTTACCTGCCCCTTACCATAAAGTCCTGAGGCCGGTCACAATATATAGTTTGGAAAACAAGTGAAGCATTTCAAAGTGCTGTAATGATCAAAACACTAAATAGTACTGTATAGATTCAACAAAATGGGTGGGACCCACAAAACAAAAATACCTTAACAGTCGAAGAACAGAGTAACAAGGTGTGGGCCTTCAGCATTTGGTGAAAGCCATACAGTGAAGATTAGCATGTCAGGGGTACTGGTTCCCTCATCCTCACTTTATATAAACACAGGTTTTTTGGTGTGTGTGTGTGTGTGTGTGTGTGTGTGTGTGTGTGTGTTACCATGCCTTAGGAACATGGATAGTAGGCCTAGGTGTGAGATGAACTCTGCCACTAGACAAAGTATAAATTTTAAAATAATGTTGCTGATTTGTTAAAGGAGTACTGTATACATAAGGGAATGCAAATAATTATTTGGGAGTCTTAAAAGTGCTTGTTGACAGTTTCTGAAGATTTGAGAGGCCCTCACATTAGCCTCTTAAGTGGCTTTTGTCTCAGGCCAAATTCCCTAACACTCCACCCCAGCCAAATACTCTCACAAACCAGTCTAGCTACTGAGGTCAATTTGCCTCGGTGCCTCAAAGCTCGTCTGGGTGTACACCTGGCTGCCTGGACCAGTTTAACCAACTAATATCCCACTTGTGTACCCATCTTCTGATAAGAGTACACAGTATTTCGAGCTTGTTTGTGTGGATGCTAATGCTCATATCATTTAAGAAAAGGATATTTTTTAAAAATACTCTAGTCACCCATGTATTGCTGTGATCAAAGTTTCCAAGCATCCGCTGGAAATCACTCCAGTATTCATCCAGATAAAACAAAATGCAGCCAACACCTGCTATGTTTTATTTCTTCCTTTCCAGAGGTAAACATTGCAGAGAATCCTAAATATTCAGCTGTGTTGTCACATCATGCTATAGACCTTTTCTGTTTCAGTTATCTTTGCAGCGCAGACTTGTGTTGGACTGAGAAACACATTTCTCCATTGAACTGGGTAATGATTAAAAGAGGTTATTGTATTGGTTTTATTTGTTGCAGCACCTTACCTGGCATTTTGCAGTGACTGCATCATGCTCACAGGCTTTTTTCTTTTTCATCTTTCAGACAGTGAAGGTGAATCCCCATCTCACTTGATAGTCTTGTGCCAAGGTCGAATTTTTGCATTTGATGGGGTACACGATGGTCAATTATTGAGCCCACCAGAGATTTCTAGGTATATTTACAATAAGTACAAGTTAAAAATCAGTGATCACGTTTGTTTCTGTTACTTTGTTTCTATGTAGATTTAATGTGAGTTACACAACATGTTAAAAAGTAACATTTGTATTCTAAAAATGTCTCCATGAGATCACTGAGGGAACATTTTGCAAGGAAGATTATACATCTTCAAAGGAGTTTTACAAGCTCCATTGAAATAAATGGCATCTGCATGGCAGTAGTGTTTTGTGGACTGTACTCTAATAGAGTTCCACTTCATCATGAGCTGCACAGTCGTACCTTGAATCCAGAATGCCCTGGAACATTCTTTTGGAACCCGAATGTCTGATGGGGCTTCCGCAGCTTCTGATTGGCTGCAGGAGCTTCCTGCAGCCAATCAGAAGCCACAATTTGGTTTTCAAATATTTTGGAAGTTGAATGGACTTACGGAACAGATTCCGTTTGACTTCCAAGGTACAACTGTATTATGTTTCTTTCACATTAACTCCTTCCTCTAAAATTCCTATCCGTTATTCACTCACTTTTTATGGAGGATCCAGATTACGTCATTAAAAGATCATTGCATTCCAGTGTTTTCTGTCTTGACTGATTTGTGACATTTTTTTCTTTGCATTTTATCGCAAAAAAAACAATTGTAGCAAAGTGACATTGACACTATTAAGTGCTTACTGTGAGTTTAAAAATTTCCTCCTTGAAGTTTCTGCTCCTCTTATTGTTTCCTGTTCAGTATACGTGGGGGACTCATGATGAATTGCCTCTTAATTAGTCAACTTCTGTTCCCCATGGGAACAGGCTTCAATTACTGATTTCAGAAAGGAAAAGAAAAGAAAAGAGAAAAAGAAATAAAACTAATGCTTTTCTCCAGCCTCATGAGAAAAGGAAAGAAACTGATTGCATTGTGAGTCACTACTAATTTCCCAAGTGTAGTGAACAGGAACTAATAAAAGAAGTGAAAGCTGAAAAGGAGCAAACTACTGCAAGAGACCTTGGCTCAGTGGGAGTTTCATCCATGGCGGTGGATGCTGCTCAATACACTAGTGCTATATTGAACCGTAGTTTTAAATTCAAATGACAACTTTGGGCTTAAAAAACAGGATGCCATTTGGGTACCTCTCTGGGTTTTTCTGAATAGTTGGATGGCCTGAGTGGTTATAGCAGCAGCTGCTGCCATTTGCCCTCTCCCCAGAGTGTCCTAAGTGTACAGGTAATAGGCGTTGGCTGTTGAGAAATGTGCGGTGGGAAAGGCAGGAGGGGACGACAACTTCCAGACAGCAGCTGCTACAAGGGCCACTGCTGCCACAGCTATCCCTCTCCTTTCAATCTTTTGTGCCCCATCTCCTGAAAACCACCATCTCTTCCATTCATGGTATCTGTGAATGTAGTGGTGAAAAGGAGATTTTGACTCTGTTCTGTTTCCAGCCGCATTAAAGGGCCTTACTGCAGAAACAACCATTGACCTCTATCTCCTTTTCTCTGAAAAGGCATCGCTACTACCTGCGTGCTTCAGAGAGCAATTAAAATATTACTTTTTTAAAAAAAAAAAAACAAGGCGAAAAAGAGAACGTGCTAGAAAAGAGAAACACATATGTGGTTGCACTATGAATGTTGACCTGTAAGGACATATTTCCACAGAGAAATAGTGCAAGATCCACTGAGCATAGGTGCACCTCCTAGAAATTGTGGGGAACAAGTAGTTCTGTGCAGTTTTTGCCATGGGTATACTATAGTTGTAAAAGGCATGAATCTGAAATAGGTTCCAAGAAAGCATGCAAACAATTCATCAGACCATCTTAGACTCCTGGTGGGGTCTGAGAGAAAGCATGTGGGCATATGAAGGTAGACAAGGTGGCCTAGCTGATTGGACATTGGAACTTGAATTAGTTCGTTTCAAGTTCTGGGTAATCACAGGCATAAGAGAGTACCTTAACTGATATTTTACATCTGAACTACTAACTAGCTTTAATTTCTCATTTTTTATTTTTAATCCTTCAAGGCAACTTTCCTACATCAAAGAGAGATGCCAAAATGAACCCAAAGGGCCAGGATTGTCTGCCTTAACATCTCAGGAAAGAACCCCATGGGCAAAGGTTGGTACACTTCTTTTTGTGGTGGAGGGCAGTGATTGCCTGGATTGATGTGTTTTTTGATGTTTAATCATGACTACACTTGTCTCTTAGACACGCGACTATCTTATCAACTTGGATCCAAAGAACCTGTCCCTGTTGGAAAAAATACAGAGCAGTGTATTTGTAGTCTCCCTTGATGAACTGAGTCCTCAAGCTACACCTGAAAATTATACAGAGGTAATTATGGATTGCTGGATTCCATATTCTGCCCAGTTTTTAATAACCTGCTTCGTGTTAAATAAACATTTGGCTTACCTCGTGTTGTGCTCGAAGCTGTAGGTTTCGCTCCACCCATTAATTACCCTAATATAATGATATTGTTTTAAGATGGGACATATCAGGCAGTATCAATGTCGACACAAAGCTGGCACATCCCACCCTCTGCTAAATAATCTCTGCTCCTGCGCTCACAGGACAAACTGCAGCATGTCACAAGTAAACAGTGGAAATGAACATGGTGCACAACACCAAAGTGCCTGCAGAGCAGTTATGCTCCCGAGCAGGTAGCATGTAGCACGAGAGGCCAGGCGGCCATTCGCTCAGACCAAAAGAAATTTCCATCCCAATCAGAAGCATGTCAAATGGGAGAGAGAACGAGACCTGTGCAGCTGGATGCTATACAGCAAAAACTCTGATAAAATACAAAACAGTCCCCAACTCAACGAAAATATTAAAGCAGGATCACAGTAATGATTACAAAACAACAGTCAGAATTAAACATCAAAATTAATCCTCATGCCTTTTATATCTTAGCTTCTTGCAGTGGTTATATAGCAACATGGTTTCTACAGGCAGCTTTCGAGTACAGGCAAAGAAGGAAAACACTGATTAGCAACAAAAAGATTGTTGGGCATTAACTGTAATACTGAACTGTGGGAGTGTTGTGGTCATTTCTTAGGGCTAATTTGCATTCCAAACGTGACTGAGGACCATTTGCTTGTGCTGGGAGATTGGCCTCTCCAGTTCAACCTTTTCAATATTTAGTTCTATAAAATACCGGTGTATACAGGCAAATGCCCTCTACACATACGTGTAAATCAATACTTTGGTCTATATCGAAAAGAGCTAATGAGAAGAAGAACTGTACAGTCGTGCCTCGGAAGTCGAACAGAATCCGTTCCGGAACTCTGTTTGACTTCTGAAGCATTTGACTGCTGAAGCGTGGGTTCTGATTGGCTGCAGGAAGCTCCTGCAGCCAATCAGAAGCTGTGGAAGCCCCGCTGGGTGTTCGGCTTCCAAAAGAACATTCGGAAACCAGAACACTCATTTCTGGTTTTTGATTGTTGGGGAGCCAAAACGTTTGACTCCCAAGGCGTTCAGGAGCCGAGGTACGGCTGTATTTTGAGCAACTGTTAGTCTGTTCTTTCTTTGCTACATCAAAATGCCACCTTTCTGCTGAAGCACTTAGTTTAAACTAGTGGTCTATCTACAGTCTAAGTGACTTGAAAGAAAACTGAAAAAGAATGAAGAGAGAGGAGGAAAATAATGCAAATTAATGTGCAAACTGTTTCATACTGTTCTATAATGAATGAATGGCCCTTGCAGAAGCCAGTTCTGGGTGGGGAGGAATCAGAGGGCAGTTTGGGAATTTGCTGTCTCATTTTACCCTTAGATGCAGCCAAGTGATATGGGAACTGTATGATTTCATTTTGATCTTCTGTTCATTTTTTTGCCAATTTTGTCAAAGGTAATGTTGCAGGCTTTTCTTTTGGAACTTAAATGTTAACTTTTGACTTAGATCACCTCTTTGGCTCTATTGGGAGATCCAACGCTACGCTGGGGAGACAAATCCTACAACCTCATTATATTCTCAAATGGAGTGTTGGGTTCAAACTGTGATGTAAGTAGATTTTTTTTACCTGAGGCCCCATCGATTCTTTGTATTCCTTAAATCCTACATTATTATTTTTTGGGGGGACGTTGGTGGTAAAAAAGGAGTTGTATCTTTTTGAATAGCAGTTTCTGTTTTAGCACTCTTGTTTTCACAAATACCTCAAATAAATAACAATTTATAAAGGAGTTGCTTTATAGTCTGAGCTGGCTAGCTAAATACGGAATAAAAAAGAAGCATAACATAATGAAAGAAACTCTCAATGAATGCATTTGCACATAACAGTAAACCAGATTTTCAGGCCCTGTGTGGTTTATCTAGAAAGGGCAGTATGCTGACTGAACAGTCCCACTTTGCCTTGCAAATGGAATACACCAGTAAGCCTTGGTTTGTTACTCCCTAGTCAGCAAAACCAACAACAAAACATGGCTTCAGGTTGGCTAAGGATCATGGCTCGTTAGGGAGCAACAAAACGTAATCACTGTTACAGACATAAAGGAAAGCCAAGACTCTCTTGTTATGGGGGTAGCAAAGTGGGAGGAATTGCTCAGTGTTCGCCAGCACGCTTACTCATTTCTGATAAGCCAGACCTTCTGGTTTATTGTGGTTTATCATTGCAATACAAAACATTGCTGGTGCTACACCCTGAGAGTCTTTTTGTGGAGGAATGCCAGAGAATCAAAATCAGTAAGTTTGGGCCCAAGTTTATGGTGCACTAATACAGTCATTTCTGTCTTGCGCATGTTCCAGCATTCTCCTCTAGATGCCATGGTTTTGGTAGTCCTCTGTTCTTACATCGATGCCAAGGTTGTTGAGTCGGAGGGAAGGTGGAAGGTATGAAAGATTTGCAGTTCCATCCTATCCTATGCCAGTTAATAATAAGATCTTCATGTTTATGGAAATAAATCTTGGGACTACTCTCTCATCTTTTGAAATGAAAAACAGGGACCAGACAAAGTGCGGGATATCCCCTGGCCAGAGGAACTTGTGTTCAGGTTGGATCAGAAAGTGCTAAACAACATTGCGCACTCTAAGGAACAGTATGAGAAGCAGGTATGTCCTCTCTCTGCATTTTTCTGTAGACACGGGTTCCTTTGTTTATACCTGTTGTGGGTTAGCTGCCTGACTAGCTTCACTGAGTTCTCAAAGCACAATGATATCTGGGACAGGCACAATTGATTAAACATTAGAGCTTTCAGAACTCATTAGTACAAACCTCCTTCTCTCCAACAGCAATTTATTTGTGGCAGTAAATTATTGCTGATTGAAGTAACGAGTCAGTTGTATCAAATTGGTTTTAACTGATTAGAGCTAAAATCCTGTGCACACATGCTTTGAACTTAATAGGACCCACTTTTGAGTAAACTTGCATAGGCGTGAGCTCTAAAGCTACGTAAACTGGTAAATGATGAAAACAATATTTTTGAATAATAATAATAATAATAATAATAATTTATTATTTGTACCCCGCCCATCTGGCTGGGTTTCCCCAGCCACTCTGGGCGGCTTCCAACAAAGATGAAAGATACACTAAAATGTCACATATTAAAAACTTCCCTGAACAGGGCTGCCTTCAGATGTCTTCTGAATGTCAGGTAGATGTTTATCGCTTTGACATCTGATGGGAGGGTGTTCCACAGGGCGGGCCCACTTCCAAGAAGGCCCTCTGCCTGGTTCCCTGTAACTTGGCCTCTCGCAGTGAGGGAACCGCCAGAAGGCCCTTGGAGCTGGACCTCAGTGTCCGGTCAGAACGATGGGGGAGGAGACGCTCCTTCAGATATACTGGACCGAGGCCGTTTAGGGCTTTAAAGGTCAGCACCAACACTTTGAATTGTGCTCAGAAACGTACTGGGAGCCAATGTAGGTCTTTCAAGACCGGTGTTATATGGTCTCGGTGGCCGCTCCCAGTCACCAGTCTAACTGCCGCATTCTGGATTAGTTGTAGTTTCCGGGTCACCTTCAAAGGTAGCCCCACGTAGAGCGCATTGCAGTAGTCCAAGCGGGAGATAACCAGAGCATGTACCACTCTGGCGAGACAGTCTGCAGGCAGATAGGGTCTCAGCCTACGTACCAGATGGAGCTGGTAAACAGCTGCCCTGGATACAGATTTGACCTGTGCCTCCATGGACAGCTGTGAGTCCAAAATGACTCCCAGGCTGCGCACCTGGTCCTTCAGGGACACAGTTACCCTATTCAGGACAAGGGAATCCTCCACACCTGCCCGCCTCCTGTTCCCCAAAAACAGTACTTCTGTATTGTCAGGATTCAACCTCAATCTGTTAGCCACCATCCATCCTCCAACCGCTTCCAGACAATCACACATTCTTTTCTTTTGAAAGAAATAGCATGCTTCCTTTGGTTTTAGATGGTGCCCCCTACCTGCAATTAATCTAGGGTGCCCCTTTAATTAAGGCTGCAGTCCTATATCTGCTTAATTCCAGGCAAGTCCAGTTTAACTCAATGAGGTTTACTTCTGAGGAGACTTGCATAGGGTTGCATTGTAAAAAGGTTGATCTAAAAAAAAGGGTAAGATCCGAATGCATTCGAGTTCCTGTTTTCACCTGAATCCAATAGTGCTATGTAAGGGGTGTGGAGGGTGGGGAGGAAATAGAATAGTCAATATGCATAATTGTGTAGAGTTTGGAAGTTGAAATTTTGGATTTTGTTTGGGTTCCCGCTCCTTTATCCTGTGGTGACAGCGTTTTGTTTTTCTCAGGTGTCTGACGTAGAGGTGGTGAATTACGCCTTTACAACCTTCGGCAAAGCGCTGATCAAGAAACAGCAGTTGCATCCCGATACATTTGTTCAGCTTGCTCTCCAGCTGGCGTACTATAAACGTCACGGACAGTAAGAAAAGTTATCTAGCCAAAATTTGATCGCGTGGAATCTAATAACTTTGAATATGTTGATTCCTAAATGAAGTAAATTGTGGAGCAGATCCTTAGTAGCTCACCCAAAAATACCTATACGAGAGAGTGTGCAGCCACTTTGAATGAAGCCTGAAATACAATAGGATGCTTCAAAAGCATTCGGACCTCCTAAGCAAAGTGGGATGTCCCTGAAGGATTTTGAGGCTCTGTAGGAGACATCAGGGCTTTGACTACTGCCTTGGTGTACGTGCTTTTAAAGCAGTCGCAGTAGGAACTGCTCTGAAAGTCAGGGTAGTCATCAAAGGGTGGAAATAAAGTAGGTGCACCCCCAAAATAGCTGCCAATGGGGCAAGGCCCCTCACACACCAAGGAGCCAGAGAGGATTAGGATCCTTTGTGAGGGGTGTGTTTTATCCCCAATCCCAGCCATTTTTGACGGTGTCAGTCAGTATTCCACTGTGATACCTTGCTCCCCAGTCACAGCTACATTAAAATATTGGCTGCTTGAATTGGTTTTTTTGTTGGGAAGCAATCACTTCACCACCAAGAAAGGCTTGCGTAAAAGTGCCGGCAGGGAGATTGGAAGATTGGGCGGTTGCACCAGCAAAATCCAGTCCAGCACTCCTGACAGAGCTCCTGCACAGAGCTCACACGCAAACACACTGTGTTGATGGCTTGAACAGTCCCATTACCTTCATGTTTCTGGATCTGTTAGTCTGATTGGTTCTTTCATATATGGGTTTCTGCTAAAACATTGAATCGGTAGGATCTTTAATATACCCTCACTACACCTCCAGTAACCTCTCTTCCACCCCCATTATTTGCACACTCCATCGACCAATGATAAATGCAGATGGTCACTCATCATTTAATCATTTAGAGTGGCTTGCATGTAGCCATGCTGGAAATGTTGTGCTAAGAGCAAGGAATTTTTTTTGCCACTGTCTTTACCTGTGCCTATGTGATAACCCCCACATCTCCCAATAGCCGTGCTGCATATGACCAACTTTGCAGGAGTTGGTCCACACCTGGGTTCAAATACTCTCTCTGTCTTGAAGCAGAGTGGGTGGCCTGTTAGTCTCAACTATCCAACTTGAGAGTTGCTTTGAAGATCAAAGGAAAGTGGTGAAACGGTGTAATCCACCATAAGCTACTTAGAGAAAGGGTGAGGCAGAAATATAATAAATAAACGAATGCACTGTGATTACGCTACTGCTTTTAAAGGTTCACATGCATTCACCTTCTGTTCTTGCCCTTGAAAATGGGGAAAATCTTACTTTACTTACGTTAGCTAAAAATACAAAATGAATAAGCTTTCCAATTTGCCTGTCTCCTTTTACTCCCCCCTACTTCCTTAAAACATGCTTGCACAATTGGATACTTTCTCATTCAAGTGGAAAGGGAGCTTCTTTTTTTGTAATTGTCCTAACATTCTTTTCTAGCCCAGGTTGCTGCTATGAATCTGCTATGACCAGACGTTTTTACCATGGCCGGACAGAGACTATGAGACCGTGCACCATGGAAGCTGTTGAATGGTGCAAATCCATGGTAGATCCAGCCTTTACTGTAAGCATTGATAACGATAAGTACTTTAGGATTTCCAATTCTGCATGCTTTGTGTTGTCGCTGTGAAAAGTAGCCGGGATGTGGGAATCAAGGCTGTCTATTCAAGCCTTTTTGTAATAAAGGTTCAAATCCAGTGGATACATAAGCCCTTATGTTCCTTTGGTAGTTAAATCTTGGTTGCTGCCTCATACAGCCCATTCACCAGCTTTCTTCATGGCAGAGAGTACAGATAACTAAAGCAATCATATTATGTAACACACACAACTTGAGACCTAAGACAGAACCCATTCACCATGGGAGATGTAGCCATTTGTTGTTGTTTTTAAAATGCAGAACTATATTGTTTCACTGGAATTTGATTTCCTTGTTTTTAAGTGGGGCAGCGATAGATCTCTCTCCTGCGGTTTGCTATCAAGTGGTAAGAATTAGAAATCTGGCAGAGAAATAAGGCGGCCATCTCACTTCTACCATTTTTTGGGTCTTCCTTTCTTCCTCCTGCTTTTCAGTCTGTTCACTGTACTGTTGTGTTTTGCTTGCATTGGAGCTCTGGATTCATCCACTATTAACTGAACGGTTTGGGCACTTGGAAGCTAGGATTTCACATTGCAGAAATCCCACAGGGCTCTGTTCAGGTTTCTCACACCACAGGATTGTTGCAAAACAAACAGCCAGAGATGGTGTAATAAAGCTTATCCCTTGTTACAGGGCTCATTCGGTGCCCATTTTAGTTTGGCTCTTGCAGTTTTGCTGCGGTCACTTTCCATTGCCATTTTGAAGGGTCTTTTCCACATTTATTCACTGGGCTGTTTCGGGAAACATAAAACAAGGTTTTGTTCATTTAGCATATATGGATATTTAAGCATTATCTGGTCCCATTGAGGAAAACAAGCAAATTCAGAGATCCACTCTGATGGTTAGCTAGTTCATCTTGAAAGGAAACAGTTCGGGGAGAGGAGGAGGTGAAGCTGATCTCTCAGCTGAGTAAATGCGATGGACCTGCCTTCCCATCTCTCCCTCTGTTGCAGCCATAGGAAATGGCAGTTAAGGGGAGAGGAGGAGGGAAACACCAGCTCATCTGTCTGCTATGCCAATGGAGCGGGTCCTGCTGTCCTTAAGCATAGCTATAATGGATAGCAAGGAAGCAGGCATAAGGTATGGATCAGGTGGTGTGCTGCATTTTCTTTTTTGTAGTGCTTTTTGAGCAAATGCCACCTGGATAAGACCTCCGTGACTTGACTGAGTGCACGTACTGATAATTAATAAAACAATGCATGCTCACTGTTTGTGTATGGATTTGCCTTTCATCTCTGCAGGACACGGGTATAAAAAGGTAGTGACTCCCTCCTGCTGGCTGATGTATTGTTAAATAGACAAGTGCCCTAAGTTGTTGCATTAACTCTAAAAGTGTTCGTTTTGCCCGGGGATTGCAGGTCATAAACGGCGACAAGGAAGAATTTCAGTTGGCTTAGAGGGGAACAGCAGGGATGTACGATTTTTCCTCCAGCGTCTTGCTTGAGGGAGGAGTCTTCAGTTTTATTCTGTTGGGCGCCACAGTACGTTCAAATGATTTTTCTTTTCTTAACTTTCTGTAGCTCGGCCAACGAAAACAGCTTATGCTGAAGGCATTTGCAAAGCACAATAAACTGATGAAAGAATGCGAGAATGGAAAAGGTACTTTCCTTTTTTTGACGCTTGCCAAGGGATGTTTCTGTTGTGATAAGTTGGCATTTGTGTTCTCTCCACCTCTTTATTGCGACACGCTGCTGAACCGAGCTGAAAATGTGGCATATTAATTCACCCTTCCATGCATTGGAGGCAGCAAGCTCTGCCTCCTAAGAGCATAAACTGCTGTCATTGCTAACCTTTTAGCAAATTCATGAGCATCCATAGTAGGGGGCAAGACGGCTAGTTAACTTCCCCCATGTGCCATAATTCTCTGATGTCCAGCTTTCATTTTAAAAGGAAAGTCTCCAGGACAGGGGTAGGGAACTGCTGACCTGCAGACCAATCCTGGCCCATTAGGCCTCCTGATTTGGCCTGCTAGGCTGTTTTGGGGAAGCCACGCCTACCCACCCAAAGCTATACATCATGTATGACAGGGCTTCAAAGGAACAACTGGAAGCTTAAAATGGGCTCCTGATCACTCCACTGCTGGAGCAGAATGTAGTCCCACCTGCCCATCAGGTGATGATGGGTGGTCAGAGTGCACCTTGCTGAAGGATAGAGGAGCAGTTTGCATATAATGGAAACAGTTTCTTCCTCCCAGTGCTGCTCTTTGAAGTGACCTCATTCTGCTCCTTAAACTTCTGAAAATTGGAGATTTTTAAAGGATCAGCTTGAGGCTGCTTGAAAAAGGCCTTCAAACATTGCTGTGCTGCACTTTGATGTCCCAACAATTGGGACTGCAAAGCACAGCATCACCTGACATGAGAGACAGCAGATTTACCCATTGGGAAACAGGAGTTGACCTGGAATGTATGTTAATCGGAGGCCAGGCCTACAGTACTTAGGCCTTGTCACCATCCAGACCCCGTATTTATCAGAAATTGTTGACCAGTTCTTCTGTGCTAATTTGCCTATTTTCTTTGTGGTATTTATCACACACACACCATTGAGAAATCCCTGCAGATGGCCATAAGCATAATCCCCAATCCATTTTGGCCACTGCTCCTGCTGTAATCAGGAGGCCAATAGGCTGAACCAATTAAAGATTGCCAAAGTGCTTGAACTATACTTCTCCCACCGCAGGTCTCTTGCACAGAGAGCTGTGAAAATCTACAGCTGGCTATTGAGACAAGCAGCGAGTAAGAAATCCGTACAGTACATCTAAACCACATGGGATTATTATTTCTCTTTACAGGATTTGACCGTCATCTTTTAGGTCTCCTGCTTCTGTCAAAGGAGCACAGCCTTCCTATGCCAGAACTCTTCTCAGATCCTGCTTTCTCGAGAAGGTACCTTTTAAAATGCTATGCCTTTGTCTGACAGTTGGGAGTGGGGTAAAGATAAAGGTAAAGGTACCCCTGACCATTAGGTCCAGTCACGGACGACTCTGGGGTTGCACGCTCATCTCGCTCTATAAGCCAAGGGAGAAGGCATTTGTCCGCAGACAGCTTCCGGGTCATGTGGGTCATGTGGCCAGCATGACTAAGCCACTTCTGGCGAACCAGAGTAGCGCACGGAAACGCCGTTTACCTTCCCGCCGGAGTGGTACCTATTTATCTACTTGCACTTTGACATGTTTTTGAACTGCTAGGTGGGCAGGAGCAGGGACTGAGCAACGGGAGCTCACCCCGTCGCGGGGATTCGAACCGCCGACCTTCTGATCGGCAAGTCCTAGGCTCTGTGGTTTAAACCACAGCGCCACCCGCGTCCCTTTGGGAGTGTGGGGCACCTCAGCAAATCTCGCACCAAATCCCAGCGTGGCAGATTTGTCAGGGTTGACTGGGTGGAAACAGGATGAGTAACAGCCCACTATAGCAGCTGATAATGTTGCCTTGATGACAAGGCCAACTGCTTGTAGGCTGAGCAGTCCCAGATGCTCCAGGAGAGCCTGGAGAACAGCTGTGTAACTTGCAGTGCTCCCTTTAAAAATGTCCTTACCTGGTGCTTTCTTGAGTCTTTGCTGCTGGACCAGGAAGGATGCAGACAAAGAGAGGACTTCCACCCACCTTCCAGCTAGTTCCTCCTATTCCTTTGCTTTGCAATTCCCATTATCTCCAGGTAGGACTGGGAATGATTCCTATGAGCTGGGATAGCTCAGTTGGTGGAGCATGACGCCCTTAATCTCAGGGCTGTGGGTTCGAGCCCCACATTAGGCAGAAGATTCCTGCATTGCAGGGGGTTGGACTGCAATGACCCCTGTGGTCCCTTCCAGCTCTTTCTCTGTGAAGCCCCTGCAGAGCTGTTGCCAGTCAGTGTAGACAACCCTGAGCTAGATGGACCAACCGTCTGACCTACGGCAACCTCTCTTAATGCTTTGATGTTGATGAGAGCGCATTCACTTCCTCTGGTGTAGCTTGCTAAGGATCAAAGGGAAAGCAGCCCCGTGTGTTTGTTTGATTCTGGATGGAAACGATTCGTTCTGCAATCATGTTTCTTTTTAATTCGCAGCGGGGGAGGTGGAAACTTTGTGCTTTCGACGAGCCTTGTCGGCTACACGAGAATCGGGGGAGCTGTGGTTCCAATGGTGCACCAGGGCTACGGCTTTTTCTACAGAATTAGAGACGACAGGTGAGGATGCTCTTAGCCCCAACTCAACAACTTAAACCTTCTCTCTGCGTTTCTCTCTGTGTGCATCATCAGTGAAAGTATCAGCCCTGGCAGTATTTCAGTAGGCAAACCAGAAATCACAGGCTGCCCTCACAGCCAGCACTTAACTGGTTTTTATTTTTGTCAAATAAAAAGGAGGGGTTGAGGAAGAATGTAGGGTTGCTCCTTTTTTTTTTTTTTTTGACCAAAGTTTTTGAGCTTTCTTTTTTTTGGGGGGGTGAGTTTTACCCATAGTTGTTGAACTTTTTTACCAAATCTCAAAAAAGACGTTTTTTGCTATTACAGTGGTACCTCGGGTTAAGTAATTAATTCATTCCGGAGGTCCGTTCTTAACCTGAAACTGTTCTTAACCTGAAGCACCACTTTAGCTAATGGGGCCTCCTGCTGCTGCCACGCCACCAGAGCACAATTTCTGTTCTCATCCTGAAGCAAAGTTCTTAACCTGAGGTACTGTTTCTGGGTTAGTGGAATCTGTAACCTGAAGCGTATGTAACCCGAGGTACCACTGTATTTAGGAAAAATCAGCAGCAGCAAAAATGACACTGCCGACATGGGTTGCCATATGTCCAGATTTTCCCAGACATTTTCCCAATTTCTGCCCAGACACTGCTTCAGACTAGAGTCTTCTGTTGTATGTCTTGGAATTTCTGAATGTATGGCAACCCTAAAGAATGAGAGGGGGAAATGTCCTTCAAGGGGGGGAAACAAGGGTGAATGAGAAGTACAACAAGCATCTCAAGGAGAACTCTTGGTTGCTATTTCTGTTCCTGTCCTGGTGATACTGCAATATTTTCATTGCTGTGAAATACTAGTATTGCCATGGTATTCATTATGATTCTGAATGTGCTAGTAGAGAAAGATAACTGATTCTGGATTCACAGTTGACTTCGTAATATAAAAGTGACCTAGTGTGATTCACTAGATAGCGTGTTTGAGCTGGGAGGGCGGGATACAGGGGAAAGTGCTCCCCCGAGATACTAAGAGGTCCAGTCAGAACTGGTGCTTTGAATCGGGCCTGGAGATCCAGACATTTTAGCTAAGGGTGTAAACGGTTCCTCCATACTTATACCCTTTACATTGAAGCCATTGAATACTAGTATTCAGAATTGCTGTGTATAGTATGTCGCCTTGTCAAATCACAATGGCATTATCTGGGTGCTCAGCAGCTTCATCCATATGTGACTGAACATCTGTGTTGATTTTTAGAATGCTATTTATCTAAACAATTGGTTTTTTTAACATTTCCACTGATAGGATTGTTGTGGCCTGCACCACCTGGAAGTCATGTCCAGAGACGGATGCAGAAAATCTGTGTCAAATTCTGTTCCAGTGTTTACAGGACATGGTCAAGTTAATGAGCACAGCCCAGCTGTAGAGAAGAAGCTGACACTATATAGTGCCTTTAATGCTTTGTGCAATTACTATGTCTGTGTATCCTGTACACTTGAGGAAGGAAAGTTTAAGCCAAGAGGAGTGTTTACAACTAGGTAAGCTACTTTCTGGTTGAGCATAGGCAGAGAGAATGCAAAACTCTTCTTTTTTATTATGACCTTTACTGCAATAACAATGCAATAGTTTTCCTTGAATAATGTTGCAACAGCAATGCAAAATGACAAACTCTTAGTAGAAACTATGCAATATTAAACCAAGCCTCAGCAATGCAAAAACATGAGCAAATCAGTGGTAGTTCAGAAAATGGTACACATGCTCTGTGCCTTTGCAAGGATTATGAATCATGATTCCTTTCAAGACAGGATGATTATCATGGCTCTTAGAATTTTTAGCTTCTAAAGCAGGGGTGGGTAAGCTTTTCTGGACCATGGGCAAAAAAAAATCAGCCTTGGCCAGCCTTACATGAGCTGCTTGCCAGCAGTGGATATGCGCACACACACACACACACACACACCACTTGCCACACTCTCAGGCAGGTAAGCACCCAGCTGCTCATCAAATTATCAGTCTAGTGATGGCGGATGATTTGGACCCCAATACTATTTCTACCTTAAAAAAAAGAATGGCAGAAAAACTTGGTTTGGGGTTGGGTAATCCCCCCCCCCCCCCCCCGCTGGCCGTTAGTCACCCCTGGTGTAAAGTAATCACGATTGGGATTATTGCTTTATGTAATTATTCACTACTGTCCTATTTTCTGTGATGGGATCTTTGCAACTCAAAACCCACCACTTTAAAAAAGGCTTTTGAATAGAATGATCATGTGCGAAACTTGTTTTAAAATTTTGCTTTTATTTTCCAAACCAAGAATATTAAATGAAACTGTACTTGAAAGCTTGCAAATATATATATATATATATATAAGGTGATTATTAGAAAGTATGTATACCACTGTTGCTTCACGCGTATAGCTCCGCAAAATTCTCAGGACTTCCTTAGCATTTTAAAACGAAGCACCCCCTCATAATTTTATCAATTATGTAATTTCTTCTCTTTGGAATAAAACCACATCAAAGACAGTTTTGGCTTGATTAATCTGTATGTACATATACACACTTCATTGTGAAGAAGGCAGGCAGGCTCCTGTCAAACTTCCCTAACCCATATCGTGCTTAAATTCTTCAGAACACTTATATGTTTTAAAGATAAATATCCGCATTCTCTTTATACCCCATTCTTCCACAAGAAACTACCCAATGCAGCTGTCAGTTAATGAAAAGCAATATAAAAAAGTGGTAAACTGTAAAATCCTGTCATTTATGCCAAAATGGATATTGTGGACCTGGAAAAGATGCAGAGAGAAGCAACCGAAATGATCAAGGAGCTGGAGCAACTTGGATTCCGATTAAACATCAGGAAGAACTTTCTGGCGGGAAGAGTTGTTCAACAGTATAACTGTCTCCCTCAGAGGTGGTGGAGTGTCCGCCTTTGGAGGTTTTTAAGCAGAGGTTGGATGGCCATCTGTCATAGATTCTTTAGTTGAGATTCTGCACTGCAGGGGGTAGGACTAGATGACTTTTGAGGTCCGTTCCCTGATTCTATGAAAGGTGACAACATTTGGGGGCTTTAGCTTAGAAGAAAAAGTGGGTAGGAAGGGATATATTTTGTGTATAAAAATTAGGCATGTTCTGGAGAAAGTGGACAGAAAAGTTCTCCCAGTAATACTAGAAGCTGGAGTCCTCTACTAAAGAACAGAATGGAGTTATTCATGCAGCTCTTAGTTTAACTGCAGTATTTGTTGCCACAGAGTGTAGCAATGTCCACCAAAGCTTAAAAAGGCTCTTTCCCACAGGCAGTTGCATTTGACTGGCCCATTTGTGGGGAGGGGGACAGTCTAGCTAGGTCGGGCTCTATGGTCTTCTTCAGGAGTCTCAAATGAAAACAGCCACACAAGTAGATTTGCTTCCCAGTATGTTGTGAGGAAGCGATAAAGAAACGTGCTTAATGCTGCTTCATTAAAAAACAACCAGTGGAGTGAGGTTTCCACGGCAGCCATCCCAAGGTCAATCCAGGAAGTTTGACAATCGCCAACTGAGACTTCATAAAAATCCTTTTCACTGAGAATCCAAAATAGTTGGCTTTGAGAGTACTCACCAATGTTGCTCCGGCACAATTGTCCATTTTTAAATTAGTAGATAATAGTTGGTCTTACTTCAATTAGCCATTCAGATGTTGACATATCTTCTTGGTCTGTAGTTCTGGCTTCCAGGGTGCAAAGAAAGGGAGGGCTTGTCTCGTTCTTTCACTTTCAGGTGTGTGTATTTTTAAGCAAAGTCCTTGGAGTGATCAAACAACTGTAACTTTTGAAAAGGACAGCAAACATGTCTCTAGACAGCTGAGAACAAAAGGTAAGCACACCCTAGTGTATAAAATGGATGGAGATAGGAAAAGCTTCGGTTTGAGAAGCCTTGCTGCAATTCAGCCTATCCGCCAATACTGGTTTATTTTGTTTAATATGGTGATGATACAAGTAGTGCCTCTTGCAATCGCCATCTCAAGAAGTGAATTCAGCTTTAGCAATATTCTGCTTTTGTTTTAATTTATGCAGGGGCTGATCCTGCCTGAACATTGACTAGAGCGTAATAGATTCCTTTTGCAGCCAGTAGCTGTTGATGTGTTCCTTGTTCTTTGACTTTCCCATTCTGGATCACTGCTATACTGTCCGCGTTCTGCACTGTTGATAAGCGATGAGCTATTACAATGCAGGTGCGGCCTTGCCTGGCTTTATCCAGAGCCTCTTGGACAACCTGTTGAAAACAGAAAATTATTTTCAGTGAATGGGAAACAGAAATAGAAAGGGTTTACTTGAGATTCAAGTAGTGAACAATATTTTTTAAATAAAGGAATTTCACCACAATGAGGAAATTGTGTAAGCTTTCATAACCGAACATTTTTATAAATGCATCACTGGAAAAACAATGAGCAACCATAGTAATAATGAAGAACCTCCAACCGCCTTAGATCATAACAAATCATGGCCAGGACTGGGGAACCAGGGGCAGATTTGGGGATGGTGCAGAGTATTTGCAAGCAGAGTAGAGGGGGGGGGGAAAGGCCTGTTGTGCAATGGGACATTATTCCACCTGCCCTTTTAGTTGAATACCAGAGTGTTACAAGACATGGACGGCCCCAGCATTGTGACTCTCAACATGAATAAGGGTGACTGTCATGACTGTAACAACTACCATGGAATCTCCCTGCTGAGTACCACTGGGAAAGCCTTTGCCTCAGATTACACTCACTCGCTGACAAGATCCCGAGTCACAACATGGCTTTGGAGTTCAGAGGTAAACAATTTCCTCACTGCACTGGCTGCAGGAGAAATGCGGAGAGCAGAGACGCCTTCATAGACCTGGCGAAGGCATTTGATCTCATCAGCTGTAAAAGACTCTTCACAACTAGATAGGGTGTCCGCCTAAGCTCAACAAGATGACAGTGTCCTTCCATGAGAACATGCAGGAGTGAGATACTGGCCGACCAACTCTGTGTTACAAAGATGTTTGCAAACATGACACAAAGGCTGGTAGGTCAACACCGCCCTGTGGGAAACTCTTGCAGATGCAGCGCCTGGAGACAGTCAAGATGTGTATTCATGGCAGGGACCAGAGGAGGAATGACTGCTGGGAGGAGTGCAGAGAGAAGAAACCCTGTGGTGCAGCTGCAGGATGCTCCAGTTGCAAGAAAACATGTCTCTCCTGCATCAGTCTCTACAGCCACAACAGGTGCTGTAACCTTCCAACAGTTCGATTTCACCCCCAAAGGCACACTCCTCCATTGTCTTCCAAGAGAGACAGATGCCAACCAAATGCCAACTGCCCAGGGTATTGGCCTGCTAGCCCCTCTCTAGTTCTTAAAGGTAAAGGGACCCTTGACCATTAGGTCCTGTCGCGGACGACTCTGGGGTTGCAGCACTCATCTTGCTTTATTGGCCTAGGGAGCTGGCATACAGCTTCCGGGTCATGTGGCCAGCATGACTAAGCTGCTTCTGGCGAACAGAACAGCGCACGGAAATGCCATTTACCTTCCCGCCAGAATGGTACCTATTTATCTACTTGCACTTTGCTTTTGAACTTCTAGGTTGGCAGTTCTTAGGTAGCCACAACTGAGGTGGTATAACATACAGGTTAAGAGGCTGAGCTATAAATTTGGCCTTAAGCAAGGTGATGTCCCTCCCAATTTCCCGCCTCTGCTATAGGAGATAATGCTAACTTAGCTTGCAGGCTTGTTGCCAGCATGACAATATGCAAGACACTTTGAATACTTCAAAGTGCTACTATACAAATAACTATTGTCCACCCGCCCAGTTAGGATAGAACTGTTGCAGAGCAGACCCGGGTATGCTATAAAGTGAAACCATGATGACTAGCAACCCATGCCTTTAATGCACCCAATAATTACAAACATTTACCTTTTCACTTTCAGTATCAAGTGCAGAGGTTGCTTCATCCAGTAGCAGAATTCTTGGCTGGCGGATGAGAGCACGAGCAATAGCAATGCGCTGTTTTTGACCCCCAGAGAGCTGAGTCCCTTTGTCACCTACAGGAGTGTTGTATTTCTATGTGCAAAAAATAGACAATCCAATAAAGACAGGTTTATATTAACATTATACTTCTATCTATCTCAGCCCCATTAGATATACCAGCAACATAATAGGACTTTAGTTTTATTTTTTGTTCCTAGTTCTCCAATCAACATTTCCGAAGTGTGAGTGTGTATGTACATACATGCAGCAGGCTCGTCTTATGTTCTTATGCACTTACATCTGGTAAGCTATCAATGAAGGCATGGATGTTGGCTGCTTTGGCTACTTCAACGATCTCATCAAAGGACACCTCTCTGCTGTTATCTCCATAGGCAATGTTCTCTGCAATAGTGCAGTCAAACAGGACCGGTTCTTGGGAGACAATTCCAATCTGGGATCGCAGCCACTGGACATTTAACTGCGTTGCACCGTTGCCATCCAGTAGCTGGAAAAAGAAGACTTGGTCAGTTTTATGAAGCAGGGTACTGTTAATGAACATTTCTGTTACACATAGTGCACAGTTAACAAGTTGTTTAAAAGTACTGTCTGATGTTTCAAGCACTATTCCAATTCATTTTGATGACGTATGAAAACTTGAGAGTTTAGGTAAGACTTAGGCTGCAGTCCTAACCATGTCTGCTCATTCAGGTAAGCAGGATTATACAACCTTTGAACCAGGAAAGCCATGGTTTAAATATCATCTTGTCATGGAATTCACCAGGTGGCAGTAGGTCAGTGATTAGGAAATCTTTGGCTCTTCAGATACTGTTAAACTGCAGCCTGCATCATCCCTGACCATTGACCATGTTGTCTGGGCCTGATGGGAGTTGTCCTACAGTCTCGGGGGTGGGGTGGGGTGGGGGACACAGGTTACAACCCCACCTAAAGCAAATCATTCTCTCTGGGTCCAACGACAAGTGACATGAGAGTTCCAAGCAGGGTTGAAACTGCTTTTTGCAGTACCGGCTGCAGCCTGGAGGAGGAGCAGAGAGACTGAGGAGCCATTGCAGAGTAGAGGTGACTGCCTAACTCTCAGCCCAGATTCAGAGAGAGCTGCCTGCTTTTTGTAACAGAAAAAAATATGTCAATCCAAAAATGAAAACAGGGAGGCAGAACATCTGTCTAAAAAATGCTGGCGGTATGCCCTGTGGAGGACCTTAAGGTCCACAAATGACAACATTTTGGAGGTCCCAAGTCATAAGGTGGTTAAATTGGTCTCAACTAGGGCCAGGGCCTTTTCAGTACTGGCCCCGACTTGGTGGAACACTCTGTCACAAGAGACTAGGGCCCTGCGGGACTTGACATCATTCCGCAGGGCCTGCAAGACAGAGCTGTTCCGCCTGGCCTTTGGTTTGGACTCAGTCTGACCCTTATATTTCCCTCCCCTTATGGTTTTGATCTATGAGCTACTTTTAAAATGAGGCTGCATTTTAAATTGCATTTTAACCTGTTTTTTAAATTGGTTTCCCCCTCCATTATGTTTCTACTGTAATTTTACTGGTGTTAGCTGCCATGAACCCGGCTCTGGCCGGGGAGGGCGAGGTATAAATAATTTATTATTATTATTATTCTTGTTGTTGTTGTTATTTTATTACTACTACTACTATGCATTTAGAGCACCTTGCAGTGTGTTAATGCATTAGAAATATTTCACAGATAGGTCACATACACACCATACATTTTAAAACACTCATATCACTTTAACAGTCAAAGCTTCCGCAAACAATCCTGGGAACCGTAGTTTACTCCCTCACCAAGTTACAATTCCCAGCACCCTTCACAAACTACAGTTCTCATGTACCTCCAATGTATGGTTTGTATGCAGCCCCAAACTTTGCCCCATTTTGCAAGTGAAAAGGTGCATCCCTGGCATGAAATTGATGAGAACGAGTGTTACATAATATATTCTGCGTTCAAATTGTGCGGAAAACTCAGCCGAGTAATTTACCACTTCTCCACTGAGGGGGTCATAGAATCTTTCAAGCAACTGGACCAGAGTGCTCTTTCCACAGCCGCTGCTTCCTACAAGAGCCAAGGTCTGCCCCTTCTCTACTGCCACACTCAGTCCTTGGAGTACCGAGACATCAGGCCGGGTAGGATAGTTGAAGGCTACTTGCTTAAATGCGACATTGCCGCCAAAGTCGTCCTGGAATGATAATAAACAAGACCTGCCTGTTAAAGGAAAAAATGGCCGAGCAATTCCATGTTAGCACCTAGTGGACTGGACATGCCAATAATAGTTGGATGAAGGGGTGGAACTGAGGCGGACACAGAGGAATTTGCAACATCCCCTTGATGTTATGAGAAAGTACAGCTCCATCTCTGCATCTCACATGGTTTTGAAAACTGGAAATCTGAGTGTTTTATAGGAGTAGTTGGGATTGAGGGCTGCTCCCTGCAAGAAGATGGGTGGCCGAAGGACAAGTACGGTATGGGAACTGTGCTTTTAAACTAAATGATATAAGTTTATTGTTCTCACTAAAGGCCATGACAAACCCATAGCACCAATAAAACAATACGGCTCATACATCTATAACATCCAAGACATAAAAGAGAAGTTACCAGAGAACCAACTAACTCAAATCCAGTTTAATTTCAGATTATACCTCGGAATCATCTTACTCATGTTTCCTTTTTTTTTTAATATTTTTTTTATTTTTTTGCAGCTATTGCATAAAGGGCCACCCTCTCTCTGTGTTACAAAGCTATTATTGTCACTCAAAAGAAATTGGACCATTTCTGCCTGGGTGTATTTGCTTGCTTGTGTGAACAAATGTTTCAGAAAGTGATCTCTTGGGCCTCTATATAATGAGTGATGTCTTCCCCCTGCAGTTGACTGCAAATACAAAGTCTGTATACGGCACTTTGTTGTAGCGGCCATCCAAGACTACAGTGGGCATTGCTTGGAGTATGGTATAGATTCACAAGCTTGTGGACAAGGGTAGCTTAGACACTGTTGATTCATGCATCAGTAACCTCATGATTAGACTACTGTAATGCACTGGGTTGGTCCATAATGTTGTGGCTTAGGTTGTTGAGCAGAGCACCTGGAGGTACATCTATTGCACCTGTGCTGTGGGAACTACACTAGCTGTCAATCAGCTACTGGGCCATGTCCAAGGTATTGTTCTTACCATATAAAGTTCTGAATCAATGTAGACCAGGCTACCTGAAAGATGGCCTGTACTGGCAGAGACCAGTAAGATCACATAGATCATCTGGGGAAATGGTACCACACTCTCCAAAATATAATTGGGCGATGACCCGAGAACAGGCGTTTTTTGCTATTACCCCCGTACTGCAAAATGTCCCTCCCTCTGCCATGCACGAAGCATCAACCATCAGTGGTTTCAGGCATCTTATAAAGACTTAATTTTTTGCCCAGGCTTTCCTTGATTCTTAAGAATGGACCCTGATTTATGTGAATGAATTTCCTGAATTTCTGTCATATTTACTTTTATATGGTTTTATATTGTTTCATTGGCATCATGTTGTATTTTCATTTTAATGGATACTGTTGCTGTATCATACATAGTGTACCCCGCTCAGAGATTTTTAAAATGTTGTGTGGTTTAGAAGTGCTTTTAAATCAATCAGTCAATAAAATACAGTAACTGACTCAGCACTGAAGGCCCCTATGTCTCCAGCATGCCCATTAAAAACTGCATCTGAGCTTGGACCATGAACAAAGCCTATATATAATTTAAACAGAGAAGGACGATGGAAATGTGTTAAGATTACATCAATAGGAAGAAAATGGCACAAATTCAAATTCTCTGGATCCATCAATGAATTGCTCATAAGCTTCAAACCCAGAAGGAAACAAACTCAAGTGCTGAAACTTTTTCTGTGTTTTGTTGGAAGGTAATATAAAAATAGGGACGCGGGTGTCGCTGTGGGTTAAACCACAGAGCCTAGGACTTGCTGATCAGAAGGTCAGCGGTTCGAATCCCCGCAATGGGGTGAGCTCCTGTTGCTTGGTCCCTGCTCCTGCCGACCTAGCAGTTCGAAAGCATGTCAAAGTGCAAGTAGATAATAGGTACTGCTCCGGCGGGAAGGTAAACGGCGTTTCCGTGCGCTGCCAGAAGCGGCTTAGTCATGCTGGCCACATGACCCGGAAGCTGTACGTCGGCTCCCTCGGCCAATAAAGCGAGATGAGTGCCGCAACCCCAGAGTTGGCCACAACTGGACCTAATGGTCAGGGGTCCCTTTACCCTTTACCTTTAATATAAAAATGCCCAGGGATCAACTTACAGGCTTGTGTCCTTCAACACTGTAATTGTCTATTAAGGGTACAGTCTCAAACAGCTGGAACATGTGAGCTGCAGATATCTTCGCTTTGGCATAGTCTGGTGTAAATGAAGCTGTCTGTCCTAGCGCCATGGCACCGAAGACAATGCATGAGAATACCCTAGAAGTGCAAACAATTTTTTACTAATAATAATAACAGTTTTAAAATTTCACCCTGCTTCCATTTTTGTAATGCATTTATTTTGATCTCTCTGATGAAGGTTACATGCAACAAGGGGAACAAGACTTTGCCCCTTTACCAATGCACTTGTCCTAGGTTCAACTATCGGCACTTCCCATTAGAAGACGTAGATAGCAGGTGATGTGAAAGTCCTCTGCCTAAGACCCCAGGGAGTCTTTGCAAGTCAAAATAGACAATTTTACACCAGATTAGGTGCCTGACCCATGACCCTCTAGATGATGAGAGATTACAAATTGTCCCAGACTGTTGGCCATGATGGCTGGGGCTGATGGGAATTGGAGTCCAACAATCTAGAGGTCCACAGGTTGGCCACCCCTGGCCTAACGGGCCAGTAATCTGACATACATATGTAAAACCCAGCATGTGGACCTCCAAAGAAACCATTAATTCCCATATTGGCTTTGGGGTACAGAGTATGCATTTCAGGTCCAGGGCCATTGGATTTTAAGTGCATAGAGCCCACATGTGAACACCCAACAGGCCAGTTTTGTCTGGGGAGGCGTGAGTTCTCCTCCATCAATTGCACAGCTTCAATTTAGGAGATAGATCCAGCCTGATCCAGCCCATATATCAGCTGAGAATGCAACCTCAACCCCTCGTAAAATGCAGGAAAATCCACACCTTTATTACTGCTGATTTCATGATAGTTTGTTTCTTTTAAACCCCAATAAAAAAAAGAAAAGCAGCAGAGATCTTACAAGAAAACGTTCTTAGAATCCATGTATTCCCCTTCCACAAGGAAGGCACCAAATTGAAAACAAGCGGCGTAGGTGAAGTACATTATGCCTTGGGAAACGCCATAAGTTAGTCCGTGGATATGCGCTTTCTTTAAGGAATTCCTGTAACAAGAGATGAAGGATGTTTTGCTTATTTGTGTGTTGATTCACACATTACGGCCATCTCAATATAAAACATGGGAAGCTCTGTATGAGATGCAACAGCCTATAATATGAAGAAGAAGAGAAGAGTTTGGATTTGATATCCCGCTTTATCACTACCCGAAGGAGTCTCAAAGCGGCTAACAATCTCCTTTCCCTTCCTCCCCCACAACAAACATTCTGTGAGGTGAGTGGGGCTGAGAGACTTCAGAGAACTGTGAGTAGCCCAAGGTCACCCAGCAGCTGCATGTGGAGGAGCAGGGAATCGAACCCGGTTCACCAGATTACAAGTCCACTGCTCTTAACCACTACACCACGCTGGCTCTCTTATGAAAGAGCCATAAGGCCAGCTAGATGATATCCCTGCTGCAGTGCAACCACCTACCTGCCACTCACATTTCCCACAGATCACATCATTGGTTGCTGCTGGAAGGGGAGGCAGGAATATGCACAGAACTGGCATGCAAATATAGGTAAGTTGTCCTTGATACTATGGACTTGAAGAGTAGCTATGGGTTCAATATAACTTGTAAATCTTGCCCAGGACTCTGAAATTTAGCTCTGGATGTTTGCCAGTCTCAGAACTAATGACACCAGTGGTGGGGAACCTTTTTCTGGGTTCTGGGCAAATTTCCAGAGACCATATGCCAGTGAAGGTAAAGCAATAAATGTAAACGTTTTCTTCCTATAGTATTATCAGATTCAAGGACACCTTGCAGCCAGGCAAGGCTGCATCAGAGGCAAAACAGGACCAGTGAGAGGTGTGGCTTGCAGAGAGAAGGTGTGGCCTCAGAGAGTTCCAAGGGCCAGGCAGAGAGGTCTGGAGGGCCACTCTTAAAAGCCATTCATCCAGAGTAGCAGAGGTTTTCTTTTTTTCATTTGAAGCTTAAAGCTATGCAAGCAGCAGTTAAGAATTGAATTAGTAGTTCAGTATCTTATAATAAAACAATGATTTGAATAAGATTTTAACAATATATAATTATTTGGACAAATGGCCGTTCAGATCCTGCAATTGTCTTAATTTTCTTTGTAACAGATATCCAAAAAGTCTTTGTTCCAAGGCACAACCAGGAGCTCTAAAATGCATCTGCCTTAGGAAGACTGTATCTCCAAAAACTGTACAAGACCTGAGTAGGTTCTATACAATTTGACGAGATTGCTCATAACTCTGAGAGCAGTTTCAGCAACCCTTCCCTTGCACCAAATGGGCAGCTGTATTTCTCAAGGGTAGCACCTGAGAGGCAAAGGCAAGACTGCTTGGGCACCACTTGAACAAGCCACCAGAAGGAACTCATGACAAAACATTTGGGATTGGATCCAGGCTGAGTCATACTTAGAGAAGAGTGAATGAGCTCTTAGGCATGACTAAGACTGCAACCTAAACCATTTTGCTTGGAAGCTGTGGGTTAAACCTCAGCACCTAGGACTTGCCGATCGCATGGTCGGCGGTTCAAATCCCCGCGGCGGGGTGCGCTCCCGCCATTCGGTCCCAGCGCCTGCCAACCTAGCAGTTCAAAAGCACCCCCGGGTGCAAGTAGATAAATAGGGACCGCTTACCAGCGGGAAGGTAAACAGCGTTCTGTGTGCTGCGCTGGCTCGCCAGATGCAGCTTGTCACGCTGGCCACGTGACCCGGAAGTGTCTCCGGACAGCGCTGGCTCCCGGCCTATAGAGTGAGATGAGCACACAACCCTAGAGTCTGTCAAGACTGGCCCGTACGGGCAGGGGTACCTTTACCTTTACCTTTAAGCCCCACCATACTCAACAGGACTAACTTCCGAGAAGGCATGGTTAGGACTGCAGTGTAAGTCTGGCTCAAACTTGAGAAGTAATTGTCCTGAGAATTAAGAAGTTGGATGAAGACTTAACAGCAACATCCTAGGCATGTCATTTCAAGAGATGATCAAAACGTTCCCTGTCTGTTACCTGTATGGTCCTTGCAGACTGTCTCCATACTTTTGTTCAAATTTTATTTCCTGAGTAAGGGAAACAACCGTTCGGATATTCCCTATTGCTTCTGTTGCAATCTGTAAGAGAGAGAAACACACTGGCTAGTGGGAAAGCAACAAGTTTCCCCAAGTATGACTTTTCTTGAGGAAAGAGCTCTAAAGAGCAAAACACCAGCACACTCTTACAGGGTGGCTCTCCACTGATTCTAAAGTGCTCCAGGCTGAGCTTCCAGGAGCAGTTACAGGCACCAGTGCATAATTGTTTCCAAGAACCAGTCACAGCCCAATAAGTCTACTATAGTGGGACGTCTTCTCTTTGCTCAAAATGGCACTCTGATCCCTGCAGAAGGGAGAGGGTATGGAAAGTGCAGGATCCTCTCACTTTCTTTCTGCCTCTTCTTTGGTTTTCAGTCTCATGAAGGTCAGACACCATCCTCTTGTTTCTCAGCACCCCTGTTTTGGTTCTAATTCTGGTGGCACTCAACCAGCTGTGTTTGCTGTCAGAGGGAATGGTTTAGCAGATACTTACCTTCCCTGCACCTTCAAGTTCCTTCTTATCTTTCCTGGCATGTCCAGCCAACATTCTCATTTCAATGAGTCCTCCAATGGCAACGAGTGGCACAACAGCCAGGATGACGAGGGTCAGCTGCCAGCCATACACCAATGATATAATTATTCCTGTCCCAAGGTTAGCAATGTTTTGGGCAAGCATGCCTAGCCTGGCCCCTGTAGCCTGAATGAAGGAGGGGAAAACAAAATGTATTAATTGGGGGGGGGGGGTGTTCCTGATAGCTGAACATCTCTCTGTGGCCTTTGGAGTACAACGCCTCCCAGAGTTTGTGAACATGCCATTCCTCAGCTAGTAGGACAAGGCAGAACAGTACAACAGGTTTTTTCCATTGAGAAGAATGGAACAGAGGGAGAATGTAGGGCAAATTGCTGCACACTTACTGAAGACGAAGTATCTTTGGGTACAGAAAGTTGTTCTGACAATCTGATGCAAGGTTAGAATATTTGCTGCCCACTGTCTCCAAAATAGTCTGTTTGTATATTTGTAACAAAACCTTGAGCCACACACTGTATCTCAGACTAACCTACCTCACAGGGCTTTTGGGAGGATAAAATGGTGGGTGGGAGGGAGGGTGGGAAACCATGTATGCTGCCCTGAGCTTCTTGGAGAAAGCATATAAATGGAGTAAATAAGTTAAGTAAATATTACAGAAACCCCATAGTATCTCTCATCCAAAGGCTTCATCATACCCTTCAGTGCTGCCCCTGAAACTATGCATTGCTCTGTGAAGGGCTAAGGAAGCATGTGGCAAAAAAATTTTTTCCGAAACTTTGACCTAGAAGCAAGAGGTGAGTGGAGAAACTTGGCAGAAGCTGGTTTCTCTAAATCAGCGATGGAAAACCTAGGAACCTCCATATGTTGTTAAATTACACCTCCCATTATCTTTGATCACTAGTCATGCTGGCTGGAGCCAATGGGGGTTGAAGCGAGAAGAGGAATACTCCGAGGAGAGTGAGATTCAGGCTACTTCCTTGTTGGGGGTGGGGGAAGAGAACTGCCAGGCACTTATTCATCACCCTTCCTTATTCATCTGGAGGACACAGTCCTGCTATCCTTCTCTAACTCAGAGAATGTGTCCCTGCAATACTATTATATCCCCAATCACAGAGAGTTTTCTGTAGCTGCCTTAGGAAAAGAAAGCTTACGCCAGAAGGGCCACTTTGGAGCTGTCCAGGGTATGTTCTCGTATTGTTCCCCTGCTTCCCTCAAGAGCTTTGCTAGAACTGGACAGCCCACCCAACTCTAAGTCAAGTTCAACATCTCAGAAGTGATGCCTATGTCTAGGGTTTCTGCAAAACTACTTCACAGTTATTGATAAACTTTCCAACTGCGCAAGAACCCAACCAAGTTGCCTTTGAGTGCAGCCTATTTAAGCCTCTCGCTTTAGTCATCTCTCGTTGGCAGTGTCTTTGAAATACACAACTGGAAATGACTAAAATATGGTTTAGTGCCACGTACAAACTTAGTTAGCACGTGGAACTCAGGCGTGAGAGTTGCACTGGATAGCCTACAACACAACTACGTAGAATCATCAAGAGAATGAGAATTGGGGGAAGGGTACAGATGAGTATTACTTACACCTTTTACTTCAGAAGCATCAAGAGCAAGTCTTGTAGTCAACGCTCCAGTGTTGTTTTTAGGGTCATCAAACCAAGCAATGTCCTAGAAATACACAATACATTTTAAGATACCAACACAATCCTGGCTACAATAGCATTGCAAATCCAGTTTTTGCTGTTCAGATTCTGGAGGGCAAGATATTTTAAAATATATTTAATTAGGGTCATTATTCATTTGTAGAGCTGTAGTCTTGCACCTAGTAACTAATTCCTAAAACCCAGCGAAGTCAACAGATTTCTCCCCCCCCCCCCCCGCATCTAAATAGACAGATTGGGTCAATCACGCTCTTGTGGTTTCTGAGCTCAGAGGTTTCCAAACATGTTGGCTGAGAGTAATACAACTAATTAAGGGGTTGTATGGGTAATTTTTTTCTTTGAACATCAGATCTCCATGCCATATAGACTTCTTAGTTTTGACACTTTCAAATGCAATTTACCACTGAAGAAAGTTGCTGTTCAAGGAACACAACTCAACCCCCTCCCAGATGAAAGGAACTACTTGGGTGATTTTCTTGGATGTGAACTGTAGATCAGGTGTGGGGAACCTTTTGCCCTCCAGATATTGCTGAACTACAACTCCCATTATCCCTGACCATATTACTAGGGCTGATGGGAACTGCAGCTCGGCGACACCCGAAGGGCCACATATTTCCCAAACTTGCCGTGGATTATTGGTTTATTGCAATGTTGGAAGGGGTGATGGCACAGTTCAATATTGCAACCCGTTTATTGGGCTAGCGAGAGGATAAAAACTGAAATCAGTTTTTATCCTGCGCTAGCTCAATAAAGCAAACAAATCTCTCCCTTAGAATACCTGTCTAAGCATTGCTTGGAATCCCATGTAGCGAAGCTTCAATGTAAGGATCTCTCCAGCTCTGCCAAAGGTGAAACCCTGAAAGAGAAGGTTTCCTGCATAATTGGATGCTGCCAGTTTTGATATTCTTTTTTGTATCTTTATTTTATACCTTATTATGATTTAATAATACAACAACAACAACAACAACATTTGTACCCCGCCCATCTGACTGGGTTGCCCCAGCCACTCTGGGCAGCTTACAGCATATATAAAAACATTTTTTTTTTATTTGGTTGTGTCCTTTTGGATGTTTTATTATTTATGACTACTTTTGTTATGCTTGCAATTATGTATTTTTTCATGTCGTAAGCCACCTTGAGCATGGTTTTAACAATGGAAAGGTGGCATACAAATAACATTATGTATGTATGTATGTATGTATGTATGTATGTAAGCAAACCAGAGTACAAGCAACTTAGCTACTTTGCATTCCGTATGAGAACTGTTATGTACTGAAGTTCTCACCCTGGGCCAGCAGGGGGATACTGTAGAGAGTTATGCAAATGAAGGATCGAAAGTGATGTTCAGTGATTGGATAGTTTGTGTGCAAATGAAGGATCGAAAGTGACATTCAGTGATTGGATAGTTTTAGAAAGCTGCAACAGTTACAATTGTTCTGGAGCTCTATATAAGCAGGCTGAATGCGCTCCTCAGTTCAGTTCTGTTCCAGCTTACAAAGAAAGAGCTGCTTTGGAAGAATTGCTGTGTCGTCTGATATGTTCGCCCCCAGCTTAACAAGAACAATAAGGCATTGGGAGAAAACACTCATCCTGCCAGAGGGATCAACAGGTTTGGTGTTTAGCTCCTTCCCCACTTCAGTCTCTACTCCTCTGATCTTGATCTGAGTTCCTGAATGGGCTGCAATGGGGCACTAGGCTGCAAAATTCTCTGAGCATGCCATTCGCTGAAACTACTGGAGCCGTATGGCTCAAGCGGATATTGCTTTCTTATAACAGGAAGGAAATCACAACAATGTATAATATGGGCAGAATAATTCAAAATAAGTTGTACTGGCATGACAGCCAAGCACAATGTTTTCCAAAAGCAAAATATCTATTTTCTTTGAGCCACACAAGCATTGCATCAGTTTATGATAATACTACAAGAATGTTTTTCCAGTACTTAATTTGAGATTCAAGACTCAAACTACTGACTCTTGCTGGAAATGCCAGAAGAATCCCATGACAAGTGTATGGGCCTTATTCTGTAGTTAGAAGAACTGTTCTGTATTCAGGGTCTAAATAGAATTTACAGGATATATGATGAAGCTCTCAGGCCAATGTATTAAGACCAAGGCTTCTGACATTAATAACTTGTTTTGTTTTCCGATATGCTTATGATGTAATTGTGGATATTTTGATGGAAAGCTTATGCCGGGCACACCTAAAACATTGTTGCGTTCAAATATTTTGCCTTATTTGCAGTTTTGCAATTTCAACAGCAAATCAATATTCTGCACATCTGTCAATTCAAATTTGCTACAGTGATCCTTGTGAATTTGAAAGATGTCTGATATAGTTCTGCACACAAAGGAACTAAATAATCCTCTAGAATTAAATACACTATGTTGGTCCTTCTTCAAAAATTAATCTAAATTCTTTGGATTAAAAGTAATGTCACCTCTTCAAAACAAAAACAAACAATAGTTCTGTGAGTTTCTGAATACTTTCAGGATCTGGCCAAAGCAAATGCAAATTAAGAACAAAGCAAATGCAACTTACCTGAAGGAAAAATGTTACAAAGGATATAACCCCAAGGGCTAAGAATAGCAATGAATACATATTGCTCTTTTCTCGTACTATGACTGGATCCTTCAGTGTAAAAATCTATGGAACAGTAATCTCAGTGTTAATTTTCTTTCATTAACTTATCTCTAAATACTTCACCTTGCTTACTTGTACTGAAACTCATTCTCTTAAGTGTAAAATATGCAATATAAAAAGTAAAATCATATATATCTCTAAACAGATGAATTACTGCTTATCAGTTATTAATTAGCTGGTACATATCAATAACCCTAAAAACAATGTTCTGCGTAGATATTGCTCACTTAGATTTTCTTTGCATTGTGCTGCAATGTTTCTCCTGAGACTATATAATAGTACAAGACAGACATACACTGAAAATATGTAACTAAAAAATACATCAATTCTTGCTCCCAGAAGGAGGTTTCCTGTTATTGGGCCATTGGAGAAACTGTATATTTGTGACTTCCAAGTCTGCATTTGCCATTGTTATTAGACTCTATAATAGTAGTCATGAGCAAAGACTGGCAAGCCACTTTCAAAACATGGGCAGTTAAGAGCAGGTTCCAATGATGTTCAAGAAACTGAGTTCATTTTGAGTGAGAAGGCCAATTCTGAGCTTGCCTAAATAAATGAGGAAACATTTGGTCTGAAGGCAGTTTAACACACATATTTTGGGTACACTGACTTGCGGGGGTGGGCTGTTAGGGCCAAAAGGCAGTTTGGAAATATTTTTATGAACAGGTTCAAAAAGGTAGGAGCAATCATTTGCTCAGTAATACAGGAGTACAGTGGACACTCAGGTTATGAACGTGATCCGTGCAGGAGGCACATTCGCAACCCGCAGCGTTTGCATCCCTCAGTAGCGCGTCTGCGCATGCGTGGGTTTCGATTCGGCGCTTCTGTGCATGCGCAAAGTGCGATTTAGCGCTTCTGTGCATGTGCAACCGCCGAAACCCGGAAGTAACCCGTTTTGGTACTTCCGGGTTTCGGCGCGTGCGTAACCTGAAAAAACGCAACCTGAAGCGCCTGTAACCCAAGGTATGACTGTAGTATGTAAATCTCCATGGGGACATTGAAGTGCCTAAGAGCAAGCACTACGTATTGCATTCTGTGAAAGTAATCCCCAATTGAGAATGGGAAAATCTGTCGGGTTTGGTTTCTCTCAGTTTTTGATTCCTCCAATCTTAATTTTAGTTATCCACATTTCCACATAATTTTGTGGGTGTTGATTTTTCAAGTCCTCATGAAAAATCATCAGCATTTTAGTGTGAATTTCCCCTAATAATCCCACATCTGTATACAATTTTGCCTAATAAACTCATTTCACAGACATGTGCATTTTTAGGCATACCTTATCCTACCAAATGCATTTTTGTACACATTACTTGGCTGCAACGTTGCATTCCAAATTTCAGAGATGTGTGAATTTCAAAGGATGGTTGCATTTCAGTCCTTGTGTTGTTTCCGAAACTGCAAATCAGGCACCTTTCCAACTGAATTGAAATTCACCATCATCCATACCATCAACTAATATTCACCTACATTCTGCTATAGAAGAACTGCCCCCTAATCTTCCCTCTACACAGATCCAAGTTTCTCAATGCAAATTCTCTATTGAAGGCTCAATTCTGGCCTGAATGTTTTCTACATTTAAATGTAGTTTTGGAATGGATGTCAGAGACAGAACTTACTATATACTCACCCCTATGATTTCAGAGAATATGACTGAAAACGCAGGCTGCAACGCTCCATTGATGATTGCAGAAAACGTTCCCACCAAAAAGTAAGGCCATTCGGACACATTCAACTTCATGATCTTCAGAAATGAAACTGAGGGCAAATTTTCATTCTAGAACACAGGAGAATGTTTTATGCAGTGCTCTCTGCCCTTTTCTGGCCTCCATTCATAAACTCTCTATACTTGTTGCTTTTCTTTTTACAGGAAATATGGTGTTGATCTAGAAAACGCCCATGGTTCTGTTTGCTCCCTGTAGACCTTTGTCTATTTCAATTATCACAGTCTCTCCAGGGTATTGGGCAGAGCTAATTCTTGTCACCCATTCTTAACCTGCATATTAGACTTTCTGTACACAAAACCTGTACCACTGGATTATGACCCTTCCCTTAAATGAAGAGAAATCAACTGGTGGACCCAAAGTGACTCTAGAAAAACTTTGTGATGGGTCTTCACTAAGGAAAGTCTCAAAAAAGGAGAGAGAAAGATCTTTTAACTGAGAGCGGTTACACATTTTACATTCTGCTTGCTGCTGCATGTGTTTCCTTCAACAAATTTGTAAAGTGTGAACCGCAGACACATATCCTTCAGCATTCAGGCTCAGACTTTGGGGATACCCCCACCAAATCAAGGCTGTCAGGTGTATCCACAAAAAGAGCCACTCTTATGGAGGGGAGAAACTACTGGGGATGCAGGTAAGGTAGGAGACGAGCCCTGAAAACCAAAGGGGTCATCAGAGCAAGAGCCTGCATAGAGGAACATATAAGAAAAGCAGAAGAAAATAAGATCAGCCAGGAACAGGAAGATGCAGACCTGAAAACAAGTCTTGGCACATGTCTTGGTGTACAAAGGTAAAGGTAAAGGTCCATTAGGTCCAGTTGCAGACGACTCTGGGGTTACGCACTCATCTCGCTCTATGGGCCGAGGGAGCTGGCATTTGTCCACAGACAGCTTCCAAGTTATGTGGCCAGCATGACTAAGCCGCTTCTGGTGAACCAGAGCAGTGCAGGGAAACGCCATTTACTTTCCCGCCGGAGCAGTATCTATTTATCTACTTGCACTTTGACGTGCTTTCAAACTGCTATGTGGGCAGGAGCTGGGACCAAGTAACAGGAGCTCATCCTGTCGCAGGGATTCGAACTGCCAACCGCAAGCCCTAGGCTCTGTGGTTCAGACTTTGGTGTACACACAAAGCACAATTAGCACTGTTGCAATTTAAAGCCGAGACACTTACAGGCTGAACAGTTTGGACCTCAAGGTCTTTGTCCTGCTCTTCTGGCCTTTTCAAGCTCTTGCGGGTCGAACGCCGTCGCACTCCATTTGCAAAGAAGTCTTTTAATGCCTCTTTTGACATGCCTTTTCCGTCAATGAGCTCATTTTCATCTGATTGAACCTCAGTTTCAATTGACTAAAATAAGAGAGCAGAAGTTTTGAAAGAGATTTGGATTTCAAAATGCTGGTGTGAAATGTTTATAGAATTACTGTATTTTCCCGTGTATAAGACTAGGTTTTTTCCCTAAAAAATAATATCAAAAATTAGGGGGCATCTTATACACGGATAGTGCCGAGGGTGGACTGCCGATTGGTTGTTGCCGCAAAAATAGGGGGCGTCTTGTACATGGGGGTGTCTTATAAACGGAAAAATATGGTATACACACTGAACTGAGAACAATAAAAACTCAATATATTAAACATGACTTGTGCCTGTATCAAGTCCAGTTTGGTTTTTTGATTTTTTGTTTACAAATGGCACAACTTTCAAATTTAATTAGTTAGACCTTTAACTTGCCCTTCCCCCAAAGGCTCAGCGCAAGTAACAACACCACAAACAACAGCAATACACATATGACTTTTTATATATATAAAAAGTAAACCTATTTAAATATAGACAGTCATAGACAGTCACTAGGACTGTGCATATAGGAAAAGAGGTTGCATTGCAGCATCAGTTCCCAAAGGACTTGGTGGAGTTGGGCCACAGGGAGGAATAGGAACAGAACTCAGTTCAAGAGGACTTATATGCCAACGTGGCAAAAGGGGAGAAAAGAAAAGAAATGAACCACTACCTGCATATTAACAAGTTTGAAATAAACTCCTTTCTTTGCCATGAGCTCATTATGTGTCCCTTGCTCTGTGATGGAGCCATCTTCAAAAGCAGCTATGAGGTCTGCGTTGCGGACTGTAGATAACCGATGAGCGATTACAATAGTTGTGCGACCTTCCCTTGCCTAAAGAGACGTATTCAGATTCAGTTAACATTGGTCTTTGCATCACATTTTACAGCTTTCATTAACTTGGCAAAGGAACATAAGAAGCTGTCTTACACAGAGACTTTAATCCATCAAGGGCAGCCCAGTCTACACTTATTAATGGCAGTAGCTCTCTAAGATGATCTGCCATTGAGCTATGGGCCTTGCTCAAAATTACAAAGAAAAAGCAGTCAGAATGCAGCAGGCACACCAACTCAGTATTTGTTTGAAGGGGGTCCAGCCCCCCACCCCAATATTGAGGGGGTCCGGTGCACCTGCACTGGCCTGTGCAGTGTCGGGAGACGTGTGATATCAGGCGATGCACACATGACAACACACGCACCAGCCCCCTCCCTCAATCTTGGAGGGAACCTGGTGCCACTGGTACGTGGATGGACTAGCATCTGGAAGCTTTCTACCCCAGTACAGTCTATCACAGGGAACGCAGCCTTAGAGGCATTGTCCTAATTTCATACAAGCAGCAAGTAGGGAAAGCAAAGATGGGAAAGTATGTTTCAGAGAGGGCAGTGGCAGAAAGATACTGAGAGGTGAAAGGGGAGCCAGCACCACCCACTTTTGGCTCTGACCCCATTCACCAACACTACGCAGTCCTCAAAAGATCAACTCTGTGGGGATGAGACGCTTGGCAGGAAAAAGGCTTCTGTACTGTTTGGTAGTGACTCTTCAGGGTTCCAGGCAGGAGGATTGAATCCAACACCTTTTGTATCACCGAGCTTTGATTCTTCAGTTTCTAAGGATCTCTCACACAGTCATCGTGACTTAGTTCTGCCCTCTTCCCGGTTTATTAGCAGAAGAAAGGTAGTCTGCACACGCTCAGATGCACCACCTGTTGCGTTTAAAACCACTTGCGCCAAACTCTTCCAGTGCACAAAAATATTTTTATCTTTATTTGACCTCAACAGGAACTCAGCAAGAGAGCAACTGATCAGCCCAAGTACAGCCAAAGAGTGGCACACCCAGGAATGGAGCTGAATTTGGATCTTCCACAAGGTAATTCAGTAACGCACTGCATGACATTGAGCTGATTTGACCTGAAGCCTTTTCTGGTTCTGGTCCAGGAAGAGGTGAAAGGATGGTTAGCTGCGCCTAGCCAGCTTTCAAAGTCTTTTTTTTTTAGTGTACTATTTAGCATACATTACTTTTGTGCTAAAACCTTTTGGCGTCCGGTTATCCTGCTCATTAATCTTTAATTTGAGTTAACATTCCTCACAGCCAGGAACAATCCATAGAAACCCCGGGAAGGTAACTAATTAACCAGATATTGCACCAGCGCTTCCCATCCCTATCTCACATGCCCACAGTCCCCCTTTAGCTTTCAACACCAGAAACAAAAGCAGGAACACAGGCTTTTTGGAACCGACTCCTGGGCTTCTCTGCAATTCCCATAGGGATCTGTCAATACTGATTACAACACACCTGCTCTGTTTTGGGATGGTGACCTATCCATCCTTCAAAACAATCAATATTCTCGATTTCACTTTCAAGTGAGGCATGCTTTAATTGCCTCTCCTAAACCGAAATATGCATACAGAAGACAACCAGATCGTTATAAGCAGCTCCCTTTTAAAACAACACTGTATCTGTTTTTGAAATGCATTTAAGCGTATTTGCTGGCATCCAAGAGAGTGCCCTGTATAGAGAGGCTGGCGTGAGGAAGACCCCTCCATTCTGTCAATTCCCTCCTCCAACTTCAGTCCCCTGCTGTAACTCATCACAGGCTCTTCATGGAGGTTCCCTGACCTTCAGGTAGGGCTGGGCAAAGGCAGATTTTGCTGCCTGGTGTGCAGCAGCAAATGCCCACCCTCCAAATCAAAGTGCAAGGCTGGCTCCTGCGGCAGAAAATCCCATGTCCCAAGCAGCTGGCATCCATCTTTCTTAAGAGACGAGGGAGTGTGCCTCCAGGGGTGACGTCAAACGGCTGGAGAATCACAGTGCCTCCTGTGGTGCAGAGGCCGGTAACTTGTAACTGCTCCCAGATAGGTTTTGCTGATTAGCAGCACAGAAGTGACCTCTCTGAGCTGCAAGCCTGGGCTGCCCAAATGACAAGGCCCAGCCCCTGCCTCAGCCTTGCTGATGTGGTCCAAAGGAAATCAGAGCAATATGTTTGACACCAGCTTGGCTGTAGGGAGACTCCAGAAGGGACTCCACTCTGGATTTGTGCAGTGTTTACTTTTTAGCCTTTTCTTCTCCTGAAGATATCCCACAAGGCAGTAGGCATGGGTTTACTCCAAAAGCCTTTCTCGCCAATGAGTATAGCCACAAGGCAGCAGAGGGTTAGGATCAGAGTTTTCCTTCTCCTAGACGGGCTACTTTCCCAGCCCCATCTGCCCCTCACTTCCCTCTATAGCACATGAAGAAACCGCATGATTGTCTGTTGGACCCACTATTGGTCTTGTCCACTCAATCTGTCAGAGCCTTTCTTTGCATGCAGGGGGAGGTCCCTATCTCCCTAGGGGTTTGAGACCCATCACCTGGTTCAGCTGGCCAGTCAAAAGCCATTTCCTGGGGTGTGGTCGCTGTGGCATGTTGACAGCTTCTGGGAGACACAGGTGAGAGCTGAGTGGTGGGGACCAAAGATGGACAAACTACCCCAGAAGGAGCACGACAACATGTTCTTCACCCCTCCCCTCCCATACATATACAGTGGTACCTTGGGTTAGGAACTTAATTCGTTCTGGAGTCCGTTCTTAACCTGAAACTGTTCTTAACCTGAGGTACCACTTTAGCTAATAGGGCCTCCTGCTGCCACTGCACCGCTGGTGCGCCATTTCTGTTCTCATCCTGAGGTAAAGTTCTTAACCCAAGGTGCTATTTCTGCGTTAGCAGAGTCTGTAACCTGAAGCGTCTGTAACCCAAGGTACCACTGTACTCCCTAACAGTATAAATGCAACAATAAGTTCAAATGACTGAAACTTTGCTGCCCTTTCACGTCAGTGGGAGAGAAAGAGGCAGGAAAGGCCCATCATGCAATGAGATCGCTGCTCTCATAATGAAACCTGTTATTCATCTTAAGTTATTTGTAAACCATTCATTTTCTACTATGCAAGGTTTTCTCAGGGAAACAGACCTTGTCCAATGCTGCCTGAACCACAGCTTCACTTTCGGTATCCAAAGCTGACGTAGCCTCATCCAGCAACAGGATCTTGGGGTTGCGGACAAGAGCACGGGCAATTGCTATCCTTTGCTTCTGTCCTCCACTTAGCTGGGCTCCTCTTTCTCCAACCATAGTGTGAAATGTCTGCAAAACAGGAAAAAACCCAGCAACAGCTCAGAACCAATAAATGGTGTTATGGCCTGATATATTATATCAGGGTTAGGGAGTAATTTTTGGCCCACAGATGGCATTTTCTCTTGGCCAGCTCTTGGGGATGAGGACTGCATGCTAATAGTGGGTGGGGCCAATGCAAGAGTGGGTGTGGCCAGCATGTCCACTTTGGTCACACCCACTCATGTTTTGGCTCCACCCACCACTGGCAGAGGGCTGGCTAAGAGGGGACATGTGTTTATTCCACACACACATGTCCACACTGACATTGCACACCCCTTCCTGCATGAAGGTCATCTCTACTTAGGAATTCTGAGGCACAGACCTTAAGTCATCCTGGAAAATTTAGTCTAAATAATTGAATAAATTTACAAGCGTGTTATGTGTGTTTTGCTTGCTGAAAACACACCATGTGTTCAGTGGCTAGAAAAATACTTGCACCAAGCACCAGGCATTTCAAGAAACATTTTTGGGTTGTTTATTTGCCTAAGAAGGTTCATCTATATTTAGAGAAATAATAATAATGTGTGTGAAAATAGACCTTATAGCCAAGATGCACAGGAAGGTGAAAATAAACTAACTCTCAGTTCACAGGATGCCCTTGAACCACTGCCCTTTCTAACAATTGAACTTAAAAAAATAGATTAAAACGTGAGGCCTGTATTTAAACTTTGACAACTGATTTTAATATTTAAAAAAGCCTTGTTTTAGTGAATCTCTTGCTAGCAGTAGTGGCAGCCCTAACGCACACAGGCCTCATTGGTATTACACAGTTAAATCAGTATCATATCGTTTTAAACAGTCATGGCTGCCCCCAAAGAATTCTGGGAGCCGTAGCCTGTTACAGGTGCTGAGGGCTGCTAGGAGTCCTCTATTCCCTACCCACCCACCCCAACAACTACTCCCAGTGTGGTCTAACAATAAATTCCTCTTCCCGGGAACACACACTTATGCCACTGTTACCTTCACCCTCCAAGTTTCTTCCCTGTCTTTGTCAATCCCCTCGCACTGATTTTGCATGTGTTGCTTTGTGAAGCATTGTGTGCATGGTGCCCATAAATAATAAAGACCTTCAACCTTTAACTTTAAAAAAAAATAATCCCCCAAGATATAGGAAACACTGTTAATTCTTCTTCCAGACTCCATGTGAGACTTTTAAAAAGCTGCAGCCTTCCCTAACCTGCTGCCCTATAGATGTTTTGAACTACAAAGCCCATCAGCCCCAACCAGGATGGGCAATGGTTAGGGATGATGGGCACCATAGTCCAACAATATATTGAGCACACCGGGTTGGATAACAAGCCTCATATAACCCGTGCTATACCTCAAAGGAAAATCTATTAAAGATGATATATAGATTGTATTTGACCCCTAGCAAGCTCATCAAGATGTATAAAAAAGGATCTAACTTATGCTGGAAGTTCCAAGAGACCGAGGGTACCTTCTTTCACATGTGGTGGATGTGTAAGCAAGCCAAAAAATATTGGGATATGATTTATGGAGAATTCAAAAATATTTTTAAGACAACAATCCCAAAAAATCTGGAAGCTTTCTTATTAGGAATAACAAATGTTGACATCCCTAAGAAGGTACTCAACCTCTTTCTCTATGCAACTACAGCTGCAAGAACCATCTACGTGCAAAAATAGAAAGAACAAGAAATTCCAACAAGAAAGGATTGGTTAAATAAACTAATAGAATATGTAGAACTGGCCAGCATGACAACTAAAATCAGCAAGTAAGACGAGACTTGGCTGAGGGAGGAGTGGAAACTATTCGTAGATTATTTAAAAACGATATAATTGTCAGATACCGTAAATCTACAAGCAGGATTTGGTGTGTGAGAAGCAGTAATTAACAACTGGGCTAGAGATTAGAGTGAAAACGGGTGGTTAAAAAGGAGGCGCAGCACAACAAGGAACAAAAGGGAAGCCATGGAGGGGTGGGATGGGAAGCTTAGAAGTATTGGGTTGATAAACGTATTCACAGCTGTATATATTGAAATTATGGGAAAGTTATAAATAACATTTTAAAAAAACCAAGCCTCATATAACCAACATGTTTAAATCTAATTGATGCATGAAGGGGTTAACATCGTAGAGTAAGCTTTCCTGCCAGGCTTGGCTAGGCACACCCCCTCACCTTGGGAGGAGGGAGCAATCAAGCCTATTGTTCCTCTTCTGTCTACTTGAGTGGCTCAGCGTGATGTGGTCTAAGCTCAGACCACATGGCTTTTATAAGCCATTCTTGAGTTCCTGTACCAACAATTCATGAACTTCCACCATTGTAACGAAGCCAAGTTTTGCTGTCTGTGTTTTCTGACTGGTGTATGGAAAACACATGAACATGACCTTTGGAGAGTTTGTAAGTAACCCATTTTAAACTTATCAAACACAGGGTCTTTTCTATGCTAAGGGAAGAGGGATGTTTTGGAACTCACAAGGGCATATTTTAAAGCTCTTACAGCATATATTTCCATGCTTTACTTTGCTATATATCTTGTGATTTTAAATTGAACCTGGGGTTCTCTCACCAAAGAGTACTTGCCCCAAAACTAGGATCTTGACACCCAGCGAATTCTCTAACACTGGTTAGAGAAGGCAGCCCTCAATCAATATTTCATTCTGCTTGGTTTATTTCAGCTTTTAAAAAATCACACAAGGCATTAAAATAAGATAAGCAGAGGAGGGTATCCTAATTTCTCACATTGGGCAGTTTCATGATGAAGTCATAAGCATTGGCTTCCTTGACAGCTTTTTCAATCTCTTCCATGGTGACGTCTTCACGGCCGTATCGAATGTTTTCTGCAATCGTGGTTTGAAATAACACAGGCTCCTGGTTCACCACACCTATAATCTCCCTCAGGTACCTTAAGTTCAGGGTCTTGATATTCTGATCATCAATGGTAATCTAAAACGAAGCACACACAAATCGCACAAGAGAGTTCCACTCAGAACTCAGAATAAATATTGGCAAATTGTCATAAAAAGAATGTGTGAAGTAAAAGGAAAAATATTATCATGGGTATAGTACATAGTTTGAAAAGGGGAGTGGAAGAAAGGGGCATATCTACTCAGGAAAGTAGGGGAGAGGGTGTTGGATAGGGACAGGATCAGACAACAGCCTATTACTAGTGGTAGTCAGCTGCAAGGTTTTTGTGGAAGAGGGATAGACAAATTTGAGATAAGCCTGACAAAGCAAAGAAAAAAAGGAAATAGACAGTCCGCCTAGTCAAGGAGGATGGCATGAACATGTAAAGCAGGGGTGGCTAAATTTCTTTCTTTAGGCACCCTGTGAGCTTCATGGTTGCGTGGGGATTTGAACCCTGGTCTCCCAGCTCCTGGGACGTGGGTGGCGCTGTGGGTTAAACCACAGAGCCTAGGACTTGCTGATCAGAAGGTCGGTGGTTCGAATCCCCGCGATGGGGTGAGCTCCCGTTGCTCAGTCCCTGCTCCTGCCCACCTAGCAGTTCGAAAGCACATCAAAGTGCAAGTAGATAAATGGGTACCGCTCTGGCGGGAAGGTAAATGGCATTTCCATGTGCTGCTCTGGTTTGCCAGAAGTGGCTTAGTCATGAAGGCCACATGACCCGGAAGCTGTACGTCGGCTCCCTCGGCCAATAAAGCGAGATGAGTGCCGCAACCCCAGAGTCGGCCACGACTGGACCTAATGGTCAGGGGTCCCTTTACCTTTACCTCCCAGCTCCTAGCCTCTCACCACCACACCACACTGCTACAGTTTGAGGGCTGCATTCAGCCTTGGCCAACCCTTTGGTGGTTGTGTGCTACTGGTGGGTGCGGCCAACCCACAGTCTCACATGCACACACAGGATACACAGCCCCTGACACACATACACCTCCGCAGCTGATCTATGCAGATCAGCTGGGGAAGGGGAGAATTATTGCCTCCTCCCTGCTCATCAAATTATCAATGTAAAGACTAGCAAAGGAGTAAATTGCCTCTTCATTAAGGCACCGGTGTATGCCCATCCCACCACTGCATCTATTTGTTTTCCTTCTTTGTTGTCATAAAAATAAGTGAAGGGTGGGGTTTTTTTTGGGGGGGTGTTGGAGGGGATAGATCTGCTCCTGAACTGGGAGTTAGCCACCCCTGATGTAAAGAAACACAGTTTTGGTTCGTTTAGGCTGGATTTGGGGAAGGAGATGTCAGGAAAAGTTGTAAGACAATGGAGGGGAGGCGGGCAGAGGTCTAGGAGGAAGAAGAGCTGTTACCACTTGAGACCTGAGACTCTCTCACAAACTCGCCTTGCAACTGATTCTGAACCCCACCTTCTCTATTGCAGCACACATGCTGCCCCATATTTAAAGCACATGGCTCTCTCGCCAAAGAATCCAGGGAACTCTACATTCCTTGGGGGAAGCCATGCATTTGAGATGCATGGTGCGGATGTGGAACTTCATCCCTAGAGTGTTCTGTCCTGTTCTCTTCCTGTTGAACTCCCAAGACCTTATTATATTTCCTGGTTTTCATTCTGTACAGCCCAGAGTTCTGCCTCCCAGTTTTTATGCTGAATTGTTTTATCCTGCTCTTGGTTTTATTGTTTGAAATAGGTTTCGGCTCCATTTCAACTGTTTTTACTGCATTTTATGTGTTTTACTAATTCTTTCATAACTAGCTTTGAGTTTATATTATAAAGAAAAGCAAGTGTAAGAATTTCATCTGAAGAATATTAACAGCAAGACTGACACTATTTACTCTGAATACTTCAGAGCAGATACAGGACTTTTAAACCCAGGTCAAATAAAATATCCATAATCTGACATTTGATATTGACAGTGCTCATGGAAAAAAAAAAGTTTATGGGCATTTGGATCAAGTATCTTACCATGCCTTCAATAGGATCATAAAACCTCTGGATCAGCTGAACAGTTGTACTTTTCCCACAACCGCTACTGCCTACCAAGGCTACTGTCTGTCCACTGTTAACTTTCAGATTCAAGCCTTTTAACACCTGGATGAGAGGGGAGGGGGGAACACAATGAGAGCTGCTATAATTTTATTTTATTTGCAAGGGTTGTGCAGTATCCAGGTCCTTGGAATGCACAGTCATGATGCAAGCTCAAAGAAAAGTGAGCGATAGTGGAGCACATTCATAAGTACAAATCAGACACAGCAAGTTTCCCTGACACAAACACCTGTAATTGGAGGCAGTGATGCTTCGGAATACCAATTGCTAGGTGCTCACTGGAAGGACAGATCGTGAAGCTGAGGCTCCAATACTTTGGCCACCTGATGAGAAGAGAAGACTCCCTGGAAAAGACCCTGATGCTGGGAAAGATGGAGGGCACAAGGAGAAGGGGATGACAGAGGACGAGATGGTTGGACAGTGTTCTCAAAGCTACCAGCATGAGTTTGACCAAACTGCGGGAGGCAGTGGAAGACAGGAGTGCCTGGCGTGCTCTGGTCCATGGGGTCACAAAGAGTCGGACATGACTAAATGACTAAACAACAACAACAGGGAACCACAGGAGGGGAGAATGCTCTTGTGCTTGAATCCTGCATGATGGCTTCCTGCAGGCACCTGGTTGGCCAGTGTGAGAATAGGATGAAGAGTTAGAGGGGCCACTGGCCTGTTCCAGCAGGCTCTTCTTATGTTAATTGCCTTGAAACAGATTTCATCACAGCAAGTCTGATTGGGCCATATATGGAGGTATGTGCTTTTTTGTCTGTGTTTGTCTAGCTTTAAAGGACAAAAGCCAGGAAATGTCAAAACCAGCATTCATTACTGAGCTTCAAAAACTCAAAAAATTAGATTACAGCTCAAAAAAATTAGATAACAGTTTACAGCACAAAAGAACCCAGTGTTTATACCATTATGTCTTTATGGGTGGGGGTTGTTGGTGTTTATTGTCGTTTTAATTCTACTGTGTTTCTATATGCTGTAACTGGCCCTGGGAGAATCTGGGGAAGGGCAGGTAAGAAATAATAACGAAAATGAACAGCAAATACATTTGCAAAAATACTGATAAGAGGATGCCTCACAAACAAAAAGGATTTTCATGCAGATTGTACCCAAGACGTGCAACATTTGTATTGGTGTGAAGAATCTACTTTCAGTACGGGGGTCAGTGGGACTCAGTTATTGTTCAGCTCCAATAGGGTTTTGAGCCCTGCTTTAGGCAAAAGGTTCTTGCATTGCAGGGGGTTGGACTAGAGGACCCTTGGGTCCCTTCCAACTCTACAATTCTATGAGTCTATGTCTACAAAAGCACTTAGAACAGCTGTGCTTAATTATGCATTTTAAACACCATTCGGACTGTGTATTGATTTTCCCCTTAACACTTGCAAACATGTTAAATTTTCAATGGCGGTAAGTGGGAACTCGTATGGATTTTAACTCCTAGAGTACCTGAACATCTGGCCTTGAAGGATACTTGAAATGCACATTTTGGAAAGCCAGATTTCCTTTAATTTGGTCGGGTTTGTAGCCAGCTGGTGAATAACTGTCAATTTTAGGTTCCTGTAGAAAAGAAAAGAAGATAAAAAAAATCAAATTCAGGTCAGTTTCATTCTTCTGAAACTTGGAAGCAAAGTGAAATTTTGGATACCAAGCTAGCATGTAAAGATTCTGTTCACTTCATCACCAGTGGAGACCCATCTAGACTAGATGCTACTGTCTTTAGCAAACTTGTCAAGTTTTTCCCTTTTACAACAAACAGTTCCCCCTTTTAATCAGGAACACAGTCGTGGGAAAGAGAGGTTTAACTCTTTCTCATCTACCTCATCTAAGGCCATTGTTAGCCAGGAAGAAAATCTTCCACTGAGAGGATTTCTTCCCAACACCAACATCAGAGGAAGGATTTCCCTTGCAACCATAGATCCTCACAACAACCCTGTGAGGTAAGCAGATCTCTGCCAGCGGTGACTACAAACTTACAACAGATTTCAGACGTTTTGGCTCACTATCATTTCAAGCTCTAAAAAAGAGGCTTACATTGTCTATGATGTTGAATATTGCATAAGCTGCTCCCCTTGCAATAGCAAACGCTTCTAGGTTTGGAGTCACCTGACCGATGGAAAAGGCGCCAATCAGAACAGCAAAGAAGACCTAAACAGGAATATTTTTCGAAACAGAAAGAAAATATGTTTATGAATCCTTTTTGCCAGATAGGATCCACATTCCTTAACTGGGATGTGGCTGATCTCCAGCAAACAGACATGTATCTAGCAGATAACAAAGGCTGACTGGTGCTTCCAGATTATCGTTTTTGCAGATGGGATCGCATACCAGCAAACACAGGTTGCATAATTAAAGCGGATTTGACATGTTGGTCACTCCACCCACTAAAAAGATTAGAAAGTAATGAGGAAATACACTTAAAAAAAAAAAATAATGGGATAACAATCGCATAATCTTCCCACATAGAAATACTGTAATGAAATCTCAATAAGTAGCTAGCATTAAACACCCTCCCCACAAACTTTGTGCAAATCAGGATGAAAGCTCAGTAAAAAGTACTGAGGATTAAATATCTGATAAGATCCCTGATTGAGTGCAATCCAGAGAAATCCCAAGGAACTTCTAAAAGCCCAGTTCTAAGCATATTTACTGAAAAGTAAATCATCATCACCACCATCATTTTATTTGTATGCCGCCTTTCCATAGTTAAAACAAGGCTCAAGGCAGCTTACAACATGACAAGATTTACATAATTACCAACATAACAAAAGTCATAAACAATAAATAAAACACATCAAAAGGTGCACAACCAAAAGGAAAACCATTTCCACATAAATCATAAAATCTAAAACTAAAACATTAATATCAATAACAATTTAAAATGACATAGATAAAAAAGAAAAACAATATTAAAAAAGAAGCCCTCTCTGTCGAGAAGCAGCAGCAGCAGCAGTCCTCTATGGAGCCTGTCAGGCCCCACCCCAAGCCAAATGGAGAGAGCCCTTCAGGCTCCCGGCAGGCCCTTGGTAATTACTGTTTCTAGAAAGCATGTTACACTTCCAAATAAACAACAACAACACAAAACATAATCCAGTGGCAACCTGATTTGCTGTCCCCTTAAAAATAATGCGGTCCAGAGAATATTATATCCAATTTTAATGAGATCAAGCAGGTATAAGCACAGGGAAAGGTTTAAGTACAAGGAAAAAGTTCCACTGCAAAATAGTGTTTTTAGATTCTCTCTGCATAAAATGCCATGCTAACCTTGTCAATAGTGGAGTATCACCAGGCAACTCTGTGTCACTTGCTTCATGAAAGATCACCCTATTCTAGAAAACCCACAGTGGAAACCTGCACCAGTGCTCAGGCGCTAAAGTCAACCTCACAGCCACCAGGCCCAGGGCCTTCACCCGATAGGCTTGTGCCCAATGAACCAATGAAAATTATCTTGAGATGATGCTTCTGGATCCACTCAAGTTATCAAGCCACAAACCAACTATTCTGCTAAATCTATGGAAAATCCTTCTGTGCCTAAAAGCATTATTTATGAGGCCTAGAGCAGCTCCGTATGCATTAATTTTTTCCTAATGCCTGGTTCCACATTTTGGACGGCAGAACAGGGGAGGGGATGAAAAACACTGTGTACCTCCCCCACCTGCCCCCAAAATTATGCCTTTTCATGCTGTGCCAGCAAGTGAATGAGAGATATGCGGAGCCTCCCCAAATCATAATATACAGCCCCTTTCCTCCTCCTTGCTTAAATTGGCAGGGGGAGCATAGCACCACAATGCTCAGCTGCACAATGGAAGGAAGCTAGCGCATGTGTCAGGGGATAAACCAGGATGCACTTGGCGTCACTGGCCTGGGAACTTGAAGTAGAAAGTTCAGGCAAGGTCAGGGACACAGAAGAAAATGAGGCAGCGATGGAGCAAGCAGACCAAGTCATCACAGACTTGGATAAGGGGGAAAGCAAAGCAAAGCTATGAACCAACAGACTGGTCCAAAGGTACACTCTCAAAGTGGCAGACAGGGACAGTGTCAAGCGTTGGCAAGGTTGGACATTTGCAGACAGCCCACAATCCCAGCATGGGTTCACACTGACAAAAACATCCTGGAATCTACTGCAGTTAGGTGGTAGACCTGCTGAATTTGGCACATGGAGGGTATCTTGCTCAAGGACTCCCCAGAGCCTGGAGGAAAATAGGAAGCTGCCTTATACTGAGACCATTGGTCTATTTAGCTCAGTATGGTCTAGACCAGGTGTGGGGAACCTTTGGCCCTCAAGATGCTTCTGCACTACAATTCCCATCAGCCCCAGCAAACAGGGCCAATGTTTTTTCCAAAATGGCATAGTTTTGCTGTCTGGCAGCCTTAGCTCTTTTGGGAGGAGGAGCAGCATAAAAAAATACAATACTTTATTTATTTTGTGGGTGCTTTTATGCATCTACCAACATGACAGTTCATAGGTAGTGAAATGTACAGAGCCTCATCATTCATCACAAAGACCCACTTAGCCTCTGAGCAATCCTGAATTTTAGTGCAGAATATGTCCCTTTTTTGGTGGGGGGGACGCGGGTGGCGCTGTGGGTTAAACCACAGAGCCTACGACTTGCCGATCAGAAGGTTGGCGGTTTGAATCCCCGACGGGGTGAGCTCCCATTGCTCAGTCCCTGCTCCTGCCAACCTAGCAGTTCAAAAGCATGTCAAGCATCTGGCGAGATGGTAAACGGTGTTTCTGTGCGCTGCTCTGGTTCGCCAGAAGCAGCTTAGTCATGCTGGCCACATGACCCGGAAGCTGTACGCCGGCTCCCTTGGCCAATAAAGTGAGATGAGAGCTGCAACCCCAGAGTCAGTCACGACTGGACCTAATGGTCAGGGGTCCCTTTACCTTTACCTTTATGGAGAGAAGACTGAACAGCTGTTCACCAACACTTACTGTCAGGACTTTCCCAATGCTGTAACCTTCATCCAGTATCAAGGTAGTTCCATACCAGAAAGCCAATGCATATGCAGCATATATTAATAAGAAAGCAATCCCCATGGACATATTGGCAGTCACAGCCTTTTTAATTCCAAGTTTTTTAGCATCTTCTAAATTTTTATGATATCTGAAAGAAAAATAGCAGCCTGATTGAATTATATGATCTCCAATTGATAGGAAAATGCATTTTCTCTCCCATTTTTATTAATTATTTTTGCTGGAATTTCTTTGAAAATACCCAGTCCATTCACACACAAAATATTTTTTGTAGTCAACATATCTATGTACAGTACATATATTTTAAAGTCCTACACAGAAGTGATAAAAATGTATGTTTAGTGGTTCCAAAAGAGCACTCCTTCTGCAGAAATTTATGTAATTTGCTAAAACAAAAAACAACAACTAGCCAGTTAGGTCCTAAACAAATGCCAAGATAGTTGTCTGTTAACACAATCATTCCAACTTTTAAAATATTCTCTCACACCCCCTAGTTCAATAATTGCCCCTACAGTATTTTGAATGGTCAACACAATTGCCTCTGCTATATCACAGCTTTCCAAACTGTGTGGCGCGTGTGTCAGCTGCGCGTGTGTCAGCTGCAGTGTGTAGGTGTGTCGTGCAAACTTTCCTCGTGCTCCAGAATTGGAAAGGGGTTAGTTTAACCTCCAGTTTGCAAGTAAAACTGAATGACTGTGTCGCGAAGTGATGCATGTCTAAAAAGTGTCAGTAACAGGAAAAGTTTGGAAAGTTCTGTGCTATATGATGTGGTCAAGACATGACATTCTAGAAGCCAGAAACAGTGGAAGGATCACTGTATGGCTTCACTTCAAATTCAGTTTGCCACCTACCGTACTTTTTGCTCTATAAGACTCACTTTTTCCCTTCTAAAAAGTAAGGGGAAATGTGTGTGCATCTTATGGAGTGAATGCAGGCTGCGCGGCTATCCCAGAAGCCAGAACAGCAAGAGGGATTGTTGCTTTCACTGCACAGCGATCCCTCTTGCTGTTCTGGCTTCTGAGATTCAGAGTATTTTTTTTCTTGTTTTCCTCCTCCAAAAACTAGGTGCGTCTTTTGGTCTGATGCGTCTTATAGAATGAAAAATATGGTATCTCTTGTCTGCCAATTACCTGTAGGCAGGAGTAGCTACATAGGGAATGTTTAAATTAGGGATCAGGAGCCGCAAGCCCAGGGGTCGCAGCTCCATAGGCATCTCAACTTTCCAGGCCACTGAGTTATAGCCCTTCTCATTTTAAATCATCAACAAGCGGGGGGGGGGGGGGCATTACTGGCCTACTGCTCACTAACTTTTGGTGGCATTTAGCCAGAGTTCAGATTGTATCATTTAGAGTTTGGTAGGGTTGCCATATTTCAAACAGTGAAAATCCAGACAGAAAAGTTGTTGTTGGGGTTTTTTTCTTGCCAAAGTTGTTGACCCTTTTGGGCAAATTTGCAGAAAAGAAAGAAGAAGCTTTTGAGCTATTTTTAAGCAAAATCACAAAAAATGACACTGCCCACATGGGTTGCCATATGTCTGGATTTTCCCAGAATTTTTTAGCAATTTCCATCCAGTCACTGCTTCCCAATGTCTGAGAAATTCTGGACGTATGGCAACCCTAGGTTTGGAAAAGGTCAAATACAGAATAATCCAGGTGTATATCTATAGCCAGTGGCCACAAAACATAACCTGACCTCTCAATTTCTTTCTTCTGTCCTCCAAAAGCCATCACCGTCTTAATTGATGAGAGAACCTCCTCAGCAACAGATCCAGCTTTTGCATATGCAGCAAGCTCCTTGTTGGTGAATGCAGTAAGGACCTGTGAGATAAAGACATTGCCAATTTCAATGCTATGATCCAATACAATTGTGTGTGAGACGCTTCTTTTCCTTCCCCTATACTTCCCTATTAAATAAAACAATGCTCCAAAACAATTGTGGTATAATAGTGGTCGAGAATCTGTGTCCCTGCATATTCTAATCAATATTCACAAAGCATGGGCCAACAATGGAGAGACCACACAGGCAATACCCAATCACTCAACACTCCCCTCCCCCAGAAAAGCTTCACATGCTGTTCATGTGATAGTGATGTTGTAGACATGTACATATTGTGGAAATTATCTAGGTCAGGCTTTCCAAAACTTGGGGTCTCCAACTGTTTTTTGACTACAACTCCCATCACCCCTAGCTAGCAGGACCAGTGGTCAGGGATGCAGCTGGAGAGACTCAAGTTTGGGTAACCCTGATCTACGTCATGGGTAGAGAAACTCAGGCCTAGGGGCCAAATGAGGCCCTTCCAAGCCTCCCTATCTGGCCCTCAGAACCGTCCCCACAGTGTCCCACCTCTCTCCAGGCCACCCCCATCACTGGTCTTGCTTTGCATCCCAAATGCTTTTGACTAGTTGAAATGTGGCCTTGAACTTTGACATCGCCTCTTGCTTGTCTGGACAAAGGATAGTGTGGTGCGTGAGCAGAAACTAAGGTCAACATTCACATTCATTGCTCCATCCATGTTTGCCTCTGGCCTCACCCCCACTGGCATCCCTCTGAATGTTGCCCAGAAGGGAACATGGCTTCTGGGCTAACCTGATGCTATGAGGAAGCAAAGAAGCTTGCCAGAAAGTTAAAAGCCCTCGCTGACCTTAGTTATCTCTGCTCAACACAAAAGCCATCGGAAGCAAAGTTTTAGAGGCAGCCAGAGTGGTGTTGTCATAACCGAACAATACTTAATGTGCATGGTACCCTAGCATTTCAGCAAAATTATACCCACCTTTGCCCAGATTGCAGCTGAGAGCCCCAGAACAGGACTGACCGCAAGTATTACAAGAGTCAATTTCCATCCTTTAGCAAACCCGACTATAAATCCTGTTAGAAATGTAGCTACTCCCTGAATGAGCATTGACATTTTGTCACCAATTCCTTCGTTGATCTTGGAGACATCACTAAAAACAAATCAAGGTAAATCGATTAGGGCAAACTTTAGGTCAGGAAAACCAACAAGATGCATTTCTACAAGGTATTCCTGTTAACGCTGCTACTGAATTCACAACTCAAATGCTACAAAATATTCATTTAGCCCCAGAGATACGAATGCCAATGCTACAGGTTTTCATTGAAAGTAAAAAAAGTAATTACTTCTGTTCTGATCCCCATCCCCTTCCTGCAAAGCCTTTCAGATCTACGTGGATATTTTACAAGAGTCATGGGACACTTTAAGGGCAGGTTTATCGCAGCATAATCTTCAATGAACTAACAATATTCTTCCACAGTTGACAGCAGTAGCATTATTAGGGACTGGCCTTCGGGACATGGGGTTGTATCCAGCATTCTGTATCTGCTAGAAGGGAAGGGCCATAACTCAGTGGTAGAATGTCGGCTTTTCATGCAGGAGGTCCCAGGTGTAATCCCTGGCATCTCCAGGTAGGACTGGGAGACCCTGGAGAGATGCTGCCTGTCAGTGTGGTCAAGATTGAGCTACATGGACTCAGTATAAAGCAGCTCCCTACCTTCCTAGTGCAAAGGCCCTTGTGCTAGTGGGCAGATGCATTTTAATGCTGCGCAACAGAGGAATCCAATGCAGCAGTTGCACTAGGAGAAACTCTTTGTGCAATAGATTGCACCGAAATGGCTGACCTGCGCTGCCAGCAGTCTCCTTTTCTGGCTCCCAGCTCCGCCCCCGGATTGGCTGATGGTGCAGGTCAGGTGGAAGCCCTGCAGCCTATGGGGACGGCCCAGGGGGAGGAGCAACGGGCAGCCAAGGTAGGCGTGACCCCGTGGGTCACAAAAGCCGCCGACGTCAGGAATGGTGAGCAGTCATTGCCAACAAAGTTACCAGCAACCAGCTTATGCACTCTCTTGTGCAACAGAATCCCACTGCCGCAAAACATTTCACCCGAGAAACAAATACACCATTAAGTGACTTTAATTTAGTGCTACATTGGATACAACCCATTAGGTCTTTTGCACTGGACCCTAAACCTCTTGCCCTTTTTCCCTTATTCAAATTTTTTCTCTCTTTCTCAATTTTAATATTCCTCTCTGCTTTAATACTACTTTAAGCTGGGCAATTCTACTTTAAAAACTGAAAACCTAAAACCCTACCAATATACAGGAACCTCTGCTTGCTTTCTTGCTTTTATTTATTTCATAAAATTTATATTTTGCTTGTATGTAGAAAACCTTGAAGTGCTTTGCAAAAAGAAGAAAACAAGGTAACAGTTAAAAAAAACACCAATTAAACATTCAGAAAATCAAAACCTGCAGTAAACTAAAAACACATCAGCATTCTGTAAATCTGGGTCTAAAAAAAATGCTTTTAGTAGGCATCAAAAAGAGTACGGTGTAGATGACTTCCTGATTTCAATAGACAGGGGCTTCCAAAGTATAGGTCGTCCAGATGCGTGATTGGTATTATGTAACACATGGTACAGTGCCAGTTCCGCAGATTGAGTTGGTCACAACGGCATTTATAGGGTAAGGTGATCTCACAGATAAACTGGTCAAAGTGGTTATGGGCTAATTTATATATGTGGACTTCACCTGGCAGCAGATTAGAAACCAGTTGAGCACAGGTGCTATATGCTAGCAAAGTCTCACTCCAGTCAGCAATTGTGCCACAGCATTCTGCACTAACTGCAGCTTCTGGAACGAGCACAATTTTTTTACGCGGATTAATCAAGCCAGTAACAGAATTAAAATTTGGTTTTCTATTGAAGAAAATACACCAGCCACGTATTAAATAGATATACTCACTCTATAAGACGAGTATTCAATTCCCCAACATCGTTTACATCGAACCATCCAATTTCTTGCCGCATGACAGCATGGAAAAAGTGTTGCCTAATTCTCTTGATCTGGCGGCCGGCTGCCAGTGTCCAGCATGCAATGTGAGCATAGGCAGCAATAAGGACACCAGCTCCTATTCCTGAGTAATAGTATGAATATCTGAAAGCACAATGTTGCAGAGGCAAGTTCAAGAAGGGCAGCCATGCAAGTCTTTAGCATCACAAAATGGTCTTTGGGAAGAATATTTTTCATTTGCGAGTATAAAATACATTCAATATGCGCAGCTAAAATGATTGTCTCAATGCTGGAGCCCACCGTGATCTAGTCCAGCATTTCCTCCAGCCCCCTGCGGCTAACTAAAGTGCCTATGGGAATTCCACAAGCAGGACAGGGAAGTGATAGTTTTATTATTTAATTATTAATTATTATTTATTATTAGTTTATTTTTTACATTTACTGTATATACCACTTTTTCCTCCAAGGTTCTCCTTCTCCCCCCATTTCATCCCTGTGAGGTAGGTTAGGCTAAGAGATGGTGGCCGGCCCAAGGTCACCCAGTAAGCTTTGCAGCTGAGTGGGAATTTGAATCCTTGTCTCCAGCACTCTTAACCATCACACCATTCTGGCACTCTGAAGCTGGGACTCACCACCTGGTATTCTGATATTGGAGATAGCACTGTCATTCACTCACGACTAGAGCGATTGCTAACGTGATCCCCCATGAATTTCTCCAATTCCCTTTCCGTGCCATTTGAGGTTGAGTTTGCCAACTATCAGTGCGACCCTAATCATGCCTACTCAGAATTAAGTCCTATTGAATTCAGTGGGGTTCAGGTAAATAGAGTTAGGATTGCAGTTTTAATCACGACATTTTATGGTAGCAGTTTCCATAGTTTAAACGTGTGTTAATTGAAGATGTACTTCCAAGGGTGGCTCCAGAAGGGGGCGAAAGGGAGTAAACCCCCTCCAGACAAGAAGCTTGCCCCCTCTCCCCTCCGCCCTCATGTCATTAACTGTTACTTTCCTTTCAGTGATCTTAGCTTGTTGCACTAAGAGGCAAAGGAGAAGGGTGGGGAGTTGGAGGTGTAAATGATTATGAGACTTTGAAAAGTCTCATAATCACTGACTACCAGCGATACCATTGTTGCTGAATTAATTATCAACATTGTTAATTAAGCTAAATAGCTTTAATTGGATTTTGAATAAATGTACAATTAATTGTTATTATTCCAAATTTTATTGTACTCTTTATTGTGCTAGTGGGTCATTATATTTTGAATAATGCTTTTTTATAGGGTAGAGTAGGGGGGCACTAGAGTTGAGTTTATGGAACCAAGTTGGGGGGGCGCCCTTTAAAACAATACAGTGGTACCTCGGGTTAAGTACTTAATTCGTTCCGGAGGTCCGTTCTTAACCTGAAACTGTTCTTAACCTGAAGCACCACTTTAGCTAATGGGGCCTCCTGCTGCTGCCACGCCACCAGAGCACAATTTCTGTTCTCATCCTGAAGCAAAGTTCTTAACCCGAGGTACTATTTCTGGGTTAGTGGAGTCTGTAACCTGAAGTGTATGTAATCTGAAGCGTATGTAACCCGAGGTACCACTGTACCTTTGTTGCAGTGGCATAGCATAGTTTGCGGGCTCATGGGGCGGGCAGGAGGCACCAGCCCAGCCCTCACTGTCAACGCCACCAGGGCAATCCCACCCCCAAAGCAGCAAAGCAGAGCTATGCTGACCGACTTGCCCACCTGCACAAGAGGCTGACGTGGCCCTTGGTGGGCAGAGAGAAGCAGTGGGGTCATCGGGGGGGGGGTTGCCTGGTTTGCATTGCCTCAAGAACTTTGCTCCTGGGGCCATGGCACCCCTGTTTAGGAATACATAAATAACAGGGTATAAATCCTGAAGCAGCTGAGGTGCAAGACAGCAAGAGTTCATTGTAGTGAGATGTCCTCATTGAAAGGTGAGGTTTTGACAGAGCATGTGAAGGAAATGGCATGCCTACTTAACACGTACAGTGACAACCCTACACATTTTTCAACTCTAGTCTTTTGTGCTTGTGAAATCACTTGGGCTTTTCTTTTTTTTCTCCTATCATAGGAGACATAGTTTATTGCGCTTGCAATGATAGATTGATTTCAGAAGCAAACAAGTTCAGGCTTTCATCCAGGATGCATTCTGCCCTTTGTACATACAGGCTGGGCCTTCAAGAGGCCAAAGTTTCAACTATGTATACGAAATGAGTTATGCCACATTAGCATTAAGGCTTGTATTCACATTCATAATGAAGCTCACAAGGTAACTGGAAGGGAGAGGGTGAAAGGCAAAAAGGGAGAAGAAATGGGAAAGGAGAGCTTAATAGGCTTTAACTGTTTTAAATGTTACTCCAGCCATGTGGAAAACATCCCTGAGACAGTGCTCAACATGGGAGTCGTAATATATATATATAAATAAATATGATTACCAAACTATGTTCTGAGACTATGCTGGAGTTCTCCTGACTGGTAGCGGCATTTTTCTGCACAGGAATGCTTTCCTCCCACCATTCTGGGTGACTGAACCACACCTACGCAGGCATGGCTCTCAAGACTGCAGTACAGTCATAAAGGTCTACCAGGGATGGCCCTACCATTAGGTAGAGTGAGGCTGTTGCCTCAAGCAACAAATGCAAGGAATGGGAGCCAATGGCAGTGAGGTACTGAAAGGGGGCAGAGTTGTAAGTACCATCTGGCCTGCTCAATACTCCTTATGCTAGCCTGTTGTCCACAGGTGTGGTAGAAGGTGCTTTCTTGTTGCCACCATCAATCTAGCCAACTTGTACTCATGGATCTAGCTAACTTCTATTCATAGAAAGGGGATGAAGGGCACTGCTGCCACAGACAGCAAAATATCTGAGGGTCAGCCGGATTCCTTCAAGCAACTGTTAAGATTTTTGATACCTGTTAAACATATTCAGACCACAAGCTGACTTTCAAACTACTGCCATACTGTATCCAGGCTCACACCACCTGCCTTGTTATATTAAGGGACATCTGAGATACGGAACAAAATACCGGTATATGTAATGATCAAAATGCCTTAAAAAATAAAATAAAAAGGTACCTTGTCATTTGCTCTTGCAGGGTTTCAGAAATATTAAGGAGAGATGCATTAACTAAAGATCCGTTACCTAAATGAAAGGAAATGGGGGGAAAGGTTAAGTGATTATTATTAAAGATAGCACTATCACACTACCAACTCATTTTTGCTTGTTGTTTGGTAAAGCTCAGCCTATTTCCCATCCATGACAGACCATGATCAGAGCGACACTTCTCAGTCACTTTACTGTTAGGACCTCAGAACAGTTGCAAAGCCCCACTGATGTCCTTTGCTCATATCTGGGTGACTGTCTCAGGCTGCCCTCCTTTCTGGCTCTTCCCTCTTCTCCTCCTGGAAACTGATTTACTTTTTCTAGCTGAACGTGAATGTAAGGTCCTTTTGAGAGAAAAAAAAAAGTTGAATTTGATATATCCTCTCAGTCACCATTATCACCTTAGAAGCTTCTACGGTTAATTTATCAGGAGCATTATTTCAAACACTGCACAACTTCAGCTACTGTATTTTCTAATCCCATAGTGAAGGGGCTCCTAGCCTACTTGGACACCTGGGCACATTGGGAATTCCCCCCAGAAAACTGTTGTGGGCACCACAAAACAGCCATTTCACCATAGAGAAACAGGTGGCACTCAAAACTTTCCACACCCCCAAAAAACCACCACAAACAGGCACCCCAAAACAAATCAAACAGAGAGAAAAAAGTAAGCAACACCCCTCAACCAAACAACCCACCCTAATTGGAAGTGGCTGGAAACCTTGGCATTAATGGGGAGGGGTTCCTCAAACCAGCATGGTGCCCATCGTCACCACGTTAGAGACCCCAAACATAGTGAAATCCCATGGTTCCTATTCTGCAGTGCTTTTCCTTGAAACCAAGACAGCATGGTTTCCAAAGGAAGAGGCCAGTTGAGTCAACAAACTATAAGATCAGCTAGACAATTGATCAGCTATAAAGATAAGTGGTTTCAGGACATGGTGCAAAGGTACACGAAACAAACACCTTGCTGAAGCAAAGCAAGCCTGGGTCTGGTCAATGCCTGGATGGGGAGGCATCTAGGAACTCTATATAAGCCACCACAAGTTGCATGTGGATATAAAGGATATATATAATATGTATACACTTATCATTACAGGAACTGATTCATAAACAAGTAGGTACTAAATAAGCAGTGGTGTGTGTGTAACTAAGTAATGCTGTTTTTAAAAATAAAATAAAATAAAGTAAGTTGGGTTAAATGCCTTCTTTAAAAAACACTTTGAGCCTCTGTGTTGTTCTGCATCATTTACTTGAGTTATTAGGGCCCTCTAATTCAGTCTTTGCATTTAAATAACTAAAATAAATTTTTAAGACACTGTATTCAAGATTGCAAAGCAAGAACCTTGGACAAGTCATTTTTCAATGTAATTAACAGAGTTAGATCATTTTTTTAAAAAAAGTTACATTTTCTAAAGGACTACAGATGAGAAAGAGAAATTAGGGTAAGTAACAAAGACCAAAATATGAGAAAAGAATACTAAATACGCCCCTAGATGCCACCTTTTCATTAAATCAGTGCAAATTATACTTCTTGTTTTCTTCAAGGGCTTTATTAACAGAATGCACACTAGTTCCATCTTTTCATTAAATCAATACTAAAGATGCTGTTTCTTCCTTAAGAGCTTAATTAAGGGAATGACTGTTCCATCTCCCAATAAACTCTCTTATGAGTTTGATATGAATAGACTTCAATTGCAAGCTATTAGCATTTTGACTAGATATTCTCCTTGGAGAGAAGCTTCCAGGAAAACCAATATAATTCAAAAGACTCACTGTCCTAACAAAATAAGCAGTTAGCTATATTAAGAAACAGCTTTTCACACCCCAGTATGGTATAAAAGAGAACAGTTTGTGCACACTTTCAGACTGTAGATTGCAGAACTTTGGAACAGGGGCACTTCTCTTTTATTTCAAGATACTGTAAGTTGATTAAATACTTATATACAACCAAATAACAGGTTTTATTGACTATTGCAATGAACATGAGCTTAGTTTTGAAGGTGTTAGATATGTCATTCCCACGAAATAAATGGAGCATGCAGTCCAGTCTTCCATTTTAATCAGACATTTGTTTAATCAAGTTCAATTAGACTTCTAAGCAAATGTGCATCCTTAGACATGACCTAAAAATGTACCTAATGAAGTGTAGTTGTTCAGGGCAATTGATGAGCACCTGCCTTAAGAGCTTAACTACGTGCTCTTAACTATAAGGGTGATACTGTTTTTTATTTTGTAAAGTAGCCCATAGGCCATAGGCCATTTCCCCTTTCAATATGTCAAGCCACTCTTGAAGGGAAGAAAGCAGGTCAGGGAGTTTGCCTAGTCAGCAGTAACAGGTGGCAAGGTTAGACCTAGGCCAGCCTGATGGTGCTAGATGGGACTGATGGAAATTTCAGTGCAAAAGACAGAGAGGGGACAAAGTCCTCGAAGGCTGACCTAGACAGGACCAAAGAACGAGCTGAAGCAAGAATTTTCTGTTTCTTTTTCTCGGATGCAGCTGGGAAGTCAGAGACCTGAGGAAGCTGTTCTGGCTTCTGTTTCTTAGCAAATTATTTATTTTCTCCCAGTTTTATATCCAAAGTTGCCACGTTAAAAATGTTTTTAATAGAAAAAACAGAAGCACACATTTACTATATGAAAACTTCAAAAATGATTGCTCCCTAAGATAGCACTTACTTATAGGGAAATATTTTGCTGCATTAACAAAGCTGTCTGTCATGTCTCCGAAAACAATCATCATGAGAGGAAGGGAGGCTCCATGAAGGGCTGACATGACGGTGCCTAATATCATCAGCAACTTATCCAAACAGTCAGCGTAACGAAACTGAAAACAAAAAAAAATCCACATGCAGTGTTTTAAGTAAAGTGCATTTACAAAGCACATAAAACAAACATTTGATTGTGTCAGTATTTCACAGATAACACAAAATCACAAGAGAAATCTACTGATTCCCCCCCCCCCCCATTCCTTCTCACTGGCATTAAATCAAGTACAGAACTGTGGCACTGTTCTACCTTGATCACCTGAGATCCTCTGATGGGGCACTCCTAGTAATTCCCTATGCTCCTGAGGTAGCTCAAATACGAGTTTTCCTATTGGTTCTGAACAAGTACTTTGGCAAGAGGATGAACACAACTAAAAATGGCCCGATGTAGTATGGGAGCTTTGGCATTCTGCTTTGTGCAGAAGATGTGCTGTTAAGATGCTGGTGGGGTGGTTATGTTCACATCAGAAAATATCTAACCCATCTATGCTTTCGACAAATAGGAGAGATGGGCTGCTTGCTAAAACAGGGGCAGCTTCAGGCATTGGGATTCCTCTCTTCCTCTTTGCAACCATCCAACGAGCCCAATATTTTGTTGGGCAAAATGTTCCTGCATTGCAGAGGGTTGGACTAGATGATCCTCGTGGTCCTTTCCAACTCTATAATTCTGTGAGTCTAAAAGCAGGGGATTCCAGTGGTCAGCAGCACCCCCTCAGCTTCCCCTATTCAGACATTCAGATGGCATGCATCAGTCTGTATGCATAAATTAATGTGGATGCATTGCTTTACTGTATTGTTAATGAGCTAATTGTTGTTGCTTTTCTTGTGTTTTTATTATTAAAGAAAAGAATATGACCGCTCTTCAGGTTCCCTTCTCAGTCTCCTGTTCTCCAAGCTAAATCCCCAGTTTCGTCAAACCTTCTATATAGAATTAGCTTTCAACTCCGTGACCATCTTTGATGTCCTCCTCAGAACTCCTTCCAATGCATCCACACTGATCTCAAGGTGGAGAACTGAACGCAATACAGTAGTACCTTGGTTGTCAAACTTAATCAATTCTGGAAGTCCGTTCCAAAACCAAAGCATTCCAAAACCAAGGTGTGCTTTCCCAGAGAAAGTACTGTAATGCAAAACGGATTAATCCGTTCCAGACTTTTAAAAAACAACCCCTAAAACAACAATTTAACATGAATTTTACTATCTAACGAGACCATTGATCCATAAAATGAAAGCAATAATCAATGTACTGTAAAATAAATAAGACAGTATTGTAGATGATGAAAATTATCACCCACATAGTCACAAAAACAAATTAACCGAAAAAGCCTCAAAAACAAAAATGCAAAATAAACAGCAAAAATGCCAAACTTAATCCATTCTGGAAGTCCATTTGACTTCCAAAATGTTCGAAAACCAGCTTCTGATTGGTGCAGGCACCCTGGAAACAATAGCCGACAGTTGCACCAGACATTCGGCTTCCAAAAAACGTTCAGAAACTGGAACACTTCGGGTTTTCGGCGTTTGGGAACCAAGGCGTTTGAGAACCAAAGCGTTTGAGAACTAAGGTACCACTGTACTTGCAAAATAGGTCTGGCAAATAGTTGACTCAATAGTTTGTTGGTATTTGTGCTGCCTGATCTGACAAACGAACGTCGCATAAATTTAATAACTGCAATTGCCAAACTGCACTCTACTCGTAACATAGTTGTGGGATGTCATTTTGGGAGGCTGCAAAATCTTGAGCAGTTGATTTGCACCAGTTTAAGAAATCAGGCTCTGGCATCAGGAAATGGGATCGGATAAAAACGAAGGCTTCCAGTGAGAGTCAAACAAATGCACATTTCTATGCAAATGAAGATGTCGTTCTTTAGGGTTGATTTTCCTAACATAAGTACCCTATGGATAGCAATCAGTCATACTTGTGTCCTTACTCACCTAATATACATTTAATATTTGACACAATAGCCTAGTGCAAATATTATGCAGCCATTCACTACCATATCCTTGCCTCTCCATGTAAACTATTTCTTTCTTCCAAGAGTGTTACATCATCAAGACTAACTATGCTGTGTACACATTCTTGTTTACTCTGCATATAGTGTGCTCCCACAGCCGCTTTCGGAAGCGGTGTACACATAAGGTTATTCACAACCAATATCACTCCTGTTGTTTCTAATAGAAATACTGCGATTTGATGTGTTTCCCCCCAAATGAGCTTCAATCCTGATTGAGAAAAAGAACAGCCTTGCTGTGTTTTAAGCATGCAATGTGCACACAGCCTTAATTTAACCATGAAGGCTTACCCTAATTAGTGTTTAACAGACTCTGCAGATCCTGGTTAAAGCTAACCATAGTTAACACTGATCAAGATGTTACACTGCACCACATAATTAATGCTGATAAGAGAATAAGGGGTGAAATTTGCACGTGAAGAGAAAGAGGTGAGAGTCTACAGTTGATGTCTTATCTATTAAAAGATCACCAGTGCTACATCTGCAATGGGCCTGTAGAAGTGTACATCAATTGAAGTACAGTACAATATACACATGGAACAGAGCTTACCATTGTAAATGGGCTGACCTTCTTAGGCTTCTCTTTGCTTGGCTTTTCTTTACTGCTGAACAAATAATAAATAGCTTTGTGAGATTTCAGAGAAGAACCAAGTTTAACCGTTAACAATAAACAAAAACAAAATTTCCCCTTGAAGGCATAAAATAAAAGCAAATTGCATTTGTTCTTGTGTGATGCATTTTGCAGCTATTTCTAAAGCCCCTTTTAAAATGTGTGTGCATGTAACATCTCTTAAGTCAGTCTCATATCACCATCAAATTATGGTCAGACACCAGTAAGAGCAGGCATTAAAATACAAAATCTAAAATCCCTTTCTGCTCCTCAGAATTGGCAGCTCTGTAATTTTGGGTTGACATAGGATTTCAAACTAGCACAGCAGGACCGGCAACATTATACTAGGGTTGTGTATTCTCAGAGGAATTTAAGGCTTTTCCGAATTGAAACAGGTATCCATCAAAGCATCTGAACTGAATCGGGCTGCTCTTGGAATTGCATCAGAGCTTCTGAGATTTCAGAGGGCTCAGAGGACCATGTCGTTGGTTTATTTGCATGTCATTTCTGTACAACATTTCCCCCCAAATTGGCTCAGAACATATCAAATGAACAGCAGTGGCAAGTCAAAAATTACACATAATTACAAGCATTCTACAAGGTATTCAACAAATATTCGCCCTAGTTAGTTTATACCAGGCTTCCTCAACCTCGGCCCTTCACATGTTTTGAGACTACAATTCCCATCTTCCCTGACCACTGGTCCTGCTAGCTAGGGATCATAGGAGTTGTAGGCCGAAAACATCTGGAGGGCTGAGGTTGAGGAAGCCTGGTTTATAAATTTTAGATAGCAGCCATATATCTCACTAGCACACACACCCCGTCCCCAACAATCTCATCTCTCAGTTTAGTTCTCATCTCTCATTTTTCCTCTTCTCATCTGTCTTTTTCTTTTAGGCTGAACTTTACATATTTATATTATCGTATGTGTTTACAGCATCTGTTTTGCTATTTCAAACAAATCACGGTTTCCCATTACAGCTGTACGCAGAGGACAGCATGGTTTGTCCAAACCACAATGATTTAAACCAGGATTTGAAACCACAGTTTTGATTCTGGATTGCTATATTCTGATGTAACCTATTCAGACATAACAGGACCCCGAAATGTATTCCAAAGAGCAAAAGGAAGCTTTAAACATCTTCTCCTAGGGCACAAAGGGGAAGGGAGAGCATGTGAGCCTCCCTTGCTTGTCATAATTCTGAACCAAAGTTGTTTAGAATTATGAGCACATCCATGGCATATGCTTCAAGCAGTCTTATACCGCTTTAGCAGGCATGACTTCACCCAAAGTACCCAGTAATTTGTTAAGGGTACTGAGAGTTGTTAAGAGACCCCTTTAAGAGCTACAGCTCCCATGGCTCTTTGAGGGATGCCAAGACTGGTAAAGAGGTGAAGATCAAACCTATCCATTCTTAAGGAAATCAGCCCTGAGTGCTCACTGGAAGGACAGATCCTGAAGCTGAGACTCCAATACTTTGGCCACCTCATGAAAAGAGAAGACTCCCTGGAAAAGACCCTGATGTTGGGAAAGATGGAGGGCACAAGGAGAAGGGGACGACAGAGGACAAGATGGCTGGATAGTGTTCTCGAAGCTACCAGCATGAGTTTGACCAAACTGCGGGAGGCAGTGGAAGACAGGAGTGCCTGGCATGCTCTGGTCCATGGGGTCACGAAGAGTCGGACACGACTAAACAACTAAAGAACAACAATAAATGTATAGTGTGGATGTGACTATTTATGAACTGATCCAAACACATCTAATCAGTTTCCCCTCCATTTGATATATAGAGATAGAAAAGAAAATGTGTGTGAGAGGAGGGATCAGGGAGGCCTCCTTTCTAGCATACTGAGGTGTTGATGGTCCAGCCCTACTGGAATCAATGAAGCAGGGAGACCATGCTGAGGATGCCAGGTCACTCAGCCTTGCAGAGGATAAGGTGGGGCTCGAGGGGCTTTGGGTGTGGATTCCAGCCATGGAGAAAGGGAAATGAAGGGGAATATGTGAGTGAGTGAGTGAGTGGAACTGAGGAGGAATAAGCAGAGGCCCTGGAAGTAAACAGGGTGGGGAAACAAGGGAAATTAACAGCAGCTGAGAGCAAGATGCTGGCTGTGATAGGAATAAGGGGAAACAGCATCCCCTGTGGTAAACTCAGAGGTTACAGCTGAAAAAAAAGGAAATGGCAAATAACACCAGAGAAAGAGGAAACAGGGAAGAGAGGAAGGAGGGGCCCCAAGTCTGGGGCATCCTACCTCACCCATGGGCTAAGTAGCAAAAGCATAACGAAGCCACCCTAAGAGGGTGTCTGGAAATGAGAAGAGCCCTAAACATTAGAGGGCACTGGGGCTCTTAAGGCATTTGGGACCCACAAGAAAGTGAGATAGGAATCTTCACAGCACAATCCTTACTCGCCTGCAGGCTTGGCAATTTGTCCTTGATTTCACCTCCCACACAAAACTAGAAATAATAATAATAATAATAATAATAATAATAATAAATTTTATTTATATCCCGCCCTCCCCAGCCCGGGCTCAGGGCGGCTAACAACAATAAAACAGTACAAAAGTACAGCATAAACAACACTCTAAAATCATTCATTATAAAATTAATTAATTCAAGCCACTGGCAACCATTGGGCCAGAGCTCCGCAAAGATTGCCGAGGGAGGGAGTCAGGCTGTGCCCTGGCCAAAGGCCTGGTGGAACAGCTCTGTCTTGCAGGCCCTGCAGAAAGATGTCAGGTCCCGCAGGGCCCTAGTCTCTTGTGACAGAACGTTCCACCAGATCGGAGCCACAGCTGAAAAAGCCCTGGCTCTAGTTGAGGCCAGCCTAACTTCTCTGTGGCCTGGGACCTTCAAGATGTTTTTATTTGAAGACCGTAATTTTCTCTGTGGGGCATACCAGGAGAGGCGGTCCCGTAGGTACGAGGGTCCTAGGCCGTATAGGGCTTTAAAGGTTAAAACCAGCACCTTAAACCTGATCCTGTACTCCACCAGGAGCCAGTGCAGCTGGTATAGCACCGGGTGAATGTGATCTCGCAGCGAAGACCTCGTAAGGAGTCTCGCTGCAGCATTCTGCACCCGCTGGAGTTTCTGGGTCAGTCTCAAGGGCAGCCCCACGTAGAGCGAGTTACAATAATCCAGTCTGGAGGTGACCGTCGCGTGGATCACAGTGACTAGGTCAGGGCGAGAGAGGTAAGGAGCCAACTGCTTAGCTTGGCGGAGATGGAAAAATGCCGCCTTTGTTGTAGCTGCAATCTGCGCCTCCACGGAGAGGGAGGTGTCGAAGATTACACCCAAACTCTTAACGGACGGTGCTGGCACTAATTGCGCCCCCGCAAGAGATGGGAGTTGCACCCCCAATCCCATATCGCCCCGTCCCAGCCACAGGACCTCTGTCTTCAAAGGATTTAGCTTCAACCGGCTCCCACGTAACCACCCAGCCACAGCTTCCAAACATCTGGTCAGTGTGTCTGGGGCCGAGTCAGGATGGCCATCCATCAACAGATAGAGTTGGGTGTCATTGGCATACATGAAGCTTCCTAAAAGGTTAACGTGAGCCGCTTTGCATTGCAACAAACACCTACATTATTTTTTTACTGTTAGAACACAATAGAGCAACATAATTGATGTGTGATATCCTGTCTCCCGGCAGGCTTGTGTTTCTAAGAGCTAGACAGTATCACTAGACAGTAATGCAGCAGGTGAAGCTTTCTCCTAGCAGTTAGCGGCAATGATGGGATAAGGTACAACTGCCGAACTTCTGCCTATAAGCATCGATTATTATCTGTAAGGAAGGGGGATTAGTAAAATCTGAGCAAATTCATACATGGCTGGCAAAGTGCCAAATGTGGTTTCAAGCTTTCTGAATTCATCAAGATCCAAAATCGTAAATATATTTGTAAGGCCCCAAGGCCTTGTCAAAAAGTAGTCAAAAAAGAACATACCAATGATTAAATATATAATGTCAGAACTGTTTCTAGGTTGTTGTATTTTTGAACAATGTTTATTTTTATATATATATATAAAACCTTATACTTTTTACTTGGGATGGACAAATTAGTCAGTTCTGGTTCTCTGTTTCTCATTTATCCAATCTTAAATTCAGTTGTCCACATTTCCATAGCAATTTATGATTTTTGCCTTTTTTAAAAAATGAAAATTTGTCAGCATCTTAGGATGTATTTCCCCTAATGCACACATTTTTTGTTGGAAGTTTTTCCTAATGTAATACATTAGTGTATGTTATTTTCACCTATCTATGCCTTTAAAAGATTCTTCTACGGATTAGATTAGAAGGATGGAGAATTAGATTGTGAAATTCAGAGAAGTGTGAATTTCAAAAGATGCTTCACATACTGTTTTGGAAAATGCAGTTTGTTACGTTTGCCTTTAAATATGAACAGGATTTAATTTCTACCCTATCCTTAATTTTGACGAACAAACTATGTAATAACAGACAGAGAGTAAAACTACCAAGATGACAATATATTTTTCTACCATGTCTGCAGATCACAAATTAATGTAGAGATACACCAAAAGAGATACAGTATTAGATGTTGCTGGTTTCCCTAAAATCCAAGAGTCAGCCGGCAAATAACTTGAACAGACTAGTTGCATTTGAAAGGCTGTGTATAACTAGGTGCTGTTTTCCTCCATGAACAGGAAGCATTATGAAGCAAGTAAGACAAACTCATGGACTGTAAATGCAGGAAAATACCCACCTTTTCCTTTCATATTGAGAAGCATTATTTCTTTCAGCCATCTCTTCAAGCTTTCCGTTCGTGTTTGCCTTTGCTTGGCTCTCTGATGCCATTTCTGCCTGATGAGCAAATGGAATCTTTCAGGAAATTAAATAACAAACCACTTTAGGTCTTAAAGAAACATGCAGCTAATGGAACTACAAAATGCACGCAAGCAAATGCCGCTTTTAAACCAAATGGCCTTCTCCAAAAATAGCATTCAGAACAACCGGCCAGTAATTATTTTGTATTAAATAAAATGCTACATTGGAGAACCTTCAGGTGGGGTAACATGAAATTCACCAGAGTAGTTTTTTTTATAAAAAAAACCTGTTGTGTTGTTTCATTTAAATTTGGGCATACATTAATATGGATTTTGGATCCTTGATTGAAATAGTTTTGTGGAATTAATTACAGAGTGAAAAAAGGACCAAAGTACAGTATTCTATTTAATAGTTTGGCACTCTCACTCTCACTTTCACACACTCAGTCTCTGCTTTTTTAAAACACAGCATTTAAGTATACATGATACACAAAACCAGTGCTTTTTTAAAATAAAAAAATCTTTAGGAGTACTCTAATTTTGACTCAAGAAAATAACCATTTTATAGTTCAAATTGGGAAAAATTAATACAGTAAATGGACAAAAGTACAAAGATTCACAAAATGTTTAGGGGTATGCGTACCCCTGCATCCACCCAGAAAAAAAGAACTGCTCAAAACTCAGAAAAAAAGTAGAAAAATGCAGACTTACCAAAAGTTGGGGTTCTTCTTTCTTGTCTTTAATTCTTGAAATGTTGAGAAGCTATGAGTTGCAGTGAAACGGCCAGTGATGGGAGGTAGGTGATATGGCAAGTTACTGTTCTGTTACATAAAGCAGTGAGTGACAAGGCAAATGCTTGTTATAACAGATATTTGCAGGCAGTTCCTGCTCCCCTTGGACCTTGCCTACTCCCCGGGAGACTCCACCTCCTTCCAGACTTAATGTTTAACACAGTCAGAGCTGTCACTTAGGAACCTCTCTCTCTCATAAATCCACCTGAATAAAGAGCCCTTCCTGTTTTCATGATGCCTTATAAGGTCAGAATCTGCTTCCCAAAATATCAGTATCAACTACTATGTTCTTCTTTCTCATTTTTGGTAGTTTTAAAAGTACTCTCTAGTATTACAGAGCACAAACAGTAGAAGAATAGGTAAACTATTGGAGATAAAAAGACAGGAAATCTCAAAATGGGAGAGATGGAAATAATGTTTTAGGGAAGGGATTGAAGATTCCAGAAAGGGAGTAGTCAAAATATTGTGTAATAATAATAATATATACATACGATATACAATATTTTATATATATATATATCCTATTTGCTAATTTAAATGACAATCCATCCCTAAGCATGTTAAAAGGTAAAGGTAAAGGGACCCCTGACCATTAAGTCCAGTCAGGATGACTCTGGGGTTGTGGTACTCATCTCACTCTATAGGCCGAGGGAGCTGGCGTTTATCTGCAGACAGCTTCCGGGTCATGTGGCCAGCATGACTAAGCTGCTTCTGGCGAACCAGAGCAGCGCACAGAAACGCCTTTTACCTTCCTGCTGGAGTTGTATTTATTTATCTACTTGCACTTTTCACGTGCTTTCAAACTGCTAGGTTGGCAGGAGCAGGGACCGAGCAACAGGAGCTCACCCCGTTGCGGAGATTCGAACCGCTGACCTTCTGATCGGCAAGCCATAGCATGTTTACTTAAAACTATATTTCCTAGCACTAGCTGGACCTCAAGGGAGTTGGAATCCAAAACATCTGGAGAACATCAGCTGGGCAAAATCTGCCACAGTAAGTTTGTTTCACAGGAGGCAGCAAACTTTTTCAGCAGGGGACCAGTCCACTGTCCCTCAGGCCTTGTGGGGGACCAGACCCACCCTCTCCCGAAAGGGGTAAGAGTGCGCCTGCCCACAGCAAGAGTGCCCAATGCACGCACACACACCCTGCCGCCACTCATGGCATCTCCTGCTCTGCTCTGTCTCCAATGTCGGCGACGAGAAAGCCGAACTTTTTGACGTGGCGCTCGTTGTCGGATAATGGGAGTCGTAGTCTCAAAACATCTGGAGGGCCGGGTTTGGCCACCACAGGTTTAGGACATTGATCTTTGGCTGGGACTTACTTTAGAGTAAATAATATGCCCATAGAATTGTGATGTAAGTCTTCCAAAGTGTTTCTTCATATTGTCTGTAAACATGTCTAATGGTATACAGTCATACCTCAGGTTGAATGTGCTTCAGGTTGAGCGCTTTTGGGTTGCGCTCTGCAGCAACCCGGAAGTAACAGAGTGTGTTACTTCCGGGTTTCGCTGCTCGCGCATGTGCAGACGTTCAAAATGACGTCACGCGCATGTGCGGAAGTGGCAAAACGTGACCCACGCACACACAGACATGCCTTCGCGTCTTACGTTCTATTCTGGATATGAATGGGGCTCCAGAATGGATCCCGTTCACATCCTGAGGTACCACTGTATGCTATTTTTTAAAAAAGGTAAAGGACCATTGCTGTCAACTGTTATGTACTGAAGTTCTCACCCTGGGCCAGCAGGGGGATACTGTAGATAGTTCAGGTCCACATATGCAAATAAGGGATCGAAAGTGACGTTCAGTGATTGGATCGTTACAGAAAATGGTTACTGTTGCGTTCTAGTGGAGCTCTATATAAGCAGGCTGGCTGAACCCTTCAGTTCAGTTCTGTTCTGGCCTGTGAATAAACAAGAGCTGTTTGAAGAATCGCTGTGTGGTCTGATATGTTCACCCACAACTTAACACTGGCGATGAAGGTGGGATGGATGGATAACAGAGCACAGCATACAAAAATGAATTATATTAAGGGAAATTGCTTACAGAAATCTGTGCATTACTCAAAACGGCATACAAAAATGGATCTGTTGGGAGAAATTTGCACTAAAATACAAATGAATTTTCCTGAGGCTTTAAAAAATAATAATAAATTGCTGCCAAAATTTGTAGAATGGAATTTAAGATTGGAAAAATGAGAAAGAGAAAGAACCTAAATGGACAAATCCATCCATCCCTTCTCACCTATAACACCACCTCCAGCTTGGGGACTGTCTCCTTTTCTTCACCTTCTGGAAAAAACTTTAGCTAGTAGTTTCTGTGGCACACAGTCACCTGTGCTCCTCAGTCATATAAACGGATACTTAATAGAGCTATTGGCTTAACAAAGGGACTGGTTTGATCGCTTTTGCAGCCTCCTTTGTTACAGCCCCTTACTTTATAGATTTGAACCACAAGTTTGGAGGGGACCCCAGGATGACATTCGGACTTATCACCACCACCCCAGCAATTCTATAGCAATACTTTTCAGAGAAACAATCCAGAAATGCCATTACTGTATTTTAAGGGATGAATGCATTTGTTCTTCTACAGACCTCATGTCAGACTAATTATATTTATTATTATATTATTATGCTAGTCTTTATACAAAGATGACAGATCATGGGCATAGCTGGGGGGCAGGGGGGGGCAGCTGCCCCCCCATCAATCAAAATCAATAAAGGGAAGTTTTTAATGACTGATGTTTTAATGTATTTTTAATTGTTTGTTGGAAGCCACCCAGAGTGGCTGGGGAAACCCAGCCAGATGGGCGGGGTATAAATACATCATCATATTATTATTATTATTATTATTATTATTATTATTATTAAAATACATAGCTAACTGAGGTTCTGCCCCCCTAACAAGAGTCCTACCCCCCTAACAAAAGGCCTACCCCCCCCAACAAAAATCCTGGCTACACCCATATGACAAATAGTACCATGTTTTTAAATTTTTATTTTAACTAAGTAAGTAGTTCTGTCAGTACAAGGACTTTTTCCTCCTCCTCCTGCGATCTCCCCCATCTGTTCTAGGGGTTCCCTCAACAGTCTGGAGCATATGTCGCGAGGGTGCAGGGTGTGTGTGTGTGTGTAGTGTAGGGAGGAAATCCTGTTGCACTAGTGATAATCCTTGAGTTGATGGGAGAAGATGGTAGAATAGCACTATATATTCTGGCCATACAGTCCTAAACATGTCTACTCAGAAGCCAGACCAACAGAGTTCAATGAGTCCATTAGTCTTAGTCAAATATAAGTAAGCCTTCCTTTTTAAACCCACTTGCTATAGAATAAGACCCATTGAACATAGTGAGGCTTATTTCTATGTAAACATGCATAGGATTGCCTTGTTAAGTGTTCCAGAATGCATTCAAACACTTGTGAATGTACATAACAATTATCTTGATGGATCAGACGAAAATCTATCTAGTTCAGCATACTGTATTTGGCACCTGTAAGAAGGAAGTGCCCATGAAGGGCACATGAAGGCAATGACTGTGCCCTGGTGTTGGCACTCTGATTTGCTGAGGTATACTACCCCTGTACATGTAGGTTACATTGACCTACCATGGGCAGATGAAGGTGATTGACTACATGGAATTGGCAGAAATGACTGGCAGAATCCGAGACCAGGGAGAAGAGTCGGTGAAAGAGGACTGGAAGAAATTTAAAGACTATTTAAAGAAATACTGTAAAATTAATGAATCTTAGAAGGATGCTGGATAGAAACTAAGTGGTTTCCAGCTGTAATGCTTTAAGAGATATGAAAAAAAGGTTCACAAATGGGTAAAAGCTTAATGGTAAGGATTTGCTGAACTAACAAACTGAACTGGAATACAAAAAAGGGAGGTATGAGGAGGTCCGGGGAAATAAGTGTAAGGAGGATATGCTAGGGAAAATTAATGTGTTTTTAACTGTTTTTATTTTGTATGTTCCTTTTTATTTTTCATGGGAAATAAGGATATGAATGTAAGTTATGGAAAGATGGATCTATTTTTCTTTCTCTTTTTCTTTTTAAGGGTTTTTTTTATTTTATTTTTTGTATTTTGTATTTTCTTGTATTTTTACTTTTTGTTTTTGTGTAATTCTTGTATTATTTGAAATTTTAATAAATATCATTAAAAAAAAAAATACATTGACCTACCATGATTGATAGACATTAATAAATCTATCCTCCATTAATTTGTCCAAAGCCTTATAAGGTAGCTTCATATTTGGTGGATGTGGAAAGACACCCAACACCCACGTCCTCACAACTAGGTAAAAATTAACAAATATATATTACGCAACTTTTGATTACACAGAACTTTTTTTATGACCCAATCTAATTTATACCTGCAATTATATGAGCCATAGAAATCGTCTCAACCTGCCAGGTGTTTATGCGGCCAGGTAATACTTGAACAATTAAAACATGCCAAGAAAAGGATGGCAAACAAAAAAAAAAGTTAGCCTTTTCTTTGGGACTAGACAGCTCTAGTCCCTAAAACAGCTCTTTGGGTTGTGGCTTCCATGTTGCTGGAAGTCAACACGATGCTACAATCCAAAGAGCTACTTCAGACACACATGCCATTTTGTTTTATTTATATGCCCCTTTTGGTGTGGTACATGCCATGGGACAAGAGGCTTTGGTTACTGACGTGGTATAGGTAAAGGTAAAGGGACCCCTGACCGTTAGGTCCAGTTGCGGACGACTCTGGGGTTGCGGGGCTCATCTCACTTTACTGGCCGAGGGAACCGGCATGCAGCTCATGTGGTCATGTGGCCAGCATGACTAAGCCACTTCTGGTGAACCAGAGCAGCACATGGAAATGCCGTTTACCATCCCGCCAGAGTGGTACCTATTTATCTACTTGCACTTTGACGTGCTTTCGAACTGCTAGGTTGGCAGGAGCTGGGACCGAGCAAGGGGAGCTCACCCCATTGCGGGGATTCAAACCGCTGACCTTCTGATCAGCAAGTCCTAGGCTCTGTGGTTTAACCCACAGCGCCACCCGCGTCCCATTGACGTGGTATAGAACTGTCTGCCAGATTTCATTTGAAAAAAGTGTGGTGGGTAGGCGGGTGGATGGATGGATGGAAGGAAGGAAGAGAAAAGGAACTGGAGACACCATTCTATCACATTTTCCTAAAGCAGCAATCCTATTCTCACCTGTCTGGGAGTAAGTTGCACTGAACTCAGTACAGCTTACTTCTGAGTTATGTATAGGATAGCATTGTAAAGGCATTTCAGCAACATTGGGGCCACCTCTGAGCACATACAGCTATACTCCTGATTAATGGCAATAACCTGACGGTATTCTATCAGATGACAGACATTAGGCAGCTACTACTACTACTACTACTAATTTATTATTTATACCCCACCCACCCAGCTGGGTTTCCCCAGCCACTCTGACTGATGTCAGGCTGGCACTGTATGCCTTTTTGGGTGCCTGCTAAAACTACTTTTGTTTAGGCAAGCCAATCCATACATGTAGCATGTTGACAAGTGTTTTAATCTGGTTTTACCTTAATGATGGTTTTAATTTAATTTGTTTTAAATAGTTGTGTTTTACTGATAACTTCATTATTATTTTCTTTTTGTAAACTGCTTTGAGGTTTGTTTTTACAATCAAGCAGGATATAAAGTTTGTAAAATAAAATAAAGAAATTAGCAAAACAGGTTATTCTTGACTCAAGCAGGAAGCCGTTGTGGCTACATCGGCCAACCTGCACACGCTTTCTTCTATTCGGAAGAGCCACTAAATGTTTGACAGCAACATATGCTTTTTTGTGGAGGAGGTCTGCTAATAATTTGTGGACTGAAAACACACATTTATGAGAAATGAGAAATATGCACATTAGAACGCTGGAAATATGAACAAGTTCAGCTACCACCACATTTTTTTATAGGCTTGTCATTCCCCAAAGTTTTCTCAGCTACTTTAATACCTTTTACATATTTGCTAGCCAAGGGAAACAGAAACAGAAATTCATATCTACAGCTTATCACCTTACTTTGTGCAAGGGAAAAATAAAGTTTATAAAACAACCACTTCATTAGAAAGCTTTATCTGTAGGCACGGCACTTTCCAGAGCCATTTCCCCCCCCTTGGAAGGTTAACTTGTAGGTGCAATCTCCATCCATGCTTCTATAACATCACCAGTTTGGTGTTTGTCAAAAAATATGTGTAGTGATTGGATTGATGTTCTTCTCTCTGTTGAATGCCCCCCCCCATCAATAACAACAAAGAAAAACCTGGATGTTTATTGATGTCTCCCAAAGAACCACAGGAAGCCAATTACAGTGGTACCTTGGGTTAAGTACTTAATTCGTTCCAGAGGTCCGTACTTAACCTGAAACTGTTCTTAACCTGAAGCACCACTTTAGCTAATGGGGCCTCCTGCTGCTGCCGCGCCGCCAGAGCACGATTTCTGTTCTCATCCTGAAGCAAAGTTCTTAACCTGAAGCACTATTTCTGGGTTAGCAGAGTCTGTAACTTGAAGCGTATGTAACTCGAGGTACCACTGTATACTGAGTCGGACAACCATTATCTCAGCACTGACTGGCAGCAGCTCTCCATGGTTTTAGACACAGGTCTTATGCAGTCCTGGAGATGCCTGGAGATGCCTAGAACTGAGCATGTGCTGTGCCATTGAGCTATTTAAAAAAAATAAAATAGAGTCCTGCCTGGTGGCTTTGTCTGTAAGGCAATTTTCAGATTAGACAGACAGTCAGGAACTTTGCCTTCGCGTGGGAATGTGCTCGCTACCTACAAGATGGCTGGCCGTTGTTTTGCTCCCTGTGGCAACAAGCTGCTTTTAAGCAGTGATTTGACCCAGAAATAGAGGGGTTTTCTTGTGCCAAGGCAAGCCTCCAAAACAAGAGATTTTTCAGCAGCACAGAGCAAATCCTCATATTCCTGTGGTGAGCTGCTAATCCCAAACAAGGTTCCTACATGTAGGCAGTTCCCCTTGCCTTTTATTAGGGGCTAAGAACTTGGAGAAGGAGTAACCATGTCAGAATAAATGTTCATCAACAGGTTCCAAGCTCTTGCTGTGCAGGTTCATTTCCCTGTGCACATTCACTGGGGTTATTACTGGACGCATGGCATATTGTCATTAGATGTATCACATGTTATGACCAACAGGTGTGATGTCATGTATCCCTCATTACTTGTGTTATCAAGGCTGTGGACAATTGTTAAGGAGGAAATGTGCCTGGTAGGTTTGTGTGTGTTAGGCAGGGCTTAGTTACTCTCCATACAACTGTTTGTTTCTTGCACTGGGAAGCCTGCTTCTGCTTATTTGTTTTAAATTGTAAGATTAAGAAGCTCTTTGAAAACCGCATGCGGAGGACTTGCAGGTTATTTTCTAAATCATATGTTACATTTGTTGGCTAATGGGTCTCTCATGGGTTGAAATCCATCTTGGCAGATTTAAAAAAGGAAATAGGGGAAGCAATTATCCTGAGCTGCCCTTTGAGAAGGATCCTGGTGGGGTTTTTTTTAATACATTGGTTATTTTTGTTGTGTTTTTAAAAATAAGTATTTTAACTTGTTAGCTATCTTGGGAGGATTTGTTTCCTGGAAGGCAGAATGATGGGTGATGATGTCATCATCACCATTGAGGTTGAGTGGACACATTTGTTCATTTTAAGATTTAGACATCACTAGACTCTAGGTCTTCTTTAACATACACCTTCTTGTCAATTTAATACTAGTTCCTCAATCCACCAATCACATTCCTGAGTTTCTGGGCAATGTTGCATTCTCCTTATATGTAAAAACACTAACCTAGCACACGGCACACCCTTCTGCAATTTATTTGAGCAATCTGTAATCTAAACAGAGGAGGCAACCTGGTTTCGCTCTCCTAGAATTGGAATGACAAAGAATTAACTTTCTGTATGTCTCCATCAGTATAAATTTATGGGAAGGGAAGAAGCAAAAATAAGGTTTTACATTTAACAAGTTTTATATACTGCTTTATTGGGGGGGGGCTCTCTTAAGTGGCTTACATAAAAAGTATAAAATTGACTATTATTATTATTATTATTATGGCTTCTGGTGCTCAGGGCTATTTGCCCCAATGACTCTGCTCCCAGATATGTTGGAGTTTGCTATGGTTATGCAAAAAAGAAAAAGCACTTGGCACATGCTCAGATGATTAAACAGCACAATCCAAGAAAAAGCCCTGAAATTAAAAACAACAACAAAGAAACACCAGTTTCTGTAGCTGAGTTGTGGCTCCAATTAAACTGCGCTCTAGCTATCCCCAGGAATATGCTTATTAATGCCCAGATTTGGAAGTCAGATGAAATTGGGCTAGGATTTCACATTGTACTGTGACAAGGAAAAAAAGCCTGCGAAAATGTTATCATGGATACCAGAGCAAGAAATTGATTTTTCTCTTTCTACGTAAAGTCTGCAAGGTAGAAACCATTACCATCAAGAGAAAGCCAAAATGACAAAAATCTTCATGGTTTTCTTTTCTGGCTAATCATTGTATGTCTGACTGTTAAGTACCTTCTTACTGCTTGGCTAGCATTGTTTGTGTTAGGGCTATTTTGCTTAAAAATGGATGTCAGTGAACTCGATTCACCGAGAAAGAAATATTATGGCACTAAATCTATATAGTGTACAACATCAGCCTTTGAACTGAGGAGGTAATAAATACCTCATTCGCTTGCTTTGTTCCCTTATATAATGTGCTCTTGTAAATGAAAAATAAAACATTTATGAAACCTTGTAGCTGTAAAATATTAAACAACTTGTGCCCAATGTACGTAAGTGTGATCACACTGAGATCTCTAGGAATAAACTAGAGCTTACCATCTGCATGACATATTTGGTGAATAAGGACAAGGAGAGAGGCTTTTTAAAATTCTATTCTAAAATAAGTGGATTTAGGGCAGCACAACCAGAATCTAGGGGGCACCACAGAGCATAGCAACTATTGAGCAGAATGGAAGGCAAGAAGCAAAGGATAAATTTTGGCCTCACACAGGGCACTGCTGAAATTTGAAAGACTGAAGTCCTCCCTTGCTAAAATTGTAGAATATATTTTCAAAGATTTGCCATAGTGGAGGCTAGTGCACAAGGGTAAATGGGACACTGCCCCACTAACCTGAGTCCACCCTCAGCCCAGCTTTCGCCTGTCTGCCCTCTAACTTACAACCAGTCCAGAAGATAGCACTATCTTGTTCTCTTCCCTAGTCCATAGTCTCAGGAATCATTCATGCTGTTATTCATGCTGTTATTTAATGTGGGTAACAAGGGAAATTACAAGGAGAAGGGGACGACAGAGGACGAGATGGTTGGACAGTGTTCTCGAAGCTACCAGCATGAGTTTGACCAAACTGTGGGAGGCAGTGGAAGACAGGAGTGCCTGGCGTGCTCTGGTCCCTGGGGTCACGAAGAGTCGGACACGACTAAACAACTAAACAACAACAACAACAAGGGAAATTAGGGACGTGGGTGGTGCTGTGGGTTAAACCACAGAGCCTAGGACTTGCCGATCAGAAGGTCGGCGGTTCGAATCCCCGCGATGGGGTGAGCTCCCGTTGTTTGGTCCCAGCTCCTGCCTACCTAGCAGTTCGAAAACACGAAGTGCAAGTAGGTAAACGGTGTTCCCGTGCTCTGCTCTGGTTCACCAGAAGCGGCTTAGTCATGCTGGCCACATGACCTGGAAGCTGTATGCCGGCTCCCTCAGTCAATAAAGCAAGATGAGCGCTGCAACCCCAGAGTCGGTCACGACTGGACCTAATGGTCAGGGGTCCCTTTACAAGGGAAATTGAGTATTTCCTCCTTTGTTGTTATTGTTTTTGCTGCTGCTGCTGCTGTTTTACTACACTTTAGCTGAATAGTGTAGAAAGAAAGAACCCTACTGTTAGGTTTATAAGCTAAAGAAATACATAACACAAAGGGGAAAGGGGTTGGGAAGGAAGGGGTGGGGAGCAAACTTGCGCACTGGTTATTAGTTACAAAGTAGATCAGGTAGTACCGTAATTGAGCTCGTAGGGAGATGGAGCTAAGCACAACGGAAAAGCTACTGCTTCCTGTCCCTCTGAGGGCCTGAGTGAGGGCTGATGGTAGCTGGAAGGAGCAAGTTTCTCAGCTCAGATACATGGACTATATCAGTATCTGCTGCTCATACGACTCATCACATGAGTAAAAGCAATTTTCCTCTTCAGATATGACATGGCAGCATGAAAAACAGATGTTCAAGGCAATCATGCATCCTATTTCCCCCTACTTTACCATAATAATTGAAGCCACTCTCTCCTTTTAAGATTGAGCTTATTTTTTTGAAGACACTTATTTGACTCATTGCTGTTGGATCAGTTTAAATTTGAGAACTTCAGTTAAATTGGGTATGTGAATTATGGGGCCATTATGAATCATTTTGATACTGCAAGAGACTACAGTCCCAACCTTTCTCCCTTCTTAACACCAAAAACAGGACATCCTAAACAACACAGGATGTCTGGCGATTCTTTGTACAGCTACCAAAAAAACATATTTCCCACCACTGAGGAATCTTGTGATATTTCAAGCTTTGAACTCATAGCTGAAGAAACAGGCCATTCTTATCTGGGAGCACTTTAAACACCAGTTTCCCTATGTAACCTGCTGGGATTTAGGAAGTCTTGTGTATATATTCAAATGTATCATGTAGAAAGTCTGCTGATAAGGTCTGCCCTGGAAAATAATAGCAGTTATCAGAAGGAACAGCAGAGAATAAAAGAAATTTGTTGTTGGTTAAAACTTAAACAAATCATATTAAGGTGGAAAATCAGTTTGCCGAACATAAAAAGTCCCATGTAAAAAGAAAGGGTGGTGGTGGTTAAAACTATTTCTTTGGGTTGCAACATGTCTCTTCGTGACATAACAGTGAGTGAAATGCCCTTTGTTCAATGACATCACGTGCAAAATTAATCTATAACATCCGTTTCTCATTCAGTTCAGTGGAAATCCCCTTAATTTATAACGAAATGTTATAGTCTGAATTGTTATGACTCATCATGGGATCAGAAATATCTCGGTTCAGCTCTGTCTATATCTTCATCAGTGGGATTTACCTTCTGCAGAACTGGGAGGTTGTTGGTTTGTGCTTTGTCAACCACATCCTTTTGAAATTAGAGGTCTGGGTTGCCAAAGTTATAAATGATAGTTTCACAGGAGCAGCTCTGAATCCCACCTCTCTGCTCCTTCCCCTCCAGCCCAATTGCTCCTTCCTTCATACTTGCAGGAGTAAGCAGAAGCAAGTAGGATTCCATTTGCCTCCGGAGCCAATAGGTGAAAGCCCCAAATGCAGCAATTTTTGCTACTACGAAACTTTTGAAGCAAAATTTCCTCTGAAGGAGCAACTTCGCAGCTTGGGGGTCCTCCTGGATCCTTTGCTCTCACTCAAGACTCAGGTGGCCTCAGTTGCCCGGAGTGCCTTCCATCAGCTTCGGCTGGTGGCCCAACTATGCCCCTATCTGAACAGGGATAGCTTAACTACTGTTGTCTATGCTCTGGTAACCTCAAGGTGGTTATATGTAGGGCTGCCTCTGAAGACTGTTCGGAAACTTCAGCTAGCACAGAATTCAGCAGCCAGGTTGCTCACCGGAGCAAGAGGGTTTGAGCATATTACACTGGCCCTGGTCCGACTGCACTGACTACCAATTAGTTTCTGGGCTCAATTCAAAGTGCTGGATTTGACCTATAAAGCCTTAAACGGCTCAGAACTGCAATACCTCAAGGACCACCTCTTTCCATATGAATCTACCCAGACCCTGAGATTATCTTTTGAGGCCCTGCTTTGTGTGCCTCCTCCTTGAGAGGTCCGGAGGGTGGCAACACTCACAGGCCTTCTCTGCAGTGGCACCTGTGGGATAAATGGGTAAGAAAAGCTTAGCATAAACAACCATACCTTGCTGTTGTAACTGCTTGCATTGCGAAGGAACAGGAAACTCGTGGTAATAAGTCAAGTTAAGAAATCACTGAGAGTAGCTGAAAGATAATGCCTTATAAGGTACTAGGAAGGTGTGTGGGTGGTTCAGAACCACAAGGGGAAAAGGAGGAGAACAGTTAGAAAACTATTGCGCATGCTTAAATAGGCTATGAATATTAGTCAAATCGCCCCTGGTGGAGCTAGAGCTAATCAGCATGATCATGGGATGTATTTAACAGGGGGTACATATCAAAGGGAAAATATGGCACCTTCATTATACAACTTTAGGTGCCAGGCAAAAACGTTCCTTTTTGACCAGGCCTTTGGTTGATTTGACTAACATCCTATGTCCTTTTAAAATGTGGGTGGTTTTGGGGGGGAGTTATTGGGTTGTTGTTTTTAATTTGATTGTGTATTTTGTGGTGTTATATTTTGATTTTATTCTGTGAACCGCCCTGAGACCTCCGGCCAAAGGGCAGCATATAAAATCAATAAACAACAACAACAACAAGGCACACTCTGGCTACATACACACTATACCTTTAAAGCACATTCAAGGGACAAATCCCCCCCTCAAAGAATTCTGGGCACTGTAGTTTGTTAAGAGTTGTAACTCTGTAAGGGGCAAATCACAGTGCCTAGATTTCTTAGAGAAGGAAAATGTGCTTCAAACGTACTTCAAATGTACACTGTATATGCAGTTTCTATCATAAGTGAAGAGCTCTGTTGCTGCAAAGTTGTAACTTTTGCCTAAAAACTGGGTGCTTATTTCAAAATGAATTGTGTGTGTCTCCCTATTTGCAATGTGTTTTGTGTTTTGTCATAGCATTTCAATGTCGTTTTGATTATCAAAGTGGCCAGTAATTTAAAAGAAAAGAAAATATAAGGTTATCTCTAACGATATCTATTATACAGCCTCATTGCATAGCACCAGCTTATCAGACAAATGTATGAGAGCATCCTCAATAATTATATCCCATAGTGAACTCTGTTGACTCGCCTGGAGAGACCTGGATTGGTTCCACATAATACGACTTGCAAAAAATATTATCACCACCAGAAGAAGCTCTTGCACAAACATGGTGGATTGCTTCAGTTCACCATTGCAAAGCCCTCAAGCTGAACTATAGTAATAAGTGAACATCCCCGCAATCAGTGGGAAATTTGTCTGGATCTTGCCATGTGGAACGAAGGTAGGCAGCAAATGGATCTGCCGGCCAGGCTTACTCTTGTCTCTGACTGATGCCAGACAACTCAAAGGAAAGGGAAAGAATAAGATCCTGTAAAGTGTGGGTTTTGAGAAGTCAACAGGGAAGAAAAAATGTCTTCAGGAAAAAAATAGAATGGACGTCCTCCATCACTGCCATCTAACAATAACTGGGAGGCACACCAAACATGTAATCACTCTTAATGACTAGAGGAGGATGATAGATCATGTCCCTCCCCACAAAAAAGTACATGTGGCAGTGGGAAACACCCAGATGTCTCCACTTGGTGCTATGTGAGTTGTGGTGCTGTGAGCAAGATACTTAAATCAATCAATCAATCCAGGGTGCACTTTAGGAAAACCTTCAACCTTTTCAATTGCAGCATGGTGAAACTTCCTCTGTACTATCAGCCTCTGGTTTTTGGTCTTTCTGGTTTTGATTATATTACCCATTCTGGGTATACAGCAGCGGGTGGGGAATGTCAGGTCTAAGGACCTCTCCATCCTGCCCTTGGGACTCTCCCTGGGTCAAGCCTCTTTCCCAGGCTACACTCCTCACTAGTCCGGCTCTACACCCTCCAGTAGCACTTCAGCTGAATTGTGTTTCTGAGCTGTTGATGATGCCTCTTACTTGTTTGGATAGAGAGATGTGGGTGAGCGCAGAAATCTCAGATTTTTGTGTGGCTAGAATATAGCCTGCTGTACAAAGGGAAGAGTTTTAGGAATAACGAAGTTACAGTGTTGACAACACCCACCCACCCACAGTTAGCATGTTTATAAGCAGATACCAAGAATGCAGACTGGTTGCAGGTGTGAGCCCACCCTAATCCCGGAAATGTGGACCTCCTCAGTATCTTTTGCATATTTTGATTTGTTCAGCAAAGTCATGCTCTTTTGCTGACTTCACAACTTTTTGCAGATTTCACAAAATTTGCTGACTTTTGCAACTTTCATAAGAACCATACCTTTTGGAAGCAGATGATCGCTGACGCTTTGAACCAACTGATCTGTCTCAATAGTGATGGGGCTAAAGCTTGACTTCCGGGTTGGTGCGAACAGCTAATGGCGGATTCTCTCCGAGCTCCGGAGGGAATCGGCTCCGCTGGGGACGGGTCTTGCCGCGACGGCGACGCGGAGACCCTCAAAAACCGCAGGCGCGGATGCCGGCGGACCTGGTGACTCGGTGGGCACCTTAAGCGCCCCCCCGACCCACGAAGAGCCTTTTTAAAGGCTACGGAGAGGGTACGGAAGGCGGCGTGGTGCTGGGAGTAGACCGCTACCCCAGCGGAGCGGAGCCGTGTGCCATGGCTGAAGAGCACTGACTTTTTTCCTTAAATTCGGAACTCGAAAAGAAGCAACCCGTGAGTAGATTGGAATTCGGACTTTAAAATATCTATCTGTGAATTTGATACGACCGGGGATGTGTTAAAGGGAAGTCCGCACCCCCCCCTTCTGCAGATGATTTAAAGCAATAGCAGGAGAACTAAGTTGGAGAGTCTACCCCTTTGGGGTGAGTTAAAAAGACATTAACTTTCACGATTTGATAAAAGAAGTTTTGAGCTGGAGTGTAAGAGTGGAATTTTAGAAGTTTTTCTCTTGTGGTGTGTAACCCCCCCCTTCCGGGCCCGGGAGCGTCCTGCCTTTGAGCCTGTTGAAGAGGAAAGGAGTTTGACAGCTGTTAAAGCTGTCAAACGGACAATTTAAAGTAAAAAAGCGTGTTATTTAAGATCTCCCTGGACTAAATGTGATACAATTGAATTAAAGTGGTTCGAAACAAAGAAACAAAGAACGAGGCAAAGGACTGTTGGGAAAAGATTACTAAGTAACCAGAGTCCCTCTAGGGGGATTCTGAGACATTACAATGGCTGCGGATGGAAATTTACTAGCTGAAATAGAAAGAATGTGTTACTTTGTGGGAACTTTACAAGAGCAGAGTCTGGCTATGAATAAACAACTTACGACCTTGACTTCTGGAATAAGCAGCTCTGCTGAATGTATTGAGGATCTGAATGAGAAAAAATCTGCAGCTGAACCGGAACAGATATCTCAAGAATTGAAGGAGACTAAACAAGGAAAGGAGAAAGCACAGATGGAAAGTACCAACCAGAAGCCTACACATGTGGATTATAAACAAGAAGACCCTTGGATTACATGGATTACAAATCTGCAAAAGATGCGAAAGATGAAGGAGGAGGCCCCTGGAGTACTTGGAATTCAAGAACTTAAAAGAAAGAAGAAATATGATGGGGGCCTCCATTCTGAATATGAAGGACTGGTGGAACTTTTGCAGCAGTTGTCTCTAAGTTTTCTTGTGGGAAGAAAATCTGGCTTGACTGGGACAGAACTCCTTCGAGATCCGAAGACCAACATAAAGGACTACCAACAAAACCGGCGGAGAGGGACTGAAAGAGACTTGAAGGCCTCGGATGTGAGAAATCCAGGCTAAGAACTGCTATTGTAGAAATGTACTTGGGAAGGGACGAACCGGGGATGGGAGGGGGGGAAAATAGAATTTTAAAAACACTTACGATTTTTGGGTCTAGTCAATATGATTGATGCTTAATAAAAAATGGGAAATCGATGGAAGGGAATCTGAGCCCAACTTAGGATAGAATTTAATCTTCTACAAAAGATGTAATATTAACAGGGTAAGGAGGTAAAATAATAACTTGCTGACATAATTATGGGAATTGGGATGTATGAAGGGGGGTGGGGGGACGTCAAGGACCAAAGTTAAGAAAGTAAGATTTTTGAAATTATACATGTTTTTTGTCTTTGTCTTTTACGTGTGTGTTATGTCTTTATAAAATGTGAAAAACCAATTAAAAAATTAAAAAAAAAAATAAAGCTTGTGGGCATACTGTTTTTAACTGGATAGGAGTGTTTATTTAACATGGCATACAATGGGATAAAGAAAAAAACCAAGGTGCACCTAGGCAAACATAATTGCTTGGCTAAATGAGGCCACCTTGTGGCAATGTATTGGTATGACTGAGGAAGAAACTTTTTTGCTTTCATTACAAGTCAGCTGAGACTGCATTCCCAGGAATTCTTACCAGGGAGTAAGTCTTTACTGAACTCAGGTGAATTTAAGATTGCACAGTGAGTCAGGAACATGAAGACAAAGGGGCTTGGGTCCCAAAATAGCTAGAAACAGATGTTTATTTTTAAAAATGATACAATTCATTTTTAAAGCCTATTATGCCTTTCCCTCTAATTCTTTTGGTGCTCCCTTTATTATTATTTTTAAATGATATTTATTAAAGTTTCAAAAAATACAAAAAATATAGAATACAGAAAAAAAGATAAAGTTTTTAAAATATAACAAAAAAGTAAAAAATAAAAAGAAACATACAAAATAAAACAGTTAAAAAGACATTAATTTTCCATAACCTATCTTCCCTACACTTCTTTCCCCGGACCTCCTCGTACCTCCCTTTTTTGTATTCCCGTTCAGTTTGTTAGTTCAGCAAATCCTTACCATTAAGCTTTTACCCAATTGTAAACCTTTTTTCATATCTCTTAAAGCATTACAGCTAAAAACCTCTTAGTTTCTATCCAACATCCTTCTAAGATTCCTTAATTTTACAATATTTATGTAAATAGTCTTTAAATTTCTTCCAGTCTTCTTTCACCAACTCTTCTCCCTGGTCTCGGATTCTGCCAGTCATTTCCGCCAATTCCATGTAGTCAATCACCTTCATCTGCCATTCTTCCAGAGTGGGTAGATTTTGTGTCTTCCTTTTTGGTGCTCCCTTTAAATCAGAGCAATTTTGCATTTCAGAAATGCAAAATAATGTTTTAAATCAAGCCCCAGTTTCTACTATAATCATTCCTAAACAAATCACACTGTAAATAGATGTAATCATTAAAATATGTCCCCCTCCCATTATTTATTCTTTCTAGGCAGGGGACTCATCTCAACTTCATATTATTTCTTAAAATGTTGAGGCCATGATCAAATATAATTTCAGTGCATAACTCCATATTGGATATGTTTAGAAAATGGTGAATAGATTGTTTATACAATGGAATTATGAGTTTGTGCTGTAGTATAGTAAGCAGAAATCAGTTACTGTTCCAGTTTCAAAATGTAGATTTCTGCTTGTCTACATTCTACAGTATGTGCTCCAGTAGCACATGCAGTGATACTGGTTAACACCATTTGCTGGCTGACTAAGCATGCAATACTAACCCACTTACTGGGTAGTAAGTCCTCTGTAATTCATTGGGAATCACTTATGAGTAGACATGGTTAGAATTGCAATCTGCAATACTGTGAGCGCTTACTTTAGAATACTAAACTCAGTGGGATTTTTTAATATACGTGGATAGGCAGAAACTATAAATGCCTATTGCATTCAGGAGGCAGTAAGTTTACTGAGCAGAACAGTGTTTTCCATTAGATGGAATAAAAATGTTTGTGTTATTTCATTTGCAGGTGGACTACAAGATTTGCATAATTGCAATGTGTAGGGATGTCAAAAGGCATAAAACAGAAATAAAGTATTGCCCAGGTGGTCTCAGCAAATTATGAAAGGCAATTTACTCCTGCAGTGGTAACGCACCTTTATTTGGGACTAAGTTGAGTTAACAGGCTTATTTCTGAATAAACAGGCTCAAACTGTAAACCTCAAGTGCAAAAATGGCCTAAAGACTCATAATTAATGAAGCACAGCAGCACTATTTTCACATGTCCCTGAAAGTGCTTCAATACATGAGGTTTAAATCACTAAGGCTCAGTCCTATATAGTGGTACTTCGGTTTACGAACAGTCCTGTTTATGAACTATTCAGTTTACGAACTCTGCAGAACAGGAAGTAGTGCTCTGGTTTGTGAACTTTACCTCGGTCTACGAACGGTGGAAGGGCACTGGCGGCGGGAGGCCTCATTAGGGAAAGCGTGCCTCAATTTAATAATGGATTTGGTTTAAGAACAGACTTCAGGAACAGATTAAGTTCGTAAACCAAGGTACCCCTGTATTCACTTAGCCAGGGTAAGTCCTATTGAGCTCAGTAGAATTTATTTCTGAGTAGACATTTATGGGCTTGCACTGCACAGCAACATCCTAAACTCATTTACTTGACTCAAGGAACTCAGTAGGACTGACTTTTGAGTGAAGATGAATATGATCAGACTTCACCCTTCTTGTATTCTATAAAGCTTTTTGCAGAGAACTTCTCTTCAGAATCTCTCCTCCATCAGATAGAAATGAGCAAAACAACATGCTTGGACTACTAATGGGCCACAAAACTGTAGAACAAAAGATGCCCACCTTGGAGTTCAGTCCATTCTTGCAGCTGTTTGCGTTCCCTTTCATAGCTCTGGGAAAGAACCATGACTCCTCACTTGGGGGAAGTTCTGCCTACAGTATTCCCTGCTAGGACAGAACCCATATCCTTGGCATGCTGGGTTTTCTAAAACAATGTTTTCAAAAATCTTAATTCTTGAATATTATTTTGCTTACATGTGTGATATAAATATAGCTTAATGTATAGCAGGTGACTGAGCTCACTTGCTTTGGTTATCTGGTTTGCATGCACAATTAGTTCTTGTTTTGTGCTTGGGACATATGTTGTTTCCAGATGACCAGTTTATTGAGCATTCATCCTGAGTTGTTTGCTGGGAAGATATATGAAGCCAGCTATTTAGTGAGTATTCATTCTGATCTGTTTGTATATGATGCCTCTTCAAGCAATTGTCATCCAACACTTTCCAGTGCCTTTTCCCATCAAGTTCCTGACTATAAAATTTCAGATTTATATAGAAATCTGTTTGTAGTTTGGATTGTGTGTTATGTTGATACATGTTGGTCTGCTATCATGTGCTGTTGTATATTGTCTGATTGAATGATAGAACAGGTTGTAAGCACACACACACAGATATATACCTTAAATGAGAAGAATGCTTTTGCTGGGCTCTGTCCCTTTACGGTCCAGCTACAAAAATGTGATGCTGAAGTTGGTTACTAGTTCCCAGTTTCTTATTTGCATAGAAGTTTGAAACACAGCTCAGTCAGAAAAAAAGCTGAAGTTGTTATGTCCCTAAAATAAGCTTTGACTGAGCTATATTTCAAACTGTCATGCAAATATAGAGTAGGGGACTTCAGCATCATCAAAAATACTGCCTTTCAAGATTTGACAATACACTTTTGATATGTATTTTAATATTGTTCTACACTGTCTAAACACAGGAGGCATGTAGAAATGTTTTAAATAAATAATAACCAATGTAGGCTTAATATTTAAACCGCAAATTGGGAAAATGGTTTTTTTTTTTGTGGTTTTACTGTCAGGTTGCGAATTTTCAGTACCTTGAAGATTTAACAGCGGTATTGTGACATATATTTGTGTGGACCAGATGGCACCTTTTCATATGCATGACTTGCTATCCTCAGCCAGTGGATGCACCCATCTGAACATCTCTGTATGCCTATATAGACATGCACACACACATGTGTGTGTAATTATGCCTGTAATCCACCAGGCTGTGAATTTTTATTTTATTTTATGGTGGGGGGCGTGAACTGGGCTCCGGTGCTTTTACCCTCCCACCTTCTCATGTATGTTAGCCGGGTAAATTGTTATCTGACGAAACAAGCTTTGGTGTCCAAAAACCTGACGCCGCTATAAATTCTGTTTTGCCTTGCTGTAGGCTCCACACAAGCCTCTGTGTGTTTTGCTGTAACCCACCAACGGGGCTCACACGAGCGTTGCGAATAACAGTCTCAGCAACAAAGGAGCGTGACTTTTATATAAGCGCGAGGCGAGGAGGAGAAAGGAGAGCGAATGAATCAACTGCGGCGGGCGAGGGCGCACCTCCGCCTCACGAGCCGCTTCAACCCCCCGGCTACCCTCCGCCCCACACAACGCTCCCCCGCCCTTTCCGAGCCTCCTAACGGACAGCTGCTGCCATTATGGGAGAACCCACGAGCCCCTTGCTTAGAAGACCAATCCCAGTTTTAGGTCCCGCCCCTGCTGGCATGCCATTGGCTGGCGGAGCCGGCGCTCTGCAGTCCTGGCCTCGGGGTGCTGCTGAGGCGATTTCTGAGGTGCAGCCGCGGCTTCGAAGGCTCAGACGAGCGAGGAGTCGAGCGGAGCGGAGGAGACGCTGCTACCGCTGCTGGGACCTCCGGTCCCTTCTCCCGCCGTGGCCTCATGCCCAGCCGCGCTGCCCCCGTTTGGGTGCCTAGTGGAGGGGTTGCCGGGCTTCTCCTCCTCCTCCTCCTCCGCCTTTTGGGGCGGTAGCTGGGGCAGGGGAAAAGAGCGGCGGTAGAGCAGCCGCTGCCCCCACCCCCGGCGTTTCCCGCCCTCCGAACAAAGGCGCCGCCAGAGGCCCCCGCCTCGCCCTCCGCTGCGAGATGGCGTCGTTCAACATCGGGGGACTCAACGCCTCCTCTCGGAGGAGAAGCGTCCATTCCCGCAACGCCACTGTCGAGAGGCGGAATCTCATCACCGTCTGCAGGTGAATTGGCTCCACACCCCCCCCCCCACACACACGCAGGAACACGGGTTTGTCTCCGTATGTATAGGGCTGCATGTGTCGTCGATAACCCCGCTCAGTTGGCGGTCCTGCTCTGCAGTGCGTGCCCAGCAGACCCCCGCTGTGCTTCAAGGGGCTTGCACAGTAAATGCCTTCAGGTTTTGCTGCCTTAATCCGGAGTAAGCGCCACCACCCCGCGCTCTCTTTTTCCGTGCCGCTCTTGCATTTAACAGCAGGGAGGGAACCCCAGCTTCTTCTCCCCCGCGCTGGCTCTGAATGGTGGTGGGGTGTGTGAAAGGATGCTCAGGGCGCAGCTAAACTCTGCTCAGGTAGACTTCGGGACCAGAATAGGGAATTCCCTCTACTTTTGCATTCGTCTTCTCTCTCTCTCTCTCTCCCTCCCTCTCCTCCTTACACCTTCCTGATGCTGCCCCTTGAGCATCTGTGCAGAACTTTTTCCCATCTGTGAATTTGCTACATCTAATTGCATGTGCGCTGTTAGATGTGTCAAGTGGGGGATCCTGTGACAGTTTCTGAGACTGGAATGTGATCTGTGTTTAGGGCATTTGTATGGTGAGTGAAGGTGTATAGCCTGCCTGATTCTGGCCCCATCAGGTGCTTTTGATGATTCATAGAATTACAGAGTTGGAAGGGACTAGTCATCTAGTCCAACCCCCTGCAATGCAGGAATCTTACGCTCAACATGGGGCTTGAACCCACAACTCTGAGATTAAGAGTCTCATGCTGTACTGACTGTGAATGCCAAGAGCGAAATATTACTATACTAAGCCCTTGAGTTTGTATTTGCCCCATTAGCTATACAGGATGCAATCTCTCTACCTCGCAGCTCAGTTATACTTGAACCAGATCTCAGCTTGACAACAATCTGTGTTGAATGTCATGGTACTACTCCAAAGCATATGGAGGGAAAGTGATGTTCTATTAATGTGACTACGGAAATATGACTAAGGAAAACACAGGGTATGTCTCTGCAGAAGAGAACTGGTGTAACAGTAATGATGACAAGCTCCTATTACTAATGGGGGGCAAAACCTTCCCCTTACCACAGATACTGTGTCTGGCTTAGTTCACATATGTTTGTGTCCCTGGAGTTCTTCCCCATACAAATGAATGGTTTAGCTTTGCCATTCATTCTATTGGGGGGAGATTAAAGGCTGCTTTTGTGGCACTGTTATAATAAAGGCAAAAAATGTCTCACACGGAATGGCATAGATTTCACTGAACCATGGTGTGTCACTGCATCTCACCAGGGAGCAGTCTCACCACCCAGCTCCATCTTTAATAATGATGTGCATTTTGCTGGTCCATTGATATCAGCCTCTTCCTAGCATATATGTGCTTTCTCTCTGTAATGCTCCGTTCATAACATTCTGTCCAACTCTAGCAGTCTCAGAGTTTGACTATGAATATGAAGTGTTACGTCTATCAAAACATTTGTTTGAGTTCCATAGGACACAATAAATAGGTTGAAGTCTAAGATATAGCTGGGGTAAGGCAAACCTACCATTCTCACCAGACATTGGGATCCCTGAGTGTAGGAGCTTAGTATCTCCCATGTCAGTGAACATCTCACATTTGGTTCTATGGGTAAAACCCCCCCACTGCACTTAAGAACAAGGTTGCAGTGGAAGACAACCTGTCAAGCCACCAGTGGGGATACCATGGGAGCTGCAGTGGTCCAGACATGCATATATGTCAACACTTCCATCCCTTCAGGCTGTATTTGTGGGAGAGGCTTTTCTCTCTCTCAATTATCTATGCAGGTTCTGAGTTGGAAGAAGGGAAAACATTCCTTGTTTCATTGTTGGTATGGGTTTGTGTTTTGTTGAGGGGAATGAGAGGGTGGCTAGGTGTGAAAAAGCCAGATTGGCTCTGTTGCCTTTTCCAGAACAATGGTCTCAGTGCTGGTCTGATGGTATGGAGTGGTCAAGGTAAATGCAGGCATGTAATGGAACTGAAGAAAATAGGGGAAGTGATCAGTCCCCTCTTTGCTCATCATGTGATGCTCCCTTCCCAAATTAATGACAAACAGAATAGTATTCCTTTTTAAACTTTATTTATTAAATCAATAATATATACTTCAATTACATACACAAATAAAGAAAAAGCAACGCATTTGAATGAAAATTAATCATGGATAATACAAATTTGGGTCATTTCATTCAGAATCCTGGGGGGTAGGGGTGGGAATATTACTGAGAGGCAGTAATATTTTTTTTAAATATTTGTTTTATTGTCTTCCAGGTCTTATGATATTCACACTTAAAGCTGAAAAGTTAATAAATATTCCAAATACTAGTGTATTTTGCAGGAAGCATTTGAACATTGCTATCATCATCTGTTGTAAATATATATTACAATCAGGAAGACTTGGCTTAAATGTGGTTATAGCCATATTTATGTTTATGGGTGTTTTTCTTTACCTTTGTGGAATTTCACATGCTCAGCTTCTTGTATAAGCTGGCATGCTGACACTTACACATGCATATTTACATGTTCCAGAGTCATAGATGGTTGGTAAATTAATGCTGAATGTTCAGGCACCGGAAATTCATTTATGTGTAATGGCACATTCTTGGAATCCTGCACAGGCAAACATGTATTTCTCTTACAAAAAAGAAGAAGAAAAAGGCTGGCACAGTTAAAACTAAGGCTCTAAACATTAATGGTGCCATTACTGTATTCTTAGTTCATCTATTCTGTAGAAATTGCCTTTCATTTAGCTCTATACATTAGAAGTAGATTTTTCTGTATTATAGCATGTTAATTGGTTAATTTCAGTCAGAAAACCCCAGGGTTTAATTATCTCAACTTAGAACTATATTTGGGGAGGTTTTTAAATGTGAACTGGGACACATTGTCATATCAAAATGTGAGTAAAAAAGAATGCTATGGGTGTTGAACTCACACTGTGGGTAACTTTCAGTGAATTTAACACCCACAAACTTGTCATGTCTCACATACAGTGGTGCCTCGCAAGACGAAATTAATTCGTTCTGCGAATTTTTTCGTCTAGCGAATTTTTCATCTTGCGAAGCACGAAATCCCATAGGAATGCATTGAAAATCAATTAATGCGTTCCTATGGTCAAAAAAAGTCCAAACAAAGCCAAATTTGGTACAACAAGAGTTTATTAAGTGCTCTTTAAAGTCACACATACTGTAAAGAGCATTTCAAAATTCAAACCCAGAATTTTTTTAAAAACAGCAGAGTTGCCCAATGGTCACAGAAAATCATAAAAATGCAGGAAAAAAACAAGCTTCCAGATTCTTGCAAACCCCTCCCCAACTGTTCCCCCAGCCACCCAGCACACAGAAATTCAAATCCAGAATTTTTTAAAAAAAAAACAGCAGAGTGGCCCAATGGTCACAGAAAATCATAAAAATGCAGAAAAAAAACCCACAAGCTTCCAGATTCTTGCAAACCCCTCCCCAACACCAAGTCCTTGAATTCCAAACACCCCAACCCAAAATCCAAACCCCCCCAAAAAAGTTTTAAAAGCTTAACTTACCAAATGGCTGCAAAAGAAGTTTTGGAAAAGCTTCAAAAATCACCAAAGTCTTTAAAAACCTCAAAAAGGCTACTATGTACACTGCGTTCTATGAGTTGCTCCTCGAAGTCAAGTCGCAACTGTATTAACAGTGTTAAGAGAAGGAAACAAACTTGCAAGACGTTTTCGTCTTGCGAAGCAAGCCCATAGGGAAATTCGTCTTGCGAAGCAGCTCAAAAAACGGAAAACCCTTTCGTCTAGCGAGTTTTCCGTCTTGCAAGGCATTCATCTTGCGGGGCACCACTGTAATTCAACTGATAGCCCTCTCCAAGTCCTGTTCTCCCGCTTTCATCCTCCAGATTTGTGCCACTTTGTGTCCTGTATTTAGTTTCTGTGAGAATTCATTGTAGTTTTAAAGTATGAAGACAGACTAATGCTCTCCTCCCCTCTGCTGTAACAGAGAGATAAGATGCGTACTTGCTGCCAATATTTGATTTTAAAAAGCCTCAGAGCATATACTTAATTCCTAAGCTCTGTTATTCAATACTTGTTCAGTTCTTCTAGCAAAGCTTTGGAAATATGTACTTGCCTGCTCATTTGTAGCAGTCAGAATGGTCTTCAGGCAACCAAGCATAACCTCATCCTTACTTCTGCATATGATTGTGCTCTCTCCTGCCAGATGTATCTACAAATACATCTTTCCATTATGTTTTTTGAATTGGAACGATTAAGTACTGTGCGGTGGCTGCTACATCTGCAGTCCAGGTTTGATACAGACAGGCTGAGTACCAACCTGACAGCACCAGTAGCTGTGATTCTCCAGTTGAGTAAATGCAGCAATGTACTATAGGTGTTTATCATGCAACTAGTGAGATGGGGATGGGTGGGAGGGAGGTACTATTGTGTATCTGTATGAGTGGTGTTTTACTTTACCCATTTTATTATTTCGAAGTGTTTAATATCTAACTTTTTTAAAAAAAAACACAAATTGTGTAGTGTATATCACTCAGTTACTACTATCTGGGGGAAGAGAAATTAGGGCAAGCTCATTGGCCCCTTCCACATCATTGCGTTCCCATTACCAGATTCATCATCTTCCACATACTAGAAGTCTATCAGGAAGCCTTCTGTGTTCATGTAGGCTTCCCATCTGAAGGAGTTTAGAATGCTCTTCCGGGGAACTAACTCAAAACTTTTGATAAAATACTTTGGATAATATCCATTGTAATCTGAACTTCTTAACAGAACAAATATACCACTTTGAAGAGGCACAAATCAACTGCTTGATTGGCTGTGGAGTATGAGATGTTGCATACTAAGGTGGAATATAGTGAAAAAAACCTCAAATATTGTTGAAATCTAAAAGTATTTGTTTTGGAAATTACAAACAGTGCTGTGCTTTTGTCAAGAAATATGCTTCTCTAAAATACTCTGCTGTCCAACCTGCATTATATTTTAACATGAATTAAACTCATGCTTTTTGTATCTTAGGTTTTCTATCAAGACCCTAATTGATCGATCCTGTTTTGAAACTATTGATGATTCTTCTCCTGAATTTAACAATTTTGCAGCCATTCTGGAACAGATTTTAAGCCATAGACTCAAAGGTAACTTTTCTGATTTTATGTTATATGGCACTGAATCATCTGCCTATACATTGCAAATATAAATGAGGTTTAGGCTGTTTTAATTGTTATGGCTTCATCATAAAGAACAGACATTTTATCATTCAGGCATATATATTTTAATTGTTTATTTCTCTTTCTGATATCTGTTTCAGGTCAAATCACTTGGTTTGGTTATGAAAGTCCTCGTAGCTTCTGGGATTATATTAAAGTAGCTTGTCGCAAGGTTTCACATAACTGCATCTGTAGCATTGAAAATATGGAAAATGTCAGTTCTTCAAGAGCTAAGGTGAGAAGACTATTCATTTTTAAACTTTCTAATTTATAGCTGATGTCCCTATGCTATTTGCTGCTGTTAAACATTTTATATTGATAGATATATGCAAAAGCTTTCTGTGCTGGTTTATTTTGAGGTAAATTAATGCTGTGAACAGGTCAGGAACCTTATATTTTATTAAAGCCTGTAAGACTTGTTATATAACTTCACTCGTTCATGAGTTTTTGATTCTACCTTCTGTGAGGAGCCCAAGTGGTGTGTCTTTGTGGTTGCATGTGTGTTTTGGAAAGCAATAGATGATGTTACTGCTCTAACCATGGGTCTGTAAACATGATCATTGCTATCATCAAAATGCTGTTTTAAATACTGCATTTGATCAGATCTCATAACATGAAAACTTTAGTATGAATCTTTTTCTGGTGAGTGTAGGTGTGTATTAATATTTTGAGTTTCATATAACTGCATCTCAAAGGATTCTTAACTTGAAAGTTTCCATATGGTTTCCTGACAAAAACAGAAATAGTACAATAAATTTTATTTTGTATTTCTTAACTTGTTAAAGCACAAATGTATTGTTCATAACTTTTGGGGGGGGAATGTATGAAAAATCTGTTAAACTGGTAGGACATTGTAGCCCTGTGGATGAAAAGTTAGCCATTCTTGCACATCTATTACCTATTTCCTACTTGTCAGGAACTTTGTTAACAAGCAGAAGAAAAACTTAGGTAAAAGCAGTGGTCACAACTTTCTTAAGCTTGGGTGGGTTGCAGGAATATGTTTTCTGTGAAGACTGCTGTTAGATAATTATATCTTGCTTCTCAGATTAATGATTGTTTCTAGAAAAACAGTACTGAGTCTGAATGATATAGCCCATTCTACCACCTTATTCTATGGTATATGGAAACAGCCTGGTGTGTGTGTGGGGAGGTGTATAGGACAATAATTTGTGATATTTTGGTTTGCCTAAAAAAGATAATGCCCTAGTATTACCATATACGGTGCGCAGTGATGTACATTTATTTAAGGGTGGATGCATGATGCAGGCTGGGTTCACATATGGACTGTGTGGTGGCATGCGTGAATTGTTGGTTTGCAAGCCCCCTCCATAGAGGCTGGCCCCTCTCACTGTCCTCGGAGCTTGCTTACCGGTAACCTCCTCTGGCTGATATCTCGGACAGACCAGGGAGATTTTGATAGGCGACATTTTCCCAAGCGTGGGTAAAATGCACAACCCCTCCCTCCTGCTTCCGCAGGGGAAAGAAAATAAGTCAGAAATCTATTTACATGATGTTTATTTCTGACGTTACAGCACTAGAGAAAAACACGTCCTTTCAGTTCAGTTCTTCTAGCACGTCTGACAAACTTCCTGAACATGCACAGTCGGAAGGTTTCAAGTTACACTCTTCACAAAGACTTATCCAGCCTGCGAACATCCGGGGAAATTCTTCTTTCCCACAGATAGGCGCATCATGTGATGTCAACAATCTGGCTGTCTGCAGCTGTGATGTTTCCATATACTGACATGAATATGCAGGAGACAAGTGGTGAGAGTTCAGCTGTCATCTGGTTTGGATGACTTAGAGGAAACCGTTACTGCTCTGTGCTTTCATTGTGCGTTGGCACTAACAAGTACTTGAAAGAGATTGCTTTAAAAAAACACAAAAACCCACCCACCAGAATTGCTTACAATTCTGAGTACTTGCTTATTTTTTAATTTTTTTAAAAAATGAAATCTACTGGGGTTTTGCTGCAATAAGATTTGTTCACTTTAGACTTAATTTGGGGAGAAATGGACTGCAGGTGAATGATCACCAAGTGTGAAGCTTATTGCTTTGCTTATTGCTATGTGACACTACTGTTTTCCTTCTGTCAGCTTGAATGGTTTTCAGAGATATAAATTGTATCCAGTTGTTCAGTCTAACAATACCTAATTCATGGCTGCTTCTTTTTCAGGGAAGAGCTTGGATTAGAGTAGCGCTTATGGAAAAGCATTTGTCTGAATATATTTCCACAGCTTTGAGAGACTTCAAAACAACCAGGTATTAATCTCCTTTATTCAACAAAAAATTGAAGTATATTTCAAAAGTTCATCTGTGTAATTCTTTTATTACCCCAACATTTGTTCAATTATTGGGACTTAGTCATTTTTCACTTTTCATCTTTTCACTTTTTGCGCTAAAAATGATTATAGAAGGAAGGTCCTGATCAGCCAGATGTTTATCTTCTCCCTCCCCAGCTGGCTCACTTTGACAGATGGGTGGGACATCATCTGATATTACAGTCACATCAGGTCACTGATATGTGGATGGACCCACCCTCTTGTCAGAGTTGACTTACATTGGTGGGGGTGAGGACAGTAACCAGAAAAGCAGCAGCTATCAGGATGAAACTCATCAATTCAGTCTCTGCAGGTTTCTGAGCAGGCTTTAACACACACACCCCATCAGTTGATGAGTGGGGGGTAAAATTTTGCTGCCTTGTGGGGAACTGGTGTGCACAAACAACACGGGATTGAACCCCACCCTCATCCATAATCTGACATCACCTGCCCATTGAAGAGATGTCAGTGGATTGACTGGTGGGCATGGTTTTTGGAAAAATGGTGTTGCGGGCCAAATTGGATCCCCTGCTTTATATAGTGATGGAATACCGAAATCTAGCACATGCTGGATAATATGTTTCTTTTTTAGAGTAACACTTTATACTGGCCAGTTGATTTGATTAAATAGGGTTTAACACTTGTGTGCCCATTTCACAATATCCTTGAAAACTATGGGAAGAGTTGAGGTTCCTGTTGCAGTATTGAGCAAAGTAGTTGTGTTAACTTTGTAAATATGAAATTGCTAGCTGACAATGCTGATTGTTTAGTTTGTCTTTAACTTTGTGTAGCTAGCATGTCACTAAAATGGCAGAGAGTATAACTGAACTGGAAATTAATCTTATAGAAGATTCTATGAAGATGGAGCAATTGTCCTTGGAGAAGAAGCAAACATGCTAGCTGGTATGCTGCTGGGCCTCAATGCTATTGATTTCAGGTATTGCTGTGGATTTAAAACTTTTCTGTGGTATAAGGTTGTTGAAGTATGAGGAAGGGAAGCTTATGAAATTTGGCATTGGAAGTAACTCTAAAAATTCATAAACTTATTTTGTTCCATATATAATTAAAGGATTTGTCTTCAATTTTTGGGTGTCCTAAAATGCCAGTCTGAAACTTGTATCCTGTTTTAAATCTAGTTTATTGCACGGTACCTTTTCATTATGTTTTTAGTTGTAGAGTTGAGCATATAAGTGCAGTTACATGCTCAGTATTCAGGAAGTTAGCTTTGCTGAATGTCATCAGAAGATGGGAGGAGTGTCTTGTTTTTCCAAGGTAAAACTGGAAATCTACACTAAGTGTTACATCAGATGTAACACTATGCTGTGATTTAGTATTATGTTAACCTTCGCAAGCTTCAGACTTACATGCTCCCTTCTCCTGGCACTCTTGCAAGGAGGAGATCAGAAGCATTTGCTTCCTAGTTTTAAACTGACCACAGATCCCAGTTGAGAGAACTGTGATTAAACAATGGTTCATGAACAGCTAACATTATAAACCATATGTTTGATCCTGGCTTGTCTGAACTACCCACAATTTCTGCAACTTCAGATAAAGTGGGGAGCTGTGGTTAATTTTAAAACTGAAAGTCTCCTTGGGGCTGCATCAAAGGAAGAAAGGGGAGGGTGTGTGTGCAAGTTTGAGAGTCATGCAGATTTATTCATGGAGTGCCAAGTCATAATTTAGTGTTATGCTCAATCAATCCCTATTCTGGGACTAAGGGTTTTCTGTTTGCCACTCAGCGCTTTATAGTAACCATAGCTATCTGTTATATGGCAGAATTAAATAGTTCCTACTAATATCTCCTCAGTTTTACCTTTGAGAGTGGTAACATCAAGTACAATACAATAATTGTATTGATTTTTTATATATTTATTGAAATAATTATAGACTGCACTTTCATTTAAAATATCACAAGAATTCTTTCTTGATTCAACACAAGCCTAACTCTTCATTACTGAAAATAGTTTCCATATCTCATGTATACTGGCAATTTTGGGAGAAAATCAAATTATATGCTAAGGTTATTTAGTATTACTATCATTTCATTTTCTTGATTTAATATGATTACTGATTTCTTGCCTTGTATAAGCTTCTGCCTCAAGGGAGAGGGCCTGGATGGCAACTATCCAGCTGTGATAGACTTCACACCTTACCTGAAGTTCACCCAAAGGTACCTTTTTATTCTCGTAATTTCCTCTTGGCTGTAAACTTTAACTTACACCAGGCTAGCTTTACATTTATTTATCACTTCAAACACTTCAAAGTGGTTTTCTGCTTGTCCTGTATGTGGGTCCGAGTGGTTTTGCCTTTGCCCCACTGTTTCCCCCCAGAAAACCTCCTTAATGCGAAATTGGAACTAGCAGCAGTCTGCAGAAAACCCAACTGATGTTTGTTCTGATTCAGCACTAAACCACAAGTTTTCCCAGGGGAAAGCGGTGGTGCAAACAGAAGTGTTGTGAACTGCCTTGAGATCTTCAAATGAAGAGCAGTATACTAGATAAATAAATGTGTGACTGAACCCTAATACTGAGTTCCCAGTGTTTTGCACAAGGGAGAACTTGCAACTTCTTGATGCGTGTGTAACAGATTTGAACAATTGCATCCAACTCTAGTTAGGGATCTCTTCAACAATGGCTTGCATTTCTAAAGCAGTGTATAGATCTTTCAGCTGAATTTTGCAACAAGCTGTTCTTGGTTCTCAAACTTGGTCCTTCAGTTCTGACAGCATCAGTAGTGATGAAGAAGAGCTAAGAACTCTTGGCAGTAGTGGCAGTGAAAGCAGCACACCAGAAAACATTGGTCCTCCTTTCAACATGGATGAGAACAGCTGGTACAACAAATGCAAACGGGTGGAGCAAAAATACCGCCTCACACTGGAGCAGAAGGTAAAACCTTACTTTGGCTGAAAGAAGCTGAAGATATTTGGTGTGTTACAATTGTAAATAGAAAATGTTAGAAACTTTATTTTAGAGAAATTTGTTCTTACCATTGGAAAATAATTGCTTTATTTTGGTATGACTTTCCAGATACGGAAACCTTCAGACATGGCTGCTTTAAACAAAAAAGGAGCTCACTAGAAGTATTTCACATTTACTTTCCTCTTGCTGTAAAAGCTCACAACTAGCCTAATGGTAGCACATGACGTCAATATAGATTATATCTCCCAAAATAAGAGTGCTTAGGAAGGACTCGGAAAATAGTAGATTATCTTTCATTTTAAAGAAGAGCAGAAAAAAAGATCAAAGACTTGACATACCATCTAGAGAATAGAAGCCTCTAGGATGCATCTCTTTACCCTGGCTTTTGACACTTGAGATGTGTATTTTCAAGACTCACCCATTTGTTTTGCCTGCTCTTAATACTGAATTTTAAATTATTGTAACCCTGGAGCCTGCTGGTGAAGGGTGGATAGTGAATTTAATAAAAATGATGAAGTTGATGTCACTCTGTGCAAATATTGGGTCTGGCGAAGGAACAACACTGTTGTTTTGGCAATTCATCTGTGCTGAAGCCATGGTTTATTCCACATCTCCCCTCTGCACCCATTGAACTTAAGCCTCAGCCACTGATAGAAGTAACTGTGCTCAAAAACACTTTAGCTATAACTACTAAATTTAAAAGACGCTTTGACTATGTTTTAGTAAAAGTGGCAGGTACTTTTTGAAACTACTAATTCAAATTATTCCCAAAACAATTACTCCTATCGCCTGAGTTGCAAATCTAAAACACTAAAAGTAATGTGGAATGAAAGTTGCAGAACTTTTTCTTCTTCTTGGATGTTTTGTGTCATGTAAGAACATAAAACAGAGGAAGAGCCCTGCTGGATCAGGGCTGAGGTGCATCTAGTCCAGCATCCTCACAGTGGCCAACCAGACAAAGCAGGCATATTAACAGAAAACACCATGGAAGCTTTCCCACCCTTCTGGGGTAACTGCAGCTTTCATTGGTCCAGCTGAACTATTACAATATTCTGAGTCCCAGCTCCTTTAGTAAAACTACACATTAAACACGTTCCTGGCAACACACTATAACAATTGGAAGGCTGCCACACCTCCTGCTATTAATGGCAGATGTATTCCCGACATGTTAATAACAGAACTGTACTGTATACAAAACTACTTATTTGTTAAACATAATGATTTAAATAGTTTTTTTTATTGATAGTTAATTACCAAAGAATAAGTTTTAACATTTTCTAACTACTTGTTTCAAGAAGTATCAAATGCAAGAGAGCTCACCAAAATACTTTAAAAATAAATTTTAAAATATTAGTTGCTTGGTTTGCAAATTTTGCAGTACAATTAATACTTATGTGTTTCTAGGGTTATCTAGAAGAGCTAGTACGCCTTAGAGAGACCCAACTGTCTGAATCCATCTCTCAGAAGAAGTTATTGCGTCAGAAGGTAGAAGCTATGGATTTGGCTCATAAAATGGAAAAGGAACAACTTGAGTACATCATTGTGGAACTGCAAGACCAGCTGTAAGTTGGATGCGGTGCAGAGAACTTGATGGAGAAGTAATGTTTTTTGAATAATACTGTAGTTTTTTGGTCATTATATGAAAAAATCCAGCTCATATGTTAATCAAATTAATGTAGTTCAGTTACAAAAACTGAAATTATATTAGAAAATCCTTGGGGGGAAAACCAATTTTTTATTTATTTCCAAAAATGTATACTGCCCACTATTAAAAAAAAATCATGGCAGTGAACAGCATAAAATACACAATAAAATTACATTCATAAAACAAGTACAAAATACATCACAAATAAATCAAATTAATACATCAGCATAGCTGGATCACCCCTCAGGGAAAACTTGGGTTAAGATTTAAGCAGGTGCCTAAATGTCAGTGCTGTAGGTGCCTGCCTGATGTTCATTGGAAGCATTTTCCAAAGGACACATGTCACCACACAAAATGTCCTCATCTTAGTGGACATAAGATGAACTGTAGGAGCATACAAAACAACTAAGACTGCCTCTCTTGAAGACTGATGTACCTGGCCAGTGGCATACAAAGTAAGGAGTTCCCAGAGGTAACAGGTTCCAGGTTGTTCACGGCTTTATAAGTCAATAACAAGACCTTAGACTTGACTCGGTAGCATATTGGCAGCCAGTGTAGCACTTTGAACACAGGTGTTATGCACTGTTGATAGGGCATCTGCTATAACAACCTTGCTGCAGATGCCTTATCCAGTCTTAAGGGAAGGCCCACAAAGAGGGCATTGCAGTAATCCAATCTAAACTGAATGCCTGGACTACAGTAGTTAAGCTATGCTAAGCTATGGTATCTACCAGTCCAGGAATAGTTGGAGCTGTTGCGCCAGCTGACATCCAGTAGCAGTTCTAAGCTACACACCTGCTTCTTCAGAGGGAGAGTAACCTCACCCAGAAGAGGCAGCTAACCTATTTTCTGAATCTGGGAACCTCTCGCCTACAGAGCTTTTACCAGCTTTCTTTATTGGTCCTCATCCAGCCCACCACTGTTCCCAGGAACTGATCCAGCTTCTGTGCCAGATGCCACCTGAGTCAGATGTTTTGGAGAAGTAGAATTGGGTGTCATCAGTATACTGGGTGCCAGCAACATGTTGACACTGTGTTCCAAATGGCTTCTGCTCCCAGGAGATTGGCCAATAGATTTCTCTGAATGGGTACAAATTTTTTCATATCACAAGAACAAATACAAGGACAACATAGCAATCTGAATTGCATGAAAAAGATTGCCCTAGGCAAAAGTTACTCATCTTATGACCTCTGTGGAAACTGCAGAGGCCACCCTTGTAAGCTCCCAAAGTTCTTTAAAAGCATAAGCCACTGTCCCTTTCTTTCAGCTAATGCAGGGGCACAGGTTCCAGTGGGCATGTGGGCCACTCACTTGTCAATCACTTGACATCACATCAGGTGACCTGTTTTTGCCTGCGTAGTTTGAAATAAAGCTATACAGATAAAGACCCAGCACTGTCCACTGATACTGAGGGCTTGCAAGGGTCTGTGAATGGGGCTCTGCACAGGGCTGCAATCCCCTTTGGGCCCAGTCTTTGCCTGCTTTGTAGGGCAGGTGAGCATGGCTTTGTCAAAACAACCTTCCAGAAGAGGTTTGGTGAGTCTGTTTAGGCCTGTGCTAATGGCTTCCCTGTCATTCCCCATGTTGTGGGAATGGGATGTATTTCTTCTTAAGAGATCTAGAGAGGGTTTTCCTTTAGTCTGTTGCCAGTTGTTGGAATGAACATATCCTAGACTCGAGGGCCTTTCAGAAGAGTCACTCAGAATAAACTGGAATAGGAATGGAATCTCTGCCTCAACATATGGATTCCATATTCTCCAATAAAAGTGTATAAACAACTGCATACTAATTTCCATATTATGATGTATGTGTAAGATTAAAAGGTAAAGGGACCCCTGACCATTAGGTCCAGTCGTGACCGACTCTGGGGTTGCGGTGCTCATTTCACTTTACTGGCCGAGGGAGCCGGCGTACAGCTTCTGGGTCATGTGGCCAGCGTGACTAAGCCGCTTCTGGCGAACCAAAGCAGCGCACGGAAACGCCGTTTACCTTCCCGCCAGAGCTGTACCTATTTATCTACTTGCATTTTGACGTGCTTTCAAACTGCTAGGTTGGCAGGATCAGGGACTGAGCAACGGGAGCTCACCCCGTCACGGGGATTTGAACCGTGACCTTCTGATCGGCAAGTCCTAGGCTCTGTGGTTTAACCCACAGCGCCACCCGCCTCCCTATGTGTAATATTGGGTATAAGCTATTATTATTATCACCCTTCATCCAAAGATCACAGGGTAGGTAACAACCTAAAAATACAAAATAAGAACACAAAATACACAATAAAACAAAAAACAAGCCAGCAACCCCCCTCCCTGCCCACAAACCTATTTAAAGGGCCATAGAATGTTAATCAGCCTAAGGCCTGGTTGAGGAGATGTTTTCACCTATTGCCTAGAGATATGTAATGAGGGTGCCAGGTGACCCTCCCTGAGGAGAGCATTCCAGAATGGGGAGCCACTGCAGAAAAGGCCTGTTCTCATGTTGCCACCCTCTGGACTTCTTATAAAGGAGGCTCATGGAGAAGGGCCTCAGATGGTGATTTCAGGGTCCAGATTGGTACATACGGGTAGAGGTTAAAGCTATTCTAGCTTTAGATAAGACATTGCATGTGACTCTTGAGATATTTTTCTTGGCAGGTTTACTTACCTTGGACAATGTATAAAGGTTTGACTTATTAGATACTTCATTTTGAACAACTTTTAATTCTCATTCAAATTTAAAAATACCACGTTATTAGAAATTTGTCAAATATTTGTTAACTGAGATTGATGACACCTAAGTGCTGTAGTTATAGTTGCAGTGATACTTAGGTAGATATGTAATATTTTCTTCTTTATATAATTTTATTAATTTTTCATTAATAACAATCCAATGTAGATCACATTAATACAATACCAAATCATAATTCAGTTAAAAAAGCCAATTGTCAGATTCCAAATTAAACATTTTGGTCGACTTCCCAAAGTTATGTTGACTTCCCATGTTAGGAGATTTTTAGGAGATATTGATTCCTTGTTCCCACTCCAATCTCCTTATTTAATCCAAATAATACAGTTCTGATGCTGGTCCTTTATTTTAACAGCTACTGATGTGTTGACTTTTGTTCATATTTATCCTTTAATTTGCAAGTGGACTTTATATCTGGTAACTCTGTGTGGAATGTTTTTTTTTTTTTAAAGTTCAACCTTCCTTTCTTGTTGCAATCAATCATTTTCAGCATTTCCCCCCCGCCCCCACTCCAAGGACTCAATTTTACTGCGTAGTGACCTTTCACCATCTTGCTTTTCTTAAAACTGAAAGTGGTCTACAGTCTGGCCATTACTCCAGCCTCACTTCCAGCGTTTTCTTTGAATTCTTTCCCATCCAATAACAAGCTGATATCTTATCAACACCATAGTAAATCAAAGTTCAAGTCCTCCATAGGAGGGTATTGTCACAGAACATCCCAATATTTTCCACACAGTTCCATTTTTTCAATTAATCCATAAGCATTATAAAGTCCTTGTTAATTCCCTCTTGCAGTCCATTATTAATTGCAATCCATTAATAATTGCAATCCATTAGTAGCTAATTTTCTTCTTTGGTGAAGAGTTGCCAAATCATAAAACAGCATAGTGAATATGTACTGTACTGTTGAAAGAAAGAAAATTTTTAATGCCCCTTTAAAAGTAATTTTTTTTTTTACTGGCTTCTTAGATCTCAGGGGGTTCTCAACTAAAGACTTGAGCTAGTGCAAGCAGATTCCACCCCATGTCCCCAGATCTGATTTAGAGATGCATGATGGAAGGAGATGGAGAGAAGGTTCAATATTCTTAAGGAAATATGTTGATCTTTCTTAAAACTATATATAGAATGTATTTCATGCATAGTGTTTTGTTTAGCTGCGTCACCTTTTCATGTAATATGTGCTTACAAATCATGTGCTGTGTGACACTTGTAGAATCTGAGCTTCTAGCCAGAAGTGGGTAGAAGGTTAAAGTTAAGATAAAATTTGTTCCAGCCTTTTTACTTTCATATATCATTTTAAAGAACATGACTACTCATGTGATTCATCCTTTTTCTTCTTTTTAAGACAACCCAGCTTGATTTTTATCACCTGTCTCCAGTTATGATGATAAGAACATAATGGCCTGCTGGATCAAGCCAATGACCCATTTCATCCAGCAGTTTGCTTCCACAGTGGCCAGCCAGAAGGTTGCTGGAAGCAGCAGCTCATATTTGTCACTAGTTTGGCATATTCTGAATTTGAACATACTAAATCCAAGTAACAACCAAAAAAGCCCCCCTCCCTTTATTTTGCATTATCTGTATATAATTAGAATTACATTCTAGATACAGTTCTGGCACCTAAATATTCATCTCATCATTTGATCTTAAACAGGAGTGAGCAGCTTAAATGATAAAGATTGTGTCAGTGGGGGCCATTCTAGAATGCCTTTCACAAGCAAGATGTGCATAATAAAATTGCCTTTTTTCTTTCTTAGCCCATGCTTTAGATGCTTGGTGCAGCTCTATGTGGACCTCTGGTTAATTGTGATGTTAGCTCTTTTATTAGCATTTTTTTGATACTGCATTAGTCAGATTGTTGTGAGTCATGGTTTACTTAATCTTTTTAGCTGCGTAGCTGTAATACTCTGGAGAATATACTGCCATAGTTGCTTTGCATGTAGGTATAGTCACTGTAAGAAGATAATGGGCTTTAAAGATCTGAGTGGCAGACAATATTCATACATATATATATATATATATGTATATATATATATATATATATCTCAGAAGAAACAGTAGATAATATTTGATTGGTTATTTAACAGCAGTTAAGCAGCTAAGTTAGTAGAACGCTATCAGGTGCATGTTGAGAGTTTCTTTTTGAAAATGTGTTAATGAAGTTACCTTTTGCTAGCATATTCCATTGAAACATTAAAAGTATGTGTTGTTCATATAAGAAAAAGACAATTTTAAAAGCAATCTGTCAGGTCTTTTACCTCTACTTCAGATTTTCCTTAAAGGAATAACTTAAGAATGGTAGGGAACAGTTGTTTGAAGCTAATGGCCAGTCAAACTCCCCCAGGTACTCAGAACTGTACTGAAAATTTAAGTGGTAGCGCAGAACATTCTGTACTTGAAACAGATGCTTAGCAACAGTTGCACATGCTGTTAGCGATTTGAAAAATGTGTAATTGGTACTTTGGCAGTTTCTGTTATGATTGGGAGGTGTGAAGGATAGATCACAGTTCATGGAAAGCATTGTCTTTTAAAACATGACTATGACATATTTGTTAAAAATCCAGTATTATTTTTTTACTATAAATGTCTGTTCTGATTCCCTTTGCTCTTTGTCCTCAACTTTGATCTCGGCAGCTAGCCACTAAATGCCATGGCATTTGAATCAATTCAGACTGTTCAGGCTGTTTTTCTTTGATAGAGGTTTAAAAATTAAATATGGTTATGACTCACTGTCAGTGTGACAGAAGAGATTTAAAATTACAGGCAGGGATTTAAACTTAAATGTGATTACATGACTCATTATTTGATGAAACTGCTTGATTTAAAAAAAAGATAATGCCAGAAATGAAACCCAAAACCTTAATCCTCAACTGTGTCCTATACATAAGAGGTAATGTAAATGGCATAGTATTTTAAATGCTCAACATTTTAAAATTATTTACAAAAGTATACTCAGTAGTGACAGAATTCATATGACGATCATGGTCTAAAATTGTGAACAGCCTAAAGCATTCCTGTTCAGTTGAAGAATCTAGCCCTTAAGCAAATTTTTAGAAAAAATCTCTGAAACAGATTATACAGAAAATTGTCAAAATAATTGCATAAAAATATTGCACATTAAAATTGAGAAGATAAGATACGACTTTAAATGCAGTTAAGTTGTAACAGTTTGTATAGTTATAAAATGGTGAATGCAAGTGTTTGCATATTAAAGCTGGAAAATAAAGCTGGTCTACTTCTGAGAGTGGCACTCAGGCATAAAAAGCCCCATTAATTTGTTTTTGATAACCAGGAAGGCTCAAATATAATAATATTTGTAGGAATCTGTGAAAAGTTGTGTTTCACTTGTGTTCTTGTGAGTAAGGATATTAATCTGTATGAATAACATTTATGTTCTGCCCTACCCCAGTCAGTGGGGTGGGGGCAATACCTTAAATATATAAACTTGGCCATCTACTTTATTATCAGGGAGTTTTACCTGGACACATCCTCTTATGATCTGATATTATCAAGACCAGGTGCATGTCTTATGTCTTCAAGACTTTGTTTAGTGGGCCCAACACTCTCCCATTAGAAAGCAGGCAGGCACTATTCCTGTTAAGTTTCAGAATCCAGTTTAATTTTTTTTATTTCAAAAGGCCTTTGAATTATGAACACAATTTTATGTTGTTTTCAACGTTTTAACATATCTTTTGAATTTCTGTGTATGGTATGGTTGAGGCATATAGTGAAAAGCTGCAATTGATTGCATAGAATAAGCCCCCCTCTGAAGAAGATGTTAGATTATTCCATTGCTGCTGGCCAGCAGTATTAAGTTTCTTGGGATTTGCTGCATCTTCGGCTTTGCACATTCTTCCATGGCAAAAAGAGCCAAGCAAGCTCTTTTCATTTTTGCCCAGTTTGCCTTCACCAGTCATAGATCGAGAGATTGTTTTTGTGATATAGATATTTAATGAATTTGGACTGCTTTCTGTACAAATCTCAGGTACATGAAAAATCATTGGCAATTGGGCGGGGGGGGGAGAGAATCCTAATCCTTGTTCTGACTATACTGTATTCGTTTAATTTCATTATATATTTTTTATTGTTGATTTAGGATTCCTTATCCTGAAATCAGCTCTTACAGATGTTGGTTTTGCATAAGAGGAATGTGAAAAGGGGGAAACATAGCTTGTGGTAATAGCAGGGAACAGGTGTATTTGTTTATGATTAAGATTTACTGGTTAATCGCAGATTGACTTTATTGATCTTGCTTGAGGTTAGATGGCACCTTGGGGTTCTTATTTAGAAGCCATCTGGGCATTGAGTGATTTATAAATTTATAAATAATGATATGCCTTGTATGTGCTGCTTCTCTGGGTTTGCACATTCTTCTGTACAATTCTCTGTTCCTACTTTTTGCTGTTTTACATTACAAATACATTGCCAGGTTTTGAGCAGATACTCATGGTGTCATTGTTATCCCCCTTTAACCAGATAGTGTTTTGAGTAACTTCAACAGGGTTACTTTTTTGTTTTCTTTCCTACCCCTACAGAGGAAGCAGTTTTTGCTTAAATATTACACTGCAATGGGGATGTATGGGATGTTAGAGGAGGCTTTCTGAGCAGACGAGACCAATGGTGGGTCCAACCATCAAGAAGGTGGTTTCTGCATGTGCTGTAGAGGGAAGTGTGGGGCAGATGGGGCTCATCAATCTGGGAAGGTAGTAAATCCAGGAGAAGGAAAGCTCTGATCCTAAACCGCTGCCTTGTGGGATACATTCAGGAGAAGAAAAGGCTAAGGAGTAAAACCTGCACAAATACTGAGTGGAGTCCCTAAGACGGTTGGATGGCTCCTTGTACGCCTCCTTCCGGCAACTCCTGCAGCCAAGCTGGTGCTAAATGTATTGCTCTGCTTTCCTTTGGACCACAACAGCAAGGCCAAGGTCTTGTCACTCTGGACCTCCATACACACTGCCCAAGCTTGCGCCCCGAGGCGCACTCTGTTGTCTCTTGAGACAGATGGGTGCCAGAAGCATTGCAATATAATGTTACTAAATGGCCAATAGTATGGGATGAAGAATGAGTAAAAGGGCATTTGAAAATCTTGCAAATAAATAAATAAATAAATGAATGAATATTTTTCTTCTGAAAACAAGCACATATGTGAAAGCCCATGTTGCCTGATGTGTAACAACATATAAAGGATTCTTTATGGCAAAACATTGTGTGAATATTAATCCATTTTTACACGCTTTGTATCACTCCGAAGTTCAAGCTGGTTTATAAAAATCAAAATCTAGTGCAAACCTAAGAATAATACCAATTTAAAATACAATAAGGAAAATGGTTCAAAACAGCACTGCAAAATAGCCTTAAACAGCCCAACATCTATCTGCAATTAAACCCGCCAATGTTCTTACTAAATGTAAAGTTTTTACCTTTTTGACTGAGACTTTTTGTGGATCCAATAGGAAGTACTGAAAGCACACGGGTGCCTATGGGCGCCATGTTGGAAACCCATGCCTTAGCAAATTAAAATGGTTTTTCCTGGCATCTAAAATCAAAGTAGGTTCAAAGTAAATATGTTTGGAGATAACATACAATCAGGGTGCTGCAACAGATAACCACTGCCCTTGTGATCACCACCTAATCCCATAATATATGGCATGTGTATATTAAACTACTAATAAATTTATCATGGCTACTACTTGCAGAAAAACGTATTAATCTGACTTAATAGTATGTGGGAAAATTATTTCCAGGATCAGTATTCCTGTGAAGCAGCTTCTTCTGGTGCCAGTTTCCCTCCATATGTATATCATTTTTAAAAACAAAACAGGATTGGGCACATTGTAACTTTTAACTGCAGACATGAGCGCATATTAAGTTAAGGCTACAATGAGTACCAGTTTACATAGAAGTAAGTTCCATTTTGAGTAGACCTGTACAGTGTAGGTTTGTACTTTAAGGCTAGGTTTATTATTTTCGGGAAGCATACAGATACATGTCAGCAATCTGAATTTAGTCTTAAAATAGCTATGAACAATTGAAATGTGGATTTGGTATGTAACAGTTGGCATATTTGGAGCCACTTGCAGAAACAGCCTCATCTTGGCTTACTACTTGTGGCTTGTTTGGGAGAAACAAATCATGAGCACTGCTTCACACATAATGCTAAGCCAAGCCTTGTTTGTTTGCTCTGTATGTAGGCAAAGTAGAATAGAAGCAACTGAGCAGCATATACAAGCACTTCTTGTTCATCGTAGGCCAGGGCTGGGGCCAAATTTGGAACCTCCAGGCTGTTTTGTGCAGGCCTTGCCCACCAGCCCTATATACAGTGCCATGGTTTCTATGAATTAGTGCTGTGTAAGATAAGACTACTGATTTATATTTTACATGTATACCCAGAACTTTTGCCTAATCTCTTTTATTTTCTGTTCCTTGGGGAGACTGGTAACAAGTCTCCCTAGAGTGACAATTCTGGGAAATACCCTGAGCAGAAAACTATGCTGCTTGTCAATAACTAGAATTCTACTATTGTCATCTCCTCCATAAATCCGCAGTCTTGGATTCCCTTAGTTTGTTGGGTTTTTGTTTGCTATTGGGAGTTCTGACACTATACTAACATGTAGTTAGAGGCAAATAACACACCACATGCATCGTTGCATGGGCTCACATCCATGACATTTGAAATTTCAACAGATTTGAGTCATCAAGGTGGTGCTGACAACTCATTCCATAGAGAGGGGATATGTGAAGGAGATTTATCCAATAGGAGAATTCATAGTACTGGTAAGTAATCAAGCTATGGCTGTACTGTTAAGTTAAAAACACTCCCAGTCTTTCCCCATGTTAAATACTTTCCCCACTGTGAAGTATATCTGCTTTTGATCTTACAGAAATGACACTTTTCCTGTAACTTTTCTGACCTGAGATGGTGAATTTATTTTCAAAATGATACAAATTACTTTTTTACTTAAGTCACTTTCTCTGTGTCTTTACTCTTACTTGGCTTTCTTGCTGGGTTTTTTTGCCTATGTGTCAGGTATAACTCATAGGTAATACATTGAGACACACATATAGACCCCAAATTAAGTATTTTTCTTTACAGTAGTAGAAGTAAAATTGCACAGTGCAATATAACCAACCTGTTTAGGAGGTACACAATGCAGTTTTTGAAGAAAACCACTAGGAAATGAAACTACATTAAGCTTGCCATGAGTAACTGTATGGAAACCTTCATTAACACATTTTTTCTTTCAGTTTTGCCCCAGAAAAGAATTAATATAAAGTAGCACTTAAAATTCTCTACTTGGTTTGTTTTCCAGGATGAAATAAAAGTGAAAAACAATAAGTACTTCAGCTGCAATGCAGCTGTTAACAGCTTTTTTGTACCTTGTGTAGTTCTATTGACAACCACACTTCTGCTTGAAAGAAATGTGAAATTGGACTTTAATTTGGACTCTCCTACAGACTGCTGATATAGGCAGATCAATTTGCTTTAGAGCTTAATACCTTGATTTTCTTCTTTTGTAAAAGTTATAAATTAAGAACTTAGAACTTGCGCTATTTGCTGTTTAAGAAGTAGTATTTAACTCATTGCTTTTATTTCTACATTATTTGCAGTTCACTGGTCATCTTGCATACTGTAGTGTAAGTCTCTCTCTGTACAGTTCCTTTCAGTTTTTTGTTTTGTTTTCAGTACTAACATTCTGATTGAGAAATCTCCTAGGAGGAAAGGTGCTTTAAGAATAGCATGCTAGCAGGTGATCTTCCAAGAATGAGCCTATTTTCTTCCTGTGATTTAAGACATTACTTCTAATGGCATCAAATTCACTGTGTGTTCACAGAACTGTGCTAAAGAATAATGATTTAAGATCAAGACAAGAATTAACCACCCATCTCACCAATCAGTGGCCTTCCCCAGGAGCTCTGGATGTTAATGCTGTTGCCTTGGATACACTACTTTATCGAAAGCAAAATAAGCAATGGGATGAGTAAGTTGAAATATTTGTGCAGTGCTCCTAGAGATCCCAGAAATTTCATTCTCCCCACCCCACTCTAGTGCATCTTGTCAACCAGATTATGTATGTGTTTAAGGGGAAAACTGGTAGATAACTAAACATTAGAAAGCAGAATAGAATTATATAGTAGCATATTTATCTTAAACACATTAGGTTGTATGCAGCTAAGTCATACTCATGAGTTCAGATGCATTGGAATCAATGGACAAATTAGACAAGTATATTGAGTTCAGTAAGTCTTCTCTGATTATGACTTAGTTGGATGCAACCCATCTGCCAAAACAAATCATACTCATAAGCACATAATACTTTTTGGGTGTTATTTAAGTCATACTCGGTTTAGACTCTTTGAAATCAGTTTCAGTAAACGTAAGTTAGTCATGACTAAAGTCCATTGATTTCAATGAGTTTGCTCAGAGAATCCCTTAATACATACAAAGTATTTTACATACATTTCCAGCAAATCTTAGAATAACCTTTATTATCTATTTTACTCAACAGTACCTGGTTTACATGCTGCATTAAACCATAGTTTAAATCAAACTACAGTTTAATGAACAAGCAGCATGCTGGTGTAGAGTGTTCATGGTTTCTTGCTGGCTGACTGTTCTTGATTTATTTAGAGGAGACAAGCTATGAACCCAGATTCAGAGCAACATAAGCCAGAATCTGGTTTGTTTTGTCTGCAGCATGAGAGGAACAGGAATGATGAGGAGTACCATGGCAACTTTTGAGCATGATAATTGTTGCTCATTCACATTGCTTTGAACTATGGATTAATGTGATGTAACTGAACCAATGCAAATTGTTCTGCATAACGAGTTTAAGCTTGAGTTGTTGTTGTTGTTACTGGCATTTTTATCCCACTCTTTATCCAAAAAAGGTTCCCAGAGTGGTTTACAAATATCAGTGAAGTTTTATCAGCTGTAGTTAAGGACATACTAAATTTGTCTGGAGTGTTCATAAGGATCATCATACCTTTAATGAAAGTTAACAGTAGTCAGACGTAATGTAGAGAGAGTGGGGGTTTCCCATACAAGATGTGGCAGGGGCATGATTCCACAGCCTGATCCCTTTATCAGCAGTGGACAATATGTGCTCTTCCAGAACTTTTAGACTCTAACTACCATCAACCCATCGGCATGAGCAATGGGAGTTGTAGTCTAACAATACTTGGAGGGCCACAGGTGTCTGTTCTTGCTATATAGTTCAGCCTTAAGTCATCTTCAGCCTTTAAAATTTATTAGAATTATATTTTCATATTAAAATGGAAGTGCCTAATTGCATTATTACCTCAAATTTGCTGAGATTTTACTTGGATGTTGATTTCACTATTGAATTTAGCATCCCATGGTACATTCTGCAACATAAAGGTTGGTCTAAAATTTATAGGAACATGGAGTGGAATCAGATTAGTTCCCTTGCACTCACAGAAGGGCTTTTGATCCAGTGTTGTCTAATGGAGGAGGAGCAGATACTTTGGGCCACTGTAACATTTGCAGACCCCAGTCCCCCCTAAAAATCCATTCCAGAGAGTTGAAGGACCTTCCAGAGCAAGGTGGAAGGTGGCATGGGGTAGAGCTGTTAGGGAAAGGAGGAACTGGCAACATTTGCTTCCCCTCTACATTCTGTTGTTGGTGAAGCTCATTACTATGGGTTATGCAGCACCACCTTGTGGTCGAGGCATTAAAGTTGATTAGGAAAGTAACCAGCTTCCAGAATTCAGTTTGCTTTCCTGCCTTGAGTCGAGCTGTCACTGTTCTTTGTTTGCTCCCTGCCTTTTCTCACTAAATACTATATCTGCGCGGTGGTGGTTTTTTGTGTGGTAGTCCTGTTTTCTGTGGAGGTCTCCTGTTCTTTGAGTAAATCGAGTGTCTTCATGTACTTCACTTTAATTTCCCGGTGGGGGGGGATTAAGGTTTGCCAGTTGGACTTCTCCCAGTTTGCCGTTTTCATAGCTTTTTAACTCTGCCTTTTTTTTTACACTGTTTCTCTGCTGTGAATTCCTCTGCTTTGTTTTCTTCCTGTGTGTTCTTTCCCCTGTGACTTTATATTGTAGTTTCTGCCACCCTGTTTCTGGCTTCGTGCATTCCTATTTATATTTAGGGGGAGTTCCTTAAGTGTATATAGTCTATTTCACTCCTTTGCTTTCCCCTTTGCTTTTCCTTCTTGGTGACCACTTTTATGAAGGGTAGGAATCAGTTGAAAGTTTGAGAGACTCTTGTATTGGGAGCCATGCCTGAGAAGCCCCAGCAAACCGCACCTTCTTATTAGGTGTTTGTGTTGGCCCCGCGCTCAGATTCCATTGCAGCTGTCATTCTGCAAAGCAATTTGCCTTTTCAAGAAATTATGTGTACTGCATTCATCAGCTTTGGTTGTCCTGTGGCTTGCAAAGTGACTCAGAAGTGCAAACATACTGAAGGGGCTGTTTCTCATAACTCTGAGAGACACAGAAGTGCATTTGTTATAGGGATGAGTGCTCAGCAACAGAGGGGATGAGTTCTCGAATGGCTGTCTCCTGTCCTTTTAAAGAGAGAGGCTGTGTTGTGGGATGTAATATGATGGAGATGGATCACCAAGCCCAGCATGTGAATGTTTCATGCTCCCACAGCTCCTCAGAAGGGGAGGACTTTGGGGGATTCCAGGGCTCTCCTGTCAGCCACCAACCCCAGGAGTTGCCTAGTTTAGCTATGCCTCATTCATAACCTATTACTGCTAACAATACTGCTGCTGGCACTTATTATCAGGCTGCCTCGCTTTTCTCCCCAGTCTGTGTTATTTTCAGTGAAGGCCTTAAACCCAATCAAAGAGGTGCCATTAGGTGCTTTTTCTTTAGAGCCCAGGGGGTCAGATCCTGAATCTAATTCTGTGCCTTCCTGTTCCCATAGTCAGCTCTGTCTCATTCCTTCTCAGAATTTGGCAACTGCTCCATCTCTTATGGCAGGCAGCCAGCCACCTCCTGATGCCTCTTTCAGTCAATTCCATGCAGCTAAAGGCATTGCTGTTGCAGCTGATTCTGCATCTAATGGCCCTGCATTAAAGGGGAAAATATGAATCCTTATGGGGAATTGGATATTGAGGAAGTGAAATGAAGCGAGAGATCTCAGTCAGAGGCTCATTCCTCTCAAAACCCAAACTGTTAACTGTAGCCAACTTAGATTCAGATGAAGGTGATGTCTGACTGAGGAGAAAAATGTCATGGGGAAGTTATGGCCAGATCCAGAATGTCTGACATCCATGGCCAATATGGTGCCATTAAAATTAGCAGAGCCCTTTCTTCCTAAAGTTTCTGTAGGAGTTGAAGAATAACCGGAACTGGAGGGAAGGCATAAAGTAGACCAGGTGGCCACAAAGCTGCTAGCGCATCTGTTGCTTCTACCATCAGACAATGGAACCCGGTGAAGAACTCTCAACCTCACAATTTATGTCTGATGCAAAGAGGTCCACTATGATTGTGCCGTAACAAGTCTGAATTTGCTGAAATACAGCTGGGTGTAACATCCACTCCTCCAATATTACCCTATCCACGGTCAGATAAACTGTTGCTGACTTCATGTTTATAGAGAAGTGCCCAGATGAATCAGCTGACTCACTTACATGTGGTGACTTTTGGCCCAATTGATCAAGAAACTGTGGTCTTGCAGGCATGAGACAGCTCGGCATGTCCTGTTGAGCCTGATCCAAAAGCACTAGGGCACAAATTGGATTTCACAGTGTCTTTATGCTGCATTGCAGTACATGAAGGACATTTCAGCAAATGTACCTCTCCATAGGTGGCTTATAATTTAGTTTTTCATATTTATAGCCTGCTTTTCAAGGCAGCAACAGGTTATTTTGGTACATTTAGTGAAAAGAGCTAAAGAATGGCTGGTCTCCGGTCTCCCAGTTGCTGAAGAAGGAAGGTTTGAAGGATTATTTCCAAAGGCTTTAATGTTTTGATTACTGCAGTACATATACACATTGCTGGCACTTCATGCAATACACATGACTAATTTTAAATGCAGCTGCAAGGCTGGTACTCTTAACTGTTAAAGCTTTAGTTGTTGATCAGACACACACCCCTTTGTGAAATGGGGTGAGCTCATTGTAGGGCAGTAAGCGTTTCTGCAATATCGCACTACATATAGTAGGCGGAACTCTCAGTTGCCTACTCTTTTTGCTCCTGCTGGACCTAGTGAAATATCCCCGTCTGGGTAGGCACAGTTACTCCTTTTTTCTGAAGATGCCGAGGTGGGTGGTGCAGTGAGCACTGCGGGAGTGTCAGATAGAGGTTCTGACAGCCCTGTAGAGGGAGGTGGGGCTCATGGGTCTCATTATGGGACAGATGAGACAAGTGAGCAGGTTAAGGGAGCCCCTCTTCCCAGGGTCCTCACCAACAGACTGCTCCACTCCTGGCAAAGGCCCCCACATCCTGCTGCAGCCCTTGCCCAGGTCCTTGGCCAATCCTCCATCTGCATTGTCCTGACACAGCCATGGCTTAGCCCAAACGCGCAGGCTCCCAAGGAGCAGATGACAGCCACTCGGCTGCTCCCTAGTTGTTTTGTTGTTTTTCTGCTGTGCTGAGCTAAGCCATAGTTTGGCTTAGCATGCTATCCAAAGTTGGGTCTATGGTTTAGCTCTCTCCAGACTAACCATGACTTCTACACCAAGAACAAACTTTGATTTGGCTTAGCATGTGTGAACCAGGCCACTGAATATTTGTTTTAAGATTTTTAGCTCTTCAATCAAACTATCAGAGTGGCTTGCAATAAATATTTGAAAAAATAGTGAAATACAGCAAATCTAAAATAACAGACAAGATGAAATTAAAATTATCATTGTGTGTGGAAACAGGTGAATGTTAAAACCTTTAAAGGAATAGTGCAAATGTTCTTAATTCCTTGCCTATATCACCGGTGGAGCTCCCTTTGGAATTGTACCCTTGACTATAACGCTGCAGTATCTCTGATATCTCTGTTTAAATAATGAAATGTGTGTATTCAGAACTGAGTAGAGGATAACACCTTTTCTTCCTTTATGTAATCCTATTTAAAGAAAAACACATTTTAAAATTTCCAGCTTTATTTTATATAACAGCATATTTGTTTGGAATCGCTGATGCGAATAGATGCTTTCCTATAAGTTACTATTTGCTATAGTACTTTATAATAAAAATAATTGCTGGTTGCATTGTATAGCGGTTTGAAGGTATTTACTGGAATTGCTAATTGTTTTTACAGAAAGAGTTTTCACAGCCTGGACCAGCTTTCTGCTGATGTTAGCCTCTCTCAGACATCTTTGGATCCAAGCCATTTAGAAGATGGAGATGGAAAACAGGATGGGATGAATTTACTTAGTGAAGGTAATCAACCTAATAATTTATCTTTGATAAAGTATTTAATACTTTAAAGCAACTTATTTCTATTAGGGTTTTTGTTTGTTTTTTAGTACCTGCAGTTATCCCACTTCTTTCCTGCAACAATTCTAAGACCCTAAATCAGGTGATTGCTAAAGGATGGATATTTTCAGTCCCAGTAAAGTCAAGACATCGAGATATAGAACAATCTGTCTTGAATAAGACAATTTGGTAAGGCATTATCTAACTACTCTGGGAAACGTTTTTGAGGAGCAGGTTATAATAAGTACATAAAAATAAAGTGATGATTTAGGCCCACATGCTTTCATCTTAAAGCCAACTTGCTTATATGACATTTTATTAAATTTAATTCCATCTTTAATTCCAACCAAAATGGTCAAAGGCCTGGAAACAATGCCTTATGAGGAACGGCTAAGGGAGCTGGGCATGTTTAGCCTGGAGAAGAGGAGGTTAAGGGGTGATATGATAGCCATGTTCAAATATATAAAAGGATGTCACAGAGAGGATGGAGAAAGGTTGTTTTCTGCTGCTCCAGAGAAGCGGACACGGAGCAATGAATCCAAACTACAAGAAAGAAGATTCCACCTAAACATTAGGAAGAACTTCCTGACAGTAAGAGCTGTTCGACAGTGGAATTTGCTGCCAAGGAGTGTGGTGGAGTCTCCTTCTTTGGAGGTCTTTAAGCAGAGGCTTGACAACCATATGTCAGGAGTGCTCTGATGGTGTTTCCTGCTTGGCAGGGGGTTGGACTCGATGGCCCTTGTGGTCTCTTCCAACTCTATGATTCTATGATTCTATGATCTTATCATTGCAAATAATAAGCATCAATTGCAGTTTAAGAAACCATACTCAGTTAAGACCAGAAGATACCCATACACATAAGTGTGTAACTTTGCTTAAACACCATCATACAATTCCATATCTTGTGTGTGTGTGTAAAATTACAGGATGGTGTTTAAGCAAAGTAACACACCTATGTGCATCATCACTTTATTTGTATGTACTTATTATAACCTGCTCCTCAAAAACCTTTCCCAGAGTAGCTAGATAATGCCTTACCAAATTGTCTTATTCAAGACAGAATGTTTTACAAATACACCAGTGTTTAAAAACAGAACCCCTGTGTTCAATTGCATGAAGGCCAATTCTCAGCTTGCAGCTTCCAAACAATTTGAAATGCTTCTACATAATAGTTCTTTGAATGTGTGAACCACTTGTCACCTATAAGATCTTGGTCCTGAGGGGTGAACTGCAGCCTTGCAGCATCCTCCCATACTGCTAAGCTCAAAGTGATGTGCAGATCCTTAAGAGACAGATCTACTGAGTTGTAATATACAAAAGTTTCGTGCAAGGAGAAAGGTTATTATTTAGAAACTAGTATCATAACACTATTAGCTGATACCAAGATCCATTTAGTTTCCGTTTTTCACAAAATACTTTCCTGCTTCTCATTTTTTATTCTTTCCAATTGACTTGTCTCATTTTGAAATAAAGTTGTAATGTATATCTGATGTCTCATGGACAAACTATAGCTTCAAACATAACTTGCCTTCAGATGAAGCTGAGAGAGAAGTAACCCAATTAATAAGTGCAGAGGGAATTCCTCCAAGTTAAATCCACCCAGAAAGGAAAAAAGTTGAATCTGGAAATAAACAGCAATAGGAACAAAAACGGAATGAAGTGAGGAGGGCCAAGTTTGGCCAGAGGGGGCATATACAGCAGCACAGAGGAGTAAGGCGTCAGGAGAAAATGCGATAATCCAACAACTGTGAAGTGGTGAATGCTGCCTGGTGTTACACTATTGGTTCGGAAACCTTCCTGTGTTACTGTCAGTTAGTAAGAAACTGGATTTTAGCCATGCAAAAACCCATATATTCTCTGATCAGTAAAAACTTCATTAGGTTTGTCGAGAGAGAGAGAGAGAGAGAGAGAGACTCCAAAGCAATGTGTTTTTTGAGAAGGTGCAGATGGGCCCACAATAGCGAATGGATGTGTTGTCTAAAAATGAAACTGTTCCATCTTATGACCAAATATGAAAATGCAAGACACCTGCATTATCTACAAGTAATTTTTTTATTACAGGTAATGGTGCTTGGATGGATGAGAGCAAATAAACTGAAGCTGAACTCTGCTAAGACAGAGGGTAGTTCATGGGCAGTTCTTGTATCCAGAAATTAGGTGAAATGCCTGTTCTAGACAGTCACACTTGCCCTGAAAAGGGTAGGAGAAGGGAGCAAAGCGATTGCTTTATGCTCCCTTATTGATCACCCTGGATGTGCCAGTCACTAGTGTTAATTTTTTTTCTTAAATAGGAAAAGAAGACACTCCTTCATTGCTTGGTCTCTGTGGCTCTCTGACATCAGTAGCAAGTTACAAATCTCTCACAAGTCTGAAGTCAAGTGAGTATCTTGCAAGTCCTACAACAGATATGACAAGCCCCGGACTAACACCTTCTGGAGTGGATCTATATAAAGAAGATCTCTGAATTTGTATTCAGTTGACATTCCTTAATTTATCTGCGGTTGAGACTCATACAACATTATGCTGGTTTTAAAAATTGCTACTCTGTCCTTTTTAGCAACATCTAAAAAACAATGGCTTGCAGTTGTTTTTAAAAAATACTCCTTGACTGCTTACAATATTCATGATTTTCAGTCTGTTGAATGTACAATTAAGGCTGCAAATCATCATTAAGAGAAAAAGGGGTTATCTTAACTGCCAAAATCTGTCTTCTCTTGAAGCTTACGTTCCTCACTTCTTTAGATATGCTCACATTTACAAGGATAACTTAAAACTCAATAGGTAAGTGAAAATATTGACTATATTGTAAGAACAAAATATTTGAATTGTATTCTATTAAGATGGATTGAAAAAACTGAACTACTTAGAGCGGTGGTAGCTATTAGATCTACACCTGAATTTTCATTATACTTACTTTCATCAGGGTTTCCCACATATTTGCCATTCTGACACGCTGAACTACTTGCAGGGTACAAAGGGGAGAAATTTGGAGACAGCATCCAAATTGTTTGTGCTCATGACATGTCCAAATGTAAAGGTAGGAGACACTTGTAGATAAAAGTAGTGCAACTATCTATAGTGGTTCCTTTTAAGAACTTGGTTTTTCTCCGAAAAGCAAGTATCACAATAGACTTATATGTAAGTCTTGCTACCTGCTCTGTAGTAAAAAGTTTAAATCAGGTGTCACTGGTCAACAGATAAACAATGCTAGCCATGCTTTTTTTAACCTTCTGCAGTTTAATTTTTAAAGTGCAACCCTTTCTACAGTGTAATGAGTTTCATTTCCTAGCATTACTGGGAATTGTTACATGCAGTAATCACAGGCTATTTTGTGTAAAAGCATCAATACGCATACAGCCCCTAAATTTCATGACTGAGGAAATGCTTTATTGTGCCAAAGAAGTTCCATGCATTATTTTCTAATTTGGAACAACACGGGGGACTCTACAAGTTGAGCTAATTTTTGCACTATCAGTTTGATTACCTACTTATTATTTTGCCAAAAAGAGATGTGCCTCTTGTAAGATTTGCTATAAAAATTGATTAGCATTAAGAGAAAGCAGATTATACATGAAATTCTTTGTGTTGGCAAGTTCATTATTTTTCATATGTGCTGAGCTAAATTATGAGACAAAACAAGACAATGTTCCTGCTTTGCCAGATGTTACGTACTGACTACCTGATAAAAGTAATGCAATGCATGTTAATTATCTCTTGTAAAATAGTTATCTTTTAAGAACATGAGGAAAAATGAAATCTTTACAGCCAAGTTTTGAGAGGTATAGAGAGTATTGTTAGCAGGTTTGTATGTGTGAACTCTTCCTTGGGACAGTTTACTGTTGATCTGGAAACATGACTTTGTCACGCCAGTTATTGACTAGTTGGAGCAGCTGGGATCAAAGCCTTTTTTTTACAGACCATAACTAAAATCTCTAGTTTGTATGTGAAACCAGTCAGGTCAATATTTGTGCATGAAAAGTTTACTGTATTTGTTCTGAAATTCTGTCAAGTTCTGAAATTCTGTCAAGTTTTCAGACTTGGGGAAAAACCCAAATTGTGCAGACTTGCGCTGCTGTATCAAATGTTGCATGTGCATTAAACATTTTGTACTATTACTACTTTTGTTGTTGTACTTTTTCTTTATAACAGAAATATTGCCTGCCATTGTTTTATCATTTTAGCTTGTACACAATCTTGAGAAGGATTTTAATAGGTGTTACATAATACCACAATAAATGAATATTGATTCAAATGGAACAAACGGCCAAGTGCACTACACCAATGCTATCATACGGGAATTGCAGAGTTGTGCTAGGAAACTATAAACTGTTCAACTTTGCATTACAGACTGTTTTACTACAGACATTTTTACAATTATATACTGCTTTCTGTCTGAAAGATCTTTAAGTGGTTTACAGTAGGTAAATGTGGTTAGAACATACTGCATAAATCCTAATCAATTACTGTGGCTACCATTTTCTTTCACTTACAAGGTGTGGAAACTTTATTCTGGGAGTTAATTTGTAGTTATGTTTTAACTGGACCATTTGCAGTGCTGCTATGCAAAATATTTGTACTACATTACATTATTTTTGTAAGCTTATGATTGATTTTAAAACCTGAATTAAAAAATGGGAAAGTGGCTATAAACCTATCAAATAAAATAATGTTGCTATCAACATAAAATAAATTTATGTTGCATTTAAAAAGCAATTTGCCCAATTTTCTCTCAAGCATGGTCATATAATCTGTACAATGAGCTGCTACTGGTGGATTGTAATTTTGGTGCTTTAGTGTTTTTGTAATTGATAGAGAACAATTGTGTCTTATACATCCCAGGGATGGCATGTATAGTCAAACCACCCCTGTACGAGCATCCTTACCCTTTCTGGAGGTGTGTACTGAGCAGGCTTTGTCTCCTAAGGCGGAGCTTTTAAGTTCCCATACTTACTTACTGGGCTCTGGGATGCTCTTGAGAGATCTCATTGGGCCAAGTTCCTGCAAGATCTTGCGAGAGCCTCCCAGAGCTCTGTAAGCAAGTCTGGGAGCTTAAAAGTTCTTTCTGGGCTGGGAAAATGCTGCACAAAAAAGAGCTTTTAAGCTCTTCACCTTCAATACACTTAATTTGTGATTTCAACTGCATAGTTTAACACATGTAAGTGCCATTCATCCTGTATTTTAAATTGTTAAACACACCTAAGTTGTGCTCATACTGTATTTTAAATTGTTCAGTTATGTTTTAAGGTGCCACTTTGAGCTTTTTAGAAGGAAAGGTGTGGTACAATGTTTTAAATAAGGATGTGGAACGAAAGTTTGCAGTGATCGCAACTGTTCATGAAATTTAGAAATTTAAGATGCTAAATTTTCTTGACTAGGATATTTTGAGGAAGATGTTTATCTTCAAAATTAGCAGTACTACAGTAAGTGAAATAAATAGCCCAATGGATCTGAAACATCTATAGCAGTGATGGCGCTTCAAGCGCTGGTCTGAAGTGTACTATGATCCTTATATAACAATGCCCTAGATTTTCACTTGTGGATGTGCTAACATATTTTTTTTTAATGGTCTTTGTTCTCTTCGCACCCATGGTAGCAGTTTTACTTTGTAACATTCATAGTGTACAGTGGTACCTCAGGTTAAGAACTTAAGTAGTTCCGGAGGTCCGTTCTTAACCTGAAGCACCACTTTAGCTAATGGGGCCTCCTGCTGTCGCCACAGCACGATTTCTGTTCTCAACCTGAAGCAAAGTTCTTAACCCGAGGTACTATTTCTGGGTTAGCGGAGTCTGTAACCTGAAGCGTCTGTAACCTGAAGCGTCTGTAACCCAAGGTACCACTGTATTGGCTTTGGAAAGCTCGGGTTAAGTACTTAATTCGTTCCAGAGGTCTGATCTTAACCTGAAACTGTTCTTAACCTGAAGCACCACTTTAGCTAATGGGGCCTCCCGCTGCCGCCACAGCACGATTTCTGTTCTCATCCTGAAGCAAAGTTCTTAACCCGAGGTACTATTTCTGGGTTAGCAGAGTCTGTAACCTGAAGCGTATGTGACCTGAAGCATATGTAACCCGAGGTACCACTGTAATTTAAACTCTGTGTGAATATATTAGAGTAATTTCTACAGCTGGCAAAAGATAATTGGCCATGTGCTATATTGAATTAATGTAATAATGTATTGCCGGTGTGCATAACACTGTATTATCAAGTACAACTGGAAGCTTATTAACCCTTTACTAGGAAGCAAGACATGCATAATTCCAGGCTAGGTGTGTGTACCCTCTTGCACAATAGCTGGGTGCACGCCTTTATCAGTCCTGGAAAGACATCAAGTGTAAACTTTATATTTTATTAAGAAAATACATTTTCCTTGTTTAATTAAAAAGGTGGCTGTTTCTGGGTAATGCCATGCTAAAGATTTTGGTAACGTAACAGTGTAGAAATATCCAAACTAGGAAATTCTCATGGTTTTCATTAAGATCTGTGCATATTAAACATAGCTCCTGAAGGAATTTTGTTTGTCCTACTCCTATGCCTTATTCACATACGCTGTTAACCTGGATTATTCAATCACATGATGTAGGCACTCTAAATAATATGGCCTTGAGTGTCTGAGTCATTATTTCCTTTGTGGAAATACAAGCTTGTATGTATAATTTCAAAATACGGTTCTGTGGGGGAAAAATATTGCTAAAACCAGCTGGGCTGTTACCAGCTATATGATGGTTAGCTACATCAAGTTGCTACTGCATGAAAGACATTGAAATTTTCCTGGAGGAAGCCTACAGCAGTTCATGGGCTGTGCAGCACTTCTTTTGCAGAACCAGGTCCTCGTCTTGGAACAGAGCTGACTTGAAGGCATGCATGATATGCAAGGAGCTTATCAACTATATTTTTAAGATATAAAATTATCTTATGGACCTTCTTACTGCTGCCACTAAGTTTACAGAATCAGCATTAAAGGTTCTTCATAGCTTTGTCTTTATTTATTCTACGGAAGAAAGACTTCCCATATTCATAGGCGCTGATCATTATGGCACAAGCAGGAGCAATTTTTGTCAGTCTTGGAATAATGCCTACAGAAAAGATAAATTACAACTATTCAAAAGTATGGAATAACTAAGTGGGAGATCATCAGTAAGCTATTGTATGTAATTGCTTAAATTTTTGCACAACTAGCACAATGTTATTGTACTTACCCATTTATTTCAATGATTTGTTATGTTTAGCCTAGAAGAGGGGAGGGGACATGATAGTTGTCTTCAAATATCTGAAGGACTGTCACACAAAAGATGGAGCAGAGTGGGGCCAGAACCAATTATCTATATTTCATTATTCTGAAGTCTAAATGGACCACACAGTATGTTCATTTGCTTATTGTCTATAACACAGAATGTGGCTAAAAACTGATAGTTATAAATGCCAGTACAGCAGTGCTCCACTATTAGCTAGGTTTCTCCTGTTGTTCAGTCTTGCAATCTGAATGCTCTTATATTTATCACTGTGCAGAAACCATTATACCAATATATTTTTACAGACCCTATCTCACAAGATCACTGCATGTACCTTAAACCTACAATGTACAGAAAGCACAGGTTTGACAAGCCTTGAGCCATCATCCATAAACAAAATATTGGGAGTATATGAATAGTGGCTTTGTAGCAGATTTCAAAGAGATCAAAGCCATTTGAAAAGTAAGGCTAATAAATCTGAATGATCTTATCAACAGTGCAGTTGAATGAGCTTAATCATTGTTAATATAATAAAGTTCATAGATTCTTTGAGAGATTCAAAAGCACAACCCTAATAGTTTACCCATAACAATGTTCATGGTAATGCTTCAGGCTCTCATAGAGACTGTGAAAGAACAGTACATGAGAATTTTTATTTGCCAAGGCTGTTTCTCCAGAATTTTTGTATTTATTTTACCTGCATCCCATTCTTACATGGGGGCTTAACAGTTTCTCATCATTGGGACTGATCAGTGCCCTGGGGGCCTCTCCAATTAAGTAACTGAGTTAGTTTGTTTTCCACTTTTCACAATTGCAAAATAGTTTGTAGGGAAACTTTGCTATGCAAAACAACAAAGAGTTATTGTCATAACTACAGAAAGACTGTCATAATTGCTAAATGTTTTAAATAGCTTAAGGTGCAATCCTAATCAGAGCTGCTCCTAACAATTGGGCAGGACCACCACTGCATCTGGAGTCCTGCTCAGTTCAGAGCTTCTGCAGTGATTGGGCATGATGCTGTCCCTGGATGGCCGTGGGGCTGGCTTTGGCTCCAATGAATCCTAGGCAGGTTCAGCCCCGTACCACCCCCTGCCATAAATCAGACAGAACAGTGAGTGCTGCAGCCACCAGGTGGAGGCTGGCAGGACTGGGTGAAAGGACATTGTGGCCCACTGTGGCACTGGACAGGAATGTGGTGTGTGGGGTGGTGGTGAAGGGTGTTTGGACTGCACAGTAAGTTCTGTTGTAGATACTACAATACTGTCTAAGACAAACAATGTATGGAAAACATATCAACCTCTAGTTTAGTGAGAAAGCCATAATTTACCAGTATATAATCCAGTAAATCCATTTTCAGCAACAATTCTCTTCATTAATTCCCATATCGATAAACTCCTCTGCTGTGAAGCTGCGTAAAACAAAACTACTAAATATGAGTAGAAAAATGTGGATGTACAATTAAATGTCAATTATACTTCTACCTAGCTAGCCACATCTTTCTGGTGGTAAATTTTGCAAGGAGGCACCATCTTCAGGTGGGACTGCTTTCAACCCCCCCAAAACATTTTTATCTCACCTTTTTATATCAAGAATGCTCAAGAGCAGTAGTTCCCAATCATTTTCCCTCATGTAACACAAGAAAATTGCTCAGGGTCTTGGTGGAACGTGAAATATTTTTTCTGCTGGTTGTAGTATTTGTAATGTGCTGTGCTAAATGCAGTGTGATTGTTAACTTTATTTCTTATATTGTATTTTATTGAATTACAATTTGAATACCATAGAATTCAAAACGTAATGCAATAAAACGTAAGACATTAAAGAAGTACTTTATTGGAAATAACTATTACACACTTGATTCAGAGCTTGCTGAATATTCTCTTGCCTTCCTGATCATATAAAAGAGGCTAGCAGGCCAGCACATTCTACAGCTTCCAAATATTCACTAAGGGCAGCCCATGGAGTGTGTGGTCCTTCCATGATGCTACAAAGGTATTGATGATACTGGTTAGATCACCAAGAATGGGTTTCAATAAATATTGTACTTGATAGTGGATCTGAAAGAAAAAATACTTGGTGAATTAGAACTTACCATGTGTCTTCCACTTCCACTTGAGAAAAAATACTTGGTGAATTAGAACTTACCATGTGTGCTGACAGGTTCCCACATTTCAGTCTGCTTGTGTGTTTTAACTACATCAAAGGGTAAAGTTAATACAGCAGCAATCTAGGGGGGAATTAAATTTTTGAATGTTAACAGTACCCACAGGCAAATAGATTCCATTGCAACTTTCATTGTAAGCATAAAATACTCCGTGTGCTGACTTGCATCTTGTTGGACTGCACTAACACAATCTAATACATTTAAAATACTTAAGTTCCAATTAACTCAATGAGACTGAAGTATACGCATCAGACTGTTAATATAGCATGAAATACTGCTGATACAAAATCCTGAGAGTTTATCTGTGTTAAATTCAGCATCTAGGTGGGAATCAAAGCAATTTTCACTCTGCAAATCACAACCTTTTTATTTGCAATAAAAAGTACAATCTCATGTGTGTGTACATTTTAGTAAACATATATACGAATGAAGTGCTATGCATTTTGCTTGGCTTAAAATGTGCAATAATGTAATAGTATAATAGTACATCTGCAGTAGCACAACTGGATGCTTTCATCTTCCCCATAATGTGGGTACTACAGATATGTTTAGCATCTCATCTAGCTTGGTCCTTCTAAGTAAACATGCATAAAACAATGCTGTGAGTTTATGCTGAAGCAACCAAACCACAGCCTATTTACTTCAAAGAAAGTACAACTGAAATTAACAGGACATTGTTCCAAATAAATGTGCTAAGAAGATCATTGCCTTTTGCCTTGGCTTTAATAAACTGAATTTTTTTCTTCTTTCATTTTTTGCTTCTCTGTTGATACCTTAAAAGTGCACAAGGAGTTTCCCACTCAGAATGCCTTCTTATTTTAATAATAATAATATTTTTTTATTTATACCCCGCCCTCCCCAGCCAGAACCGGGCTCAGGGCGGCTAACAACAAACAAAATTGCAATAAAACATAATAGGGAAGAAAAAACACAACACAACACAAAACAAAAAACAGTTAATTAAAATACGAGTTAAAATACAATTTAAAATGCAGCCTCATTTTAGTAGTAGCCCATATGTTGCCTTATGTTGCCCAAGTATAGATCTGCCCTCTCATTTAAATTATCAGGACAGACTCTATATACAAGACTACTATATACATTTTCACGTCTTATGTAAAAATTATGTAATTTCTATTAGATGAAAATGTTATCAACAAAAATTAGACTTACAGAACCAGCTACTGCTCCTGATGAGAAAGTTATAAGGAATGTTGGCTCCATTTTACCTAATTTCTTGCATAACCTCTTCTTCAAGTATTCATAGTTACACCAGTACAGTGCTATAAGAACAAAAAGTCAGAAAATGAAAGAGGCTTTTTGCAATCTGAAAATGGAGAACTACAGTGATCAAGTTTTTTATGTCTATACAGTCGTACCTTGGAGGTCGAACGGAATCCATTCTGGAAGTCCGTCCGACTTCCAAAACATTTGGAAGCCAAAGCGTGGCTTCTGATTGGCTGTAGGAAGCTCCTGCAGCCAATAGGAAGCTGTGGAACTCGTGTTGGATGTTCGGGTTCCAAAAGAATGTTTGAAAACCGCAACACTTCTGGGTTTCGATCACTCGGGAGCCGATTTGTTCAGCAGCCAAGGCGTTTGAGATCCAAGGTACGACTGTGTATGGTTAGCAGTTAAACAAATAGACAGAAGCAATTGTGCTTCCACAAAGCAAACTAATTGCTCATCACATTGTTACTTACCACATTGTGGAATAAAAATATAATAATCATGTGCCGGGAGGGGGCATGCCAGCCAACTAGTCAAATTGTTGTCAACTGATATTGTGCATTAGTTTAAACCTTAAGACCATACTCCTATACAATAAACTCAGAAGTAAGCACCAGTTAAAACAGTGCTTACTTCCAAGTCAATCATCTGTAGGATCAGGCTGTATATCTGAGTTTGGACCAAAAATGGTTTTCATTGGGGGCCATTTGAATTATTTCAAGGTAGAAATAGTTCTTCTTGATCTCTCTTAATACTCTAATCACATAACTTTTGTTTTTAAACCATTACTTTAATTAGCATTATTTATATGTGGGCAAGTGGGCTAGTAAAAAAGTTGGTGGGCTGAAAATTTGTGGGCTTAGCTACAGAATGTTTAAAAATGATAGAGCACTTCAGTGCTCACAGTGTGTGGCTGGGCATTGCTGTAGGGCCAGTCTCTGTTTCAACGCCGCCCCCTCCCTGAAAATACTCTGTTTAGTATTGGAAGCATGGCATAACCAAACATTTTTTTAAAGCTTCATACATTCAGTCATGGTGAAAAGGAAATAAACGTATTGGCCTTCATTAATTACATGCAGACACCCATACATTTCATACTTGTAAAGCAGTGCCTTATTTGGATTCTTTCCTCTTGCCTTTTCAGACATCCCAAATTGGCAAAATCTTCATCTGAAAAGAATCTGCATCAGCCAATATAACCAAAAGTACTACCAATGCAAAACAAGTCATACCTGAGAATGGTACATCTCTTAGAACTGTGGGACCCCATCCTTTCCAGAGTGAAAGCCAACCATTTTGGGTCACATTACTACTAATGCAAGCAAGCAGTTTTTTATAACTCAACCGCCGAGACTGCATTCTTGTTTTTATCATTTCGATCGGACTTGTTGCAGTGGCTGCACACACTAAGTGGGAGGGGAGGAACACAATATGCTCAATAGCTATGTCAATAGAACATTTCCCATAGTAGCATCTGCAAGAGAAGACTTGCTTTCTCTGTTTTGTCCATGCCTGTCATTTTTTCAATGCAGATAAACATAATAAAAATAATTATCTAATTATGTACGTGTTGCCTCAAGGGCAAAGAACTATAATGGTACCTCCGGTTGCGCATGGGATCCGTTCCAGAGCTCCGGTCGGATCCTAAGTAATTTGCAACTGGAGGTGCCTGTTCTGTGCATGCGCGCGGCGTGTAGAACACTTCTGTGTATGCAGCGAAACCCGGAAAAAATACTTCGGGTTTGCTGCGTGCGTAACCCGAAGGATATGCAACCAGAGGTGTGCCTATCCAAAGGTACCACTGTAGTTCAACTGCCCTAAGTTTCCCTTGCCATGTGAACCAAACAGAATTTGAAACTTGCTTCAAATATTTCAAACACCACAACCATTCCTTTGGTGCAACTCTTAATGTGGTTCCATTTTATTACTCAACATCTACAGATAGTTGCTGCAAGAGATCATGTGAGGTTCTGAAGTCTAGTGACATCAATACACTGATGACATCCAGTTTTATTATTTTCTTCTAATCCCACCTAGAACCAGCAACAGATGAGGGCTAATAAACTGAAGCCTAATGCAGATAAGACTGAGGTGAGTCAACTGCACTTTGTACAGAGAAGCATCAAACGAACTCAGAAAGGTATCTCAAGTTCTGAAGTGTGGCTAAGAGAAAGTGTTAGGCCTGCACCAGCCAAAATCTTTTGTGCTTAAATCTGAGTATGAGGCATGGCTAATAATATAAGTGTTTCCTAGGTTACACTATCACAACATTTGCTTTATTATAAAATGCTAGCTATAAGCAATGGAACTTATCCAAACTTTCTTTTAACCCACATGAAATAAAGTTTTAACAGCAAACTAGAGAGCAGAGACTGACTCACATCTAGCTAGGCCACCTGCAATAAGTGGAACGGAATCATGATCTTCTCCTATTTTAGAACCGAAGGTATCATGTAGTTGATCATAGCAGGTAAAATAAACTACAGTTGTTGGAACTGAAACTGCTCTAAAACAAAAGTATAAATATTTAGTAAAGTTGCCAATCATTAAACACTTACTTTCTCAGTTAGCTGTTGCCCCTCTAGTTTAACTGGTTAAAATATGAGTGTCTAGATCAGAACTATTCCAGGTGTCTATAGCTCTCTGACACCCTTTATCTATCCTGACTGTGCTGAAAGCAAAAAGAACTCAACAATGCCAACAAATGAATGCAAACTGTGCCAATGCTCAGATGAATCGCAAGCCCTACCTTACAGCTAGCTATTCAAACTTCAAAATGCAATTGCACTACAAAACTTGCATTCATACAATTGCAAAAAGCCTATTTACAAGGAGCACATGTCTATGTCTCTGCCAAGGTATTTTGCCTTTCCTGCAGCAGATCTTCTAACAACATAGGAATCTGTAACTGCATGCTTGGCACAACATCAAAGCCCCTTTCCCTCTCAGCTGCTTCCTGTTTTACAGATGATGGGGAGGAGAGGACCCCAGAGGGAGAGACTCTGCTGCAGGCGTGCTTTACAGGAAGCTATATAGGAAGACAATAACTACCGTATTTTTTGCACCATAACACTCACTTTTTTCCTCCTAGAAAGTAAGGGGAAATGTCTGTGCGTGTTATGGAGTGAATGCCTACGGATGGCGGGGGGATCTGCTGCAGTCGTGAGCAGAGGATCCATGGTTCCTCTTCCTTCCCTCCTCCGTGGCTCGCTTTGAAACAGCAAAGTGGGAGAAGAGCCACTGAGTGGGGAGGAGAGAGGGACAGAGAGCCTGCTTGCTTTAAAGGAGCAAAGCAGGAGAGGAGAGGAGCCACTTACACGAGTGTAAGTGGCTCCTGTCTGGTTGGCTCCTTTAAAGCAAGCAGGCTCTCTGTCCCTCTCTCCTCCCCACTCAGCTGGCTAAATAGCAGCAAAGTTTTTCAGCGAGCCGGGGAGGAGGGAGAGAAGCAGAGCCTGCTTGCTTCTCCTCTTATACCCCCCTTCTGCATTATTAACAGCATCCTTCTCCACCCACCCCACGCGTGTTCCTTGTCCCTTGAGTGCTTTTCCTTCCCTCCCCACTTAAAACGTGGTTACAAAGCATGGATCCACATGGATCCTCAGGATTTTTGCACTGGGTCACCCCAAATTCACCATCAGATCACATAGCATGTCCATGGCTACAGCTTGCACCAAAAAAATCACGCACCCACTGTTGCCTGGGGCTGCAGTGGTGCAAAAACGTGGTTACAAAGCATGGATCCACATGGATCGTCAGGATTTTTGCATTGGGCCACCTCAAACTCACCGTCAGATCACATGTCTGTGGCCACAGCATGAACCACAAAAATCATACATCCACTGTTTTGTTTAGAATATTTTTTTTCTTGTTTTCCTCCTCTAAAAACTATGTGCGTGTTATGGTCGGGTGCGTGTTATAGAGGGAAAAATACGGTATATAACTTACAGTGATGGAAGCAGTCCACTCCACAGGCTTTTCACACCCTCTCTTTGAACAATTTTCACAAAAGCATCCTAAATTAGCCAAATATGAAGAAAGAAAGGGTTACAGATTTTTGTAAGTTCTGTTTGGTCTGCAACTACAAATTGTCTATTTTTTTGGTAAGTCTACAAAAACATTATTTTAAAAATATTTTGCACACTAATGCACTAGTTTGTATATTATTTTGTTTTGTTTCTTTCTGCTGTTATATGGTTAAAAGTTTTCAGTGCGGTTATTATTTTTTAACATTTATAGTGGCTGTGTGTTTTGTTGTATTTGTATTCAGCTGTATTTGTTTTAATTCATGCAGTGAGTTGCCTTGAGTCCTAAAATGGGAGAAAGGCAGGATATAAAACAAAGAAAGAAAAATTCCTCACACTTCAAAGAGACATATAATCATATTTCTGTATTAATAATAATAATAACAATAATGATTATTTATTACCTACCCTTCACCAGGACAAGTTACAGCATTTAAAACAATATTAAAAATAGTATCAGGTGGGTAGCCGTGTTGGTCTGACGCAGTAAAAATATATAAAAAAATTGTCTAGTAGCACCTTAGAGACCAACTAAGTTTGTGGTCTCTAAAGTGCTACTAGACAATTTTATTTTTTTATATATATTAAAAATAGTATGTTTTACAATAGGATTTGCATGTTTATTTCTAATATTAGGACTATGGAAAAGCTTGACAAATAACAAATGCAGTATAAGAAGCTATACAATCTAACCTGATCAATAAATTATCATCGTGGGGAATTTCCTCCCTTACATGATACACAGCTGAACCAAATACTTAATTGGATGTTAAAAGGCATATGGAGTAGCAGCAGTTCAGTATTTCTGTCCAACCCTTTCTCTGAATGTCTCAAACACAATCTGTGACACAACATCATTGTATCAGACGTTGTCCTACCCCAATAGCTGACTGCCAGTTGTGCAAATGGGCAGTGTTTACCTGTATATTAAGAAAAGGAAAAGGCAAAGAAAGTGTTGGGAGAGCTATGTCTCTTGCTAAATTAAGCCCTAAATTGCAGAATCCAGCCTACAAAGTTGGAGCTAGCAGTTATAGGAGTTTTTCTTTACTTTAAAAAGACAAGGGGGATGCAGCCAGTCCAATATATTGGCCTAGTGTCTAAGGGAAGTCAGATCTGTATTGAGTCTAGTCTCATCTAATACCAAGTCAGTAAGCTTGGAAGCCATTTCTTGACTATGACAAGAAATTTCCAAGGGCACAGAAAACAGTAATCTTGGACACCACAACAGCTAAGCAGGATCCTACCATTTGCAACTTGTTAAGTATTAGGAATTAGTTAAATCATATTTCTTTTCTTACTCTCTATCAATACTCATATATTGGTAATTCTTGGTAATTAGAATTATCTCTTGATGCTGATCCTATTTAAAAAACATTTGCTTTATTTCTGACTTACATATTTCCCACCCGGAGTAGAGTTATCTTAAAACTAGGCAGACACCAATAATGAGAATGATCAGTGCTTCTGCTCCAAACACAAAATACATTGAATTCATACTATTAGATTTATTTTTTTAAAAGCAACAGCCTGTTGAGTGTTGTGCTCAGAGTTAAAACTGGTAGGATTAAATATGTTTCTCCTTACTGTCATGCCAGTAAAACGTCCAGCTGTCTTGTGCCAAGTTTTGCCAGTTCCATTTTCATAGAGATAAACATGATCTGTCAAGCCATCAGAATCCAAAAAAGCCTTTCCTGATAAAAGGGTGAACAAAAAACCTGTCATGTTGTTTGTAACAGAGGGGGTGGGTGAAGCAGGTGGGTGAAAGCCTGCATTCGCCCCATAGGACGCACACACATTTCCCCTTCATTTTTGGAGGGGAAAAAGTGCGTCCTATAGGGCGAAAAATACAGTACATTATTAAATAAGTTAAGGAAACTCTGTACTATATCCATTATATACATTAATACTAATTGGCTAATGGAGCATACATTTGGGAGGTATACAAGTACCTGTTAGATATTTCTTGTTGCAGAAATAGTGATGAACAAACTTAATTCACCACTCTATTCTGCCACTTACATATTAGAAGTTAAAGCTCTCTCTTCACTCTTAAATTAAGCATACTTTTACCTTTTAACATCATTCACAAATACAACAATAACCAGTATACCAAGCTCAGTCTTGCATGCATAATATTAGGCCTTTATAGTTCTGTGACCCCCACACAATACTTTCTCCTCCACCATTAAAGCCACATTTTATCAAAACATAAACAGAACAGGCACCCTTTTATCTGTATCCCATATGCATATCTATAAGGATTTTACCTTTCAGGTTTGGATTGCTCTGGGCTTGCAGTCGAACTTTAACAACATCTAGGGGTGTCACTAAAGCAAAAATAAAAATTGTCTTTTGGAAAACCTTTAGAATGCATAAATTAGTTGGCAATAAGGATTTAAAAATAAAGCTAAATAAATGAATATACATAAATCAGCAAAGACTTGTTCTCTGTTGCCCCAGAGGGCAGTAGAAGGCACATTTCAATTGAGCATAAAGAGAAATTTATTAATGCTAACAGTGATTCAACAAAGAAATGAATTACTGAGCCTGAGGCTCTCCTGTTCAAGGTCTTCAAGCTGAAGCTGGACAGCCATCTGTTGTGGATGCTCTAACAACTCTAGATTTCATACATCAAAAAGGGGACTGGACTAGATGGCCTTTAAGACCAGCCTCCAGTTCTAGGATTCTACTGGCTTACCATGAATGAAGGTATCATTCTCACTTTATGCCTCCTCTTGCATGAGCAATGAACTACAGTCCATGGTGTAGCATTACATCCAAACCAGGGATTGCTTGTTTTACTTAAACAAACCATGATTGCCAGTTTGGATACAATAATTTGGCACTAAGCCAAATATTATTGTTTCTTGTCCTACTCACACTATGGAAAGAATGAAGCAGGAGCTGTCTGCATATCCCTGGCAAACCATTGACTATGTACATGCAGCTGCAGCCACAATAAGCTAAGTGGATTCAAATGTTTTTTCCTTACCCAAAACTGATGTAATAACAGCACCACAACCAGAGGAGAATGCTTGCTGAGAAGTTGTGATTCTGTATAATTCATTTTCTTTCTCTTCAGAGCCCATAATTTTGTTCCTTGAAAAACATAACCTGTTTTTGGGGAAAAATTAGCCACATACATTTATTTTTTTAAAAAAAAACCCCTCAATAAACAATATGAAGCGTTATTTAGCAGCAATAAATTTGGAACAAGTTCAGGACAACTTGTGGTATTTGCATCCAATTCTGAAAGCTTGAGTTTTGTATGGCTACCCAGTCTGATCTTCAGACAACTGGCAGTTTACACAGAAAGACAAAATAGGCAGAAGACCCAGCGGCTTGGAAAATTTGATTGCAATACACTACCACATAGCGGTTGTTTCTAATTTAATGATAGGCTCATATTTCGCATTTTCATGATGCTCAGTTCTAAAGAAACCCAGATTTCATTTTTTATATGGGAGTCTCTCCCACGTTTTTTATATGGGAGTCTCTCCCAAGTGCTGGTACTGTGAGCTGGCTATATGAAAGGCTACCCCATTACTGTAGTCACATACCTCACCCCGGCCCAACACTCCGATCTCGTCCGCCTCCTAAAACACAAACCAACGAAGGAGCGTCGCTTCCTCCTCTAGGAAAACTTTTTTTTTAATTGTCCGCCCTTCCTTTCGGGTAACAAGAGGAGCTGCTCGGGAGCCCCAAGCCAAGCTTTACCTCAGAGAAGGGGGCAATCCTGGCGCAGCTGCCCCCACCCCGAGGGAGGCCTCCAGGAGGAGGCGCCGCCCCCCGCCAACTCCCACCCCGCCCAGGCAGCGCGCAGAGCCGGCCTCCGAGGGGCGGGAGCCTCCTCGCTGGTTGGTGGCGCCTCCGCCTCCACTTCCCGGCACGGGCGCCCCTTCAAGCCAACGAGAGAGCCGAGGCCGGCCTCGGGAGCTGCTGGTAGGCCCTGCTGGTCAGAGGCGGGAAACTGCGAGAGACAGCTAGCGCGATGGCCGACTCGCGGAAACACTGAGCGGCTCCCGTCCCCGGCGCCATGGGCCCCGCCACGTTGGGGTGAGCAGGAGGCGGCGGCGGCGGCAAGTCGGGCGCGAGGCGGCGGGTGAGGGGGGGGGAGTCGGCTCGCGCGGCGGGAACGCACATTTCAAACGCCAACCGTCCCTCGGCGGGGGAGGGGGGAGGAGGAGAAGGCGGCGGCACGGAAAGGGGGCGCAGGGGAAGCGGGCGCTGGACACCAGGCGCTGCCCCCCAGGCGGGGAGGGGAAAAGGCCACGCGAGGGGAAAAACCAGGGTGAGGTTTTGGGGGGAGGCGGTTGGGACTACGGGGGGCGGGGAGGCGGTAAGACTCGGGGTCTCCGCCCACCACCTTTAAAGAGCTTTTCCGGTTGTTGCTTTTTAAAATGTGGTTTTAATTTCTGTGCGCTGCTCTTTTTGCCTCGCAGGTCGTAACCGTTAGAGGCGAGGAGGGTAAAATGTGACTTCCCAGGAAAATGAAACCAAGTGGTTTGAAGAGCAGCAGCAAAGGACAGCTCCCCTGTAAGTGCTAGGACTTTCCTTTAGTCCGCTAAGGAGTGTGCTTTAATATTATTATTAATAGTTTATTATTTATACCCCAGCCACTCTGGGTTGGTCCCAGCAGAATATTAAAAACACGATAAAACATGAAACATTAAAAACTTCCCTAAACAGGGATGTCTTCTAAAAAGCTTCAGCCCCCTCACAGATTCGTTCCAGAAAGGAGGTTCGGACAAAAAAATAGTTGTTTCTTCTCGCTGCCAACCCCTGCCCCATGCAATGCAAAAGAAAAGAAAAAAAGATGATAAAGCTCTTAGGCAGGAGATCTGCTCCCATTTTCTCTGGAAATCCAGAGAGGCAAAATTTTCTTAGAGGAGGAGGAGGTTGATGAGATCTAGATAGCTTTTGTATTTTTATAATTTGGCGGGGAGTGGGGGGCTTAAACCTATGCATGGGCCCCCTCCTAATTTCTGGGTCCAGCACTGATCCAAATCCTTGAATAGCTAGGCTGGTTTCCTGGTGAGATAACAGCCTAAGACTAAGTATTGGTAGTTAAGGTAACAAAGGAAATGGCTCTGTGCCAGAGGAAAAATGGGTGGTTCCCCTTCCCTCAATTGGCTGGTAGCTAGAAAGACAAAGGCCAGAGTTGTGAGTTGAGTTATGTGAACAAGTAGTTGGAATAAGTAGGCTGAGAAGCCTGAGACTGAACCATGCCTGAAGTGTTGTGGTTTTGGAAGAAGCAAGAACTTTCTGGTGTTAATACTGTGAACCCTTCCATTGTTGGCTCAGGTTGTATATATGTGTAAATAAACCACATTGGGGTGGTGTACTACTGTATCTTACTGCGTTATGTTTGATTTTACTTAACTTGTGTTTCACTTACTCCAAATGTGTGTATAACTGCTTTGCACTGCAAGCTGTTGTGGGCTTTTGAGAATTATGCTAAACATTATGCTTATTGTTGAAAAAGGTAAGCAGCTATTGTGCTTGTAAAGTTGTACTTTGCCTGGCATAGAGATTGGACTTTTTGTTTCCTGTACTGTACAGCTGGGGTATAAAAACTCATCCTTTTTTAATGTTCTAATGAGGAACTTATTCAAAACTTTTGAAGGTTTGGGATCTGTAAGTGAAAGTAAAACTGACTGCATGTGTGTTTGTAAGAGTGTTGTCCTATATTTTAACTCTGATATGAAACACATCCACTTGAATCCAAATCTTATTTATTTCAGTGGGATATGTTCTTGGCTTAGGGCTGCAATCCTAGTAAATTTACTTAGAAACGTCTTTCTCTGAAATTGGTAAGGTATGTTCATAAGTTGTTGGCACCCATCTGTCTCGAGAAACAATGGAGTGCGCTTCTGGGGATTAAGTCAAACTACTGCTTTAGCAGCACCAAAGTGACCTCCCAGGGGCGCAAGCCTGAGCAGTTTGTACGGAGCTCCTGGGCTGCCCAGAACAACAAGATCCCTCTCATGACCTCATTCCTTGTCCAAGGAAAAGCAGAGCAATATGTTTGGCACCAGCTGGGCTGCAGGAGTTGCCAGAAGTAGGCATACAAGGTGCTATCCAACTGTCTTGTGGATTTTTGTTGGGTTTACTCCATAGCCTTTTCTTCTCCCAAATATATGCCAGAAGGCAGTGAAGGTTTAGGATCAGAGTTTTCCATCTCCCAGATGGACAAGCCCCATCTACCCCATGTATAAGTAGACATAAAATTAGGAGGTTCACTTCCAGTTGAGATCATTGTGCAACATTCACTTGTAAAGAATGTTCAGGTGCACTCTCAAACAAGAATATCTTGTTTAAGAGTAGCTCCTCCTGGACCAGATAGTATCACATATATTTGAACGCAATATCTACATGTACTCAAGAGCCAGGATGCCAGTTGCAGCAGATTGACTTCTGCAACTCAGGCTGGTCAGGGTACAGGTGGTGATGGGGTTTATGTCTGTCTGTCTCTTTTTTTTTGCTGTAATAGTTCCAGGCTGGCACAGCTGAGAAACCCAAATTGAGCCTTTCTCTGAAGAATGGGCAAGCTTAGGGTCCAGCAGATCCATGGCTGGCCTTTCCCCATAGCTTCTCAATTTGCGATCCTACTCTGGCTATTGCCAGGTAAAGCATTGGTAAAGCAGTGTGGTGTAGTGGTTAAGAGCGGTAGTCTCGTAATCCGGGGAACCGGGTTCGTGTCTCCACTCCTCCACATGCAGCTGTTGGGTGACCTTGGGCCACTCACACTTCTCAGAAGTCTCTCAGCCCCACTCACCTTACAGAGTGTTTGTTGTGGGGAAGGAAGGGAAGGGAGAATGTAAGCCGCTTTGAGACTCCTTCGGGTAGTGATAAAGGGGGATATCAAATCCAAACTCTTCAACTCTTCTTCAACAATTTCCACTGCCTTGTCAAAGGCCTCTGGCAATGGAACACCCTTCTGCCATCAGAACTTAGCAGATGGAGATGTCCATTGTATCCTAGGACTGTACTATGAGATTCTACCAGTTCAGTTACTGCATTATAAATAATAATATTATTATGAAGAAGGAAGGGAATGTGCTGTTGATCTGACCTTGTGTGGTGAGGAGTGGGATTGTATAGTCTTGACAAGTTCAAATATACTTTTATTTATTTATTAGAAATACGGCTTTACTTACCCAGGATGATTTGCCCACAAACCCTTAAAAAACCCCTTGATTATCAAATTCTCTTTTCTTTTTATTATAGGTGATATGCAAGGAAGAACAGAAAGAAGCAAACCTCCCCTGAAAAATGTGAAGAAAGATTCCACAAAATCAGATAAACTAAAATGCAAACCACTTACTGGGAAGGTGTTTTACCTTGATATTCCATCCAATGTCCTCTCTGAGAAAATAGCAAAAGATCTTAAAGAATTGGGAGGGGTAAGTCTGTTTCTGTTTTTTTTAATCTGAAAAATTAGGTCCTCTTGTAATAGGGGAGCCTTCAAAATCAGTCTATATGCCCAGAAGCTTCCCAAGCTTCCAGCCCTAATAATTAGTAATTGACTCTTAAATGTATGTGTGTAGTCTCACCAACTATGTAATAATATAAATGAAGATTACACATAAAATGTGTGTGAATTGGGAACAATCAATGTATAAAGGAGTGGTCATATAACTATTGTTGGTTGCATAACAGACTGTTATGATGTTCATAATTTCTAAAGTCCTTAATTTACAAAGTGCTTTATAATCCTGTCTCATTTTTGCTTCAATATCATATTAAGTTGAGTCAGAGCAAACTTCTCTACTTTCCTCCCAAGTCCTCATTTCTTTGTTCATACTTATCCATAGTTTCTCCATTCACCCTGAAGATTAGGCATGAAGCCTTTTCCCTTTGATTGTTCTTTCCTCCTTTCCACCTCAAATTCAGTCTGTTGTCAGAACTCTCCTTTTCTGCTCCTTCACCTTTGTTTGTGCCCTGCTCATATCTCACGTGGATTACTGCAGACTTCTCTGGTCCTCTGATGCCTTGCCTTCATATTATAACATCAATATAGTACTCTACTACCAAAATCTGCACCTTTCATCGCTTTTAGCAGTTCGTCCTCACACCCTATATAAGCTTCTCCTCATTTTTCAAACCTTTGTGGCCGTGCTCCTCCGTAACTTTGTATGTTTATTTCCCAACACATTATTCTTGTGTCCTTTGTTCAACTAGTTCTATAATCTTGGCTGTCCAAATGTTTTTTCCTCCCTGCAGTGGCTCTGCCCTTTCCTCTTGCAGTCCCTTATACCCATATATATCTCTACCTCCCTTATTTCCTTTTGGTGTTTCAAAACCTGTATTTTCCATGAAGCCTTTAAAACAAACTCTCTACCCCAGGCCCTATACCTTATTGTAATTAAGCTAAAGTACTGATAATAAAAATAATCCTCCCTTACCTGCTAGTGCCTCCATTTCACCCCCTTCCTCTATCGTTTCTGGTGTCTGTTTTAGATCATAATCCTCTTGCAACAGGAACCTGTCATACCTATTGTTTGTAAAACACCATGTACATGAATTGCACTTAAATTAATAATAATAATTTATTGTAGCTATTATTATCTTCACAGTTCCCTGTCAGATAAATCATAGTTACCTGTTGATGTTGCTTGTATGAATCCCTGGATCTCTTTCAGAATAATAATTGTTTTAATGAAGTTCTGGGGCCAGTTTGGTACATTTGATACAGTGCTGGATACCATTAGTTCCCCCTTCTCATAGTAAGCCAAGAGAGCTTGCAAGTGGCTGATTTATTTATCTCTGTGAAACACTCCTGAATCTAAACCCAGTTCTATTTGATAAAATTCTATTAACTTTCATGTGCTTAATCATATGAATTAGCGGGCTGGCCATTTTCAGGTGTAAAAAACCTATTGTGATAATGCACCATACTTTTGGCTGTGTCATTTCAGACACAACTTACAGCAGTGTGGATTGTGCTCTGGGGAAAGCACTCAGCTTTGTGCGAAGGGGGCATTGTGTGTTAAACTGGTATGAAGTGCTTCATTGTTTTGCAAGGTTTATACTAAGTTCTGAAAGAATCCTTTTTTATTTATGTATAGAGAGTGGAAGGATTCCTGAGCAAAGATATTAGCTATTTGATCTCTAATAAAAAGGAAGCAAAATTTGCTCAAACTCTTGGACAAATATCTCCAGTCCCGAGCCCAGACTCCGTATATAATGGTGGAAACAGTTCGCCTCATCCGAGCAGCAGAAGAGACAGGCATGAAGGAAGTTCATTCAAGCTAGTGGACACAGTAAGTCCCATTCCTGCCTCCTTCCCTGCAGATATATTTTTAAAAGTCATGCTGCAAGTCAAGTAGAGCTCTCTCTTCTTGCAAAACTAGCCAGGGTTTGCGGTTTGTGGCTAATGTTGCGTCAAGCAAAGAATGGCTTGATGAAAATGATATCGATTATGGTACCATTAACCTGTTCTAATTTGTGTTAAGTCAAGATGTAGTTTTTGAAATACGCAGCCATGAAGTCTGTTGCTTTACTTAAGTCTGTTTAATAATATAATATAAATTAATATAAATAGAAACATTTCAGACATTTTATCCAAAATATTTACATTAGTAATAATACACTGTCTTTTCAAACAGCTCATTACCCAAATAAACTGTAGAAAGAAATACACAGATTAGCAGTAGTGGGCATGTTTGTGCTGAATCTTTTAATATTCATTACTTAAGAATGTTATATTAATGCCTCGACCTAAGTTTAGATGGATAGACCAAAAAATCCACAAACACAGAGGAGTACGTGATGTAGCCACTTATGTCATAGAATTGTGAAGTTGAAAGGTTTAAATCCCCTACCAGTTCTGAAAATTCAGTTCTACAACACCCCTTTAATGCAATTTAATTTACTGAAATATTTATAATCCCCTCTCTCATAAGATATATCAAGACAATATATAAATGCAATAAATATGCAACACAAAAGTGCAATCACATCAGTAACAGTACAGTTATACCTCGTGTTGCGTTAGGTTCATGTCGTGTCTTTTCGGCTTGCGAACACGGCAAACCCGGAAGTTTATACTTCTGGGTTTTGTTGCATGCGCAGAAGTGTTCTGCGCACATGCGCAGAAGCACCGCTCTAGTTGCAGACTTTTTTGGGTGCAAACGGCACCCTGAAACGGATCGTGTCCACAACTAGGGGTACCACTGTGTCACATTTTTTAGAATCAGAATTGTAGAGTATGAAGGGACCTTCGAGGATCATCTAGTCCAACACCCTGCAATGCAGGAATATGCAAGTGGCCTGTATTGGAATCACACCTGGGACCTTGGCATTATTAGCACCATGCTCTAACCAGTGTGTGAGCGGGTTTTACAAATATTTAGAATCCTTGCAGAGTTATGCCTTGAACATTTCATTATGTAAGACTACTAGCAATGAACACAAATGTTCTGTATTTTCTTTCTTTCTTATAAATAGGTGCGCATGAGTAGAGGAAAATCTTTAGTTGAAAAAGCAATAAAAGAGCAGGTATGTATCATTCAATAATGTGACTCCATTCTGGCAGGAGTGGGATTCCTGGTAGCATCATTGCTGTTGCTTACCAAGGCAGGGCAGTGGTGAGGTCAGGGTTGCTTCAGTGCAACAGCAGGAGTGCTGGATTGGCTTAGCTGGTGTGCCTGCATTGCCTTTACTTCTCTAGCACTCTGTCCTGGTTAAACGGCAGCCAACTGCTGCTGGGAAGTCAGATTCACAGCTGCCCTGCACTGTCGGCTTCTATGTGTTTTCTTACTTGCAACTCTCTGAAATGTTTTCAAAAAGTAAACCATTCTGACTGTAAAAGTTGTGAAATGGGTTTCTCAGTGATGCAACTTTTCTAACAGCCCTTTTGGCTAATTTTGCTTATGCAGCTTTAATGGGTCTTTGGTTTGGACAGTGTGAAAATGTGCATGCAACACTCCTAAGTGATGCTGGCATATTCATACACATGAATATAAAAATATTTTAGTTAATGGAAGTATTATAAATATGTGTCTTTCAGGAATTAATCCCCTCTGGTAGTATTTTGTCCAATGCCTTGAGTTGGGGAGTGAAAATACTTCATGTTGATGGTAAGTATTTTTTCAGGGAATTTTCAATTGTTTTAGAATAAGATAATTTCAAATAATTTTGATAATCTTTTCTTCTTGATAATAGATATTAAGAAGTATATTGATCAGAAGAAAAAAGATATCTCTCTGATCAAGAAATCAAGCACCGAAATCAAATGTGCGGTAAGTCTACATCTTCCTAATTCCAGAGAAAAATAATAAGAGGTTGAATATCATAAAACCAATGCCTTAAATATTTAAGGTATATCTTTTAAAATATATACTTTATGGGCTATAGACAAATTATTATCCTCAGCTAAGTAGCATAATGGTTTACTCATTTGTGCATTGTACCAGAAAAATTTGGGTGTCCACTTGGTTTTGGTATGATCATGGTCCAAGAGAGGAGGAGGGTGAGCACCTTATCCTGAAATGAGAGCAACGAATGGGCCTTTGTGGTGGAGGAAGAGGAGAAAACCTAGTTGCCCTTCTAAAGGAAGGAGTCTGGTAGTGTCTATAACCTGGAGAGACAGCTTTCCCTCCCCCAACTTTGCTAGCCTATTAGTGATCAACATGGGGGGCGGGCACGGATCTGGAAATGCATAATGCAATCCTATGTACATTTCTATTCAGATGTAAACCCCACTGAGTTCAGTGGAATTTACAGATTATGGGATTGCCAACTGATTTCTTCCATCTGTTGAAATACTATTTAACATGCGTGTTTGACTTTTCTAAACAAAACTAAAGCTTGCCATGTTAATTTTATATACTATGTAAATATATTACATGTTTTTACCAATAGGCAAAATATCTGAACTATTTGATTAATTAAAACGTTCACTAGAGCACTTATTGTGATTAAAATATTATATTAGATGAATTCTTTATTTTTTTTTAAAAAAACATTTATTGGAATAATTGAAAATACTTTAAGGAATTACAACTCAGTAGTACAAAGTCCTCTTACCTTGTTTACATTTTTTAAAAAAACTAGAGGCTATTTAACAAACTAAATTTAGCATGCCCAAGGAACTGAATATTGGAAAATTATATTTCTACTGCTGTGCTCAAAGGATCAGGTAGCAAGTGATGTGAAAAGCCCAGGAGAGTTGCTTCTGATAAGGATAGACTCTACTGGGCTAGTTAAGCAAATAGTATAATATAAAAGTAGTCAACTTGTTTCTGTATTGTTAAGGGGATCATTTAATTGCTGAATAGCTAGCTACAGGTAGGAAGGAGAGAGACTTGCTTTTTTATTTTGCTTCTTTTTGAAAAAAATATGCAGGGAAGAGAATTCTTTTAACCTCGTTGCACACATTCCCCCTAGCTGTAGGCCTTTCTATGCTCTGCTTGTGTCTTTTTACATCTCTTATACATAACTATAAAAGTAGCCAAGATGTGACTTGTCTTAAAATACAATTCATCAGTTTTGCCAATAAAATTAAAAACTATACTTCCCATTGACTGGTTGGTTGCTGGTCCACTGCTCTGGTCTCCTACATCACACAATCAACTATAAAACGTGCACATTTGAATAAATCGAATGAATAAACTATAATAATAATTTATTTTTAACAGGAAAAAGAGTCAGTTGATCAAAAAACAAAAAGTAAGTATTCAAGACATGAATAAGACTTGTTATTTATTTTACAAAAAATAAAAGTATTGATTGTTTAAAAAGAAAAATCTTGATCGTTTATTCTAGGCAAGGTTATTAATTTATAGAATAGTATAATTTTCCGTAAGCTATTTGTTACTTGTGTTAGAAATAGGAATGTTCATATAATCTGGCAATAATAAAAAGTTTTTTTAAACATTCTTTTGAACAGATAAACTGAAAAATCCTTTTCTGAAGGTTGAAGACAGAAGACGGTAAGTGTTATTTTCAGATTAATTAATATTCCATTCAACACATGTCCTCCAAACCATCTGCTTTCTTCTTGGAGGTTGATGGCAACATTTGATGCAATGACAATATAATCTGCAGGAAAACAATGCTAAACTCTAATATGCTGGAAGGATTTGAGTAAGACAATTCCTTTTGTGCTAGGTAATCTATCAGAGATGATAGAACAGTGAGGGGAAATAAATTTGCAGAGTTCTATATGTCGTGGGGGGGGTCATAAGAAGGTAGATTCTGATATACAATTTATTAGTGGAATTGCTCTAGATACCATATCTGGCTATCCATTGGTTTCTTATAGTGCAATCTTGGGAGTTCACTAAGATTTACTCCCAGGTAACTATATAGGAATGCAACCTTAATACCACAAGTTTGCAGTAGCATGGCATGTATTTAGACTACAGTCTCCACTTCCAACAGCTTGTAATATTCACAGTAGCAAAATACCTTGGATTTATTAGTTTGTTTTTTTAAGGAAAAGCACTGTTTCTTACTCCTTTTTTCTGTTAGATGTTTTAAAATCCAGGTATGTACACCTTCATAGAAACTGGTACTTTGATCTTTGTAATGTAACCAGCTCTTCAAAAACTTCAGCTTTGTCTCTTCTTCTCTAGTAGTTTGACCCAAAATCTGCATTATGCTAAGGAAGCACAAATTTGGTGGTCTTATCAGGCCACACTCCCATGGGTCAACTTTGACAAGTGGGCAGAACAACTCTCTTGCCAGTCACCTGGCATCATTATGATATAAGATGATGGACAGGTGGGCTGACTGTTGGGCACTTGACAACCCCTTCATGAAGCACTTTGCAAGCCCTGGGCAGTCAGTTCCTCAGGAACTGACACCATGCATTTCTCATAGTGAACACTCTCTCTCTCTCTCAGCTAATCCAGCTGGAGAACTGAAACCTGCTTTTCCTTGGCAGTGCACAATTGGGAGTGCATTTACAGCTACATTTCTGCTTCCCCCACACCTGACATCATATTCAAGGCGAAATAACCTCCCGCGCCACTGGCTGGAAGTTCCCCACCCGTGGTGCAAAATTTATGTATATAGACAGAGAACAAAACATTGCCAATTTTATCAAACAAAGTATTTATCAAACTGGGTTATTTTTCTACAGGGAGGTGGAGAATGGAGGGCAGAGTAGGTGATTTATTGCAAAGCACAAACCTTGAGTAAAAGAACAAGTGTGTATGTGGCTTGAACCTTATAAAAGGGAGGTACAGAGTTTATATAGCAAAGAATAATAGAGTGTCAACATTGCTATAGCACAGTGGCATACACCACAGATAACACACTGCAAGCAAGAACTACTGAAAAACAAGCTTTTAACATATTTATTGCTTTTTTGTATGTTCAGCAAACCTGCCTTATTTTTTTCTCATGTAGACGCTACAGACCCTTTTACTTGCAACTGTCCAGCTTTCCTGTTGTCAACTATTCCAATCCAAAACCTTACAGTCCATTTGAAACAGAAAAGAAGCATATAATTGCTCATAAGCAAATTGAGAATAAACAAAGGTAATTGAAGAGGGATGTGCCAGAATTTGGTAAAGGGCTAAAGAGGATGGAAGCAAGCTTGTATTTTTACACAGAATTCAAGACCAGTTTATCAGCTTGTCCTATTTTGGGTTAATCTAATCACACACATTATCGTGCCTACTAGTTAGTTGTTAGTGAGCCCCCATCACCATTAGACAAGCTGCTTTGATTTAATGGATTTTTAAATGCTCAGTTTATATGTTAGCAGTTAGACACTGCTAGTTTAGTCTGGATTCTATAAGTCTGCCTCTGGTTATCACAGCGAAATAGTGGATGCATGAGTCATTTATACTTACTTTCTGTTCAAATATCCAGATATGCTAAATTGGTGAAAAGAAGTTTATAAATTTTATAAATAAAGAAAAACTACCCTGAGAAAAACTACACTGTTAGTTTTGTTTGGGACTAAAGAACCCATGTATGGAGGACAGGAAGCTTGACAAGAAGCTGAGCAGAAAGAGGAAGCAAACCAGAGGGTAGTGAGGCCAAAGAAAATATGGTGGCTGAAGAAAGGGTGCAGAATATGCAGAAATCTCTGAGGACAGGTGGATGAGGGAAGAAGCTTGAGCCAGAGGGCAGGGGAAACACAGCTGAAGAAAAGAAGATATTTAGCTAGGGGGCTCAACAGGAATGGAAAGATTGGGAGGTTGTGTTTTCTTATAAGTAGCTAGCTGGGTCATGTCTTCCAGACATTGTATAATGCAGGGTCAGGGGAGAGACCTTCCAGTACTAAATGTTTAGCCACTGAGTATCCATGTCTCTCTGTTAAGTTCCACAGGGTTGGTATATAGTTCAACAGTACATTAAAATCTTTAAATCATGACGTTCTAGGGCCGTGTTTATGCAGCTGGTTACTTTGAATCAAAATGCTGCAAGTAATATTGTGCTATCATAGTTGGATTGAAAGTCATAGTTCCTATGAAAAAATGTTATTGTGAATCCCTGAGTTGTGCTCTTGATGCTCTTGCTTATTCTCTTATAGAATATATGAGTAAGATAAATTTTCTCTTTTTCATGAACAGAAATCCAGCAAATAATGACAAAGGGAAGGGCCCAGTTCAGCTTCCTGCAAAACATAAAAAGAGAAAAGGGTACTGTGAATGTTGTCTGAAGAAGTATGATGACCTTCAAATAGTAAGCATATATTAACTAAATAATTGTGGCTTATTTACATGTGATGGATATACCTAAATTGCTTCCAGATATTTGAGGAGAGATCGTATTTTTTATTAAACCTTTTTCTCTAAAACTGTATTCCTATGTATTTGACCCATTCATAGAGATAGTTTAAAGAGCTAATATAAAGGTTGTAATGACATAGGTTCTTTCTCATTTTTGGTGAAAGTGAATTCCTTCAATATTTTATGAGACATAGCTTACGTTTTGGAAGTGACTAAGCCACCAGGTATTAAAACTCCTGTAAAGTAATGTTAAATAAGTTGTACCTCCCATGGGTATGTTAGCCAATATCATTGATGCTCTTGCTAAATTAAGCATAGGAGCTTCAACAGGGCTGTGTGTGTGTATATTATATATTCTTATAGTTGTTTTGGAATCAGTGAATGCTGTTCTCTTCTAAGGGAAGATTATTATTTTTTTAGGCAGGTTATATTAGGATTAGACCCTCCCCAAGGTGCATCAGTTAAACTTAGTACCATCCTCTTTTTATTTGTATGCTGCCTTTCCATATTTAAAACCATACTCAAGGCAGTTTAAAACATGAAAGGATTTACATAATCACAAACATAACAAAAGTAGTCATAAATAAAACACATCACAATGTATACAATCAAACAGCCAATCCCACATAAATAATAAAAAGGTCTAAAAATAGAAAATTAATACTGCTAACAGCAACAAAACTCTCCAATAAAAACACCTAAACAACATCCCAATCCAAGAGTCTGTACAGCAGCCTCAGCTTTGGTAGCTGGAGTCAATCAGGGCCCTGCCGTCCCAGGTGGAAAAAGGCTGGCAAAGCAGAGAGCTGGCCTTCCAGGACTCACAGCCAAGATGTAGCTTTTGTCTCTCTGTTTGTGCGTATTTATGACATAGACAGCAGCATATGCAATTAGGCAATATGTGATTTGGCTATAGAGCGAGGTTTCAAGGAAAGCTGTCTCATTTTTAGCAGCTTTGGCTGCCAATGCCCTACAGGTGGATGGGTAGTACAGTTGGATATATTAGAGCAAGAATAGCCAGCACCCTATATTCTTGAGGAGCATACAGTGGTACCTCGGGTTAAGAACTTAATTCATTCAAGCACCACCTTAGCTAATAGGGCCTCCCGCTGCCGCTGCGCTGCCGGAGCCCGATTTCTGTTCTCATCCTGAAGCAAAGTTCTTAACCTGAAGCACTATTTCTGGGTTAGCGGAGTCTGTAACCTGAAGCGTATGTAACCTGAAGCGTATGTAACCTGAGGTACCACTGTACTTTTATCCAGATAGTGAAAGGTCTGCAGACAGGGACTGGTAGCTTCCATAATAAGGTTGGAACGGCCTGTAGATAAGGACTTCCTCGTAATGGAGCATAAGCAATCAGGCATATCACAGTAAATAAAAATATGTAAGCTTACATGTTACATTTATCTTTAATACTATTAATGTTTGAAGTCTGTTTCTTACAACCTGAAAACAATTTTGTAGGGTCATCAGGTGTCAGAAAAGGATAATTGTAGATTGTGGTTGCATTTAAACAGTCATAATAAACCAATAAATGCTTAATAAGCCAAGCCTTTTGCATAGTTTACTATCCTGGCTTATTCCAAAACTGGTAACTATAGTTCCCGGTTCAGATAGAAAGGAAAGCTATGGTTAATTAGAGTATTCTTGGTTTGATTACTTGTGCCTCAAAAGTGCTCTCTGTATGCAAGGGAAGATGCTCACACATATACTGGTTTATTAAGCCAAGATATAATCTCAACTGGGTCCTTATGGTGGTTTTAAAACTTCTTGTAAAAAGAATAACTCATTTATATATAAATATTTTCTTTAGGAATGCTGATACATTTTTTCCCCTAATTTCAGCATGTTGAAAGTGAGCAACACCAGAACTTTGCTCAAAGTTCTCACTACCAAGTTGTGGATGACATTATTTCCAAGTTTTCTTGTAACTTTGTAGAGTTGAGTACACCAAAAATTAAAAGGTAAACAATTTTATAACTTTTTATTTTCAGCTAACTTTTCAAAAATAAATGTAAGTTATTTTGTGTACCTTCTTCTCCCCTTCCATGGTTGTTCCACTTCAGAGGTTCCCTCACAAGTCACTACGCTTTCAGAGCTGATGTAGAAAATTAATATAGGTCTTGGCTACTATGACAGATCCAGTTTTGAAGTGATCAGCAATACAGTAATGACACTATTTGGTGAGGCTTTTGCACTGACTTCAGCTAACCCACTATCTTTTGGCCCCAAAGAGTAAAACAGCCTTTCCGATGCTATTGTGTAAAGTAGCTTCTACAGGCACCACAAAAGAATTTGTGTTCATCTCTTTTGAAGGCTCTGTCTATAAAGAACAGGGCTTGGTAGAACCATAAGCAGCATTTTTCACCTACAGATGACGTGCTTTCTGACAATTAGGCAGTACCACATACAGGACTGGTGGAAGATCTGGATTACTGATACAATAATAGGTATCAGAATTGCTATATACTATATAGCCTGTTTCTGCAGTTTCCAAAAACTATGCTGACAGCTCATCAGGCCATCTCTCTTACTTGCAAGGAATCTAGCTGTATCCTTGGCACTTTTAAAGCTATCTTTAAATCCTTGTGTCTTGCATAAGATGCTTGACAAATACGATGGTCTCCAAGTGCTGTGAGAATGAATGCACTGAGAGAAATTTTCTAGCAGTCAGAGGGAAAGTAAAATAAGATGGGATGAAGTGACATATAACATGTATATATATAAAATGTAGACTGCAACAAGGAAAGATTAACAGAGATGTTTGCGTCTCCCTTACTCTCTGCCATCCTCTCAATGTTATCCCCCTGATCTGCCGCCTCCTGGCTTCCATCACTGCCACTTCCTTTTGAACTTGGAAGGCTCCAAAGTTGAAGACTGCAAAGACTGCTTTGACTCTTCTTAATAATGGGAAGGCAAACACCAGAATCCACCTTTGCACTTGCTTCTTCTGGGCTCTAAGGTCCAAAAGAAATAGCTATGTCAAATACATTCTTCTTCTTCTTAGCTTCATGCTTTGCTGCTCAGTGAGATTCCCAACTCCTCTTAGCCTTCTTCAGGCATTCTAAACAAGTCAAATAAGCACATGGAGGTAGGGCGGCAGCGTGGATTAATTTTCTAGTTCTGCCTGGTCTAGCTTGCTTCCCACCCCTGCATTGCTCTTCCAGTCACCTCCTACAAGTCTGAAGTGCCAAGCCTCCTGTGCTCATGAAGGCTTCCTGTGCATTTTAGAACCTTGATTTTCCAGGGTTCTAAAATGCACAAGGGATCTCCACAAGTACTCTGTTTTAGACCGTCACCTGCCAACTTGTAGATGACCAGAATGGGAGCACAATGGAGTGGATGGGTGACACTAAGACACGTGTCCCCATTTCTACCTTCCCTATCCCATTTTTCCAACTTCCATTTAGAATGCCTAAAGAGGGCTACTGTCTTTGGCTTAAGGAGCCCAGGGGGAGGCAGAAGAAGAGATTCCAATGATAGGTTCTCTCTCCTCATTCAATTGAATGACAGAATATAGTGAAAGATGGAAAGGATTTGTTGAGTTAATTAAAAGGTTAGATCGTTAAGATAAATTATATAACAAAAATTGAGAAAGATGGAAAGAATTTGCTGAAACAATTAAATTAGAATACAAAAAGGGAGGTGTGAGGAGGTCGATGAAACAAGTAAATGAAAGATAAAGATATGGAACATTGGATGTGTGTTTTAATGTTATTGTGTTTTCTTTTTGCTGTATTGTATTGTTTTTTATGTTTTTCTTTTTATGTATTGTAATGTATGCTTTGTCAAATTTTTTTCCTTTTTTTCTTTTTTCTGTAATTTTTAAACTTTTAATAAATATCATTTTAAAAAAAAAGATAGGTTCTCTCTCCTCACCCCCCCACTCCCGCGATGCTTTGAGGAATCAGTAGGCAAAAGAGGCAGAGCTATACATATAGCTTGACAGTGGCCACCGAGTCAAGAATGCCACTGCCATTGTTAAATACAGAATAGGATTTGGCAGATTATACGTGCATCTTGACTTCTCCTTGTAGACCAAGAGTGTGTGTACCAAATAGTTTGTCACTTTGATGGTCTCTAAGCATAATGGTTCCTTTCCTCGGGTGCCCAAATTTGTGTCAGTTTGTAAACTTCCTGTAACCATTTCACAACTGGCCCGTGTTATTTATGATTTACTACTAGTAAGTAATTTTCATGTCTTCTTTGAAAATTCTTTTTGCATTTTGACACGTGTAACTTCCTTGATTTTAGGAGGAAGTGTAGTGTTGGACAGTTTGCTCCTCTCATCGGAACAAAAACAGAAGAGCTGAAAGAGCGGTTGAAGAGGCAAGACAGTTCACTGAGGTGGTATTCTAGGAAAAGCATTACAACACAGGCGCTGAATGAAGGTTCTCAACACCTGGAAATGTATCCTAAATCTGCACACAAAAATTCTACCTCTGAATCTTCATGTTCTGTTTATTCCTATCACACCATCTGTTCTTCAGAAGCATCAAGAAAAGTCAGTGGCAATACTGAAAGTGGTAAAATGCCCAAAGCTTCAAATTTATCAGAGATTGCTTTATCAACCAACTTGGTACATCTTTCTCCCCAGAAAGAAAGTAAGCAATGCATGAAAAATTTGCCTGAAATTTATGAACACTATGAGCCTATTTCAAGACAGAATTTACAAGGATTATCAACAAATTTAAACTCACTACATGCTCGGATTCCAGGCTCTGAGTTTAGTGAAAGGCAAAACATATCAAAGCCAAAACGGAAATTGAACCATACGGTTCTTCTGCCAGCAAAATGTCTGAAGAAGGTAGACACTCGTTCGGCAATTGATCTTAGGGTGGAAAGCAACTGTTTTCCGAGAGAACTCACGGTCCTTCTAGAGCCAGAAAAGCCATTGATTAGTCCTCCCTCAAACAAAGAGCCCAATGAGTTGACGGACATTAATATACAAAGCTCACCAATAAAACTCAGCAGAAAAGCCATGCATTCCATAGGAAGAAATAAAAACGGAAATCAGAAACAAAAAATGGAGTTATGTTTACATCAGGCTGATGAACTACCTGTTCCAGAAGAAACAAAAATGTACAAAGCTCATCAACACAAGCACTGTTGCAGTTATTTCAGACCAGCGAAGCAAATTCTGATTTTGGGGGTTTCTCAAGCATACAAGAGAACAAAGATTCAAATTTAATGAAAGACACATGGGAAGACCAGCATACAGATGCTTTGTGGTCTTTGTTTTCTACCTCTGCCTCTTCGTCACCATTTATTGGATTTTAATGCTGCTTTATTTAAAACGATGAGTTTTGAATAAATGTGGAAACTGAAAGATGATATTTGTGGAAAATTTTTGGTTTCTATAATAAACTATATAGTGATGATTCTTGCATTAAACCCTTATGTTCATATTATTACAAGCTGTGTATGTATATAAAAAGGCATGGGGTGGGTGACTCTGTAACACATGCTTGCCTTTCTAAAGGAGTTTACACTTGGAAGTGTTGGCCAGTCTTTATTATTTAGAAATTGTAAAAAAATTGTTTACTGTGACCACAGTGAAATTCCATGCATTAGGGGTAGACAATCTTTTTTTAACTGAAGGTCACATTCCCTCTGGGTTAATCTTGTCAGGGGCCACATACTGGGGGTGGGTAGGGCAAGGTCAAATCAGAACCAAAAGGGACAGCAGATAGCAAGGAGCTGACATCTCCACTAGCTGCTGTTTTCACCAGCTGGGCTGGACCCCTGTTCACCCTCACAGAAGCCCCCCTTTTCTGCTGCCCTGTGAGTAAGAGCAGTAAGCTGGTCTCCAGTGAGCCTACAGGCTGTGACAAGTAACAAGAAGATTCTAGGAGACCCTATTCTGTAAGGTCAATAAGTTGTTGCTGCATTACAGTTACTTACAGGAAGGATGAGTTGCCATGGATGTTTCTCAAGGTCCACCAAGACCTTTTTTAAAAAACCATAAAAGCTGAGCAGCTCATTTGTATCCAAGCTGGTCATTCTAAGAGCCTTGCAAATTTCATATACAGCGGTACCTTGGTTTATGTTCTTAAACCAAGGCGTGCTTTCCCATAGCAGCAGGGGGCTCAATTTACAAATGGAACACACTCAACAGGAAGCGAAACATGTTCTTATTCCAAGGCAAAGTTCACAAACCAAAACACCTGCTTCCGGGTTTGCAGCGTTCTTAATCCAAGTTGTTCATAAACTAAGCTGTTCTTAAACCAAGGTACCACTGTATTGGTGTCAGAGTTGTATTCCCCTTCCCATTCCTTTCGCATCAAGTCTTCTATTGTAAGCCTGAAGACAGGGATTCTGTTATTGCCCTAACTGGGCAACGCAACCTGCAGCCCTCAGAAATAAGCCCTACTGAGTGAAAGGGTACCATATTTCACTTGAATACATCACTTGCATAGTTCAAAGCATGCACTCTTTTCGTTAGTTTTTCAGGTAAGACAGTCAGTTGTCCATACATTCTTTTGCTCAGTAGATGGCTATGTTCATGAACCAATGGATAATGGTAAAATCCTGATGATAGCTGATATTTTTGCCCTCCCTTATATGGAAAATTTGGGGGCATGTATGCTGCCATACCTTAAATGAACTTACCGTATTTTTTGCACCACAACACTCACTTTTTTCCTCCTAGAAAGTAAGGGGAAATGTCTGTGTGTGTTATGGAGGGAATGCCTACGGGTGGCATGCCTACGGATTTTCCTCCTCTAAAAACTACGTGCATGTTATGGTCGGGTGCGTGTTATAGAGCGAAAAATTGTTCCAAAGCAGACTCCATTTTAATGGAATAGTTTTTAGTTGCCATGCAGGGAAGAGGAGAACATGGATGTAACAGGAATGCAAAGTAACTTTACAAAACTACAGTAGCTCATTCAGTTAAAAGGATCCTATCGTTAAAAGTGGCTGACACTGGAAGAAGCCAAACAGCAGAGGGTAGCTGTCAGGGGTTCAGGGACAGAGGCACAGGGTAGGCAGGAGATGGAGAGCGATGGGGATGAATCCCAGGACAGCGAGGAAGAGGATGACAATGACTCAAGAGATTCCATGAGTCTTTCCAGCGAATCAGAGGATTCCCAGAAGGGGCGCCAGTGGTCAAGGCCAGGGAGCCCCAGGGGGACGTGTCAGGAACAGGGGCCAGCGGGGGATCCCAAAGTGGCAGCTGGGCGTCAGGACCAGCCCCCCGCCAGAGTGCAGCGAAGGGGTGGAGGTTCCAGTGTATCAGGGGAAGCAGCTCCGGCAGCAGAGAAGGGAGGGAGGTCGGAGCAAGCCACCCTCCCGGAAGGGGAGGGAGTAGTGAAGGGAGTAGTGTAACTGTCAAAAGGAAGGTTAGAGGTTGGGCGCGCGCGCATGGTTCAAATGTAGAGGCGCGCGGAAGTACAGGGAGCCCGGAGGAGGGGCCAGGTCCCAAAGCCCGCAGGAGGGGGGAAGAGCAGTCTGGAGATTCTGCGTCAGGGGAATCCAGGAGGGGCGAAACCCCAGGGGGCAGGAAGACCCTGCGGAAAAGGAAAGAGGAAGAGGTGGAGCAGCGCAAGGCTCTTAAACTGGTGCAGGGGAGGGACTGACTCAGAGGGGACTTCAACGGTCTAAGTGTAACAGACGTGGGGCTGCGCGCCTCGGATGTGAAGCAAACAATGAACTCCAATAAACACTTTTGTATATAAGAAGAGATTGGCGTTGGTCTTTTGTGAGCTGAGACCTGAGGCAGCCCTGACAGTAGCAATAGAATATTCCATTCCTAGCCTCTGAAAGTTTCTTTGAAATGGATGTTCAGAAAGCTCTCTGTCTAATATTGTTGAAGAATCTTGACATTTAAACAAATTTTAGGGTCAAAAATTTCTTTACAATACTGTGTGTCTCAGAAAATAATAGGGAAAGCCCTAGATAATTGAATTTAAACCAACCAGTGACTTACTCCACTGGAGAATAGAATAACAGAAGTGTAGGTCAGGAAACAAATACAAGCAGTAGTTAAGATGTTGCATTGACAGGGAGGAATGGCTTTGATTTTATCTTCCTCTAAACTGTAGAGGTTTGTTTTATTTATATCCCATCTTTTAAGAGCTGGTGTTTGTTCTCTGCTTCACCTATGCCATTGTACAACAGCCTTGCAAAGTAGATAGGGCTGAAGTGAGCTTTATGGCTGAGTGGGTATTGGAAACTGTTTTACCAATCCTAGACCAGCACTAAACACAACACTATATTGGTGCTCATAATGCCCTCCAAAGTATATCAGGCAAAGACAGATGGGACAGAATGCTACCAAATAGGATTCCAATGCATACTTAGCTGAGGAAAGAAGGTATTTGCTGTGGCACCTAGGTAAGTGTGGAAATTTTAAACAGCTATATGTACATGAGGCTTTCTTCATTTTTTCCTTAACCTCCTTTGGACTGCAGAAGATTCCCAGGGGCAGAAAGGAATGTTTGCTTGCAAAAATGCAAACTGTGTTTACTGATAATCAGGTCAATAGCTAAAGAACTGCATGCTCAATGCTTGCTAAGTATTCTCCCAAAATGCTTTATTTAAAAAGATTGGATTTCTTGTAACATTATTTCAAAGCCTGAGGTTCCTGAGAACTGATTTCAAAAGGCTATTGTCAGCTCTTTGTAATAATGCTACTAAGTAGGAGTGTCAAATTAGTGCGTTGATACAGAGCTTTCTAGTGAGAATATATTTATATGCATTATTGGTAGGATATTGTAGTGGAAGCTCTCTACAAAATGCACTGTAACTGCTTTGCATGTTCCCCTTGCATATATGGAAAGAACAAGAATAAAGAGATAAAGGATGGAACGTCTTCCAGCATATCATACACAATTCTGGTTGCATTAGTAGACACCATAATGCTGTCAGTATTTGACCTAAAGAAGGCTCCTGCAACTTCAACAGCTGCAGAGCAGGAGTGGGGATCCTTGGGCCTGCCAGATGTTGCTAAACTACAACTCCCATCATCCCCAATGGCATTTTTTGATGCAATTTTTCCTAACAGACACCTTTTTTTTGCAAAGCCATAATGCATGTTTGTGTGTTATGTCATTAATATGCATTTTTATGTATACTTTACCATAATATAATGCATTTTTGCAGACGTTATTTGGCTGGAGAACTGCACTGAAAAATTCAGAGAGGTGCAAATTCACATTTGCGTATTGCTTCGGAATATGCAAATTTGGTAAGTTCACCTTTAAATGCAAAGTGAGTCAAGTTTCTCCTTCATTCCTCACTACTGGTGGTATCCCAGCTGCGAGGACTACCTTCCCCTGTCACTTCTGAGAATGGCAGTGATCCTGGGCTTCTGTATAAATGGCAAAGTCTCCCCTCAAAGGTTAGCAGATGTATTATTATGCTATAAACAAGAGGAGAGGAATCTCAGGCCACATCCCTCACAGGCACTGTTTCCCACCTTGCTTTTCATGTTTTTGCCACACAGACAACCTCCAATTGTGACTCTTGCTTGCATGAACGCAGGGCATAAGAAAGGGGTGTGCTATGGAGTAGTAGAAACAAGCCTACTGTTACAAAGGTAAAACTTAACATTATCCGCTCTGCCCACTTTTGCGTCTGGCTCTGTGCACCACTGGCATGTGGCTCCTGGAAGATTGCCAAGGAAGGAAAGCGGTTCTTGGCTGAAAGGTCACACCCCACTCCTGCTCTGAAGCTCTCCTTCAGATGCAGCCCTATAAAACCAGAGTGGGTCACCTGTGGACCCCCAGAAGTTGTGGGACTCGAGCTCTCACCATCCCCTGACCATTGGCCAAGCTGGCTAGGAGGGATGGGAGTAGCAGGCCTCCCCGCCTCCTTTTTCCTGAGGTTAAAAAAACCCAACCTTCCTTTTTTCACACATCATTGTCCCTTTCCTCCACCTCAGGTTACGTCTTGTAACCTGTTGTGCAAAAAAAGGCAACCACCACGAGCGGCTTATTTTTTTGCCCTCGCGCGAGAGAGGCGCAGTTCGAGCTTTTCACACAGGTTCCCTCTCTGAGGAACTTTTGGCTCAACGAACTCCATTTCCCGGGAATCCCGGCTTCTCTTCCCTCGGCTTCGCTCCTCCTAAGCGAAAGGGGGCTTTCGCGCCGACGCGAAGGCAAAAAAGCCTCTCGCTCCCTCTCCGCCTCTCCGGGCTGCTGCATGTGGGGAGCGTGTGGGGAGCGAGGGGCGGAGCTGGGAAGCCTCTGAGCTACAGCAAGCCGCCCAATGCAGTAGAAGCTCGCCGAGCGAACGGAAGCCCGTCCAGCACAATGCAGCACTGAGGCGGCGGCATTGGCGAGGAGGAGGACGCGCGCCTCTCTCGCTCGCAAGGAGAAGGAGACCCCGGGAGCGGGGGGCGCCTTTCCTCTCCCCCTCCATGCCAGCCGCCGTGTGACCCGCGCTTA